AGTTGGGTCATTCTCGTGAAACGTCGCGCGCTTTACAGACAGCATTTCGCCCTTTCGTATATCTGATCGGCCCATATTTTCCTGTATAATGCTTATTCAAGCCGTATGGTGCCAAGAATTGTTGGAACTATATCCTATTAGACAGGAGCCGAGGAATATTTGAACGAGACATGATCGAAGATAGTAGCTTCAAAGCTACTTTAAGCCCAAACTTCTCTTCAGATACGCAACCCATACCTAACTCACAGCTTGTTAATGCGAACTTTCAAGGCTGTGATTCATTATTCGCTAAGGAGGCCTCCAGATAACCCAAGGAATTAGTCCAATGATCTCGATACTTTCTACAGTTTTGTCCAATTTGGTAGGTTAATTCGCGCATTTTTATTATCGATATCATAATAGTATTTAACAAACTACAAATGTTAGCGACCTTTCTTGATGGGGGCTCCTGTTGATTCGGCTTACTTCCAATAACACCGTTGACAGGAATGTCGATCGAGGTTGTGTAGCTCGCAGCATCGCTCAGAAGATACACATATGCACCGCCGAGCTCTTGAACCTCCGCCAGACGTGGAAATCCACCGTAGTATTTCAACTGTTGCTCCCAATCGGGCTGCTGGGGCACCCAATACGTCATGGCAGTGTTCACAAGACCAGGCGAGACGCTATTAACGCGAATGCCATACTGAGCCCACTCCATGGCGAGGGTGTGTGTCATGTTTCGAATGCCAGCCTTAGACGCGCCGTAGGGGGTGGATGGAACGCGCTGCAGAAGTCAGCCGACAATATCAGGAAATACGACTAGCAAAGACCCGATAGAAAGGTAGACAAATTCCAAAGGGTTGACACACCTTGTTAGGACGGTAAGAAGCCATCGAGGCTGTGAACACAATCGCCCCCTTGATTCCCAGCTTAATGAAGGCCCGAGCAGCACATCTGGCTGTGTAAAATGCGCCAAAGAGCTGAAGCATTCCAGTTAGTAAACCTTGTTGACCTGAGGTCTGGCTCATCAGAAGGCGTCATATGAGACTCACATTAACGGAAAATAGAGCCTCGATCTCTTCGGTCGTGAAGTCCAGTGCGGCCTTGTGGTTCGTCCGTCCTGCATTCACGACCATCCCGTGGAGCGCACCGGCCTCCTCAACAATTTTATCAACAGCAGCGGAGATGCTGGTTTCTTGTGTTACATCGGCTTGAACTGCAAAGACTTGGTTTGGGAAACGCGTAGACAAGGCCTGGAATTCATCGCCAGTTTCACCGATGTCGATAGAGTAGATCTTAGCGGCACCGTTAATGAGACAGCATTCTGCGACACCGAGTCCGATTCCTCGGTTTGCACCGGTAACTATTGTTATGATGTATATTGTCAATTTCTGAAATTTGACGAGGAGAGAAGTTACTAACTAGCGATGACTTTTGACTCAAGTGCAATCTTGGTCTGGGGCTCCACGGGTGTGGACTGCGAAGGGATGGAAGATGACATTGTATAGAAAATTTGGAAAGGTTGGCAATAAATTTAAGGGATATTACCACTGAAATAGAGAGATAGAGAGACTGTTTATCCTGGGGACCCCGCAGTTTTATAATTTGTATATAAAGGTCAAAAAAGATGCGGGGTTAGGAGTCTTTTTGGCTCGGCTCGAGGTAAGCTGGACGCTGGAAGGATTGAATTTATCCTTAACTCCCTGGAAGCTAAGAAGATTATATTCAAGGTGATTGGATTATTGGGTCATTCTGCGAGCGACGTTGTTCTCCGATTCGTTGGGATATTGAGTGGATGATGGACCTCGACTCGAGGACACCAGCCCCGCACGGAGATGATCCGAGAACATGACACCACTACTATGACAACATCGTACAAGCAAAGTGCTACGAGAAATAATGATCATTTATTTGTTGACCTTGGCTGAAAGAAGATCGACGGAGTGAATCTCGCGTTTCTATATTCATGATGAAAACTCTAGATGCGTTTTGCTCGTAATTCGTAGCACTCATATTCCTTAGTCCATGTCGGCATCGCACTCGTCTTCGTTATCATATTCGCCCCAGAATTCTTTCAGATCCTCAACTCGCCATGTAGTTGCCCATCCAGTCTCACGCTCGATTCGGACCAGCGTCTCGACTATAGCTTCATGCTCTGAATAATGTGACATGACCTTTCCGGCTATCCAGAGAGGCTGCAGTGCATTAGTCCAGCATCCACTAAAGAAGAGAAACAGTCAGTATTTTGGTCATCCGAGTTATCAAAAATCAAAGATACTTACTGATGGGCATTTGAAGCAGAGATGGCACAAATTTGGCGAGCATGCCAAAGGACAGACTTCTGGATATTGTTAACCGATATTCATGAGAAAAAAGCCATGAGAAACTTTTGAGACATACCGGCTTTTTTGAAAGTACTATTGTCTTCGGCTTCCGTTGGAGTAAAAGCAAGGCACTGACATGGTATAGCTGATTACCAGAGACTGGAAATTGTTCGATCTGATTAGTTCCAAGAGCCAAGTAGTTTGATGGCGGTTAACATACTGGCACATCCATTCCCATATAATACCGTTGGAAAGGGCCTATCTCTCGAAACTTGGCTAGGGTTGGAAACAGTGAAGATAGACTTCATCTGGCTGGGCCGGTTCTCATACCATTGTTCCACATGGGCGAACAACTCTCCCCAGCGGTGGACATAAGAATTTCCATCCTCTTCAGGAAATGACTGGCAAGATGTGCAGGGGTGCGGGGCTTTGGATGTCGATCCGAACAGGACACCGAGTGTTACTGCACATAAGTAGACAGTATAGTTGGCATATGTGTCGAAATTTGTCTTGTTGGATGAAAGAAACAGACGTGACGCCTCGGAGCAGCTCATGTCTTTGGGTCTCCAGTTGTGAATTGGGATTATAGTGTCCTCCTCGGAGATGAGACCACCACAAACATCCATTCTGGCAAAGCACCAGAAAAGAGCCTGCTCTTCTTTCCCCGAGAAACCATTGATACCGGCGGCTTGAATCAGATAAGCACACCCATCCAAATGGCGTCGCCATTCTTTTGGGTTGCAGGACAGCATTTCCAAAACGCAGAGAATAACACAAGAGGCAATCACGGGCGTACTCTTACTCTCTAATTCAGGGAACAGAAGATGAATAGCTTCTTGATACAAAGACAAACTCTCTGATTGGGACTTTTCGTTTTGCTCTCTCTCCAGTTGTCGCGCTGAAAGAGCTAGAATTGAGTATCGCAAATGCGGCGATGTCTTTGCCATCTGGGGAAACGTGGAAGCAAAATGCCGATTGTTGTCGAACATGTCGAGCTATCAATGGTTAGCCAAAGAATGTTTGCTGCGCTAAGAGCGAAAAAGCTTACCCATGAGCAGATTTCATTCAGGTAGTTCTGCCACAAAACGTGCTCTCGCTCTGGAGACAAGTCAAAATATCGCCCTGCACTAGAACGCTGAGGCTGTCGCGTAGATCGACTGAAAGAACTATCACTCAGACCTGACGGCGTATGAGCTTGCGAGATAGAGCCCTGTGAGCTGGCCCGTCTTGTAACACCCGGTCTAGCAGTCCATAACTGGCGGTTTCGTAACGCCGTGTGGAGGGCCTCGTAGGCCGACCCCGGAAGGAAGACATCATTGGTGAGATCCGCCGGGTCGGAGAAGACACTATGATCAAAGAGAGGAGACGGGACGTTTTGATATGAGCCCTCCACAGAGGAATGAAATTGAGCGCCGTTGAGATTCCTTAGCGTAGCAAGGTCATCGATAGCGTATCCAGGACTGGAGTCCAAATAGGCGTGAGGTGAATCATGATCAGATAGTTGAGGCTGAAAATCACAATGCAGATTGGCCGGGTATTGATCTTGGCTAGTTGATCCATGCTGGTGTAAATGACTTGCATCCTGCTCGATGACATCGCAGTGGGGGGAATTTTTACTGGGGCCTTGTGACGTATGGGATGATGCATTACCGGTCAGCGGGGGCGACAAAGGAGGACCAATATCAGTCGAATCGGAAGGTTGATCCGCATATCCAGAAGCAGTAGTGGCATTTCGCTGGTCCTCTGGCGCCGTAACCCTTGCTGGCATAGCGCTATTGGCGTTAGAAGGCGATATAGAGGGGCTTTTTCGCGCCAATAGATCGGAGATTTCTTCGATAGGACGTTTGACCCCTCTAGTGCGATGCTGATCAGGCAAAGCATTCAAGATCTTGAATTTACTTTGGCGCTTGTTTTTGCTCACGGCGCCGCCCTGGCTCATCGATGGGTGATCAGATTCCAGTATTTTGATGTTGGAATCGCGAAATGAGCCTAGCATGCGCCATTGGCACTCATCGCCTCGTCGCTTACAACCAGTGCAAGTCGGCTTTTCTTCGTCACATTTTCGTCGGCGACGACTGCAGTTGAGACAGCCAGTTCGGGTGCGTTTCTTAGGCTCCAGTTGTTTCGTATCATGCCTATCTTCGTGCGAAAATGGAGGTGGGTGGCTCTTGTCAGTATCCATGGCTGCCTCGAGAATATTGACGATTGTGCTTGTCATCTTGCTGGTCAAAGGCCAGAATCCGGGGGTTGGGATGGAGGGCCTGGAGGACGTGGGGATGGAAGGACTACATAAAAGCCACTTGCCGAAAAGAGAACTTTTAACCGCCAACTCGGCCCCACCGGCTGCGTTGCCGTTGGTCGGCCTCCCGAGGAGTTTGGCCGGCGTGGAGTGAGTTTTCCGGGGTCTCCCCGAAAAGCGGCGGAACTCGTCATAGGACAATAACTGACCAGGAACTCGGCTAGAAGCGAGGTGATCGTCAGGACCAGTCTGGTCTAAGTTGAGTGTTACTTACTATGTATGTTGGTTTGGAGAGAAGTTGCGTCATAGCATAATTTCCATCCATGATATTGCTCGATAATTTACATGTATAATGCTCAATATCCCATAAAATAACAAGATCTTTGAAAGGTAAACACAGTTTGCTGCAGGCTTGCAACATGATATTTCAATTAACTACAAGTTGAAGCATAAATCTATTCAAAATGCTGGGCCTGCACACTTTCAGGATCTTTGCTGTGAGCAACGGCATCTTTGTCGTGGGCAATGCGAGTCTCTGCATCTCCAGCCACTCCCATAGATGATTGCCAGTAAAGCTTGACCTTTTCGCCGGTGAACAGATGATCGATCTGCTCCAGTGTAAGGTGTCGTGTTTCGGGATAGAAGAAGTAGATCAAGGGAAAGAAGCAGAAGTTGAAAACTATTCTCATGTTAGCAAGCTGCGAAGAGGAAATAGTCAAAGAATCCCGATTAAGAGGTGCATACCGGCAAAGTAGATATAGGTCCGGTAACCTATGCTTGAAATTGAGACCGGGGTGATTTCCACAACAAGGAAAGTAAATATCCCTATTTATTATGTTAGTTTGAATAACAATTGATAGGTTGACTTTGATTTCGTACAGTTGGTAGCAGTGGCCAAGGATGCCGAGCGTGTTCGGATGGCAAGGGGTGCATATTCAGCAGGCACTGTGAGAGATGTTAGCATGGCTAGGAAGAATAAAGGAAGGGATAGAAAAAACTTACAGAGCCAAGGAATGGCCAGAAGACCGACGGCGAAGAAAAAATTGAACAGGAACAGCATAACAGTGGCCACCAAACCAGAGGCATGGGATCCATCCCAGACAGTACCAGCCAGAATAGCCATACAGCAACCCTGTCCAATCACGGCAAACATCATAAGTTTGCGGCGACCAAGACTGTATCATGTTAGTATTTCTTCCCAGGATAGCAAATGTACTTGATCTTACCGGTCAATGACCCAGATAGGCACGAGAGAAGAGAAAAAGTAAGCCACGCCGTTGAAACCCGCCAACAACAGAGCTGTGTTGTGGTCCATTCCTACGGACTGCTCGAAAATGACTGTTGCGTACTATCCTTGAATGAGCAAAAGTAAAGATAATCGGGTGAACTTGGCTACTCACATATGTGATAAGGTTGATGCCCGATACCTGCTGCATCATCTGTCCGCCCATGCCCAGAAGAGTTCGGGTAAAGAAACGTTGCGGGCCATCCTTGAAGAGCAACTTGAAAGACCCTTCGGCTGAAGCTTCAGTCTCTTCGCGGATAGCTTGTGCGATATCCCTGACATCAACACTGACGACGGTATCATGCTCATCGATTTCACGTGCATTGTCCTGCAGGGCCCAAATAATATGGCGGGCCTCATCCTCTTTCCCATGTTTAATGAGCTAGATTGCGGTTAGTCTATATGCTATTCACATAATGCAAGCGTCATTTGACGTACCCATCGAGGAGATTCAGGAAGGCAGACAACGCCGAAAAATGTAAGGATAGCAAAGGCGATCTGGAGTGCGATTGGAAAGCGGAACTGTGCCTCGCTAGAGACATATGAGAAACCATAGTCTGCCAGACGTAAGTAAGATGCATAATGGAGTTGGGACTCAGCTTTACTCACCAACCCAGTAGGAGAGCATGACACCAAAGATGTTGATGGCCAATTCAATAGCCAGCTAGGTCTTCTGTCAGTATACTTCCTTTTATTCTACTAAAAATAAGGCGACTTACTCCCTTTCCACGGCTTGCTGCTTTGCTCAACTCAGAGTGCCAGACAGCTAGAAAAGGGGACATATGTCAGTTGGTTCTGAAAAGCATCCCCGAGACAACAATAACTCACGGATTGTACTTGTGTTGAGACCATTGCCAACACCAGCGATGATACGACCAACAATAAGTTGGGGGATTCCATATGCACTGCATTGCAAAGCAGCACCGATGCTGAGGATAACACATCCAGCCATGATACACTTGCGTCGACCAAGCATCTCTCCGACAAACAACGAGATTATAGCACCTAAGAAGCAGCCCTGTTTCAATCAGAATATGGACCGAGGATGCCTTGCTTCGATTGACTCACAATTTCATAGATGGCAACACTAAATAGGAAAAATTGTCAGTTTTCGGTCTCGCGCTTGCTGGTACATCTCCACTTACACTGTGCCTTGTAGTGCAGAACTACCATGTCCAGTTTTGGTTGTATTGATCTCAGGAAACCTCGCAACAAAGGCATCACCAGTCAGAAGACCTGACATCACACCTTGGTCGTAGCCAAAAAGGCTTTGAAGGTCAGCAAGGGATATCATTTGAGCACCTCAAGAAGGATAACATACAGGAAACCGCTGCCAGCAGTGGCCGTGATGGCCCAGGCCAACTCTCGTCCGGTGAGAAATGTCATGGCACCGTTCAAGGAGAAGTTCTTTTTGAGGGGAAAACTGCACTAACAAAGAACCGCAGTGAGAAGTTCTAGGCGATGCAAAAGTAAACATGCACGTTGTCTAAGTCCAATTGTAGTGGGGCTCTGGCTCCTTTTATAAAACGACCCTGAAGTGTCACCCACGTTTGAGACGCCCGAATCAGTGGCGCCATTCAAGGTTCCAGGAATCCATGGCGTAGTTGGGGACCGGGGAATCAGAAGAACGCGTGCCCCGGAATCGTAAAAATCCGGGTCTGAAAAGCGGGCGACCTCCGGGATTGCGGGGTGCACAGGAAGAATTCTGGCACAAAAATACCGCATCGAGTAGGTTTGGTCCTGCCATTTCCCGTGTATTGGTCGCCCTCCTTGCAGATCAGATATCACGAAGTTTAAAGTCCTCTATGCCAACTCTTTCCTCCGAGCTAAAAGCTCGATTATCCTCATCATTCCTCTTCAGATCTTTAGCCCCAAACCCCTGTAGACCTAATTTTGACGCACGAGCAAAACTCGGCAACCCTCACGTACCTGCGATTCCGATGAAAAGATATCGGTGGGCCGAACCGAGTCATCCCCCCCCCACAAGTGACCTCGTCGTCCCGGCTAAAAGCTATGTCTCCAGCGCGTGATTGGTTACCGAGAAGGATGTCAAAAATATTTCCAGATTAGGTAGATTTAAGCACCAAATATTCCGCTCTGATTTGCTCGTCATGTGGAGCTTGTACGCCTCGCTGATTCCTTGCCTTCTGGTTATCTCGCCTCTGTCTCGCAGCCCTATGTCCCAGCCCGTCTTCTCCATCTCGGTTTACCCCATGCCCGCGCCCCTTGAGCAACCCCATGAATTACCATAAAGCGTAACCATATGCACTTCCAGAAACCCCACTATCGGCCGGGCCGGTGCCAGCGATAATCGGCATGATTTGTCGGACTCGGGAGAAGGAGTCTGGAAATTGGAGCTTAGGCAAATTGATTGCTTTGGCAAGCGTTCCACTGTGGTTCTCCAACCCAAAACTTCCCTAGTTGGGCAATGTATAACCACTCTGCACCATGGCCAGCTGTGGGTGCTTTGGTGTTGCATTGCATCAGGAAAATCTGCCCTATATGAAGTGCACATTCCCAAAACATAGCAATTGACATCTTTCAAAGTTTTTTCCTTCAATCTTACCTCCCAAAATGGCTCCTTCTATCTCCAACACCACCCTCGACCACACACTCCCGGCAGTCGTGCCAGAGTCCTACGAGACTCCGGCCGCATTCGCGCCCACCAATGAACTCTTCTCCCTCCGCGGTCGCACAGTCGTCATCACTGGAGGTGGTCGTGGACTCGGCATGACCCTGACCACTGCTGTCCTTGAAGCCGGTGGTGATGTTGCTTGCCTGGATCTCCTCTCTGAGCCCAGTCCCGAAGAGTGGGTTGCTGTTCAGAAGCTGGCCACTTCTCGCGGTCTGCAGGCGACCTACACCAAGTGCGACATCACAGATGAGGCCGCGACCAAGGAGATCCTCGAAAATATCGCCGCGCAAGCTTCGCAACGCAACATGCCCATGCGCGGTCTTATCACATGCGCCGGTATCCAACAGATGGTACCTGCTCTCGACTACCCCGTTGAAGGATATCGCAAGATGCTGGATGTCAAGTAAGGCGACCCTGAAGACGTCGATGAAATTACTCGAACCAGAATACTAATCATTATCTCTTCTAGTGTCCTCGGAACGTTCATCCCCGCCAAGCACTTCTCGCGTATTCTCGTTGAGCAGAAGGCACCCGGTAGCATTGTGATGATTGCCTCGATGTCCGGCCAGATTGCCAACCGCGTGAGTATTTCCAAAAAATTCTACAGATAAAATCAGAGTGCTAACGATTTTCCTTTATTTTAGGGTCTCACTTGCACCGCCTACAACTCCTCCAAGGCCGCTGTCCACCAGATGTGCCGATCAGTCGCTCAGGAATGGGGCCAGCACAACATCCGCGTTAACACCCTGTCCGCTGGAGTGAGTTTCTCTAAAATCCAACACTTATATATAATACTAATAGCGCAATTAGTATATCCGCACTTCTATGACCGATGCCCTTCTGAAGGAGAAGCCGGAGGTCGAGGAGACTTGGATGCGCGGAGCTCTTCTCGGTCGCCTGGGTGCCCCAGAGGACTTCAAGGGACCCACCATTTACATGCTTACCGATGCCAGCGCCTGGATGACTGGTGCCGACCTGCGTGTTGACGGTGGTCACTGTGCTTCTGCATAAATTTGCACTTGATGGAATGATGAACTAGACGTGGCATGTATATGGCGTTATAGACTGGGATTCTTTTATTGTATAGATCTTATAAAGTGGCAATAGATTTGCTGATCTGGTTTCCAAAATTCTTTCTATGCCCAATCGCATCGAATACCTAGGTCATCAAGTAATCGCTCGTAAATGAATTCATTAAGATTCTAAAAATATTGTCAAAGAAGTTGGAGCTCAGATTGTATGAACTATCGTGGAACTTGAAATATCGAAGGAAAATATTGCTCTCAGCTCGAGCGACGATCCTCGGTCCGTTCAGGCTTTTCCACCAACAATTCCACCAGAAGAATATAAGTCAAAGCTCGGTAATATTTTTAGAGAAAACCTTGGAATTCTTCAAGTTCATATTGTAATTTCAAAAAAATCTTCAAGCCCTCTGTCGCCTGTATCCAACAAAACTCTGGCCTCGGCTAATTAACCGGCTGAGATCAACGATCTGTGATCCAGGTCAACACTATCAAAGAGAAATGAATTTGCAAGTCTTTCGTCAAATATTATTGTGGATGAAGCTAAATGGTCAATTCACTTCATAAATTGATGAGCTGTAGAAATTTGCCCATATTTATACATACCTTCCAATCGGCTCCGGTCGGTTAAATTTGAAAATGGCCCGCCGTCAATTGCAATGTTCATTTAAGAGGTTAATACATTTCTGGTGGTAGGAATACATGGATATTCTCATCTTGATTTTAAAAGAATAAATAGTTCTGTTCCTGTGTAAGAAGTAAAGCCATCTGTATTTAAATGGAGCGAAACCGAGGCCTCTCTTTAGATTAGTGCGGGGTGTGGGGTAACGCGATGCTACATCATTATGTCGGGTGACAACGCGCCGAAGCGGGCTTTTGTCACCCGACTCTACGACCTGTTGCTCTAATAGCCGAGACTTAAAAGGGACCAGGTACGGCATTCATCCAGGGCCGAATTCCAGCATACCATATTTCTAATTACAACCTCCCAACATGTCTATGAACTCTCAGGATTGCGCCCAAGTCCGTGACGGGTTCCCTCGCCCTTTCCCTAACACACCTACCAATGTTTTTGACCAACTCAGCTTAAAGGGTAAGGTGGTGATTGTAAATGGCGCGGGGGATGGGATCGGTCTGGCCGTTGCTGAGGCGATGGCAGAGGCCGGCGCTCATGTCGCATTTTGGTACAATTCGTAAGTTTGAACAAACTCTGCCAACGGACTATTTTTAACAAAGATCCATAGGAATGAGGCTGCCATTAAAATGGCACAAGAATTTGCTACTTCTCACAGTATCAAAACTCAGGCATACAAGGTCGATGTCTCGAATGCCGATTCTGTGCAGAAGAGCATCACTGAGGTGGTGAAAGACTTTGGAAAAATCGATGTCTTCGTCGCTAATGCTGGTGAGCTTCTGGACGCAAAAAGAGATATAAGTGTATTCTGACTATTTTCTATAGGAATGGCAATCTCGAAGCCCATCCTGGAGCAGACCTTGGAAGAATATCACAAGCAGATGACTGTCAATGGTAGGCAAAACTCGTCATTCAGATCAAGATCACTTCTAACTATCTCCAGTTGACGGTATTGTCTATTGCTCCAAGTTTGTGGGTGAAGTTTTCAAACGCCAGGGCTTTGGAAATCTCATTCTCACATCTAGCATGAGTGCGAAAATTGTCAACGTTCCCGTTGATCAACCTGTTTACAATGCCACCAAAGCCTTTGTCACCCACTTTGGAAAGTCACTTGCTCGCGAATGGAGAGAATTTGCTCGTGTGAACATTGTCTCCCCCGGCTTCTTCGATACCAAAATGGGTGCTAGCCCTGGCTGCATTAATGAGGCATACCGCATGTCATCTCTAGGACGACAAGGTCATACCAAGGAGATCAAGGGCTTGTATCTCTATTTGGCAAGTGATGCCTCTACCTATATGACCGGCAGTGACGTGCTTATTGATGGAGGCTATGTTTTGCCTTGATTAGTCGCGCAAAAGAGCAGTCATAGAAGACATAGACTATAGATAACTGTGATTAGGTAGATAAATAAAATGCTTTTCTCAGTGAAGTACTTTCATAATGTCCAGGTAAATGAGTGGTACTTTATTTCAAAATTACTTATTAAATCATTTGCCACGAGACCTTTGAAGATTGAGTATTATCAGAGTTGACTATCATCCGTAAGTCCATCACAAAATACAGACTACTTCCAGCTGCTTGGACATTGTCCAGGCTGCGTGAAATCGAGAAGTCGCATTTTATCGTCCCAAGGTTTATTTTCACTGAGTTTTTAAATCCAAGGATCTATTTACCAATCGACTATCTTCAAATATCATCAATTCTGATAAAAAATTGAGAGTCGTTATGTTTGCTCGACCTTTCTATTTAGAATGAACCCATCTACACCTTTTCGATTTGGGACACCTCAGGATAAAGATCTTTCGAAATTTCCATGTCTCCAGAGTCAAGTCCCAGCCTTCCCCTGATGTCCCGCATTCGATTGATATCGGCTTCACCTTGGTTACCTCCGAACAATTTATCCATCTCTTCAATTCCAACACCTTTCGTCTCCGGAAGCATGAAAAAGGTCCAAAATATTAGACCAATACAGAATGCTACCCATTTTTAGTACACTTTCTTTAGGGTTGGGGATTTTGGAGGCTCACCGAGGAAGAAATAAAACGTTCCGAATGTAATACTTTGAAGCATTTTGGGAGTAATAAGGGCGACAACGAACTAAATCAAGTATATTAGTACAGTTCTCGCTTTTCATAATTGTTGTGACTTACATTGCTGAGCCAGTTGACTCCAATCGCAATTCCGACACCCTGTGCCCGAACCCCAGGGCTAAAGATCTCCGAAGGTATAATCCAATTAGTACACCCAATGCTGAACGCAAAGTTGGCAATATAAATCCAAACGAAACTCGCGGCTGCCCATCCAGCCGACTTATGACTTGCCCAAGAGTCCTTATAGACGGCGTATATAGTGCCGACGATGAGCTGAGAAATTCCCATCCCAATGCCGCCGATAATGAGTACCTTTCTGCGGCCCCACCGGTCCATGTACATGATTGCCGGTATGGTAGACAAAAAATTGACGACACCAATTACCCCCGTAGCGAGAAGATCAACGGAATTTCCCGAGAGACCAATGTTCCGAAAGATCTGCGGCGCGTAGTAGATAATCGCATTGATCCCCGTGAACTGTTGAATAACTTGCATCGTGCAGGCAATAACTAAACGGCGGCGTAGATGTCCAACAGTGAAAAGAGCTTTATATCTCTCAATGGTGAGCTGGATATTAGTATTTGCATTTGGATAAAGCAAATCAGACGTTTCATTGTCGAATATGGCAGCGGCCTTGATCTCGAGTAGCTCTGATTCAATACAAGGACTATTCTCAGACACTTGGCGGATGCGAACCAGGGTCGCGCGTGCCTCTTCTTCGCGATCTATTTTTTTTTAAAAAAAAACAAAACAAAATATTAGCAGAGTCAGATATTCAGCATAGTGGATAGTTTTGACACACCTTTCATAAGAAGCCACCGGGGGCTGTATGGCAGAAAGAATGTCCCGCTGGCTAGAATTAATGACGGCACACACTGCAAAGCGAGAGGTAATCTCCAGGCAATTGGACTTTGTCCATCTCCAGTTCCCCCAATATTTGTCGTGCCATAATCAAGCCAAAATGCAACCATGATTCCCAAAGTGATACTAGCCTGTTGCAGAGATATGAGACTCCCTCGAAGATTCGCTGGCGAAAGTTCACTGATATACAGCGGAATAACCATTGAGAGCTGACCGATAGCTAAACCCGCGATGAAACGACCGATAAACAGCATTGCGGTATTGACAGACGCAGCTTGTATAATGGATCCGACCAGAAAGATACTGTTGGCTAAAAGAATGGACCATCTTCGGGACAAGCGATCCGCAATAGGTCCGTTTGCCAGTGCACCTATCATGGCTCCAAGGGTCAAAATAGAGACCATCCATCCTTGAAGAGTGGCGTTGGCGGCAAGGACAGGAAATTGTTTTCCCTAGACTTGTATGTTAGAGATTCCTGACATTTGAAGCTAGGGCGCAATGGAGACAGACAAAATTGTTCATCACTAGCACACCACTAATTACTCCCTGGTCATATCTATTTCGGCCATAATATGGATTTAGTCATAATAGTTGTAATGAATTTGACAAATGACTTACCCGAAAAGCATTCCACCAATGCTGGAGAAAAATGCTAAGAAGAATATGTAAGGTTGTTTAATGATTCCTCGATAGCCTAAAAATGAGTTATTAAGAGAGATATGGCGCTTTTCACTGCTGCTTGGGGCTTCATCACTGACCGGCATCATCATGAGAACTGCCTATTTCTTCGTTAGACGACATTGCAGAGCTGATGAGTCTAATGATCGAATTAAAAATATTGAATGTTTTACCAAAAAATGAATATAGTAGAAAACTATGTCTGACAAGGGGTGAAGTAGACCAGCAGGCGAGTCATCCAAAATAAGCAAGAAGATAAAATACCCCATTGCCGATCTCGGATCTAGTGAACCAGGAACGGGGGTTTGCATCTACCAACTCGTGCCGAACGTAGTATGTCGGCCATCATGACTCCGATATTCAAATTAACATGATTTAGCTTTTAGTATGTAGCTTGATGCTGTTTGTCGATATCCTTCGGTCGACAGTGTCCCGACATAAGTGGAGCTCTCCGCCTGGATTGACCAAAAGCTGCATCCTCGCAGAATACAGTTCTAGTTCGGATTTCTACTGGCCGACGGCTTCTTTTGATCCGCCGATACCATGTTGCCCGGTTTCAAACGACCTAGTGGCTGGCTATTTAGCCTTTTGCCACGGGCCTCTGATCACTCCAACCTTACACATCCATGCTGCTTGCAATCTAGCCTTCGCCATTCTACCCTTGTCATACGACTCAGTAGCTAAACCTCTCAACATGACGGTCTTACCTAGTCGAGAAGACCTTACTTCTCGTATAGTCCCGTCGATGGCTTTTAGCGATGGCAGTCCCTCATCTATGACCCCCGCTCCTGCATCGACGTTCGAAGGCGACCCCGCTGTTGGTGCCGAGAAGCGGTTTTCTGTCCGAGGAAATGCGATTGTTACTGGTGGTGCCGGAACTCTTGGTCTTCAAGGATGCAATGCCCTCCTCGAGCATGGTCTTCAGGGGCTTATGATCTTTGATATCAACCCTGCAAATTCCGAGAAGGAGATCGCTCAACTGCGAGCTAAATTCCCTGAAACCAAAATCAAATACCAAAAAGTCGACATTACGGACGAAGAAGCTGTCAGTACCGCGGTAGACGAGACAGCCCGCGTCCTAGATTCAGTCGATATACTGGTCTCGTTTGCTGGTATCGTCGGTGTTATTGAGTCTCTTGAGATGCCCATATCCTCATGGCGAAAGATGCTGGATATCAACACTACAGGTGCATTCATCTGCGCCCAGGCCGCCGCTCGACAGATGGTCAAGCAAGGATCCGGAGGTTCAATCACGTTCATCTCAAGCATATCTGCACACCGCGTCAACTTTCCCCAACCACAAGTCGCATATAACGTGAGCAAATCGGCTCTCTTGATGTTGAAAAGCTCCCTTGCTGCTGAATGGGCCCGATATGGCATTCGCGTCAATAGCGTGAGCCCTGGGTATATGGATACAATCCTTAATGAGGGTGACGGAATTGCTCCGCATCGAGAAATTTGGCGCCAGCGCAATCCTATGGGTCGAATGGGTAGCCCATCGGAGGTCGCCGGAGCAGTCGTCTTTCTTAGCAGTGCGAGCTCTTCATATATCAATGGGGCAGACATTGTCGTTGATGGAGGGGCCATTGCACTCTAAATAATTGAATGATAATGTACTACATTTCTCTTGTCGACTTCGCCTGGATTGCGTTCCAACCGACAGTGGAAGTCAATCAAAATTCCGCTTGAAAAAAGTTTGAATTATCAAAAACATATTTCTCGATTATATGAATTTTTGAAGTATATTCAGGTTTAGAATGCATAAATACTATTATAGATGTTTATTTAGCTGAGTTGAAATTGCCGTATCGTACCCCGCGCCACCGATTGAATGTTGGGGTAAAGTCCGTCATCGGCCGGCTGTGCTCCGACATTCCGCATCCAATGACGAAATGCCTGCCAACATCGTCCTTCAGGCCTTGAATGACATGCATCTGTGTAATTCTATACTAAGGACCTCGCGAATGATATAGGCCCTTATATCATGAGACGTTCTGTACGGAAAAATACCCTTGCACCTGCAGCACGAGCTTGTACGAACTGTCAAAAGCGCAAGAGCCGGTGTCTGCACTCCGGCGAGAACGGCCCATGCTCATTTTGTGAAAAGACGGGGAAGACATGTAGTTTTGAAGGGCCCCCGTATCGTACTCCGCTAACTCGGAGAAATCTCGATACTGCTGAGTATCGGTGCACTCAGCTCCGATCACTCCTTCAGTCGCTCAATCCCGATTTGAACATCGAAGCTGCGCTAGCGGAGCATACCAACGAATCCGCCCTCGAAGAGCACGTCGATGCTTTCGATTCCGGTCATCAATTTGATAAGAGCGATGAGGCTACTCCAGATAGCTATGAATGGAATGAAGGGTCTCTCTCTCCCACGGATGGCATGGCCACGCTCTCGACCACCGAGGCGGGGTATCTTGGTGAGTAGAACGCGCGAGAAAGCTTTGATTGTTTCGTTGATTAATAATGTATCACAGGGAGTAGTTCTGGTTCACGACTTTTGGAAGAGATAGATTCTTCAATGACCGGAACGATGAAAATGCAGCAACGCAAAGGATCGAGAAAATTTCACCAAGCCGGTCTTGCCAGAGACCCTCCTGGTCTCAGCATTTCTTACGTGACAAACAATCTTATCGATGCTTATTTTCATCTCTATCATATTCACTACCCTGTCTTACACGAGAAGACGTTCAGGGAGAGGGTCTCCTCACAACACAAAGCCTCCCCTCCATGGAGGGTTACCTATTACCTTGTTCTCGCTATTGGTCAATTTTGTTCTTCGAACACCGAGTCCGAATATCCAGACACTTCGGAATTTTACGCCAAAGCTCGAGCAGGACTATCGCTTCAGATGCTGGAATCAGGTAGCGTCGAGACTGTTCAGGCCTTCCTGCTTCTCGGGAACTACCTCCAGAAGAAAGACCGAACGAACACCGGGTACAACTATATTGGTCTTGCTTACCGACTTGCTCTTGGAATTGGGCTCCATCGAGAAGTGGCCTGTGCTCAAAATACCATCGGCCATGAAAGAAGGCGACAGCTCTTCTGGACGATGTACTGCTTCGAAAGTGGTTTCAATATCACCACTGGCCGACCGCCAACTATGACAGATGGATTCATCGATATCAGCCTCCCTCGAAATATTTATGATAAGGTATGAATGTTCCTTCAAGAGACGATAGGAATACCCCTTGCTTACGATTATAGGGTCTCTCGCTTGAATTCCCTGTACCAGAAGAAGTTGAGTACCCGACAACTTATTCCGCCATTATTGCCCAAGCCAAGCTTGCTCGAATTGCAGACGTTATATATCACGAATATCTATCGGCAAAGACCGCTGGGTCTAGAATAGAGTATCGTCTGGCTGAACTACTCGAACGAGACTTGACGAGTTGGCGAAAGTCACTGCCGAGCTATTTCACTTCGACGGACTGCCCACCCTGGTTCATCGGACCACGCTCAGTCCTTCGATGGAAGGAGCAAAATCTTCGAATTCTTCTTTGGCGCGGCAGTCAAAAATACCACAGTTATCTACCGACCAGATTTGATGCAGAGGAGAAATCCTTGGACGTTGCCATGGAGAGTGTGCACGATATTGCAACATTCTGCATGTCCTACGAAGATGCATCATACCACTTGGTCTGGTACGCCACGTATTGCTTGATTCAAGCCACGTTGGTAATTTTAGTATTATTCCTCGGCAAGGGCACGGAATATCAATCTAACCAGGAACTGCCGCTTTGGCACCATTCAGTCTTTGAGGCTCGAGACTGCTTTCGCCAATTAGCTAAGAGAAGTGTTTCGGCCAGACGCTGCTTGGAGATGCTAGATCGAATTTGCACCAGATTTGAATCGCTCCCAACGCTGAATTTGGCACTCGACACACAAGACCATCTCTTACCAAATAACGCAAGCTCAGAGGTTCAAATGCCATTGTTCAACGATATCGCGCAGCAAATACCAGAGCTCATGGATCCGTTGAGTGAAAATAATCTCGTCTTTGGTGAAGATGGCCAGGTCGCCATGAATGATGACACTGGCGATGACCTCCGCATGTTCATGAATGAGGTGTCTATTGATTTCATGGGGAATATACCACTTGACTTGCTTTTTAATGATTGGGTAGAGTACTCATGAATGTTGAATGCTAGCTAGTCTTTTGGCTACCGACTCGAAAAATGAAACCAGTAGATTGTAAATTCATTGGCTACTAGTTCAACTCACATATTGACCAACATGTGAGCTACTGAGACTAGAAACTAATCAAGAATGAGCCTCATAGGGGCCGTGCATCTCTTTGCAGGGATCATCATCTCCTGATTCCTTTTCAGCCCCAAAACTCGGCTGATCGCGAAACCTCTTATTCGTGCCCGCCCCCGAAAGTATAGCCTGACCTGCGAGGTTGAAGGTGGTTACGCATTTTATACAGCGGGATAGAACGCGCTCCGACGTAACAGGGAATAGTTAAGTGGGGCTATGTTCGCGAGGATCAACTTTACAGATTTGTACAGACTTCAACTCCAACCCATCCCAGCATCACAATATGATATACCAATAATTGTCAGCTTAGTATAATTATATTCTATTTTCAATGAATAAAAAAAGAATATTATAGGTAATTAGATCAATCTCCAAAAAGAAACTAAAGAAAATAGTGGAGAAAAAGTATAAAAAAAAAAAGACATTATCCCGAGTTCGGTGTCTCCCACTGGGAGGTCTCACTCGTGCCACCCACCCCTCTGTGACTTCTTTTGCATAGCCCAGAGATAGCCATGCACTACCCAGTACCTTATTTAGGGCATCCCCCGGATTAGGAGGCAGTGCGGGAGCTACACAACTGCACCACTGGTGAGGCGTTAGCACACACTTCTCAGTTTACCCTTTTGACCTCGAACCTGCCCTAGTATTAACATCCGTACTGTGTGGGTGATGATTTTGTTTGCAACCCCCCATCGGGAAAGATGAAGCCCAAGATGGTCACCACGATGCCAAACTGCAGACGTCACCCACTGACCCCAGCAACATCTCCATCGCCTGCGGAATGTGTTCTTACACTTGACACCACCAATCACAATCCTAACCTCCATCGCAAAAGATATCAAAAATTGACCTCCACCTCCACCGCAAAACCCATGATTGTTTCGGTGCGTTGTATATCACCAATTCCTTTCTTATCTCTGCGTATATGCTTCACAGGCTTCTGCTCTTCACATATACACTCTCCTTTTCAGCCGCACACCCATAGATTGTCGATTCGTGATGGGCGACAACTTTCCATCGCAATCCCCCCCCGTCGCGCAAGCTTTTCTAGCGTCTTATCAATACTTAAGACGGGTAAGGATAAGCCCTATAACCCTCCACACTGCTCGCACTCTCATCTCCCTCTCTTCGGTGGTCTCTAGAGACCTTTGCTGTTCCAACGACGACAACGGCACACCATCTCTAGTTTGCAGACTTTGTGCATTGCCTCTGCATATATTATTCGAAGGCTATCGACCGAAGTGAACCTCTCTCATCATCTCGACGACCTGCTGCGAAGGTCCTCGATGAAACTCCGTTGCTCGACGCATTCGCCGCTACCACATCTCTCGCTTGGCAACCATCCACCATCAAACCCGATCACGAACAACCGAAGCTCTCTATGGTGAGACACTGACACCGCCAAGCAAGGACCTTGGGGGAAGCTTGTCCGCACAACCCATTTCACACGGCCAGGCACACAACTTCTCGCCGATGCCAAGTACCAAGAGGAGCGGAGTCCGCCAAGAGATGCTTGGCGAGGACCTTGGAAGAAGACAAATACTACGAAGGCGGTTCCCTCCGAGAGAAATGGCTCATTTGGTGCTCTTGGCTGCGGTCGGAAAAAGGTCTGTCTTGCTTGGCGATGGTCAGCTTGTAAGCGACCCCCGGTGGCAGGTTGGAATCTTTATAGGAAGTCGACAAATCGCACATTTTCAGCGTCCTAGATCTGTCTTTCACTCCGCTACGCAGTAACGCTTCTTGAAAAGCGGTTTCGGAGTTTTTTCTTCTTTTTGTTTCGTTTTCTGCTGCTCGAGGTTTCATTGCAATGCAGATCTTCAAGTCGGTCGCCATATTCTTGGCGATTGCGCGTGCATATGCTGCAACAGCGACGACGACCGGTGATTCTTCGATGATCACTGGCTGCCATGCTCACGGAGACGACGTGTTCGTATTCATTCTCTACAATTTTCAGAGAATATATCTAACACTGTGATCAGATATTGTATTGACTCGGCTGGAGACGAGGTGCTGGTTTCTGTAACCGCTACGCCAACGACCGGGATTCCTGCAGCTTATACAGGTTGCCATTCACATGGCAGTCAAACGTATGATAACCCCAATCGCACTGATCCCGAAATAATTTTTCTGACCTTTCATCCTTCAGATACTGTCTCGACTCGAGTGGGGAGGACGTTCTCGTTGGCGAAGAAGAAACACACGATCACGAGAGCGAAGAAGAGACGACGGAATCGTCAACCAACTGCCATTTCCATGCCGGCGTGGAGTGAGTTTAATCTTCTCGATTGGTGATTATCCGATCTGTGCTAATTCGTTCTCTTTGATCTAGGCACTGCGTTGGTGCGGGCGAATCGGAAGGGTCGTCTTCATCCTGTGGAGTACAAACGAGAGATTATGACATCCCACTTCGGATTGGAACATTGTTCGTGGTGCTCGCTACAAGTGCAATTGGAGTATTTGCCCCAATACTACTGGTCAAGTTGCCCTTTGCTTCCGTGAACTCGGTCGTCATGACCGTCATCAAGCAGTTCGGGACTGGCATCATTATTTCGACAGCATTCATTCATGTAAGTTCTCGACTCCCAATCTCCGAATTCAAGTTGTTTAACCAAACTTACAATTTTTCTAGCTTTATACCCATGCTACTCTGATGTTCACCAATGACTGCCTCGGCGAGCTGGACTACGAAGGAACAACTTCCGCCATCGTCATGGTCGGCATATTCCTCGCCTTTTTGTTCGAGTACTTCGGCCATCGAGTCATGGCAGCCCGTGCAGCGAAAAGCACTTCTACGCCTTGTACAGATGGTTCTGGATGTCAGGAGGAGTCCGCGCCCCGCAAGAACGGATCGCAGTCCCCTCAACACGCGACAATCGCACATCTCGGCCACTCGCACGGCGAGGACCCCACAAAGCCCACGACAAAGTTCTCGGTCCTTGTCATGGAAGCCGGCATTCTCTTCCACAGTATCCTGATCGGTCTGACTTTAGTCGTTGCTGGGGATTCATTCTACAAAACTCTCCTGGTGGTGATTGTCTTCCACCAATTCTTTGAAGGTCTCGCTCTTGGTGCTCGGATTGCGACGCTTCCTGGGGCTATCTTTCCATCCAAGGCACTGATGGCGGGTGCCTTTTCTCTAATCACTCCAATTGGAATGGCGATCGGACTTGGCGTTTTGCATTCTTGGAATGGGAATGAAAAGAGTAATCTCATTGTGCTGGGTACATTGGATGCTCTCTCTGCTGGGATTCTGGTTTGGGTTGGCGTGGTGGATATGCTGGCTCGGGAGTGGATCATCGAAGGGGGCGAGATGTTGAATGCGAAATTGGGCAAGGCATTGACTGGTGGTGTGTCATTGGTATCTGGTCTTGTTTTGATGTCTGTGCTCGGTAAATGGGCTTGAATATTACCTGCTTAGCATACTAGTCAATGGTGAAAAATGTGGCATAACAGAGAATAATGTGATGAAGCTGATTGTCAGAGATCCCTTTCAAGCTTTTATTTTCGGCTTTCAATTACCAGGCCACGCTAGTTTTTCGCATAGAACGACAGGCCAATTGAATACAAAAAAGAAACTTATCTGCCTTGGATTCAAGGCCATCTATTTAGAGCCGATCGGTACGCTCGCTCCTGTAGCCGGCCCTGCGGACATTAGTCCGCTAGGACCTCGTCACAGATCCACTCAGCAAACCCCTGTCAATAACAACTAGGATCAAAATAAGCTACACGCTATGTGGACAGGAACCATGAACTACTCTTATCGATCTCCATAATTCACTCCCTGCTCGATCTTCGGCTCAAGAACGACTGTTCTAAATATTCATTGAGATCAACGACTGCCGATAAGACTGCATCTTGTGACCCGCTTTACTCAGCACAGGAGCCAATACGATCAGTTTACCGCGACAACCTGCTTAATCTAGCTTAGCTTCCCCATATATTTTGGTGCCTCTCATGAATCAGAACCACCGAGCCCCCGCGTTTCAGTAACACAGAGCGGGGGTTGATGAAAGCTGTCCAAGTAGTATCCTTGCATTTTGCAGATATCTTGGGTTATCGGCACAATCTCTCCATCACAAGGACCAAGATACCTGACTAACCCCGAGCATTGAAATCCGTGGATTACACTGCATAATGCTGTGTAAAGCTACGGTTGGTCAAAATATCGACCGGGTGGAGCTGCCTATTCAGGTTAGGGGCGCATGGTCAACGCTGCGAGCGAAGTGATAAGAGCTCAGATAAGCAGCAGTGGAGTATGAGTGGGCGCCCTATATGAGGTTGAGCCTTCTCCCCTTAGAGAGCCGTAGAAATAACTTCACTTCACCTCATTCCTACTTTCCAGAGTCTCAACCCGCTTGCAACAACCCCATAGACCTATCCTCTCTAGCTCCCCTCTCTTTGGTTCCTATCGATCAGTGGGCATAAGCCACACCCAATCTCCTTAGATGGCGGATTTCTCCCTTTATCCACTCCGACTCCATTCGCACTATTATACCATATCACTGTCCCAACCTATACGAGTCAGTAGAAACAGTATTCGGTTTTCTAAACCTGATCTCTGAATCTTCGTCGGTCTATTTGAATACCGTAGTAGTGAGAGCGAGACCCTATACGATTAATCGATCATGGCAATCGAAATCGTTCCACTAGCCAAGTCAGACATCGCGGGTGCTGTAGACTGTGTGCAGAAAGCGTTCGCGGATGACCCTTATTTCCGATGGGCATTTAACGATCCTTCGCAGGTGTGCCCAGCCCTCGTCCCCGTTTGTATCATGATCATCTTTAGACTCATACTTACACTCCGTCTCGCACAGTTCAATATACAGCGAAATGCAGCATCTCTAGCAGCGCACTTTGAGTACGGTATCAACTGTAACTGTCCCATCTCGATAGCCAAAGTGACCCACGCTGTGGACGACAAAAAGATCGACGGAGAGGTCCAACTTACACCGGGAACCGTCGTCGGGGTTGGCTGGTGGTATTCACCCCAGTCCGTGTCAGCATCACAGACCTGGTCTGTCTGGGCGCAAGAGTGCATCCTATCGTTCCGCCAGTTCTTGAATAATGTCCGCTTCCTAGGTCGTGGCGGGCTGAACATTTCCCGATACTGGATCTGGAAGCAAGTTCAGAACGAGGCCCATGAGGCTCTGTGGACCGATCCACACGGGTATTACTTCTGTAACATGGTCGGTGTCAGTTCTGAAGCCCGCGGGATGGGTGTGGGAAAGCGGCTTATGGAAAGCGTTATGGAGAAGGCGGATCACGAAGGAGTTTCTTGTTACTTGGAGAGTTCGAAGGGATATCCGAATGTGACGATCTATGAGAAAATGGGATTTGAGCTCGTCAAGGAGATTGAGTGTGCGGATGGAGGAGATATCTGCAAGGTGTGTGAATACTTCGTGTGTTTCTTTCTTTCTTTGCTAACTCATTCGTTTGCAGCTCTATTGCATGATTCGCCATCCGAAAGCAAAGTCGTGATGTCCCGGCTTCTTTAATGACATTCATTGTTCACACAGCGAGGTGACAAATTGGCAATTTCCGCAACACATTAGCGTTTTAATTTATAGCGATGAATGCGTCAATAGTTCATCTTTTATCATAATCACTTTCTTGAGTTCATTGTTTAACGTCTATAAGTATTAGAACATGTTCGGTTGCTATGATATAGTAGAACTAGCTCCATAGTTAGCGGAGGAGCTACTCACTCAGCGAACAAACCTGGGAACATACTAGTACATAAATAAGCAGTCTTGATTCCAGCCAAACAGCTTGATATGAAATACTGCAGTCACGGTACTACTACTCCGTCGTCGAACCAGCCCTGGAGGTCACTTCGAACACATCCACTCCTTCATTACGAAAGAAGTCATGGACGACGAAAAATGATCTCCGTTCCAACCCCAACACGAGAGTACTTCACAGCAACATCCCCGGTCTCGGCTGTCTTAGACCAACTCCTTGAGTAATACCACTCCTCACGATTGCAAGACAACACCAGGCCTTTATATTGATTTTCTCCATCAACCGACTGATTCCCCGCCACCATCTAGTCGACCAGACAGTCCAGCTCTCTCCGCCGGCGTCACGCTTATGGGATTTGTAATTGTTTCCCGGCGTTCTCTTCATACTGCTGTACTCTATTCTATCAAAACCTTAGTGATAGTCATGGACAACCACAGAGTGGGGACCGTGCTATGGAGCAGCGGCAGCAACAACTGGAGGAAGGAGATGGCCGACCAGGAGCGTCGCCGGGTGGGAAGAACAACGCCTTCTTGCCCCAGTCACGAACTCCAATGGCTAAGTAAGAGCTCGGAGGCTATGGTAGAGATCCCACCCCGATGAACAGCCGCCACTAGCCTAGCCATCCTGCCCCCAGACCCCTGGTACTGGTGCCAGGGCTCCAGGACAAGACCTTCGCTAACTCACCATACAGCAACCTACCCTCGCCCCTCCATCACATAGCCCCTATAGACAAGGTGCTCCCCGCATACCCGGTGGCTCCCGCAGCGAACATCAAGATTCACGTAACCGTTACCCCACCAATAATCCTCGGTCTCAGATCACCCGTCCTTAGAACGGTGGTAGCAAGGACCAATAATCTTAGGGCCCCCCTCCTACTCATTGATATTTCCGTTCCAGTCCAGGCTATGAAGCCATTGGACATTACCAGCAAGCAGACCACTAACAAAGAAGCCGTTCCTGGTGGTGTCTGCGAGGCGGAGGCCGCACTTGCTAAGAAGCCTCAGCCGCGACAAAAGTAGGTGTGCATGTCGGCAGTGTCAGAGAACGAAGTGATCCCGGCAAACAAGGAACCAACGTCGGCCTCGAGGGTGTCAAAACCCAGGTCCGAGCCCTAAGAGCGAAAACATCGAAATCTACGTCTGAGAAAGATACATCAACCCCACCGAGCATAGCATCCGTCCGCGAGCAAGGGAAGAAGAAAAACATGGCCCCGGCAGGGACTACGAGCTAGTCAATATCAGGGGGGGTAAAAGCCCGCAGTTGATTGGACAAAAAACTGGAACGTGGCCAGGTGGCCAGCTCAGGGATCAGGGAGAGGAGGGTTGGTTACAATCATGACAGACGCCAAAGGAAAGATGCCGCGACCGGCTCAATGGACCAGTGAGGCCAATCGAAATACCAAAAAGAAAACCGTGAGAGGTAAAAAGGAAAAGCAAAAAAAGATATCCTCTGACGAGGATGTGAAATGCAAGTCCCCCAAACCGGAATCGAGCCGGTGACCTTTCGGTTACATGAAATATTACAGCCGAACGTGATATCCAACTACACCATCGGGGGTTTGATTGCGAAGTATATGGCTGAGTTCCGAGAGACATAGTGCCAATCCATTTAAAGAAAGAAAATATAAAAATACAACAATATCGAAGAAATATGATACCAGGCTGGAATAGTACTGGAAAAGAATAACTAGTAGGTACTCGAAACCTTGGAAGGGCCCGCTTAAAGCGGAGACCGTTATTATAGCTCCGGACTCGGAACTTAAAGTGTTATGGACTGCCGTGGTCGTCCCCCTAACAGCCCACTCGGTGGTTCGATACGTGCCAGTGTCCAGGCGGGCGAATCGGTTCATCTTTCTTCAATATGGAGGGTAATTGCATGCACACATCTGGAGCACTCGTGACCATCCCATGCAGAAGTTGGGGTGACGGTTTTGGAACTTTTGCTCAGTGTGTGATTGGTTCGGGCGTTTCCAGAAGTTTTTAACCCGCACAAACTGCAGGTGCCGTGTGAGCAACATGGGGTATTGCTCAGGCTGCCAGTGGCGCCCCGATCAGCTTATTCCGCCAGCTCAGCTCCTTTGCCAGTCAAATCCTGGTCCGGAAGCCACCTCGATAGCTACTCGTGTTTCTTCTCTCCTGGCACAGTATTACGCTTTGCAGCAGACTCTCGGAAACGACAGCGTTTCGACGAGGTGATGACAAGAGCAATGGTCAAGGTCAACACCACAGAAGAGAAATGTACCCTTGGAATCGCCAATCCTATAATCGAGGGAAAGCTCTTCGGAGGGCTCCAAGTCTCGAGGTCAGCTAAGCTACCTAGATCATCATCCAGTAGTTACAAGTTACTGCGTTAGCTTCAAGTTTTAGCCACTTTTGTGGGTCTCCTATTAACTTCTACAGAATTGACATTGAAGCAAGATTAAACGATCTCGAGACCATTCTCCGGGGCTGGATAGAGAGGGATCGGACTTAGCAAATTCCAAAGTCCAATGAAGCTTTATCCCGTGCGGATCCTCAGCCAGCCAATTCAGAGACTGGGTTCAGGGCGCACATCGAAATGTATCTCATGAATCGAGTCGTCAAGCTCCATAAAAGCTGCAACTCCTCTGATTACAGCGATATCGTTCCTAAAATTGTGAACATTGTCCTGGAGACTGCAAATCTTTCGCCGCCGTCAAGTGAAGAGACTGACCCACTCAACCCGGCTATGCTGTTGTGATCATCTTGAACCTTCCACTATACTATTTTTGTGCGTTTGTTGACTTTTCTATCTTTATAATCATGCTTTCCAATCCCTGTACTAGTTCCTTGTAGCTACTGCTCGGGGGTTTATCTTGTCGCTTTGGCGCATGCTCTCTCGAATGACCTATATTTCTCACTCTATTCACGTGGCCATGAAAGTTAAAATTGCACTTTCAAGTATCAATACTTGGCTTCTATTTAACGAAAGCAGGCGACACTGGAGCCTCAGATATCCGAATCAGCACAGAGAAACCCGAGAAGCTCGTAGGGACAGAACAATCGTTTCAACCCATGTAGAGCTTGATCTGATAAATACACACCGGAAACCCAGCTCACAGGAATGCGACAAGACACCTGAAAGCTGACAAGTAGCACAGCAGGCCATTTCCAACTTAATATCTCGTAGTGAAACAGGAAGTGTGCTATGTCAATTCCACATAGGCAGACGAATTGAAGACAATGATATAAGAACTACCATCTAGTAGCGATAGCAACGTAGGGATGAGAGACAGGGCATAAAGCAAAGGCGAGAACAATTGAATGCCAAAAGGCAGTGTACCACTGAACAAAAACCAAGGCAAAGGTCCGTAGTTGCAAAAGCCCTCCTCTCTCACTCTCTAGACCAAAAATATCCCCTCAGGTCTGAGGCCAGGATCGCATGATATCCATGGATACCTAGGTACTGCAACAAAATGTCACTGGGAATTGGCCTAATGCCTAGGTGGATGACTGCTGTATGGGTTATATTCTCCGAGCGCCAAGGAGCTACCTAGTAAGTACACCTGGGCACTTTGCTTCTTACTAGTAGAGAACCGTCATGAACCTTGGTAGCACAAACTCAATACTAAAAACAATATAGGTTCGTAGAAAGACCGTTATTGGTTTTCTAAACGATCCTGATCGCTCCAAGTGCTGCCCCATTATGGCCGCTTTGCAAGGCCTTATATCAGAAAGCACCTATTCAAAGAATACTCGCCATCTGGACAGGGAAAGACCAGTCACCGAGGATTGAAAAGATTGGGCCCAGAGTTGTGGCTCATCCCTGTGATACAAATCCACGGGCCAGAATAGGCCAGCGCCATGCTGAACATAGTGGAAATCCATCCCGAGATCACTGGATGTTATCATTTGGATTCCATTAAGGATGACGCTGCCTCTGGTGGTACCCCGAAAATGCCGTGCTTGCCGGTCTTCTATTCACTCCAGGGCTTATCCAAGTCACCACGTTCTTTGCGCTACCCGAGGCCTCCTCCTCTCCTCCACTTTCTTCCATCAACTGTCTCACTTTCCGCCTATTTTCATCCAATTGAAAGCTTTACTTACGCCCCCATGCGTGTTTTCCAACATTCAACGCTTCTCATTCCAAGAGCCTTCTGTTGAGCCTATCTGTCCAGGCGTCGGGGCTCTCTTGAGCCTTTGGATTTTTCCTCGAAGCTTGAAAAGGATGGCTGAGTAAGATATCCAACCAATTTGAGCCACTTTCCTGTCTTCTATGCTGACCTCTAATACGAGTTCCAGACAACATGGAAGCCTTCAGCTTCGCGCGCCCCTTGCCCACGCGCGCGCCCCCAGGCGTCGGCGCTGATGTTCCACCCTACTTGGGAGGGTTGGCTCACCATATCGCCGTCATTGCTGCCAAGAACTGGCCCAGGCCCCGCGATGGTACGCCCTCGAGCAACTTTCTCGCTTTCCTCAATACAATGCCCATCGTTCGGGAGCCGATCTGGAATCCTGGGATTGATCGAGGTGATATTTCCCGCCTGGGCCATATCTGCTCGTCGCGTGTCAACATCGAGGCTGCCAGAATGCAGATATCCGGGTCACTCGCGGGGTTCCCATGCGTCAGTTGCTCTAAAGGAAAGGGTACGTTTGACCGATGTGTGGTGGTGATCTATGGTCATCCTGAGTTCCATAACTGTGCAAGCTGCCATGTTGACAGCCTCGGCGATCAGTGCCGGTGGCACATTCAGCCTACTCCACGATCCTGAACTCTGAGACATTGACTTTTACGAGACTGGACAGCAAAGATGCTAAGTGCCTTGCTTCTCTTGATTCCTGGTATCGCAATCTCGAGGAAGCGTGTCCATCTTGTAACAACCCTTGTCTCCAATTCCCTCCTGTCCGTGTCGTGAACGAAGTCCCTTACCTGGTCAGGATTTACATCATTGACAGCCACAGCAACACCCTCTAGTTAGCGATCAATAGCCTCCATAGCTATTCATAGCATCTACTTGTTTGTGACGCTCGACATGCAAGCTGTTGTCGTCGTTGATGCGTTACCTGATTGAGTCTAGTACGCAGGCTGCAGGCTTATCTTGCAAGCCTACTCGGTGTTTACATTTATGGCCTTATTTCCTGGCCCCTTCGCCTGTATCTACTTTCTTCTGTACCGTTCCTGCTCTTCTTTTAATGCTTAATCACGTCCATTGATTTTCCCGAATACCACTTGCACTCTATGTTGCTTGCTTCTTCAGAACGCTTCGTATCTTGATCCCCATCGTCCATCCTGTCTTTTAGCTCTTTTTGCCTCCCCCCGGTCTTACTATCGCGAGTAAATTGTACTTATTTCCAATTACCAGGCTTCCATTGCACTGGTGAACAATGACATCTATCTGGCCATCAATACCAGTCCACTATCGCCTAGTATTGCCTATCCTAGCCTCTTTCCAACGCCTCTAGCCAATTGAAATCACCCGTCTTTTCAAGCTCGGCGAACATTCAGTGAGTCAAAAAAGGTCAATCTGGCTATTTTCCGGCCTCGACTTCAAAGTCACCTTCTCAAGATACTGTCTACATGTATGTTATTCCAACTCGTCAAAAATATCGTCAAAATATTGACCCTATATCGCCTCTCTACCACTGCAACCCGGGTTGTGGCATTAAATAATACCATCAGAAAAAAATCACACGAGTCCATGCAAGAAATTCCATTCGACTGCAAACTAGAAATCCACCCGTTTGGCTAAGTTCAGGGGTTCCTTTATCTTGTGCTTCTGATGAAAATGGGGGAATTTGAAGTTTAAAGTTCGATTTTTGCATTGACGAGTGATACATAGCAGCTTCTGTTCTTATTCCATGTCCATAGCCGCGATCGAATCAGCGTTCTGCCAGTGTGGCAGCCTCATAAACCCTTACTAGTAGTGTTCCCTGTACTACAAGGTGAAACTAAGGCTCTTTCTACCTATACAAACCGCTTGATTCTAGTACTTGGAGCCAAAGGAGTGACAGGCGTCGCTTTGCCACGTACCTACAAAGGCCTGTGAGGAATACAAAAAGGCCAAAAGGAGACCCCGGGAAGCGACTCAGAGACGGCCTCCACTATTCTTTCTTTGCAAGAATCACCTGGGCATGATTCAGACTCAAAGATGTTGTCCGTCCTGTTTGGAGTTTTATTACAAGACTATCGTAGTATATAAGCACCTAGGTATCAGATTAGAGAATGAGCGAACCCAGAATTAGCGTATTCAAGTTTTAACTTAAAATTCCTGACGTACTGTGGGGTAAATTTATCACTACTACTCGTATTAGTTAGTAGGTATTGAATGTCCAGATGGCCCGGGTATTTTTCATCGAGAGAATTCTTTTTCTTTCTTTGTCCGAACTCAGCCTGCGAGGTTGGTACTAGTGGTGCTAGTGGTGCTTGATTGATCGCATCTTCAATGTTGAGTACTATTGCTATAGCCTTTTCATCTTGGCATTTATGGGACACGGGATCTATCAAATTTCAAGCAGTTAAATAGGGGGGGTTTGAGATATCTCATACCTACGTCGTCGGTTTGATTCAGTCCTCTTTTCTTGGGTTTTATAATTATAATATGACTCTTGCAGTTTATACGTTTCAACCATGGTTCTCAAATGCAAAAGCCATGGGTATAGACGATGTCCTATGCCCAGTAGATGGAAACTGTTCCAACTCGGCGAACATTCGGTGAGTCATCAGAGAAAATGGCCTGGATTCTTATACTATTCCCAAATGAAGCGTCGGGTTCAAGTTGGATACTGCGTTGGTGATGACCAGTGCTAGTTCAAGTTATGACGTGTACGTACCCTTGATTTAAAAACTTGAAGAAAGGGTGTTTTCATTCAGTATCTTTTCTTCTTAACATTTCAATCAAGAGCTTAAACTCACTACTCATTCACAGAAGAACTTTCAATCCAGATTAGCTGGAAGCATACCCTTTTACCTATCCCAATCTTCCGTTCTTTCCTCTTTCAACTCTCTTCCCGCTTCAATTTCTTTCATTCTTCCACCACAACCATTCTACCTAGGTATCAACATCTTCACCATGGAAGGCTGTTTCTTTCTAAAGAACGGCGCATTCGCAACAGGCCTGCCCCAAGTGGTCCTAAACATCCATGTGGCTATTATTTCAGCCTCCTCACGCACAACAATCAATAAGACCTACAAGAACCCTTCCACAACAAAGGCTATCCCAGAAGTGTTTTACACCTTTCCAGTCGACGAAGGCTCGACTATCACAGGCTTCGTCTGCCAGGTTGATACCAAAAGAGTGAGAGGCGTCGCCATGCCACTCTCAAAGGCTTGCGAGCAGTACAAGAAAGCCAAAGCCACAGGGCAGATATCGAGCACAGTGTACCAGTTCCGCCGAACTGGTGATATCCTCCAGGTTCGTGTCGGAAACCTCCCCCCCTGGTGGGAGTGTTCGAATCGAAATCACTCTCGTCGCAGAGTTGAAGCAGGATGTCCTGGTCAATGGACTTCAATACAGGCTCCCCATGGTCACTACGGGTCGTTATGTCCCGGAACGGAGCTGTCACCCACACAGAGAATCCATGGGCATCTTCGTGACCTCGATCGTGGCGGACATCATTATGGAGAACAGCTCAACTATCACTTCGGTCCACTCACCCGGACACTCGATTGATGTACAGCTAGGAAGAACCTCTCTCATGCCCAGGTCCACACACGAGACCTACTACGCAACGGTCAAGTATCACGAAAACGACACCATCGCAACCAACTTCGACTTGCACATCAATGCTACAAAGCAGGATCTACCATGCGCTTTTCTGGAAAGACACTCCACTCTGCCGAACCAGCGGGCATTGATGGTCTCACTCGTGCCCAAGTTCCACGTCGGATATCGCCCTGCGGAAATCATCTTCGTAATCGACCGCAGTGAGAGCATGATGAACGAAATTCCCGCCCTTCGATGGGCATTGGAAGCATGCCTCAAGCTACTTCCACCGGGAGCCAACTTTAACATTCTGTCCTTTGGGACACGCTTCAACTCGCTGTGGCAACGGAGCAAACTCTACAGTTGGACTACTCTCGATCAAGCTCTTCGGCTCACGAGGGATATTGAGGCTGATTATGGCGGCACGGACATCCTGCAGGCCCTCAAAATAGCAGTTGGGATATCTTACAAGAATACTCCTTGCGACATCCTGCTTCTCACTGGTTCTCAGATCCAGGATCCGGGAGGCTGTATCGAATGGGTCAATGAAACAAGGAAGACACAATCTACGAGATTCTTCACCCTTGCTATCGGCAATCGCGTATCTCAAGCGCTCACTTCAGAGATCTCTCGTGCCGGTGGTGGTTTTGCTCAGACTCTGCTCGATCCAGAAAGATGCGACCAAAAGATCATTCGTATGATGTCCGGCATTTTAATGGGACATCTATCCAAGACCACCTTGCATATCGACTCGGAGAAAATAGATGTGGAGGTTAGTAGCATGAGTGAAGATTTTGCATGGATTGAAGCACCCGAATCGATCCCGTCAGTCCAACATACGCTTCCAGAACTTGTAGTTGCGAACACATTGCGGGTGCCTACCAATATCCCGCCTCTTTTCCCGTACATTCGATCAACGTTCTACGTTTTGTTCTCCGAGGAAATTGCCTCGATCCCCAAAAAGATCACTCTTCGCGCCAATAGCACCTGTGGTCCTCTCGAGCTTGAGATACCCGTTCAGGACGTTGGAGAGGGTGAAACCATCCACCAGCTCGCCGCAAAAAAGGCAATCTGCGAGCTCGAAGAAGGTGGCGGATATATTTACTCGGCAAAGGATCCAGACGGCAATTTGATCACAGTCAAGCATGAGAGTATGGCTGACGAGCTTGTCCAGAAAGAGTGTGAGAGACTCGGCGTTAGATTCCAAATCGCTGGGAAGCATTGCTCGTTACTGGCTGTCTGCGACGCTGCTGATGAAGAAGATGTGGACTCTGACGGCATTTCCAAGCTGTATCTGGAAGACGAGGCTATTCCGGTTGCCGACTATGGTACTTCTACCAACTTTTATCACCCTGCAAAGTCATCCGCTCAGCAATTTGCACCAGCATCAACGCCCGCTGTTGGTGGCGGAAGCGGGGCAGAACAAGATATTCCTCAATCTGGTTACGCTCCGGCCTCAATGGCAACATCACCTTCTCAAAAAACAGACCCCAAGTATGTCATTCCGGCTCGAAGAAAGGATCGTCATAATAATGACCCTACAGCGACTCTCTGTCGCTGTCACCTGCGCTGTGGCGTTACAGAATGCCACCGGAAGGGAAGGCATATGGGACCTTGCAAGAGAGCCCATTCGGCTGCATACCAGAAGGCAATCTCTAGGCAAATGAACGCCTGAAGAGTGACACATGGTAATCTGAAATCTACTTCTCTGTCCATAGCTGTGATCGACCCAGTCTTCTGGCAATATGGCAGCGTTTCAAATTCTTAGTGTTCCCGGTACTAAACGGCTCTTCCAACCCCTCAGTGAAAATAACATTATTTCCACATAACCAAACTGCTTGATCTTAACAATCTAGGGTAATTGCAGCTATCCATCACCGTAGTTATCTCTTTTTCACATGGTTGATCCTAAAATTGGGTGCGCGACTCTCTGGAACCAACGGTGCGAGTGGGTGGGTTGGTGGGGCTGCATAGTTCTCTGCCAGTATGTTTCAACAGAGAATTTCACAAAGATGTAAAGGATTCAAAGTGTTTTGAATTGATCTAGACATTCGTATCTTCGCTTTTGTCTATTCTGCTCTTTAGAGGCACGTTACTAAGTACCATATGGTATGGAGAAGAGGATTGTGAAACCGGCCCACAGTAGGCAGCGCAATTGTGAATGCATAACCGGTGATATTCAACCAATCAGAGCTGTACCATCGGCCAAGTTTACTGGACGAACGGCAGTGGTGGGTCCCATATCTATTTTTGTTGATCAACTTTTTCTGCTGTTACTTTGGGTCTCAATTTGTACAACTGCAGAGAATGAGGTGTACAGAGTAGACGAGTACACTAGTTATATACACCAACCATACTCTATCACAGTATATCTATCTCAATTCGGGTAAATATTCATGGCATAACTATTACTTACATGCATTGATAAGACATCCTACAGCCACCGCCATTCGATGTATACAAACCTAATCCCACGCAAGTTCAAGTTATCCAACGATCGGCCGGGATGCCCATTGAATCTGCCCGGGGCGACGTAACCCGCGGGTCCGCGGCTGCACTCTCAATTCTTCTCTTCAACTGCTTCCTTTTCAGTCTTTCCAACTCGTCTTCTTTCTCTTCTTTCTCTTCTTTCACCTCCATTCCCCTTCCATTCACACTCGCCTCGAGCAGTGTCTCTCCTCTCGACATGCACTGACTGCCATCCCCACCACTCCACTCGCTTCACTCCTCCACCTTACCATCTACTACTCCTCCACCACTCCACCCACCATGGCTCTCACTCAAGCCGCAATCATCGTGATCGTCCTATGCGCCTGTCTCGCCGTGACAGCCTTAGGCGCCGCCCTCTTCAAACACTACAATCCCAACGAAGACGAGGGCCGCTACAACACCTCCTACGAGCAGGGCCAATACATGCGGAACGTGCGGATGCGCAATTACGGCCATTTGCGCGCAGAGTCTATCAGCGCCGTCAAGGATCTTGAATCATGCTGTTCGTTTCTTTCCTTTATCCAATGCAATTCATCCAATGCAATGAGTACTCGGTACTGACACGTCGAATGTGATGTATAGATACACCCTCAGCATCGGGCTATTATCCACCGCATCCACAAGACTATCCCAATCCCAATCCGCCATCCCACGCTACCACCCCACTCTGATCGAACGAACATCCCCACCATCTACCCACCTCTCTTTTTCTCTTTCTTCTTGCAATTCCGACCGAGCGTTTTTTTTTTTGCTGTTATTCCCGGGCACAATTATGGTAATTCCATTCGCAATGGAGGAGGATTTGATTGGATCGGATCGGATCGGATCTGGCTGGACTAGACTGATCGATCCGATCGGGCGCATTTACTTGAATCTGTATGAATTCTGAAACGTCGATACTAAATGAATTTCTATGATGATATACTCTTCATTTCCATTGTTTTGATCCGGTTCGGATATCCCATGTTCCCATGAACTAATCGTTCCAGAGATTGTCTACCCTTGGAACTGGACCAACCCACTGACCTCCAGCTTCACAACCATTGACTTCAAGAGCAGCTTATCTCGAATATCTATCCCAGAGTCCAGAACACCGAGCGACCTCACGTTATGGGGTGTCACTAGGTCATTCCCACAGATACTTCTCCCAACTACAATCCAATGGCATGATGGCCTCTACTCAGCACAAGTTACATCTTGCTTTCAGCCTAACATTTGACTTGAATCGCCCAACACCTCCAGCTACCCTCCACTACGCACCATATTACGATCGCATGTACGTGATTTGAAAGCTTGAACCACCTCAACACGCTCCAGCTAGGTCAGACTGGCAACTTACCTGCCAGCACATCCCTCAGTATTGTATCTCAGCTCCTGCTCCTCGGCACCAGACAGACAGACTCCCACACAAAGCTGATATCTCACTTCGATATCTCGTCAGATTATGCCAGGTCAGGTCAGGTCAGGTCAGTCAGCGACGGACTTGCCGATGAGCTGGTCTCGAGACTCCATCCTATGCGCCTCATACCGACCATGCCTGCAGAAACGCCGGTAGATAGAGTGACTCCTCATTCACGAGCTCTGGTCGTTGTTCGTTGACGGTGGTGGTGGTGATGCAGGGCTCATCAAGGAATCTGTATCGTGCGACCGGTGGATGCGCATAGGGATACGGGTCGAGTCAACCCAGTCATTCGCGGCGTTATTTCAGAATAGTGAATTGAGCCATTCGGACCGACGGCTTGTGAGGTACTGAGTGCGAGTGTTGGCGAGGCTGGGCTGGGCGGCGGTCTGAGTTTGTCGACGTGGTTGGTGGTTGCTGATTGCGATCCGCGCGTTGGGGCTGACAGGGGCGAGTATCGCCGATCCATGGATGGAATCCCACGGATGGTAAGGCTGAAACGAGCAGAATGGAGAGGAGAGACGGGTCGGGATTCGGAGAAAGTCTCGACAGCTTCGATAGCCCGCGATAGGAAGTGCGGATCCTATACGGAGGAGTACCGTGATACGGATACGCGGAGTCGGCAAGTCCAGCGTGCCCGAGGCCGACTGGAACGCAGCCAACTGGGGCAAATGTGCTTGGCATGGTTAAAATTTGCGGTCTTCTCGTTATGGTTATGGTCGTGTTCGTGTCCATCTTCTGTTTTGGTTCTTTAGTGGACCCCAGCCTTGGCCCGTTGGCCTTTTGGCCCCCCCCGCCTGGATTTTGAGGCTTTGATCGGGGGCTGCAGCTGCGCCATGTTTGCCTCGGTAGATCAGCACGAGTCAGCCGGTTCGGCCAATCGCACTGCTTCTCTGCCTTACAAGGCGCAGTCACCTGTTCACACGTTCACACTTGTAACAGGGTGGTGCGAGGGGTGCGAGGTGGGAGGGTGGGAGGCGTGTGAAGAGTCGGTGACGTCTGCCAGGGCAACACCTGTATGCAAGGGTATCCAAGGGTATCCAAGTGTACCAGGGTGTATCAAAAACGGTGCTAGTCGCAAAGGATCCCCAATATGGAGTGTGGACTTAGTGGGCTACGGACTGAAAGAATCCTGCTCTCCGTGTCCGTATCCCGGTGCCATCCCAGTGCCATTACATTCCCCCTCAACAAGACCAATCGGTGTGGATGGACAAGATCAGGCAGGCGAATAATAACCAGTCATAATGATGGTTGTCACTTCAGAATTAAACCTGGAACAGAATAACATAACAAGAAAAGTGACTAAATCATGTCAGGCAGGCTTTCCCCACTTTCGATGGTTCGTGCTGAAAAAACCAATACGAGTACGGCCGTATGGAGTAATCACTTTGCTGAGACCAGCTGGACCACATGGTACTTGGACAGCCTTATAACTCTTTCATCCTCCGGATTTTACTCGATTTTCCATGCCATGAATATCTTTCGCAACCATCGCCATCGCCATGGTCTTCCTACAACAGCCCAATATGAGTACCGCCTCGGTCTTCTATGACAGCGACACCAACAGTGACGACCGGTATGGCATCTTTACCACTCTATTAAAAATAAATAAACACCTGGGCACTAAAGCTGACCATGAATATAGCCCCTCGTCACCTCAAACTGGCTTTGGTGGCAAGATTCAGGCCAGTTTCCAAACTGCTCGCCCTCCCCCTAAATCTTCATTACGACTGGCCCCCAAACTACTCCTCCAAATCCAACAACTCGCCCCAAATCACCGCCCACAGCCAGTTCTCGGAGTCTGGCAACCTCCATTTCTCAAGTCGAAATTAACCCGTGACTTTGTCCACCGGCCAAAATTGCGCACCGGTGATGTCTATGCAACCCTCGACGAACCCTTCATCATCAACTCCCACCTCCGCAAACAGTCCACCAAATCCGACACCCCAGAGCACACCCCCACGCGAGATATCACCGCGGCCATGTGCCAATCAACAGATTCCGAGGCCCCTTCTTCGATCTACTTCCGCGATGCTCAGTGCAGCTGGTCTGCCCGCGCCAGCATGGCAGGGCCAAACCACGATATCCCCAGTTACCGATTTACCCTCCAAGACGAGAAGTCTGCCGAATCAGATTCACAAATCGGTCGAATTATCCTGCAATGGGAGAAGCGAGAGCTCCCCAAGGATCAGAATCAAAACCAAAACCAAAACCAAAGTCAAATCCTGTCTCAAAATACCGACCAATTCGTCCTCATGCTCATCGATCGCCAGGCGCGACGCAAGAGTCGCATTGCCACAATGACCCCTGGCGGGCTAGAGGTGTTTGTGCGCAAGAGCTCTATCCTGGAATCACTCCGAGTATGCTTCAATCTCACAAGTCCGTCCGCGACGGTCATCAGTGGGCGTGATCCGCATGAGGTTTTGGAGTCGTGGCTGTATACTCACGTGCTCACTTTGGGTGTATGGGTTGCGTCTCAAGAGGGATGGCTTGGTTAGATATTACATTATTACACCAATAAGAATAAGAATAAGAATAAGAATAAATAGAATGAAACAAACTAGAATCAAACAAGTTCTAGCTCATCCGTACTCGTATCTAGTCGTAATTAGCCTGAAGCGCCGACATCTCCACTTTAACTTAATTCAATCCCTCGATTGTTGCCTGAATCTGCAACGCCAGCAGTCGGGAATAGTACCGGCAAAGGGCGAGGTTACCACCCATAAACCAGAATCCAGGATGGCCTGTACTGCGCCAAATAGTACGCATCTCACCCTCTTCGTCCCAACCCCAAACATCACCGACCTGATCAGCGACTTCATCGCCAAAGATGGCCCTCGCCTGCGTCCGCATATTCTGATACCCAGTGGCAAACACAATTTCATCTGCCTGCACTTCCGACCCATCCCCAAAGCGAAGCCCATTAGGCAACACCTCGCTGATCTCCTGTCCATGCTTAACCTTAACCTTGCCATCAACGATCAACTGACTCGCTCCAACATCAATATAATACCCCCCGCCACGCTGGAGATATTTCACCAATAACCCGGCATCCATGGGTCCCCGATCGACCTTGAACCCAGCCTTCTCCAGCCCCTCAATAGTCTTTGCATCATTCGCATTCATCGCCTGTGTAACCTTCCTCTGCTGCACTTTAAAAAGCGGCGGCGGGATACTCCACAAATAAAGATCCGCATCCTCAGTCGGCGGTCCCCCCTCCTCATAAAGCCCCTTCAACCCAATATTAACAATCGACTCCGACGAAACAACACACGTAGAACTCCGCTGAACAATCGTAACATCCCACCCCTTCTCACAGTAATCCTGAACAATATCATGCGCACTATTACAAGCGCCCACAACAACAGCCTTCTTACCAGCACCATCTCCCCGAGCCCCCCCTCCACTCCGAACTATGGCAAATCCGATCCCCACGGAACCCCTCCATCCCCTTAAAACCAGGCAAATTCTTCTCCCCAGAGTGTCCCGTCGCCTGGACAATATGCGCAGGGTGCAAAGTCCGACTCTCAACAAGCCCATCCCCCCTCGACCGCTCAACAACAACAGTCCAGATCTTCTTCCCCGCATCCCAAGACGCAGACTTGACCTCCGCGCGCGTCCAAACATTCAACTCGAGCAACTTAACATAACTCTCAAAGAACTCGGCCAACTTATCCTTCGGCGTGAAGATCGGCCAATGCGCCGGGAAGGGCAGGTAAGGCATATGATCGAACCAAACGGGATCATGCAAAACAAGCTGGTGATAGCGTTTCCGCCAACTATCGCCAACAGCGTCCTCGCGATCAATAACCAGTGCGTCGATATTGAGCATTTTCAGACGCGCGGATATAGTTAGTCCTGCTTGGCCGGCTCCTGGATTCCAAAGTTGTATTAGTCTTTGTTTTCGTTCTTATTGCCTTCCCCGGACTCAAGTGTGACCTACCAACAACAAGAACAGCAGGCGAATGATCCGTATACTCGCTCTCCTCGGTCCTCCGATCGGCCCAATTCTTCCTCCCCTTCACCTCACCATGCTGAACGCCTTCCTCCCTCTTGACCTCGGCCTTCCCGCCTTGCACCAGGGAAGTGAAGACGGTGAAAATCTTCCATTCGCCATTTTCCTCCGCGAGTCGAATCACGCCGTGGGCAAGCCCATTCGGCGCGGCGATCTTAACGAAGAATTCAATGCCGTGGACTTCGCCAAAGGCATCGATGGGACCGGTGTGGGGGGGCCTTCAGGGGCGAGGAATTGTCGATTTCAAAGCTAAGACCCTTGGAATGCGCGGTTGCGTATTCGGTGATCTTTTCGGCGCCGTGGATGGTGCGGAAATCCCAGGTTAGGGCTAGGTGGTCGCGCCAGTAGCTGTTTTCTAGGAAGAGGGTTTTTAGGGCGGATTTGTTGGGGTCGGTCAGGGCGGTGTTGAGGGATGTGATTGTTTTGGATGCGATGATGGATGGGTCGGGTGGTGTTGTGCTTGATGTTTCGGGGAATTTTCCTAGGGGGATGTTGATTGAGCCTGGTTCGGGGCGTTCGTGGGAGGGGATGATTGGGGCCATTTTGGGTGGGTGGGATTGAGTGTGGATTTTGGAGGAAACTGGAGTAGAGAGGGGTTTGACTGGGATCGGGGGGGTTTCTTAAATATTTGTGGGATATTGCATTGGTGCTACAGGTACCTATGTTCGTGAGTTGTCGAGATGATTCGATCTGGCATAACCCCGCACTAGTACGAGGTACACCCCGCGCTGGCTGGTGGTGGTTTCTTATTTTATTTCAATTAGGGCCCGTTTTGACTGTGCTGTTGATTGGTCTGCAGATTAAGAATTTGTGTTCCTGGTAAGCTAATTCCGAGCTATATCTTTCTGGGAAAAAGAACCTGAACGGTTGGTGGGGAACTCGCGGGGAGCGGCCCGTAGGGGAAATCCCAGCGGCTTACATTTGCCTACTCGGGTAAAGGGTACTTTACCCGACCATTTTGATGTGATACTTGCTGTGTTTATCGATCCTTGAGGGGAAATTGAATTAGGAGTACTAGAGTGATACCCGGTGGTAGGTGGTTGAATGTTCATGTTCCACCTGGGCAGGAAAAAAATTTGCTATATATTTGGTGAGGTATATATATTTATATTATTTTGCCGGCAGGCAGGTCGTGTGCTTTCAAGGAGAATTCAAACTTACCTAGGTAGTTTCAACCCCAAGGCCTGGGAACCAAACGTTGAAGTTGAAATACCACCCAGTTAAGACGTAAATGTATACAGTACCTTGTATTTTGAGCAAACTTTTACCCGTATAGTAATGTGGCTGCACTCATGTTGCAGAATTGTGATATGACGGTTATCGCTCGAAGCTATTTTCCCCGCCTATGTGCTTGGGAAACCTAGAGCCTTTCATATAGCCATAGCTATCCGCCTGTTATATCAACTAGCATCATTGGTCTAGTGGTAGAATTCGTCGTTGCCATCGACGAGGCCCGTGTTCGATTCACGGATGATGCATTCTTTTTGCAATTTTGTCTATCTTTATCTCCGATCAATGGTTACTATATGGATTTACTCAATGCAGTTTCCACTACATACGACCATAGGGTGTGGAGAACAGGGCTTCCCGTCCGCTCAGCCGTACTTAAGCCACACGCCGGCAGGTTAGTAGTATGGTGGGTGACCACATGCGAATCCCTGCTGTTGTATGTCCGTGTTCACCCATTTCTTTTTGATTCGTCGGGCAAGTGCCCTTGCCGCTTTAATCTTCAGTCCCTTCAGTCCCGCACCTGAACGCCCTGAAGACCCTGCACGGATGACGTGGCCACTCGGTTAAACCTGCCGTGGATTTTTGTCACCACACATACCCCTGCCATGTTGCCTTCCTCCGGTCTACAGCTGACAGTTGGACAAGATACATTGTTGCCGTCACGACTGCATTGTCCGGGTTTGGCTACCTTATATCGAAAGACGCAGTGAACCTCCTGTAGGCACCAGATGAAAAGGTAGTGAATATTGTGGCCGTTCTTCTTCACTTCTTTCCTACTGCCTCCCTTCCACTCACTCCTATGGATTAATACATCCTGAAAGCGCCAGAATGGACCTGTTATGTTGCATCTCTACTCCACTTATACATAGTATTTGAAATATTTGATCCCGCATCATCATCAAAGTTCTCTCCTCTTCCTCCACACATCCCCGTTAGATTAATATTGATTTTGTCGCAATACTTCGTTCCAACAAATTCTGTAACTGCTTAGAAATAGACATCGTTGTAACATATGGCATGCCACGTGACCTCGCTGCCTACATGTAGATAGCTTCCTTCCTCCTTCCGCCTACTAGTTAAGCTTAATCACTTCGTTAATGGTACCTCAGTTCGTCGATCCCTGATCTTCAGTATCTGTAGCCAGGCCGTGTTACAACCGTAGACATTTATTTGAGGGCTTAATTCGCCTGTAGGTCAATATTAAGCAACTAGGTTTTTCTATTTCAGCAAATTTGCAGAAGTGGCCAATGCATAAAAATGCTTAAGCTCCAGCACCTGTCGATACTCTACTAGATAAGCCTACAATAAATTATGAGTGGTTAGGTTTTGATCTGATCTAAAGATTTTCAGGTAAAAGAAAGATTGGCCAGAGTAGCCCCGGCCCAACTTGAGTCTCTCAGTCTCTATAAACTGCACCTGGCAGTCTGCAGACTCCTCCCACCAGCCTTGGCTAATATATGTTAAAGCGCAAAACTGCTGGTAAGAAGCTCTACATGGACCCAAGATGGATATTGCAGTAGGAAAACGGTTATCGGTTCTGATTTATCGGACTAATATACTAACTTACTGATAGATTTGGCTTTTCTGCTAGTATACAAGAATCATAAGTAAGAAGTGATGAATACTAATAGATAAGTTGTAGGTGGTGTTTTCTTCCATATGCATGGAGGACTCTCATGTAGTGTTGAGAGAATTTCATGAGTTTAATGAGCTTAACATGAAGTTATGAGAGTGATAAAGTCCCTAGTGGGCAATTTGATGGTAGATAGACATCATTATAAAGGCCAGCGTCTGAATATTTGAGTCTGATCATGTAACGGCATGGGCCACTGGACTACATACTGGACCTGATTATGAGAGATCACGATAGGTCATGTGGTCAATGGTAGTGGTGTAGGAGTTTACTTCTACCGATCTTAAGCCTTTTCGTCCGTTCATCCTTCTCTCTAGACTCAGGATCTCGGATTGAATGCACATTATCCTTCATGACTTAGACTCTGTTATTAGAGAGCAGAAGATTAAAGACGATGTATGGTGCCCCTTTGTTGAAGGATTTTGACAGTCTCCTGATGGCCTTTTGACGAGGCGGCCTGGAGAGCATTGCCATAGAAGCCACCCTGCGTATTGATGTCTGCTCCCTGTTCTAGGAGTAATTTGACAATCTCCTGATGGCCTGTCAATGAGGCAGCCTGGAGAGCATTGCCATAAAAGCCGCCCTGCACATTGATATCTGCTCCCTGATCTAGGAGTAATTTGATAATTTCTTGATGGCCTTCTGATGAGGTAGCATGGAGAGCATTACCATAGATGCAATGAATGATCCAGGGTCGGGAGGATTCATTCTGATGTTAACTCCTAGCGTATCATGCTGGTGGTATGCGACACATGACCAAGATATGGCACCTCTCATGGTATGGAGATTATAGGTCAGTTCATGATACCTGTATTTTTATTGATGTACATATACTGACTTTGTATACAGAGTTCTTGCTCAATCCAGCTAATGTCTAGGAGTACACTGGAAAGGCGTGTATTGAGGTGAAGAACGTGAATTTTTCACATATATGGACAAGAGTGTACTAGTGAGCCTACCGCCTTGATGCATCCATCATACAGGAATAGAACTAGAACAGGGAACAGAAATGTAACAGGGATCAGCAAGATTGAAGAAACTGTCAGGATAAGGAATTGATGTACTGGCTAGTACTGAACATGTCCAATAGAAACATATGATTGATTGATTAAAGATCAGAGTGGTTGAACACTCGTGAGAGTCTGTATCATCTAGTTTCGGTGTGTTACGACACCATACTCCGAGTCTACACCGAATACCACACGAATACGTGGAGAATTGGGCGGACGATGAACATCCCACCCAAAAGCGTCTTAGTGGTATTTGACCACTCTTTCCGCTCGACAGAAACTAATAAGGTAATTGGACAAAGGAAATGAGGAACATTATAACAATCCTGCCTCTGCCAGTGCTTCAAACTTCCCCGACCTTAGCGAAAAGGCCCCGTATGATCAAGACAGTAATGAATGATAAGAAAGCTGTGATAGAGACTTTACCAGCCAGTGACGACATCCTCACATTAGTCTTTCCCAAAATGAAAAATTGCAATGTATCCTGGTGGGTCGCACAGATGCTACAGAGAAACTGTAGGCTGATGCAAAGCTAACTCATGAGAATCATCCAGACAACGTGCGCCCATCTCAAAGCACTCCAGGCAGATATCGAAGTTGTCACAGTGACAAATAAGACAATGATGAGAGGCGCTTGAAGCGGAAATTAATCGAGTACATGCATCGCAACTGCCGTTAGTCTCACCTATCAACATCGAGCTAGGTTCCACAGCAGTATAGCCCTCGTAAAGCTCGATGCCTTTTAGTTGAGCAAATTGAATGAGGGCATCAACAACTTTGGGTTTGCCACATCTCATGGCCCACCAGAGCAAAGTGTGACCAAAAGCGTCCTTCGACTGGAGGGAGATACTCTGAATGTTAAGGAACCAATCAACAGCCATCTCATGCCCGTTTCTTACAGCTAAAAAGAGTGGTGTTGACCCATACCGGTCTTCCGTATCGACCACAGCGCCGCGAGAATAAAGCTCATGCAGGATTTGCACGTGGCCTCTCGCAGATGCGAGGGAAAGCGGCGTTCTTCCACAGGCGTCCGCAGCTTCGACGCTAGCTCCATGGTCGCATAGAAATGTGACGACATCGAGATGTGCTGAATCCGATGCTACAGCCAACGGGGTCCAGCCATTGACCATCTTTGTATGAATGTCGACATCCGCTCTGTGGGTGTAGAGAAACTCGACCACCTCGAGGTGGCCATAAGATGACGCAGCATAGATTGGTGTTATTTGGTCTTTGTTAGGCGTATGAATGTCAACATCTGCTCCATGCTCGAAGAGAAACTTGACCACCTCGAGGTGGCCATTAAGTGACGCAGCATTGATCGGTGTCCATTGATCTTTGTTAGGCGTGTGAATGTCAACATCCGCTCCATGCTCGAAGAGAAACTTGACCACCTCAATGTGGCCATTGAGTGACGCAGCATAGATTGGTGTCATTTGATCTTTGTTAGGCGTGTGAATGTCAAGATCCGCTCCATGCTCGAAGAGAAACTCGACCACCTCGAGGTGGCCATTAGATGACGCAGCATTGATCGGTGTCCATTGATTATTATTAGGCGTATGAATGTTAACATCCGCTCCATGCTCGAAGAGAAACTTGACCACCTCGAGGTGGCCATTAAGTGACGCAGCATTGATCGGTGTCCATTGATCAGTATCAGGCGTATGAATGTCGGCATCTGCTCCATGCTCATAGAGAAACTTGACTACCTCGAGGTGGCCATTGAGTGACGCAGCGTAGATTGGTGTCATTTGATCTTTGTTAGGCGTATGAATGTCAACATCTGCTCCATGCTCGAAGAGAAACTTGACCACCTCGAGGTGGCCATTAAGTGACGCAGCATTGATCGGTGTCAATCCATTATTATCAGGCGCATGAATGTCAGGATCCGCTCCATGCTCGAAGAGAAACTTGACGACTTCGAGGTGGCCATTGAGTGACGCAGCATAGATCGGTGTGATTTTGTGTTTATTAGGCGTGTGAATGTCAACATCCGCTCCATGCTCGAAGAGAAACTTGACGACTTCGAGGTGGCCATTGAGTGACGCAGCATAGATCGGTGTGATTTTGTGTTTATTAGGCGTGTGAATGTCAACATCCGCTCCATGCTCAAAGAGAAACTTGACCACCTCGAGGTGGCCATTAGATGACGCAGCATTGATTGGTGTCATTTGATCTTTGTTAGGCGTGTGAATATCAACATCCGCTCCGTGGGCGAAGAGAAACTCGACCACCTCGAGGTGGCCATTAGATGACGCAGCATTGATCGGTGTCCATTGAGCAGTATCAGGCGTATGAATGTCGGCATCTGCTCCATGCTCATAGAGAAACTTGACCACCTCGAGGTGGCCATTAGATGACGCAGCATTGGTCGGTGTCAATCCATTATTATCAGGCGCATGAATGTCAAGATCCGCTCCATGCTCGAAGAGAAACTTGACCACCTCGAGGTGGCCATTAAGTGACGCAGCATTGATCGGTGTCCATTGATTATTATTAGGCGTATGAATGTTAACATCCGCTCCATGCTCGAAGAGAAACTTGACCACCTCAATGTGGCCATTGAGTGACGCAGTATTGATCGGTGTCCATTGATCATTATTAGGCGTGTGAATGTCAAGATCCGCTCCATGCTCGAAGAGAAACTTGACCACCTCGAGGTGGCCATTAAGTGACGCAGCATTGATCGGTGTCCATTGATTATTATCAGGCGCATGAATGTCAAGATTCGCTCCATGATCGAAGAGAAACTTGACCACCTTGAGGTGACCATTAAGTGACGCAGCATTGATCGGTGTCCATTGATCAGTATTAGGCGTGTGAATGTCAACATCCGCTCCATGCTCGAAGAGAAACTTGACCACCTCAATGTGGCCATTGAGTGACGCAGCGTAGATTGGTGTCATTTGATCTTTGTTAGGCGTGTGAATATCAACATCCGCTCCATGATCGAAGAGAAACTCGACCACCTCGAGGTGGCCATTAGATAACGCAGCATTGATCGGTGTCAATCCATTATTATCAGGCGCATGAATGTCAAGATCCGCTCCATGCTCGAAGAGAAACTTGACCACCTCGAGGTGGCCATTAAGTGACGCAGCATAGATCGGTGTGATTTTGTGTTTATTAGGCGTGTGAATGTCAACATCCGCTCCATGCTCAAAGAGAAACTTGACCACCTCGAGGTGGCCATTAGATGACGCAGCATTGATCGGTGTCAATCCATTATTATCAGGCGCATGAATGTCAGGATCCGCTCCATGCTCGAAGAGAAACTTGACGACTTCGAGGTGGCCATTGAGTGACGCAGCATAGATCGGTGTCCATTGATATTTGTTAGACGTATGAATATCCGTATCTGCTCCATGATCATGGAGAAACTTGACCACCTCAATGTGGCCATTGAGTGACGCAGTATTGATCGGTGTCCATTGATCATTATTAGGCGTGTGAATGTCAAGATCCGCTCCATGCTCGAAGAGAAACTTGACCACCTCGAGGTGGCCATTAAGTGACGCAGCATTGATCGGTGTCCATTGATTATTATCAGGCGCATGAATGTCAACATCCGCTCCATGCTCAAAGAGAAACTTGACCACCTCGAGGTGGCCATTAGATGACGCAGCATTGATCGGTGCCAATCCATTATTATCAGGCGCATGAATGTCAGGATCCGCTCCATGCTCGAAGAGAAACTTGACGACTTCGAGGTGGCCATTGAGTGACGCAGCATAGATCGGTGTGATTTTGTGTTTATTAGGCGTGTGAATGTCAACATCCGCTCCATGATCGAAGAGAAACTTGACCACCTTGAGGTGACCATTAAGTGACGCAGCATTGATCGGTGTCCATTGATCAGTATTAGGCGTGTGAATGTCAACATCCGCTCCATGCTCAAAGAGAAACTTGACCACCTTGAGGTGACCATTAAGTGACGCAGCATAGATTGGTGTCATTTGATCTTTGTTAGGCGTGTGAATGTCAAGATCCGCTCCATGCTCGAAGAGAAACTCGACCACCTCGAGGTGGCCATTAGATGACGCAGCATTGATCGGTGTCCATTGATTATTATCAGGCGCATGAATGTCAAGATCGGCTCCATGCTCGAAGAGAAACTTGACCACCTCGAGGTGGCCATTAAGTGACGCAGCATTGATCGGTGTCCATTGATATTTGTTAGACGTATGAATATCCGTATCTGCTCCATGATCATGGAGAAACTTGACCACCTCAATGTGGCCATTGAGTGACGCAGCGTAGATTGGTGTCATTTGATCTTTGTTAGGCGTGTGAATATCAACATCCGCTCCGTGGGCGAAGAGAAACTCGACCACCTCGAGGTGGCCATTAGATGACGCAGCATTGATCGGTGTCCATTGATCAGTATCAGGCGTATGAATTTCGGCATCTGCTCCATGCTCAAAGAGAAACTTGACCACCTCGAGGTGGCCATTAAGTGACGCAGCATTGATCGGTGTCCATTGATTATTATCAGACGTATGAATGTCAACATCCGCTCCATGCTCGAAGAGAAACTTGACGACCTCGAGGTGGCCATTAAGTGACGCAGCATTGATCGGTGTCCATTGATTATTATCAGACGTATGAATGTCAAGATCCGCTCCATGCTCGAAGAGAAACTTGACGACCTCGAGGTGGCCATTAGATGACGCAGCATAGATTGGTGTCCATTGATCAGTATCAGGCGTATGAATGTCAACATCCGCTCCATGCTCGAAGAGAAACTTGACGACCTCGAGGTGGCCATTAGATGACGCAGCATAGATTGGTGTCCATTGATCAGTATCAGGCGTATGAATGTCAACATCCGCTCCATGCTCGAAGAGAAACTTGACGACCTCGAGGTGGCCATTAGATGACGCAGCATAGATTGATGTCCATTGATCAGTATCAGACGTATGAATGTCAACATCCGCTCCATGCTCAAAGAGAAACTTGACCACCTCATGGTAGCCATTAAATGACGCAGCATAGATCGGTGTCATTTGATATTTGTTAGACGTATGAATATCCGTATCTGCTCCATGATCATGGAGAAACCTGACCACCTCAAGGTGGCCATTACGTGACGCAGAATAGATCGGTGTCATTTGATGTTTGTTAGGCGTATGAATGTCAAAATCAGCTCCCTGAGCGTAGAGAAACTTGACCACCTCAATGTGGCCATTGAGTGACGCAGTATTGATCGGTGTCCATTGATCATTATTAGGCGTGTGAATGTCAACATCTGCTCCATGCTCGAAGAGAAACTTGACCACCTCGAGGTGTCCACCAGACGACGCAGCATAGATTGGTGTCCATTGATCAGTATCAGGCGTATGAATGTCGGCATCTGCTCCATGCTCATAGAGAAACTTGACTACCTCCAGGTGACCATTAAGTGACGCAGCATAGATTGGTGTCATTTGATCTTTGTTAGGCGTGTGAATGTCAACATTCGCTCCGTGGGCGTAGAGGAACTTGACCATTTCGAGGTGGCCATTAGATGACGCAGCATAGATTGGTGTCCATTGATTGTTGGTAGAGGTATGAATATCCGTATCTGCACCATGGTCGTATAGAAACCTAACTACTTCGAGGTGACCCGAATCAGATGCTACAGCCAACGGGGTCCACCCATTAACCGTCTTTGTATGAATGTCCTTATCTGCTCCATGATCGTAAAGAAACTTGACCACTTCAAGATATCCATGACGTGACGCAACGTATATCGGTGTCCGGTGATTGTTGTCAGGGATATTGATATCGGTGTCAGCTCCGCGGGCGTATAGGAATTTGACTACCTCCAGATGGCCACCTTCTGATGCTGCAAACATTGGTGTTTCACCATCTCCATCAATAACACCCAAGTCAGCTTTGTGGCACCAAAGAAATTTCACCATCTCAAGTTGTCCATGAGCAGCTGCTCGATGCATAGCTGATTTGCCTCGCACATTCACTTTCCTGACCACTGCTTCCTGATGTTCGCTGCGATCCCAGTTCAATATCCCTTGTAGCCACTTTCCCAAGTGGTCTGAAATTATTTGACCTGACCTTGTCCTCGGTGATCGGATTTCCGATGGCTGGACTGTGGGTAGCTCGGCACTTCCTAACGCACCCATGATGAGAACCAGCATCAGTGAACAAATATGCTCAAGCCCTAGAGCCACGCTTCTAGTCACAGGCAATCCCAACAGGTTTTCAAGTGTGCCTATCCTGATCGGCAAGCCCATAATTCTCTCTGCCATACTCAACAGCCCGTGCTCTGCTGCCAAGTGCATTAAGGTAGTTCCTGCTTCCCGACCTTCTTTGGTCTCATTCTCGATGATTTTGCCAACTCTTAACCAGGATTCAACCGTTCTTAGGGATGGCCAATTGACAAAACATCCAAATCCTTTCACTTCTGCTTGAGTGGCGTGATCGAGCCAGTGCCTTGCTGCATAGTTCAGAAATATGAATTTCGATGGCAATTCACTACTTTTCCCAATCGATGCCGACTTTATCTCTTCTAGCGACAAGTAACAGATGCATGTATTGGCAAGGAGGGAATGAGCTGTCTTTTCCAGGCCTTCTCTCACGTTCAGTCTGGAGTTAAGATACTCTAAACCACACTTATCCATGAAATCCTTCACCGTTTCATGATGAAATGCGACAAGAGCTCGGGCATGGGGCGTTTCTGCATCTGCAACTTCGATCAAACCTTTTCCCAGATGTAAGATCCGTTTCCTCATCTGTTGGTCACTAATAGTGATCGCCAGGTGTTCTCGGTCTCCAAACTCCTTGGTTGGTTCGGCAAGGTCACCAAGATCAATTGACATTGCAATCCTCATCTCCTCCAAGAATAATGGTCGACAGGAGAAGCGTATCCACTGGAATAGCCTTCCCGCTTCTAGCAGTTCCTCGTCTTTGAGATTTTCAAGCAAAGCTTTGTAGAGTCCGTTCAATTCTCTTGGGCAGCTGAAAATCTGTGAACCAATGTATCTCAGGGAAAACCCTTGGCCACTCATTTCACGAACACGATTGACAACTAGAATAACCCAGAGGAACAAGCCACCTGTTTGGCTGAAAAGAGAGTTCTTGAACTCAATTATATCCGACTCTTCCTCTCCCGTAATGCGCAACTCCTGCTCCACATATTTCTGAATGTCATGTTGATTTTTCTCCTCGATGCGGATGTAAAAGTCTACCATGAAGCTCTCATCAGGATAGAGACGGCAGGTGAGGAAAATCCTTGGACGATCTGATCTTTCCACATTCTTCCCTCTGATTCTGTGGAGAAAGCTGATAAGCCGACTCCTCTCTTGGTCCAGGCACTCATCAACAGCGTCAACGAAAATTGAGGTTTTACTCCCAATGGAACCATCAAGTATAAGCATCTCAAATATGCTTTGTAACTCATTTTGATGCCACCTGAGACTGCCACTCTTTCTTCGTTCAGCGGACTCCCCAATCATGCGTTTGCGACAAAAGTCATGAAAAGACAACTTGGAGGTCGAATCCTGCTCTATCAACTGAAGAAGAAGGGAGCGCAAAAAGCCTTCCATGTTCTTTTGAAGAGCAATACCACTTCCATGGAAAAGAAAACGGAGTACTACATGTTGTGGCGTGACCCTTTCTCCGAACTCCTTCCCCGCAACGAATTTCAATAGCGTGGACTTCCCGGAGCCGGGGTTGCCCCTGACGAGGAGAAGACCACGTTTTTCGACCCAACGCAGGTACTCAGGTGTCTGAAATAACCATTCGCAAGTGCCCTGTGTCTGCGTATCCAAAATAGACTCTTTGTACCCAAATCCTTCGAATGCAAGTGACTCGAGGCAGCCTTTGTTGTCAGCAAAATACTTAGTAGTAACTTGGGAAATGACCGCTCACTCTCCAAACCCAGGTCCTCGATCATTCTAGATCTGATAACACCATGTTCTCCCACGTGGCTTGGTCCTGCGCCCTCTTCCCTCAACAAGCGTGCCAACGCTCTCGATTTACCCTGTCCTTTTGATTTCTCACTCACAAAGTGAGCGGTTCCATTGATGGTGACTCCGTTGAATTGGTTGGATCGGCTGCTCAAGCTTCCACTGAAGTGCTGTGTACCCTTCATGATCTGTGTATTTTACGTGTAGATAAGGGTTGGGATTCAATCGTAATTCTTAGCTGTTAATGAGGCAAGTGGAAGAACAAATTCATACTCAAATGGGCGAAGAGGGGTGAGAGAAGTTGGTTGAGGTGTACTAAAATGCACGTGCGAATCAGAGCGTAAAATGTTCCATCTTTCGGAATACCCTTACCAAACATACAAATGTATATGATCAATCAAGGTATTAATTACCGACATGTGATCAAATGCATGACTCAAAATACTGATTAGTTAATTATCCAATCTTAGTTGCTGACGTATGGGGGTCTTACGTAAAATAATCTGCGAGGTGATTATTCCACATTCATAACAATCGCATGCGGGGCATTGAACTTATCACATTGCCAAGGATTATCATAACCGAAGTAAGATAAAGCACATAATTTCCATCAATCAACTTGATCAACCATCTCTCAACCTTCTTTCATCATTCTGCTATATCCTCTTCGGTCTTTTCTCTCGATCATACAGTCGCGGCACCGCGCTCATCAACACTCTCTTGGTTCCGAGGTCGATGCGATGATTGCGATGTTTGATGAAATTTGAGGGCAGGGAGATCAGCCTCGGCCGGGTCCTGGCGATACCAACAGCTATACCTTTGGTCGAATTTGGCAGCACTCAGTGGTTCTAGTCCACTTACCTCGAAAGATATCAGCATCGGAAGCATCAGCCAATCTGCGGTCCAGTTTCCCATCCATGCGACTGGGCTTACTCGTGGGTATATGTGGCAGTGTGCCCCTCTCCGGTAGACAAGAGATTTTTCTAGGAGATGTTATCATTAGTACTCAAATCGTCCAACTCGATTTTGGACGGTTATATCCACACGCCTTTGTCCGGAAGAACAGGCTGCAAAACAATCTCGGCAGACCATACCCAGAGATCTGCGGGTTTTTGGCCAAACTCCAAGGACGGAATGCACATACTGATGTCAAGAAATCTATGTATGCGGGCCTTGCTACCGTTTCCAAATCCGCAAATTTTGCGCCCTCGAAACGTCCGGGTAGAGTTACAGACATACCTTTTGATGCGAACTACAGCCATAAGCATGCAGATCCAGAAGCATGTATACTTTGCGCCAAGAATTATTTTGCCCAAACCACCCCTCCATCAAAAGCACGCCTTTGCCATGTAAGTAAAGAAGAACGCATTCGACACCTTAAGTCATCATATAGACGGCAATAATAAAAACAGATACTGCATCACGAGCTTCGTCAGAAGCAGTCGCATATAGTTACTAGGCGATGACTTTCATATTGCTGCTAGCATAAAGTAACTCCGTATCTGTGGAACATTTCGTAAACACGGCGCTGTAGGATTAGAAGTTGAACGATCTAGCTGTATAAATACCACCGTTATGGACGTTTTTTCCAGCCGTGAAGTTGCCACTGAAGACTTGCTGTATCCGTGATGAAGCAGATTCTTTGCCATTAAATTTATCCTCCGTTGGTCTTGGTGATTTTCTCCATAGCTTCAGCAAACCTTTTGCGCATGTCGCTGCTGTTGCTGCGGCATAAAGCTGCCAGTCCTTATTCTTGTGGCTATCAGCATAATCACAAACCCCTTTAACCACAATTGTCGGAACCATGTCCCACAAGCCGGCCGCTTCCATTTCAAAGCCGATCACACCTTCCTGTTCGGCAATGCGGTCGCGGTGTAATGCAGATTTGATAACCTGATCCCCTGACGCTAATCCACCAAAATGTACTGCCGGATAGCAGGACGAATCCCTGTGACCTTCATCGTTTATGGCCTGTATTCGAGTTCGAGATATCACCTTGCTGAAATCACACCCAAGCTCGGCACAAGACATGGCTGAGGCTTTGGCACAGACATCATTGTCGGGGCTTATGCATAGGGAGCATGCATTTTTGTCTGCATGCTTATGACTGTAGCTTGCTTCAAAGAGGATGTCTCTATTGGTACCAGGGTAAATTGTTGATTTGAAGATAGAGGCAAGGTCTACTCGCATTGAATCTCTGATATCGATCTGGGCGGCTTGACTCTGGAGTTTAGACAAGAACCCGCTGATCTCCTGGCTCGGCCTACTGAGATTGTCCTGCAGGGCGCTCTTGCGGACTAGAGTGTGCGGGTATAGCCTCGTAAGATCGATTTGGACAATGTGTGTGCCGATAATAACGTCTCCCAGAATAATTTCTGGTTTGCGACTTGCGGAGACGGGAGCCCCGCCGCATACACCGACCAGTAAGCCGACGCGGATATATGGAAAACTGAACCGCAAGCTGGCGGCGACGCTGGACGCTGATGTCTTGCCCATGCGAGGCATGTGGACCAGAACGACAGGGTGTTGATGAATCCGACCAAAAGTATAACTATTGGTGTCGTTATGACACCTCTCATACCGATCTTCCGGCCAAATCTCATCAAACACCGCAATCATCGCGTCAGCTTCAACGCCAAGGGTACAGAAAATTGCAATTTCAGAACCATGATGATCTTGATGTCTTTTTGTGAATTCTTTATTCGGCATGGCTAAGTGTAACGGTCTGGACAGCCTCAAGATGGTAGTGTCTATAGTGGAAGGTGATCAATGAGCTCACTCGTGAGGGGAATGACACGAGGCTGAAATCGAATGCTCAATATCACGTGCTACGTGTTGCCTGCATACTCTCTCATCCCACATCCCACTACGGATGTCAGCTACCCCGCATACGGTTGAATCTCACTGCCGTCACCTTTTCAGTTTAACTTAAGATTGAATAGCTATATGCGGCAGCTCATGAGCTCTTTGCTCTACTATTAAACCCTCGACGACTTGGAGTTTACGCCGCGCCTCTAAGCACGGGAATAACACAAAGATTCGACGATGACTTGAGGAGTGAAGCCCCACAGCTGACTGGCAACCATTTTAACGGCCCTTTTTTCCTTTCTGTAACGCATGACAGGAAAAGGCACCACCCGAGATCTATGCAAAGCAACTCAAAATCGGAGTACCCAGGATGTATTCAGGATGAGTTCAGTGAGATAGCTGGATCTGTCCAGAGCAGAACCTGGGACTTGAATGGTTAGTGAATTGAGCTTCAACCTTTGGTATCTACAAGCTGATTCAGGAAAGATTGTATCCAATCACTTGTATTTGACGAATCAAACGACAGGGAAAGAGGAATAGAAACGCAAGCAGTCAGTACTTGTGAATGGCTCTTGAAATCACCGAAGTACCTGAGTTGGATCGACGAACGCGGCTTACTTCTGATCAGAGGAGAGCCTGGATGTGGAAAATCTGCTCTCCTCAAGTTTGCATTGGGTCAGCAAACAGAAGACGTTAATCCTTCAGGCTCTATCGTGCTGTATCTAGTGCCCTCTTAGTCTCTTGGACCTCCGCAACCGGCACATACGCCAAAAGCTCCTTGGAATATGCAGCAGCAGTGGCTGAGGCATAGCGTTGCCATCGATCATTCTTATGAGAATCGGCGTAGTCACAGATCCCTCGGATCACAAGGCAGGGAAAGTGATTCATCAGGCCGGCTGCTTCCATCTCAAAGCAGATAAAATCCTTGCCGAGATCAGCAACAATACTATCGCGTGTAGAAGCGTCTTTGACAAGTGTGTTGCCGGATGCAATGGTTCCGTAGTGGATATCAGGGTCGGCAGTGTCTCGAGGATCACGATAAACCTCGCCAGCTGTGTCACATCCCTGACAATCCGGGCCAGGGATATAGTCACATGAAGCTTTAAAGAGGCGGTCGTTATCAAAGCCCTGGTGAGCATAGCCGGGATTTTTCTTGGTTCTCTTGCCCATCTTCGGGTTGCTCTCCAACATCACTTGAAGGAGATAGGGAACGTCGGAGTCTTTCCGCTCGTGACGGGCTTGAATGCTAGTAAGCGCATTGAGGAGAACCGCTGGGGGGGCGTCCAAGGAATCCTTTTCGCTCACACTTGCCACCCGACTTGGCCTTAATAAAGTCGTACTGGCAGACGCCGCCGGTGGTATCGCAGGGCTGGCTCACGACGATGTCACCTAGTCGGATATCTTGATCCTGATCCGGTCGAGCGACCCCCCCCCCTATACCTACCAAGAGACCGATGCGAATAGATGGCAGAGAGGCAAGAAGGCCAGAGGCTGTGGTCGCAGCAGAGGTGGTTCCGTAGACCCCGGAGGCCAGTGCGGCAATTACGATGTTGTGCTCTCCCACGCGGCCCCATGTATAAACGTTTGAGTCGGTTTGGTGTCTAGTGAAGCCAGTTGGAGCTCTATGTTCCTCGTCAAGCATTGCTTCTGCAGCGGCCCGCTCGATGGGAAGAGCAGTGATCCAGGCGATCGTATAGGACTCGGGGCTATCGAGAGCGTTGTGGGATACCATGGTGTAGAGGGAGGCACACGAGGCTGTCAGATGGGGTTAGACGGAGACGCGTAACTGCAGGATATTGTTTATCACTGTCAGTCAAATGGCGCAAGCGTATCAGTTTTCATAAAGGACTGTAGCTGTAGAGTAGGGAAGCAAGCTGGAAAAGGACAAGGTTGGGGCCGGGCCACAACACCAGGCTCTCGCCAATAACAAACCCGGGTTGGAGGCTGTGGACCATGAGCACTTACATGCAAACCCCTCTTGCTGGCTGGACGACATGATTGGGAGTGGTCAACGCCAAGCCTCCTACGATGTTCAGCGTTGTTGTGGGCCTGCAGGTGGTTATGCTAGAACAGCAGTCTTGGGCAGAAAGCGAGCCAGGTCGATTACTGACAAAACAGGCTTGAGTCGGGTCGCGAAACATGAGGCTGTGGCCAAGACATTGTCTGTCTCTCCGATAAAGGTGGGGCAGGAGGCAGATTCCTAGGCTAAATATTAGGTTACCTCCACGGCGCTAAAGCAGGGTGGCAGATTGGCGGTAACCCACATACTACGGGCGGGACATGCCGTTGTGATCTTCTATCGTTGTCTTATCACGTGGATCCACCACTTATCACGTTTTCCTTCACCAATCATCAGGGCTTAGTAACCGCTCACCTTCGGCGTGAAGAGCTTCCCTAAGCACGGAAATAGAAAAAAAGAGAAGGAAAATCTTAACTACATACCTTGCCGGCGGTACGAGAAGAAGTTGGCTGGACGGAGCTGTGGAAAATGTCTTGTCATGCATCAAAGGCTTTTCGTGAATGAGAGATTTCGTTCGCCAAGATATATAAATCCGCAACACCAGTCCTATATTATGGTACTATCTTATTTGATCGTATTTGAAAATTGTTTTAACTAAATCTTCCTGTCATATTTGCTAGTACAGTATCTGGAACATGTCTTCTCACGCCTTTTCGGATGTAGAGGGAAACATAAGCCCCTATATCGACCGAGATGAGATCCAGTCAAGTCTCCTTAATTGGCGAGCTCCGTGGGCAATGAGTTGGAAAATGGCAACGCAGTTTCCACATTTCAAGTCCGGTTCAAGAGATTTGAAAGATATATCCAACAGAGATGGTCCTCTCTTAAGTAGGTGAAGCTGATGACTGTCTTTATAAACAGAAATGGATCTGATGCTATCTAGGCGTCTACGAAAAAGCGGCGCAATGTATTTTTCTTTGTCTGAGAAGTAACGAAGACTTCTATGCTATTCAAATCCCGTGCATGCGACCGGGGAAACGTCGGATTAAAAGCAGACAAATAGAAGAACATGATGGAGTTTTTCGATGTAAATCCGGTGGAGAAATATATGAGCCGCCGATTATCAAAAAAGACGGATTTGAGGACGACAGTGCTATATGGACTAGAATGAAGCAGGTGTATTTCAACGAGTCTGGTTCATGGAAGCGATGGCTCCCATTCTACGGACCAACTGCAGTGCGAGAAGTTGAGGTATGCTTTCCCACCCTATCTAGCAGCTCCCAGCTAAGCTTTAAGCTCCAAGTTTCAATTTGTGGGGACAAATAACGTGGCTAGACGCTTTCAGATATTCGAGTTGACGCACGTTAACGAGGAAAAGACCCGAGCGAAAGCTGATCAGACAATTGCTTCGGTACCGAACGAAGTTGACTATGAATATGACAACGGCTGCATGGGATTCCAACACAGCACGAAATGTCCGGCATCGTTCGATGGTGACAGCGAGTGCATCTTAGATATGGCGGATGATGCTCTTCATTTAAAAAGGAGGCTTGGTATGCTTTTCCTCCTAAAAGATTGCGCAAGGGATCCGCGAAAGGCAAACGGGCTGAATACCTTGGAGGGGATGGCTCAAGAGGGCTGTATATATGATTTGACGTACGATATTGATTCTATTCTAGATCGAAACGCTAACACGGACTTAGGAAAATCAATATACCTCGGCGTCAACAACCATATACCCATGCAGACAAGATAAGGGGACTTGAGATTACGATGGGTTGGCAGTCTGAGCTCATAGATTTCAATTTACCTCGCTTTATTACGTGGACATGGCTCTGTCTAGCTATAATCTGGTCTGCTGTGATAATATGGGGAGGCGAAACAAAGGATTGGAGTGGTGCCATGGCTTTTGGACAACTTCTAGCGGCATGTTTATCAATAATTGCACTCCACGCTAGTAAATGAGATCGTCATTCTTCAATCGAACAATTTATTCAATTCATATAGGACTTTTCGGCTGCCTGCCCACTTCCACTGCTGGATCGTACTTGATCACGTGGGTTTATTCGCCCAAATAGTTTGCTCAGTGTTATCCTGATGAAAGACCATACGAGAGTATCCTTATAGGTAAACGCTCGAATTGCTAAAAACTTACCCTATAACGCTTTCCCATGTTTATTTCAGGATTTTCTGTACCTCTCGCGATTTTACTAGACAACACTGACTGCATTTCAATATCTACCGATTCGTGAACTCGCGGTCTTGGCGTCTGCCTCAGGCCGAAGTGTAGGAACCGCGGCCAGTGGAAAAGCGTTTCCCCGATACCGTTAACTCCTTTCTTTGAGCGAAACGTCCTCGATAATCAGAGCTTATTCGCGGCCCCTTTCAAAGGCAATGAAGAGAGCTGTACCCTGCAATTTCCTGGGCTCAGGACCGTGGAATCGTCGCCATGTTGAAGCCCCGCTCACTTCTACGAGGCGATATTACATATGATGCTGCAAAGGACAGTGACGCTAATATTCTCCACGAGTTAGGCTACAGAGATCAGAAGATCCGATTTTTTACCTACCTGTACCGAAATCGAGAGCTGATTAAGTCGCTCATTACCAGACATCTTGGTCTTGCGTCTCGAGATCTGTGTCATCTTGTGGATGTGGAGGACTGGATACATGGAAGTTTCAATGTTTGCATTCGGGCTGATATCTTTGACTCGGCAGGAGCGGTCGGGAGACAAGTGATGATTCGATTTCCTCTACCGTATAGGATTGGGGAGAATTCTTGCCCTGGAAACGCGGATGAGAAAGTCCGTTGTGAAGCTGGAACCTATACATGGCTTAAGGAAAATTGCCCGGCTGTACCTATCCCCCGTCTTTATGGATATGGGCTTTCGAGCAGCAAAACTGTATCATTCTCCTTAATTCCCCCAGAAATTTGGACCCCCGCTTATCATTACACCTAGTTCATTGAATTCAACAGCCTGCCTTTCCTCTCTCGCAACATCCAGCGTCTGCGCCGAGTGATTTTACGGACACTAGGATATCAAGTTCCATCCTTCTACGCTGAGAATCTCAGCGAACCTCATAATATTCTCGGCCAACCTTACATTATCATCGAATATGTCAGTCAATCAAGCGGCAACATGCTTTCTACAACATGGGAGGAAGGGCGCTTCAACCCGACTCTGCGCTCCAATCTGTTCCGAGGCCTTTCTCGCATTATCCTCACTATGGCACGAGTTCCACTACCTAAGATTGGATCTTTTACTATCGATGATGACGGCTATCTAATATTGAACAACCGGCCTCTTACCATGGAAATCCAACAATTGGAAAACGAAAGAATTCCAGTGAATATACACCGGGGTACGACACATCTTGGTATAGAATCTTTTATTCACGACGCTCTTTCTCTACACGAAAGTCGTCTTCGCTATCAGCCAAACGCACTCAACAGTCGTGAAGACGGACTCTATCAAGCGTCTGCACTAATGGTCATGAGAAGCATCTGGCCTTGTCTCTTTAACCGGGAGCTTTTTCGGGGGCCTTTTCTTTTCAACCTCACAGACCTCAACCAAAGCAATATCTTTGTTGACAATAATTGGAATATTGTACGGCTAATAGACCTGGAATGGGCTTGTTCTCAACCTGCTGAGATGATACATCCTCCATACTGGCTAACAAACCAAGCCATCGACTTGATCGACTCAAGTGAATATGAGGCCCTCCACACCGAATTCATGGACATATTTGCGGAGGAACAGAGGAGTTCCGACCCCTTTCAACTGTACCCGACAATGAAGAAAGGACTCGAGAATGGCACATTCTGGTATTCTCTTGCTCTTACGAGTCCTTCAGCCTTTTCCACAATTTTTTATGACCATATTCAGCCTAAGTTTACAAATAGCCATGGTATACCCGAGTTTTGGAGCATCACGATGCCATATTTTTCCTTGGATACAGCCGCCTTGATTCAGCAAAAGGTTAAAGACAAAGAGAGATATGACGTTTCTCTACAAGAAGCATTCCGATGCTAGATCACTGCTTCCCGCATATCTGCAATTATTTTTGTTGGTTTTGACTTTGTCCCTGACTTTTGTTTTCGTCCTTCTTCAATTGCTCTGCTGCGGCCTGGAGACTTGCTATTGCCTTTCCACCTCTCTTTTGCTGCGCGGCCTTTCCGGAAGAAGAGAGCTGGTTCATAGATTTTGCATCCATTTTCATAGCGACACTTGCTTCTTCGACTTTGCCATCATAACTTGAATCTGATGCTCGATCCGCCATCTAGAGGCAACATGTTGAGTAAATCTTTTGCAGAATTAAGAAGTTTCGTTAGAATCTTACCGCCGGCAAAATAGGGTCTGACTGGAAGGAAATATTCGGACCAAATGGTAAAAGAGCATGTAGCATTTGCTGAGGCCGTAGGAAGGATGCGCAAGCTGTGGTAGGGGAGGCCCTTATGTATATTCTCTTCCGTTTTGGCCAATATCGTTCGCGAGTGGGGCTATGTGCCTATAACTATACCCCGCTCTGCCTCTTATGTCTCTGGTGGCCCATTAATGCACATTTGATCCTAAAAAGACCAATTAGAATGATCTTCTACCCGCTTTAGTCCACGGCCTGAAGCATAGCCAAACATTGGCCCCTCCGTGATCGTATCTTAACTTGGAGGTAGCCGCTTGTGGTGGCCCGTGCCACAGGATGCACGTCTCGTGCCAACCAATGAGGAAGACTTTCCACCCGCTTGGCTATGAAGGGGTTGGAATCCCCTCAATACTTGAAGCCCCCAAAGTAGGTGATGCATGTGATTACGAGTTCACAGCCACGAGCTACTTGTGCACCCACCAACTATACGACTTGGCGTAGATAGACAATGTCCAGACCAACGGTGTTTGAAAAATGACCAATCATGCCTTCCTCCCCAATATTGGGGGTCATTTAGGGGGGGGATTAGCAACGGTCGGATTCAGCGAAATTAGTTTTGAGATACCAGTCGAACCATTTTGTTAGTCCCCTTCACAAATAGATCATTGTAGGCTCTTCTTCAAAGTCTCATTCCAAGCGGCCACCAGAAAACGGCACGGTCCGTGGTGATCAGGAACCACTTCCCTTGGTGGGTATGTGATGCAAAGCGCTTTTAACCTCGACAAACCGAATTACTTCATCCTGCTCACAGCTAGGCCTAGATGGTTATTTCCTTTCGGTAGGAATTGAAAAAAAAAAGAAAAAACAATCCACCAGATTTCGGCTTAAAAGAAGCAAGTATTTAGGTGGGCATCGCTGGTGAAAAGGCAAGCGAGAATCATCTGACGACTTTTCAGCTTCCTGTCCACTCCTTGAAACTGCCGAATCGTATTAATCCTTGGAGACAATTCCTTATGCAGTCTGGGCCAGCGGCTACTACGAACGGCACGGACCGTGGTGATCTTCTATCGCGGCCCATTGTCAGGTCCCACCGCCCACCACCCGTCTTTTTTAATCACCAATTGTGAGGGTTTTGTAACCACTCCAGTTCGGTGCGAAGGACCCTTTGATTTCGACGAATAGAATTAATACGAATGTTAAGGATAGACCTTTAGCTCCTAGTTGCTTAGTCATGTTCGGGCGGTGGGTTAGTTAGTTAACATGTGATTTTATTCTGGATAAACATTCCACCGGCACCGAATCATCCTTTCACAAACTTGGTGATCATATCATCCCCCTATCCTGCAGTTGAAGACTCGGGTGCTCCCCGCTGTGTTCGTTGTACCGATCACGACAAATCCGACGGATTAGCTTTCTCTCTCAACATGGCAGGCCTTCCTTTGCTGAAGGGAAACACCATTTCCTTGGACGATGCTCTGACCGACGACGACAACATCTTGCACCGCTTAGATTATCCGCAGAAGCTGAAAGCCTTCTGTTCAGACCTCCTTACCCACCAACGTGACATAGAATCCTTAGTCTCATTCCATCTTTGTGTGAAACATTGTCAGGTTGCCGACGAGGCAGATTGGTTATTCGGAAGTTATAATGTTTGCATTCCGGTCTATATAGGTCGGCAATCAGAGGAACGTGTCCTTTTCCGTGTCCCGCTGCCTTTCAAAATAGGCGAAGAGACTTTCCCTGGGAATACCAACGAGAAACTGCGCTGCGAAGTCGCCACATATATTTGGATACGTGAGAATTGCCCAGATGTTCCAATACCTTCTCTCTATGGGTTCGCCTTTTCTAATGGACGAGCTGTAAGTAAGCCTGTGCTATTGACTCGCCTTAAAAGGGCTGTGATTAACTTTGCTCTCTTAGTTTGCTCTAGAGAATTGTATGAATTTATTTACAAGATGGCGTTGGCGTATTAAACGAACCATACGATTATGGTTTGGATGCCCAAACACCTGTCCATTTGTCGGTACAAAGAATAACAGTGCCATTGAAACGGGATATATGATCATCAGCTTCGTTAAGAGTGGGCGTATGCTCTCAGATACCTGGGCAGAACATCTTCTGACGGACAAGACACGAAGACATACTCTTTTCAGTGATATCTCGAAGATCATGATAAGATTGAGCCGGATCCAATTTCCACGAATTGGGTCTTTAAGCTTGGATGACGAGGGTTTCATAAAATTAATGAATCGCCCCCTTACATTACGACTCCAAACATTAGAGAATGAAGGGATTCCCACGATACCTAGAAGCTCTACGTACCAGTGCGTGGAACCTTATATTCTGGACCTTTTACATTGTCACGACAACCGCATACATTATCAGCCAAATGCTATCCACGATCTTAATGACGGGCAGGAACAGCTCTCCGCGTTGACCATGATGAAGGGTCTTTTGCCCCAATTCATTTCTAGCCAATATCGTGACGGTCCATTTATTCTTTCACTCACAGACCTTCATCCAAGTAATATCTTTGTCGATAAGGATTGGCACATCACATCCTTGATTGATTTGGAATGGGCCTGCATTTTCCCAATTGAATTACAAACACCACCCTACTGGTTGACTGGTCGACCTATCGATGATATTGAGGACGGAGAGCATCTCCAAAAATTCCAAGAAGTCATGACTGAATTCATAGATGCGTTTGAAGAACAGGAACAAAGATCCCAGAGTTCTGCTCCCTCCCGGGCCGAGATCATGAGGAAATGCTGGGATAGAGGAAGTTTCTGGTATTTCCAAGCGCTTCACAGCCCGAAAGGTCTGCTTCGTGTATTCAACGGGCATATCCAGCGCATTTTTTGTGAGGAGCATTGCACTCAGCGAGTCTTTGACCGGACAGTCAGTCCATATTGGACCCCAAGGGCGGAAGAATTCATCCAAGCGAAGGTTATACAAGAGACGGAGTATAAGAGTCAATTAAGGAGGCGATTCAGTGAAGATGATAAAACATGCACTTTCGCGTAATTGTACCCTGCTGAACACGTCCAAGTCAATAGTCAATACCTGTCTCCGTCTTCGTGTTATCACGATTTGTATTGTTTATGCAAGCACCCGTTTCTCAGCCCGTTTTATTTGTCTGTCTCTTTTTTTGTGCTTCCGATCCTGAAGATAAGACTTGGCCAATGTTTGGATTGTTGGCGATTTGCTGAGAGGGTAGTTCAATGTCTTTTTTCCCTCGAGCTCTGCGAGCTTCTTCGCCCGAAGACATGGACATATTGATGAGCTGATTCTGCTCGATTCTCCTTGAATCAGAGACATCTTTCCCCTTTTGGTCACTCATGTTGTCTATTTATTCTGCGAGAGAGCATATCGGAAACTAGCAAAATATAACATGAAGAAAGAGGCCATCGCAAACAGTGTTCGTGGAGCGGGGTCGAGATGGTGACATATCTCTCGAGCCCTCATGCGGCCTCTGTGACTTCGGAAACCTAGAAATGAATCGACCTTTGAAAAGGGTGACGGCCAATCATGGGAGAGCCGCCCTCCTCCCACAAGAACTGCATTATTGCATGGCGGCCCGTGCCTACACGATGCACCAATTGTGATCCCAGTCGAATTACTCCAACCAGGCTCACTGTTTGCTAGCCTTGCACTAGTTGGCTGGTTTATTGGCTCATGGAAGTTGCATTGCAGAAGTTGCCCATGTTTGCCGCGAACTCAAAATGATGACATACTGCTGTCTTCGGATTACCCCACCAAACATTTGTAAAGCAGCCGTGGATCTCACGCGCGACCTGTCCGTCCTTCTTTCTTTTGCTGACTTTCCCCTTTCCAAGCTTTCAATCTTCGGATTACCATCGACTCCCACGCGAAAATCGTTTTTAGCGCTCGGGAGAGACCATTCGTTCAATGCTATGTATTCAACCTTGCGAACAATATACTACAGCGTCAATGATTCTGGCATTTTGACGAGTTTCTCTCTTTGGACCCTTTTGAGATGCAAACCAGACCACAAGAGTTTTTCTTGCTCTCGGCCGCTCTCACCATATTTCTTTTTTTGGTTGCGTAGCGCGCTTCGCATCGGTGACTCCCCAGCTTCTCACTCCGACTCCACCTGCAATGCGAACACTGCAGGTGGGTACTCACTTTTGGAGCGCTCTCTTCTCATTTGTGTATCAAGCTAATCCATCTCCACCTGCAATGTTCGGACACTGCAGGTGGGTACTCGCTTTTGGAGCGCTCTCTTCTCATTTGTGTATCAAGCTAATCCATCTCCACCTGCAATGTTCGGACACTGCAGGTGGGTACTCGCTTTTGGAGCGCTCTCTTCTCATTTGTGTATCAAGCTAATCCATCTCCACCTGCAATGTTCGGACACTGCAGGTGGGTACTCGTCTTGGGGGTATCTTCTTCCTATTTGTGTAACTGCTCTCCACCTACGTAGATACACCCCGTACAGAATGGACCAAGGTCAGATGAGGTCCACCTCTTTCTGTACATAGTGTGGAGTACACTAAAACATGTATGCACCTGCAGTGGCCGAATGGGTTCTATGCAAGCCCATCAAGCGTTCAGCTATCTTCCCTGCGTAAAACATACGTATTCGACCAGTCAGCCCTAGAAATCAAGCGCCACTAGGAAGATCGATGGCGGCCTAGAATCATCTGCATAGAGAATGACTACCTCCCCTGAGTTTTATGGGTCCAATTAATGGAGTAGATTTCCCATCCAATGCTCCGTATTTGACTCCTATTCAATCTTACGATGGACCTTCTATCTGCTTTACGAGTCATCCAGAATGCTTCTGACGAGTGCCTGCAGCGTTATGCTTCCGAGACTATTTCAACGATCCGAGGAGTCAGCCATCGTCTTCAGCAGAATCTACTTCTCCATTCTTCCTACGATTCCCCTAATACACAGTCGACTCCTCCGTTTGATTTCAGCAGTTCATCTCCCCCCGGACTGCCTCAGACGACTCCCAAGGGGACACCAGCTGTATCGGTCGGGCTTACCCCCTTGTCCCCTCCACGATCACCTCAAGGCCCTCATTCAGTCGCACAATTTGATTTTTCACTCGAAACACCTCGCCAACATGGTGACATTCTGGAATTTCAATCGCCGACACGGTCACCAGGAGAGCAGTTTGAGAACTCGAATGCTGTATCTCCCAACCAGGCAGTGATCCCTGCCGAAGAGATCACTGTCCCTCTTCCACCCCACCCTGAAAAGCGCGCTAGTCCAGACAATGTGCTCGGCGTATTGCGAGGGATCCTAAAATCGATAGATTTGGTGGCAAGTGCATCCAAAAATGGACAAAATGTATTGGTAACTCCTAAACGGCATATATTTTCCGATCTGCGACTGGAGCACATACAACGAGTAGAGAGGAAAGCTCGGTTTTCGACGGCAGATGATATTTTACTGAATATCCTGGCATTGAGATCTATTGCATCAGAGTTCACCCGTGAACAAATATTGGCGAACCAATCAATAAAGCTTGATGAGATTTATGAATATGCCAAATCCGGAAATGAGAACGATACAGAGCGTGACACCCTATGGGAACGCAGGTTATTCAGGTTCGACGAGAGGGATTTCTCTGGAACGGTACTCCGAGAGGGTCTCAAGCATCTCGTACTGGAGACGCTTGTTGCCGAACGTCTCCAGGAAACCAACCCGACATCTTCAGTTACGACTTCCTCAATTATGGTAGTCTCCGCTCTTGTTGGGTTTCACAAAGACTCTTTTCGCAGGTTGCGTTATAAGGAGATGCCCAATCTTGCGGTCGACATATCGTCTACTATTATTCCCGAGAGCGGGGATCTTCTTCTGGACTTTGTGCGAGAGCATAGTCCATGGTTTGAAAATGTGCAAAAAAGATACAACAGTGAGTTATTCTAAGACTGGCTCCTTCACTTTCTAACAATCCTAGTGATGTATACATGTCTACCCCAACCGGCAGGCAGAAGAAGTAACAAGTCGCCGAGATATAGTACCCGCTATTCGGAATGGCCAATCAATCAACCTCTTGATACTAGCTTTCTATTCGAGGATCTTGAATATGTGCATGAAAGTGACCCCTTTAATGATCCGGGCAATCTATACGACGGATTTACACCGCAAGAAAATTTGGCAATGTGGCATAATAACACGTCTAATTTATAACCAACTTATACGCCCAAGCACCTAGCTTAGACTCATTCTTAACAATCAACTGACATTCCCCGTAGACGTGATAATGTCGACCCATAGTCATCTCTCTTCTCCCTGAAGTGTCACATTTCCCTCTATGTAAAATGGTATAATTACCATAAATGGTTGAATTATGTTGATGCCTCGGGAAAAGACTTGCACAGCAGGCCTTATACCAGTTTGCTTTATCTGGCGTCGCTGTCGAGCTGGGCTATTCTAATGAATGTTAGTTTCTAAATTTCCCTAGGAATAAAGTTATAAGATTCACTCTTACCACAGACAATTCTTCAATTTTTTGTATCACCTCTCTCCCACGCCCTTGCACCACTAGTATTTCGGACGTACGGCTAAGCGGTACATTCAAAGATCGTGCCATAGGTCGTTCATTTCCACTAGCCTCAACATAGATATCGTAGATAGATGGCGGTATCTCAAAAGATTCGAATAAATTCTCTGAATCCTGCGTAGCCATCGATGTTTCGTGACGGCCTCTAGTGAAACCGATATCGACTTCACTACCAAACACAAAAATATCAGCAATACATTAGTAAAGTGATTCAAATTAGCTATAAACTCACAGAAGGGCAACGGCCTTTTGCTCAGGGAACTCAGAGGTTGTTCGGGCAAAAGTGACCGCGGGGCGGTTTGGACGCTCTTAGGGCGGATAATTTCCGAGTACACGGTGGATAGTTCTTCCGCATCGTCATGCGGGGCAATCCCACCTTTTAGCACTTGCAAGGATTAGGAAGTCTCACAGCCAAACGCAAAAATGAGACTATTCGATTAAGCATTTTTTCTTTTAATTTTCTGACTCTAGCTCACAGGATGTATCAACTCGCCTCTATTATCCTTAGTGCTTAGAGATACGCTAATTTCCGATCCCCAATGTCTCGAATTTGGACCCTCTAGAAATTAAAGAAGGTCACATCCACGGCAAAAGCGGAACTCCACCAACAATCCATCTTCCTCGGCATCCAAAGTATTCTCGAAGCACTTGAATTGAGCACGTTTGGTTCTCAGCACATTCTAACTCGCCGAAAAAAGGAATGTTATAACGGCGCAATTGCAAAACGAGTCGTTCTCTTTCGAAATGATTTCACAGAATTACTTTAGGGTCCTTCGTCCCCCTCCTTGAACTTGTTATAATTCTTTATCATTTATCGCATGCCATGGAACGCCAAATCAAGATATTTATTGATAAAATTGAGCCTCAAGACACGATGAGTGACCACACGGCGTCCACTATTATAGCTGAACTTGACAGCGTGAATCTCAAGCCCGGTATGAATCATATCGCCTTCTTCGTCAGGTACTACTTCTAACGTCTGTCAGGTCAAATGGTTGTCCAAATTGTCACCCCAGAGGGAGCTAGAAGATTCATCCCTCTTCAACCAGCCCTATTTCGGGAGTGCATAAGATTCTGGAGAACTGAAACAACTTCGTTTCTACCGTATCAGATCTTTATTGCCATGAGAAATATTTCACCAAAAGATGTGGAAGTATCTCCAGATGGGCAGTCCATTCAGGCTGCTATGGTGGAAGATCTCCAACACCAACCCTTCAACAATTCTATGCATGGGGATTTTACTTGTCTTGCACAGCTATTGGGAAAGGAAATAACACTTCCACTGCCAGATGGCATCCCGGCACGTTCTAACCAAGGAATCTTTTATGATAATTCTGTGCTTGGTGAATTGAAGTGTATCAAGTCTGTAGACTCCAATCCTTACGCTGTCCGAGATGGGGTTTGGGAGATTCAGGCTTATATGAGTGGATGCCGAGGAGTCAGTCATTACATAGCTCCTCTTCAAGATCTTCGAGAATGGCTATGTAACACAGTGGCTAGAGATGGATTGATGTCATATGAATCTTTACGTGTTTCTAATTTGAGCCAGGAGGTTTGAAATTGAAGTCTCTGGTTATCTATTTCGCTCTAGAGCATACCTGTGTCAGAAAAATTTGAAAGTGTTGAAAATATAATCTTCTGGCACTAACTACCGAGATATTGGACTGCGTTTCTTTGCATGCTCTCTAGATATAAGATTTGTCACAAGGACTTTTCAACGCCACCTGCTTTTGTCCTTCCAAAGCTATCTACCCCAAATATCTGTAGGGCTTTCCCAGTTAGCTTCGCCCTCTATTTTACTGAATCTAGCTGCACAGCCAAACCCCATGGATATACAGCCAATAGAAGAAATTACCGAGAAATTACTGCCAATTTTAGGTACGCTAACACCATAGCTAATGTAATTACAAAGCATGCATGACCGGAAGGAAATTAATTATTGATTCATGTCTTCTTGGCCAAATGTGCGCACAGCTTAGAGTATTTTAAGGACTATTTCAACCATCTATTTTATGGAGAATATATGCACGCAAGCTCCATCTGAAATCACAGCTAGATAGTGGAAGGGCATCTTATATATTAGTCTCGAAGGGAGAATTCAAGGCTTTCCTCATAGAGATACTAAAATCAGTATTTGTACATAATACATGAAGATACTAATCCTGAATACTGAACCCAACTGTAGATTGAATTACAGACACTAAACTAGGAACAATATGTATCTGGTCTCCAGTACGAAGTACTATGTAATTCAGAAAAACAGGCGTATTGAACCGTAAGGGGAATGCCGGCAGAAGGTATATAAGAAATTGATCCCAAGGCTGGTTGAACTTTATTATTTTCCACCCATCAAGCAATCTACTTTCAAAATGGAACCCGAAATCGATCTGACTTGGTTCTTCCCCCGACTCGCAAATTTCGAGCACAGTAAGCCATTAACCATTTTATATAATTTTGTCTAGTGCTTAGAATTGACATACTTTCAGTCTTCGAGCTAAAACCAAACGGTCTTAACCCGACCCACCCACGGCTCCTAGAGGAATGCCGGACCACATTCAACTCCCACTGTCTTACCTTCGGTCTCGCGGATGTCTATTTCGCGATATTTCTCATTGAATACGCGGGTGATGACCGAGAGATCACTCTTGAATCCGACTACGCTCGCAATATTCACATTGCCATGGAAACATGCGCCATAGTTCAAGAGCTTGACATTGAGTCGCTTCCAAGTAGCAAGATCGCACTCAATCTCAAAAGAACGGTATATCTTCGCTCTAGTGATAGAAAGAAGTTTGAAGAGTGCATTCTGGAGGCATGTGTGCCATGTAGAGATGCTCTAGGCACTATTTTGAAATGGGAGATCTATTTTTCGTTTCCTGATCGGCCTGTAGAGCACAGGACAGGAACCTTAAAAGAACTTTCTGAATACTTTGCTATCGGTAATCAAGGGCTATTTGAGATGTTTAAGGCGTAAATACTTCGTTCTATCTCTTCAGAACAAGAAGCAGAGTTATTATCTTTTCAAACTAGCTTGTCGAAAAACCTTTAGAGTAAGAGAAACATTTACATTACAGGTAAAGACTCTCCCATGATTGACAACCAATGATTTCAATTAATCAGCTTAAAGAAATACAGGCTATTCATGGGGATTCGAGATGGGGTCTCGGTAGTGGAGGCTTATGAAAGGATGCCGAGGAGTCAGTTCTTACATTGCTCCCCACCAAGAGCTTTGAGAATGGCTTTGTCACAGAACTAACAATGGGATACTAGCATAGGACTTTTGGGGCCCTTCCATTTTGAGTAAGAGGTCTTGAGAATTTGAACCTTTGATCATTAAACTTTCTTTGATGAAGCCTTGTACTTGAAAACAGTCTGAGAAATACATTCTGACACTAATCAAGTAAAAGTTCAGAACCGAAGAGGCGTTTAGTTAGGAATTGAATGCATTGAATATATTAAAAAGGGTTAAGCTCTACCACTCTTAGCTTTTTGCATGTCGAAAACCAAGGTAAAGTTTTTCCCATACAGGTTCTTACTTGCCCCAGATTTAGTGTATTTAGTTTATATAGGATCATTGATAGGATATTACACCTCTAGTGCTCATTTTCATGCTTCCTTGTATAGAATTTGAGGTAATTAACTTTTAATTACCAGTTGTTCTTTGTATCTTTGAAAATATGCACCTAATACGTCAAGAGATCTTCTCATTGAATTACTTCATGATTGCGTGATAAGTTTCTACGATGAAAGTGAGGAAAATGCTTTGGAACCATTGAGAGCCCATAATGTAGTCAGTCTCTTTTCGATCAGGCAATATAAATAGTTTAGCGTACAAAATTTTCGTAGTTCATGATTATCTGTTGAAAATTATTATATAAATTTGATGATAGAAGATAGAAAATCTTGTTTAAAGTAACCTGGCCTTTCTACATATCGCGCTGCCCCAACATTCGGATCTTTCTTCTCAGCTTTGCTTAGCACTTTTGAATCTAGTTAGTTGTGACTCACGCCAAACGCTGAACTAAATATGTCATGTCTCACATCATGCTTGTATGATTAACGGGAAATACACATATCTATTTAGCTAACCATGGAAACAGAAATCGACTTTTTCATTTCCTCAATCCATTTCGACTCTATCAACGCCAGCGAGAGTGTCCAAATTGTAATAAAGATGTGCAGCTTGCTCGAATTCATCGCGAACACGAATCAGTCAGATCGTTTCGTACCTGGTCCATCGGTGGTAGAACCGAGGAGGCGGACTGGCAAGAGTTTGACAGTGCAAATCTGCTGCCGGAGGAACCTGATTGCCATATGACAGTCAAGCCATCCGAGCCAGTTAAAGAAGGTCTTTTCAGCTTTCAAAGAGGTAAAAACGATACAGAAGCTAGAAAATCTGTTCTTCTCCCGGCATTACCCATACTCCCTGAAGGACCAAGAAGGCAATCTCCTTGTTACTCGCTTCCGTCAAAATTAGGTAGGTTTTCCTACTAGTCGAACTTTTCAGATATTCTGACATATATTCTTGAAAGAAGACAAAGGGACCTCATCGAACATAATTCAGTTTCCTCCCTTTGACAGAATCCTTGGTATATTTCCTAGACCGCCTACCCCTGTTCTGGCTCTCAATAACAGACGAGCAGATGGAGCCTCGTATGTTATTTAGTTTGACCTTTGTTACTTCCACAATCATCTACTATATCTTATCTTGTATATATGCAGTCTCTAACGGAGATGTCTGGTGTGAAGCTTAGAATCATCTCACCGAGACTTTTTTCTTCTTCCACTTTATTATAAAACCTCCCAAAACTCCTTATTCTGGAAAGAGAAAGAGAATTTTTAGATAGAAGGTAAGCAAAGACACAAAAATAATCACTATTCTGATTCGCATGTGTAACTGAGTAGCGGGGTAAAATATGCCTCATCACATCCCATTCAAACTCCTTTTGACTCTTATTGCTATAGGTCCAAATGTGTGAGACCACAATGCATGACCAGGCACCTGTGCTATTAGAACTGATATGGAATCATCCACAGCCTGAAAGAAATGAAAGCTTTGTACATGATCTTCTGATCAGGATTGTTGAGAATGGATGCAGGATAAATCAGCCAGATTCGCCAGATTCTGCTTTACAGATAGACGAGCAAGACGGGAAAGAAAACTGTAGAAAATTGGTGTTCAAAAGATCCAGGCCCTTCAGTTGAGGATCTAAACATTCTAGGTCTGAGAGTTCAACCATAGGAGGCCGGGCTTGACTTGGTAGCATAAGCTCTTATAGGCCTACAAGGCTCAGTTTGGTAGTCTGAGGTTTTGAAATATCATGTGTACTAGGTTGTGGATCGGATACCATTCTCGAGATATCATGCTGAGTAGACGTTTCCAGCCTTTCGGCCCTTTCCATACCCAGTGGTTCGATCTATAGTTCTCTTAGATATCACCCACACAGTATGCTCCTAGATATGCCTTTACCCATAGATCCCAGTATCTTATATGAATATGGGTTCGGTTATAGGCCGAATGTAACTCAATAACTTGCTTTGATTGAATCTTTGCATTAGAAAGTATGATCTTGAAAATGAATTGGGTTTAGCCCCTTCATATTTTAACCAGCTACTCAACTATAAATACTCTGCTTTCTCTCTTGAAGTCTTTCCTGACAAAGCTGCTTTACACTACTCCAAACATTTCTTCCACAACATCCCACAAACAATGGAGATACCCACAGAAAGTTTTCTCTATGATTCTTCTACTACCCTACGAAAGAGGTACAGAGACTGCTGCAAGTTGACAGTCTCAGTCTTGCAGTTCACTACAAGTTCCGAGACACACACCTTATTTGTGTTGTTATTCCAGCGCCATGATGGAGAATGGGGACTTCCCGGACAGCCCTTGAAGGAATCTGATGATACAATCCTGCAAATTGCATCACATCAGTGGTCGCATGCAACACAGTTAGCTGAACCCTTGACTGGGGATCAATTCACCAGCCGATCCTCCATCAACTTCAACAACGACAGTATTTTGGCGGCACACTTTGGACTTATTATCAACAACGACATATCCCCAGCCCCAGAACCCGGAAGACTATGGATGGAAAAGGTCAAATCTCCTGTTGGCAGTGACCTATGGAAACTAGGGGATGGCTTCCGTGATTACTCTTGGTTCACAGAGGAGCAAGTCAGAACTTGTGAACATATCGAATCAGGATTAAAAGCCCACTTGAGGAATGCTTTCCTAATGGAAACGAAGCTTGTATAAGATTACGATTTTGTGGAGCCTTTTACTGTTATCATCTGCTTCCGGAGACACATTGAGATTGAACTCTATTGAATTCATATAAAAGATTGAACTATCACGATACCATGGCAATGAGATAGGGATTTAGCCCAATTCAACCTAAAATATTGAACATAGACCAATCAGAATATCTTCATATCTTAAGCATCGATCTAAAGATCAAGTGGAAATTCTCAATCTAGCATTTCTTCTCCATTCCCGTCCACACAGTTCTATGGGTAATGCTGAAACACACCACAAGAGACAACAGATCGTTCCGGACCTGCTGGGAACTCTTCAAATTGCAAAGTGAGGTAGATATATGTTTTTTGTGGAAATATCCCGAGGTTGTGGACATGAATGGGGGTAGGGATGAACTGACTAGATTTGGTTCCACCTACAACGATCCTGTACTTTGACCCTTGCATTACATCAAGCTACACACTTGAAGTTGTGGTATGGTCGAATACCCATGTCTCTATAATAACGGGTTTCCAGAAGATAGATGTACACTATATGACAGAATTATCAAGTAAACTCAAATGATACGGCCTAGGAAAGGTCCCAGCCATCAATGTAAGGCTCATGAGTAACAAGGCCGGTGAAACCATGACCTTACCATCAAACAAGAGACTTGCTCGGTTGCACAGACAGTGCAGGGATTGTATACACTTGAATATGGATGGTCCGCTGCATAGTTTTCTTTCAGTTGATATTCAGATCATAGCAAAATCCCAATGGGACATCTTTCGCACCCAGGGGAAGAAGCCGCCAGAGGTGTTTCTTAAAAGCCCAGCAATCCCAACTCAAATCGTAGTCCACCCACGGCACGTTCATTTTCTTTGTCTTTATCATCTGAGTCTTCTCTCACAATGTCTCTGGCTACAGAAACACGCACCCTAAAGGTAAATCCTAAATCTTTGACAAAGCTTTGCTTTTGCCCTACTGATGAGACAGACCGTAAGAGTCTGTATACCGAGTCGCTCTTCGGACATCATGAGATTTATCTATCCTGAGAATCAATACCTCTCTGGTGTGATCTTGGCGGTGGTTGAATTGAACCACGATTATTCAACAGGACATCTGCCTGGAGGCCATATGGAGAACTCGGTCCTAGCGGATCTTGCCTTCTTCGAGGATATGATGCCTCTAGTTCACCAGCATTTTGGGCCTTTCCTTTTACCGCTGAAGGATGTGAGCCTTGTGGCTCCCCGAAAAGATCTGGATGATCCAAGGCTTCTAGCTCGTTGGAAATACTTGTTGGAACACAGCCAGTATTTGAAGCAGTCAAGATCCCGCAGAGTGATTGATGGACCCGAGGTTATTCGCAAATGGTACACACACCGTTTGATGGAAACCTATTTCGAGATGCATGATCGGGCCTCCCTGACGGTCAAGACAGCAAGCTCTGCTAGAGATCGTTGTGTCAACATCTATGCGGGATTGTTCGGCCAGTTTCCATTTTATATCTGTGACCAATTGTTAGAAAAATGGACCCGGGAACTCGATCCTGATTGGGAACCGTGTGAACCTCAGCCAGATTGGTGGCCATCACACATACCGTACATACGGATCAGCTCCCTGACAAAGTCAAGTAATGAAAGCCAAGAAATTTCTCAAAAGCGCGAATACTGACGGTGAAAAAAGAGAAAGTCGAATTCCTAAGTATTCTGTTATCTGGCAGATCATTAGACAGCATGACCGCCCCGGAGCTTGACATAGACCTGACAAATGATTCTGGAACAGCCAAGGCGCATTATCAAGATATGCTGATCGATCTATTAGAGATTTTCCACCTTCGGAGGATCCCACTTGGAGAATGTTAGTGACTTTTTATCAAGGCCTGTTTCGAATATCTGGATTTACCATACTGATCCGCAAGTATCTGGCTTAAATTTAGCTCAGGAGGCCTACAGATCAGGCCCAACGCGAAACCAACCAAAGATATATTCCCCTATTCAGGAAATCTTAATCCTAGCCCATAGCTCGGTGGGAGACCTCAAAGCATTAGGCAATGGGTTTTGTATTATGTGGCAATACTACGACTGTCACGGAGAGCCACTGTAAGTATTATCTGCGTTATCAGTCACAACATGCTAATTCAGACAAGGAGTACTGCAACTTCATGTCTTGTGGCACTTGAGGAAGGAAAACTGACGGTACAGAGCGGAGTTATTCTTCCTCTACTGCAAGATTGTCAGATTGTTCAAAATATTCTTGACAATAGTCGGACCGAGATTTCCAGGCTCGTTGTTGCAAATGAGTTAGTACCATAACTCTCGAATGGATACGGAACGAAGACTTAACTCGCAATTATATAGAATGATGTACGATGGATCTGGATTAGTTCGATCTTATACGTGAGTCAATTAGCTAGAATTAAAAGCGCCGCTAACCTTCTAGGGCATTTTCAATACACGAATCAGTTCTCAAGCCAAGAGATTCGCCAACCCTCGCCGCTCGTGGCTGGGAGCTCATCCCACAGGCAATCATCAAGTATGAGGGTGTCTATCGAATTGAGAATGGTGTGAGAATGCTGGCGGGAGTTAGCGACTAGACTTGCTGTTTTTATGAGAAATTTATTAGGGGCATCAGAGGCAGTTCTCCAAGGTTGATTAAGTGCCCAGGAAACCTTGATATATCTATGTAGATTTGAGAAGAAGAAGGGGTTCAAATACAGATACTTTCGCCAGTCAGCGGCCGATTATCGTCATCGCTGATTTGGAGCTCCTTTGAATTCAAGCTCTGAGCCCAAATTTCCTTCACTCAACTAGGTCACAATCTCATATACATGATTTATCCCGCAAAGGGTAAACACTCAATGTATCCTGTGATTGGATCTCGGCAATTAGGACACTTCTTTGGCCTTGGAAGCCTATCTGTGCATGATTTGCAGAACATGTGTCCACAAGAAATCGTCACCCAGCGATCAGGCTGCTCGTAGCAGATCTTGCATTCAAAAGTTCGCTTCTGTCGTTCATGAGAAAGCTCTCCTTCGGTTATCCGATGGCTTTTCCTTTCCTGGCGAAGTTCATCTTGGAGTACTTGGATCCTGTCCTGCAGCTGTTGGATCTCATGGCGAACTGTCTTCCCAAGCTTCTTGAAAATGTTCTCCTGGTAAACTATTAGACCAAGAAAAACCAGGGCATGAAAATTGTGAGAAACACTCACGAAGACAGACAATTCATCTGTTTCGGTTCTTCTGCGTTTTCGAGATGAGTTTGTATCCCCCTCCTTGTCGACTAATGCGTCGATCATGTTCTCAAATTTCTGGTAGCTATAATCAGGACGAGCGCCAGTCCGAAATCGTGAGCTAACTGGTTCGAGGCTTGTCGATTCCTCTTCGTCGTCTATAAGTATCGTATCGGAAGGGCTTGTCATTGTGAGTGAGGCACCACGCTCAGGGAGAAAATCGGCACGAGTCGGCTAGAGAATAATAAAAGAGAATATCAAGAGTACACTGCTGGCTGGGCAGGTAGCCCCTTTATAAAGCCCAGAGCCAACAGTAGAAGAATCAGCCCTGGAAATTGATTGGACAGTAGCGCGAGCCTGAAACCTCGAGCTTTATTATACGATTGGACGACAGATCCCGATAATGCAGGACTGGGTTATATACAGCATTGTATTTGACGCCATCTCGAGGCAAAAAACTTAGTACCGGTTTGCTTGGAGAATCAGTTCATCTTCCCTCCTCTATCCTACCTGTAACTGCCTTCTGCTAGATGATTATTTATGCAGAGAACGTTCATGTATAGGCATGTGTTTGAGAATGGGAATGGGACGACTGCTGTTTATCACCCTACTGATTTGCTTTTAGAAATCTCGCCATCATTATTTCAGCACGTACGTAATGAGAACAGACAATCGGCTCGCATAACCACCACACTCCTTGGTCGTGTCGTGCAAGTATGAATAATGAGTTAAGTAGACCCACGAATTTCAATATATTTCAATCTAAGCTGTCCTATTTCGCACCGGGTCATAGTACATTCTCTTCGGCGAGGCAGCTTCTTCAGTTAGCTCTACTTTCTCATTGGCTAACAGTAGAGAGAAGTTAGCCCAAGCGCCAAGAAGATCTTTTAATCTCTCAAAATGATATTTCTTACCGATGCCTCTGCCAGCACCCTTTCCTCCTTTCCGTCGGTTTCGATTATTCCTAACATCTCTTGACCGGAAAATACTATACAGCAACCAACCTGCCACCCAGTTTGGCCCATACTTCCCGATTGTTCTACCGCGATCAAGAAGTGGACGTGTGATGGGGCCGGCGAGTCGATAAATCTCGCTGATTGCCCAGGTCTGTCTTTCAGGTATGATATGATGCCAGAAGAATGGGGGTCGGGTGTTCGGGTCAGTGCGAACACTGTCCAGGAGATGCGAGGTATCCTTATTCATGCGGTTGTAGACAAGGATAGTTTCGTCCTTGTATGTATTAGATATGTCTCGAATTGGGGGTTTAAACGGGAGAATGATATGTATGAGACTATTATACTCACTCGCATCGCTCGGTAATAATGTTCATGCTGTGCATCATGGGGGTTTAGACCCAGCGCTAGTATGAACTCTTTCTTAGAGACTCGAGGGTTCACAGATGCCATTTCCATATGCCCAGTGTAGTAAGGTTTTGAGTTCGTATTGGAATGGAGCAAGGCTTCTTGGGCTTGAGCTGTGCTGGACTCTTGTAGCCGGTAGTCGTGTGGAGGGCGGCAGTGTGGGTTGTCGGGAAAAACGCAACAAGGCGAGATTATATGACAGGGACGATACAGACATGTTTTTGAACGGCTGAATATCCATGGATCTCCCAGAGTACTCATATTAAACTTCCCGGGTTAAACCAATCTCAAACGGATTGTCCAGCAAAAAAGCCCCAAACGGTCTCTACTCCAAGGCCGCGGAAGATTTGCCGTTGAGACCAAATTGCAACTATGTATTGCTTGTAACAAGAGGCTACCAGGTGAGAAAATGAGCCAGGGGTGAAAAATAAAGCCAGGAGGCCATTTGCAAGCCAAATGGGTAACCGAAATTTAACAGGCGTAGACGCATTTGCACCGAGTCCGCGAGGGACATGTTGAAGGCTGAGCAAAGTGGATCTCCCTTGACAAACGGGACTCTCTTGGCAGAAGTGATTTATAATAGACGTCTAGGCGACATATGTACAGGAATCCACTGTAGTGGCGATTTATTAATACTGAAAAGATAGTAGTGGAAGAAAACCTACGAACACGTAGCGACTCGGGGCTATATCGAAATAGCAAAACTAAAACAAAATGACATGCTTAATTCTAATTCTACTTTTTTATCTTGTAAGGGTGGTAATTAGTTCATTCAGGGATTCCGTGCTTCAATACACATGTAAGATTCGGCTCTGTGAGGGTACAGCCGGAGTTGTACAATGTGGCCCGTTCAGACCATTTTGAAACCACCAACAACCATAATTCAACCACGTCAAACGTAAATAGGCACCAGAAGCCAAATGGATTACTGGTTAGATTAAGTACATACATCCCTTGCATATGGCCTGATAGGATAAGATACAAGTCCTGTGTTCTTACTCACTTATATAGTGGCGATGGAAAAGGCACTGCGGGGCGAACGGGTCATCTGTCTGGGGACGGAATATACGGTTTCAGGCCATTTTGAAATCACCCCTGGATCCTTGGCACCAAAGCCAAGTAAAATAAAACAGAGAAATGAAATCAGGCGATTGAGTGTCTTTAGATCGAATGTTTAAAGGAGACTCCAAGGTCGAGCTTACCGCCCGAGAAAATGAGTAGGAAAGCTGGGTGCAATGGATGTATTGAGGCGTTTGATCTCGGTTTGCTGATCGGATAGATTTGAGATAGGGGATGCAGTCAGACCCTAGAACGGGGATAATGTTGGCTGGTTTCTGGATATGTCGGTATCCGTGAAGAACCCAGATCAACTTGCCACAGCAAACTATTGGTCCACGTCTTCATGAATGAGTCCCGCGTCGTCTGCATTTTCCACTTCGTCTTGGATCCAATTTTCGAAAGCAGGTATATACCGATGCACAAGAATCAAGGCATCGACCTTACTTAGAGAAAAACTTATTAAATTGTCGTCCCGGCCTCGCTCCGGTAACCAGCCATCCGCACAGAGCTGCTCCTGAATCGATTTTTCGATGTCGAAAATGCAACTTTCCGAGTCGAGAACACACTGCTCTTCCTCCAACCATGGATATGGAATTGTGGGTAAATTATAGCGTTGAGAATATTTCGCTACGGAGCAATTCTATAAGCAAAAAGCATGTTCATCTAAGCTGCCGAATAGACTCACTTTGCTCCTCAATATGGTCCCTCGCAAGCTGATGCATGAAATAGTAAGGTAATAATTTTGCGAAGACCTTTGTTGTCAGAGCCATAGACCTATGCAACATTGCCTGTCCTGTATTGCATTGGTTAGTTTTGGTACTGTGTATGTCGTCTGTGAGCTGGTATTTTACTGACCTGCCTGCTCGCGGTCGCTAGGCCCGATAGAAGACAAGCTCGACACGGCAACGAATTGATGGGCCATGATAAACAATGAAGTTCGAAGGAGTAACGATAGAAAGCGAAGGAGATTTCTCAAGGACGGTAAACTGTGTGTGTTGAGGGTTGGATGAGTGGGAGATGAAGACCTATTTAGGCGAGAACGCTGAGTCCGGCCCGCAGCTATACGCACATTCCAAACATATCCATCGAGGAAGTTCGGGAAGAAAGAAGATTGCAAGATTTTCCAAATCAAGCAAACACTGTCATTAGAAGACTTTCGGAGCAAACTTTATCACCTAGTATGGACAAAGAACTGTGGGGCGAGAACTCTCTTGGCAGAGTCTAACGAAGCGAGTCCTCGCTTTGAACAAAGAAACACGAAGCTCGTGACTCGACAAGGTGGGTCGTAATAGACAACGGCCTAATTTTCTCGCGTACGAACAAAGAAACTTGGTTTTCCAATGCTGGTGACCGGCGACAGGGTATTCGATTGAGTTCGAGAGCTCAGGCTTTCAGGAAGGCAGAGGTAACGAACGAATGAAATGAGAGAGAGAGGAGTGGGAGGGGGTGTTGGGTTACGTAGCTCGAGGAACAGCCCATTAACCGGCCCCATGCAAAAGAACATACCTTGCTATTTCTTGGTCGGTCATTTATTTTGGTACTCAGAGAGGAATTTATATTCATTATAGCTCGTGGACCGGATCGATTGCCAAGCATCAGATTCAGAAGGTCCAAAGCTAGATCTGGGCTTCGAACACGCATGTAGCTTGCTCGGGCGCGCATTAGCTTGTGGATCAAGACAATAACGGTAAATTTGAAAGTGAAAAGAAAAATTAATTAAATGTCACAAAGCCTCTAAATTGTATTTTCAAGAGTAAGTGAGAGATTTGTAAAGATACAGCCGTGGCCTCTCAACATAGCTCTCTGGCGCTTCGATTCTTCTACTTCATAGTTGGTAATTTCTACCGCAAAACCACGCATTTTTACAAAAAGTTGCTTCTGTTCAATCTTAGCGATTGCGTGAATGGCCAGAGGGAAGGTTGACTCTTTGTAGTCAACTTATTTTCTAATTGAGCCACGTGATTTTTAAATTCGACAAGTAGTTGGCCAATGCCATGCATCGCACTTTCATTGACCGTTGAAACTGGGGTCAATTGGGGAATGTTCTCCGCCCCCATACAGCAACTTCAGCCTCGAGTTGAATTAGATTAATGGCGTCGTTCAAGATACTTAAAATTCACCATCTGGTTACAAATAAAATATTGAAAACCAAGAAATTTGACATCGGCCTACTGGCTCCAATGCAGGGATTCGAAATTTGTGGATGCCCATAAAGAAAAAATTTTTGTCTGATTATCTTTTTTAGACTTTCTTTGATGCGGAAGACCGGACAAGTTGCCCCCGAACTTTAACGCAGCCACAGTATCAGCACTGTGCCAAATCCTGGTTAGATAGCAGCGAAAGTTACAATTTAAACCGCTATATTGTGAGCAATTCGCCTTTGAATTACTTTTCATCTTCCTTACATCATATTCAAACCTTTCAATATGTGCTCATCACAGGCATCTGGCCATAGCAAAGAATATACTGAGATGGAGGAGCGAGCTCTAGTTCACCTTTAGGTACAAGGTCTACCGTGGCCTGAAATTGTTTATCAGTTCAACGAACGGGTCGACCTCGACCGGCAACGAACCCAGGCGGCGCTAGAGTCAAAATGGCGGCAATTAAAGGCCAGAATTTTTACGTAATGGACTCTACTCCCTTTCATACCGATACACATCACTAAATTCTCCAGTTCCGCTTATGCACGGAATGAGATGTGACAGACAAAAGGAGCAATTGGAAGGGATCGTGTTATATCAACCACACACCTCATATGGTTGGGTATTCCCCACCTTGGCTTCCTAGTCCGATAGAGCTAATGGTGCCACTTTGACAAGTTTCTTTTTGTGGAGTCTATTGAAGTACATTTTGCAAGTCCTGAAGTCATTGAATTGTCGCATTATGAGATCAAAATCACGAAGCAGGTATCCTTTTCTTCTTTTTGAAGGACTCTGATATAATTCCATTCCCAGAAGCTTTGCGCTTTTTAGACTCATCGCAAATGGGGCACGAGAAAGTAAGAAAGTGCGTATTTTGTTTTCCAAATGGCGAATGAAAGCCTTGCTGCACTTCAAACCATTGTATCGAGTTGGGAAAACCACTTATTTTCCGTTGAAAGCTTTGTTTTCCTTGGAGAGAAATGCTGACTATATCCTTTGGCTGGCGCACAAAGAAGGAGACCTGCTTTCGATACCGACAGCACGCTGCGCAGATATTGGCGATGCTACAATCACCAATTACTTCGCTTTCAATGACAAACTGAAGGGTTGAGGCATGAAGCTCGCCAAGGGCATTGAAGACGTCCTTTGGGTTTATACGACAGCGGATCGAGCCCTGGCAATAGTAAAATCCTCCTTGGTAGCATGAGGGCTGATCAAGTGTGAAGAAGAAATTAGATACAAGGAGTGCTGTAGCGACTTCAGTTAATTGGCAAAGTGGGTTGAGGTGAATCCTTTCCTTTTGCGACTGTAGATTTTCCACATCATCTAATCGAATGGGTGACGAGAGCTGAGTGTCAAGACGAAAATAATCCTTTCTGTGCTGTTCACTAAGACAGTTTGTCATATCACGGGAGCGGGTATGCCCATCAAGAAAATCCATAAAAGATGCCCAGAGTCGTATAATTGAATGGCTGCTTCTTTTCACATTACTTTTACCTTTTATGACTTCTCCAGTGCCGAGGGAGAGGGTAATATCATGAACCGTATTCTCAGACCAAATTCGCTTCGCTTCCCAAGTAGCGAGTTCTATTGGGTTCGGGAAGCCCAATCCACCGTCCCAGAACTCTTGATCACCGATTTTGATTGGCTTAAAAAAACTAAAAAAAGAAAGGAAAAAAAAGAATCAGAGTGGTTAATAGTCAAGTTCAGTCTAGATACTCACATTGGTGCAGCGGTTGTGGCGCGGGCCCTATTGTTGTTAGCTTAGTCAAGTTGACATATATAGAGACACCAACGCTTGCCAAAGAAGAGGTTCGTGAAGTATATCGTCAGGACGAACGAGCGAATATCCTAGATAGTTTAGCTGTGCATGAAGATTCTATATTGGCTTCATACCTTCTTTGCCACTCAGTGCCACAGGTCCATTGTAATTTGTCAGAATAGTGCGACTGTTACCACCTGACGTAGCAGTCACTGCCACTTTAGTCCCCTGTATAATATGAGGCACAAAGCCAAAGAATTCACAAGCCTGAAAGGTTTCCTGAAGAGCTCTCTCTAAAAGATTCTCCTTGTACATCGCGTCAGTAGTTATATAGTTCACCATTGATTTCAGTCGACCAATTAAAGACCCTGAACCGGAGAAGCACTTGATTGCAAGTGTCTCAAATGTCGATGCACATTCTGAAACAGGCCATTTCTGATGGAATTGAGCCAGAACGGTCAGACCTCCTAAATGACGGTTAGATTCGTCTGCTAAGTAAATGGTTTATGAATAATGGCCTACCTGAGCTTGTGCCTAAAGCCAAGTCAATCAGATCGTGAAGAAGACAATTCCCTAGAAGCTTTTGGAGCTCGGTCATAAACTCCAATGGTGACACACCTCGTGCGCCACCACCATCAATTCCTAATAATCTGACACCAGCAGTTTGAGGTCTCAGATTTACTTCCGCCCTACCACCATCGTTAAATATACACTGAATCTTAAATTGACTTTCAGTCCTTGGAACCCCAATCCCAAATGTGGCGACGCATGTATCACATAGGGAGTGACCGCAGCTTAGGTGACGCTCGGGATACCGTCTCAAACAGCCTATACACACTTGATTACTGCAAATGGGACGAATGAAATGCTCATACTTGATCGCAGTTCTCTTATGCAGTTGCGATGAACTTACAAGACCTTGCTCAAGTGATTCAAATAAATCTTCACAATTGCGTCGCACCTCCTCGTTCATATATCGAGTGCAAGACTCGTCATACACAGAGCTGAATGATAATGTGCAGTGGTCTTGGTAGAGGCTTTTATAAACCAAGGTGGGATCGAACACTGTATAATATGAGTAACATGTTATGGCAACGTGGAAGTACATACAGTGCATCCGTGGCGGAAATGCATCCATCATAATACTTGATGCGATAAATGATGCCGTTATGCCATATGGGACCTTATTCTTTGTGGCAATTCTCAAGAAAGTTTGGAGGAAGTCAGTATAATTGCTGGCAATAGGGTTTGTTAGACGAGCAGCATAGACAAAGTCAAAGCCTCTAGATGTCGTAGCAATGGTATGACCGGTTGCGAGCTTAAAAAGGGCAGATATATGTAAGCCAGAAAATAAACATCTTAGATGTCGGCGGATAGCTCTCATCTCTTCAAGCTGTGCACGGATTTGAAATCGGAGCCTTTGATACCGCGCTATAGTGGAAAGATGTCTTCCAGCGAGCCGGAATATCTTGAGTGAGGAAAATATCGACCATATTCGGGATCCTAATATGGACTCCAAGGACTTCCCAAATGCTTCCACCATGTTATTATAGGGACCATCCTCCGAAACGATAATAAGAAGTTTAGGTCGCAGATCTAAGGGAAAAGTTGATGCACTCCCTAGCTCAACCCAGGACTGGAGGAGACTAGATAGTGAGTCTAGTGTCAGAAAATCATCTGCAAAGATACAAATCACATCGCTAAACAAGTTGACTAGTCTTGAATAGATCATATCCAGAGGGGATCTTGAATACTGATTTGGACGCCAAGAGATGGAATGGCGTGTGGTTTCATGGCAGTTTGTGTAACTACTCTCCTTAGAGAGCTGCTCAGATGGGTCACTGTCAATGAGTAGTATAGGATAATCATTGTGAATGGACTCATTATCTACTCGAAGGTTAACATGGGCACGTTCTGTACGGCGACTAAGATTATTTCGAGGAAATAGACTCCGCAGAGCTTCATCCTTAGTCCTCTTTCCCAAGAAGAATACAAATTGAGGACACTGGGCTTCAGGCTCTGGCATATCCCGGACCAGAGTATTGAGTATATCCGATTGTTCGAGATTGATTGTGCTAGTGTTGTGTTCTTGAACAGCGCGCAGCCATCCGATATGTCGACAGGAAGCCATGATTGGGAATACCTGTAGAGGAGACAGAACGAAAAGATCCGTGAATATATTTATATTCTGGTGGTCACAAAAGTATACCAGTACCTATAATTGCACAATAGCGACTTTGAAAGTAGAAAAACGGAATGTCTAAAAATAATCCGGCTTAAGCGCCCTGTGCCAGCAGGGCTTCTAGAATCAAACATTGTTCTCGGTTCAGGGACTCTGAATGTCGTAAACTTTTATCGAGTTCCTCGAAAAGCTCAAGAATTTTGGTAATTGATTGAAGTGACATAGTTGAGATCTCTATTCGCTTTTTGTAATGCTGACGAATCATATTGAGAAGCTGTTTTTGCTCAAGCTGGTGGCTCAAAGGATGCTTTTGAGTATCTGTTGGGGCCTAAGACAGGACAGAAAAGTTTAGCCTTGAGGTCTCACGAAGGGAACAGCGATAAATTGACTTGACTGGATGGATGTTGCGGTATAGCTGACATGTTCGGCTGATAAGAAGGGGTTGAGCAGTACAAGGGGACGAAAGACGAGTCCAGCAGCACTTTGTACTATCTTTTATGCCTAACGGGCCTAGAGCTGATTATCACCTCTTCTGAAGCCACGCCCCCATATCGAGCGCGTAATTTACAGTTCGATCGACATGGCCGGGTTCGGGGGCTGACCCGGCGTGTGTTGAAAATACCAAAGTACATATGATGGCTTGTGGGGCAACATTTTGGTTCCACTCATTACTCGCATACATAAAAAGCCCCCACTCCAGTGGGGCGACACAGTGACTGTGCCGCTGGAGATGAGCGAGTGATGATCTTTGCTCTGAAAATCAGTGGAAAGTTAGCCTATCCTATCACCGGCAGTACAACAAAGGCATCCTCCGTGGGCATATTCTCGTGGGCGGCCTTCTCGTGGGCGGCTCCCTCGTGGGCGGCTCTCGTAGGCGGCTCTCGTGGGCGGTATTGAAACTTCGCGGGGGCGAGCCTCGCAGGAGTTCGGTGGTTTCGCGATCGACGTCGGTTCGTCGGACGCCTTTTAGCTCGTGGGCCGGACTGGCTGCCAAGAAGGTCCGAGGACGTGTCTGGACGAACATCCCATGCATTAGCTCGTGGATCTAAAGTGAAACGTGATTTACATCCCCTGTACCTTGTCACGGGGGGGGGAAGAAGCGCCCATGTCTCACTCCAACCTACATTAGCTCGTGGATCTAGAGCGATAACGTGATCTAATCACCCTGCGCCTTACAACAGAAGTGTAAAATTTGGGTAAACTTATCGCAGCGGATTCTGGCGACTAGCCAACCAGGATCTTTTGCAAGTGTTATATTACGCCACAATGATCTCAGTGAGGGGATGTACGAAAGGATTCACATAAATTTATCTAACGCAATCTGGAAAGCAATGTACAATGTCTCCTCTTCTTTCATCCGTTTACCCGACCGTAGCCTTCATTTGCATTTCCTGTACTGAGTTGGAGAGCTGTAAAAGATAAGGCTGTAGCTGCTCGACGTAGCTCTCTAAGGCATTGATCGTTCTTTCGATAATTAATAACATGTATTAAAATGTTTCATTGATTGACAAACCTCTCCTTTTGAGCGATCCTGATAGATTCTTTAGTATGAGAGAATAATAAATAACTTTGAGATCTTACATGTTTTCCAAATCACCAACACGATTCTGTAGGTCGACAAGTAATTGGTTCATTTCACATGTATCACTCTCACCAACGGATGGAGCTAGTGTCAGCTCAGGCAGGCTCTCCACTGTTGGGACTGGCTCTTCGCCAGGTGGAGCAGCCTCAGCCTCAAGCTGGAATGGATCAATGTACTGATCCAAGAATTCATTCCAGCAGAAGTCTTCCTGCTGTTCGAGTGGATATTGGAGATCAGGGAACTCAGCATTCATATCCTGGCTCCAGAGGAGAAAATGTTCGAGGTTGGTAGTAGGCTCCATAGTGTGAATTCAGATTTTTGTTGGGTGAGAATCAGGGATGTACTGTGCTTAATTTATGGCACAGTGACTGTGCCAGAGCTGTGCCAGAGCTACCTCGGTTTCCGGATTTATCAGGGGCCAAGGTCATAAATAGAATCCATCTGTCGTGGGCGATTCGCTTCCCGATCAATTTTCACCTTTTCTATACCACATTGGAGCGTCCCAAAATGTCGGTGCAAGCGCCTGGCCATAACAAACAATACACAGAGATTGAAGAGCAGATTCTTGTCTACTTCAAGACACAATGTCTTTCCTGGTCTGAAATTGTTACTGAATACAACAAACGAGTAGATCTCGACCGGCAGAGAACACAGGCAGCTTTAGAAACAAAGTGGCGACAACTCAAGCCCATAGTCTATATTGGGTAATTCCCCCTCTGAAATCTCGTTTTACGCAACCGCTGATCCCTCAAGCGCGTTTCATCCCACGAATCAGAATGAAAGGGAATTGGACGGGGATCTGTACAATGTATCACACTAGTCACGGATGTGATTCGGCCATGCTGAAAGCCGGGGGGCTGTTTGTGATTACCTATTCCAGTAAAGCTTCAGAGCTGGCAATAAAGATAAATAACCCTCTGTGGCCCTGCTTCTAATATCCTAAATCTTCATCTTTTCTTTCCACAATTCCTGCAATCATGAAAAACCAATCAGTATGTCCTTTCTTGAGATATTTCAGCAGAATGACTTGGCTGATAGTGTCTAGGTTACTACAGAGTATATAACCACTTCATGGGCTGTGGTCAAAGGCTTCTTCTCTCGTGAGCAGAGACTATTGGAGCATATCGCGCAGATCGAGAAATCTTTGCACCAAGCAGGATGGCAAAACCAACAGGAAAGACTTGGATATACAAATCTGCTCTCGCAATACAATGAGCTTTACGAAGGATACCAGAAGATTCTCGGCTCGTATGAGTCTCTTCTAAAGACAATTGGGGACAAGACGAGTGATACACCTCCACCATCTGCATACGAAGAACTGCGGGTTATATTCGAGAAGCCAGATCATACTGATAGTGTGGATGATCTCGATGAGTATGTGAAGCATGAGGTCAACAGTGTTTGAGTTCCTATGTACTTTGTCAGTTTCCTGGAGTTGATCGTTTCTCGGTCTTATTATGTGACGTATGAATTTATGGCTGAGTAACATTTTCATTATTTATCTGATTGTAGCTAACTCTCTCATCGCTGGGGTCTCTTCGTTCAACATCTGCCATTGTAATGCAATTCGTGTATGGCGCCTTCGAGTTCTGTCAGGAGCTATAGTGTGAGAGCTTCTTGTATGCACATGACGCCTAGTAGATAAATTTGGAGCGGTACGCGGGGGCGAGCGACGAGAAACCCGATTTTGCCTACCCCCTGGTGCGATTACTGTGTTCTGCCGAGGAGGCCTTCTTCTCAATCCTTGTCTCCGCTGTGAGCCCCCGGGTAATACTCGCAAGCGCCTGCGGGCAGTTGGCCCGCGTATATAACTTTCTGGCTCGGAGGTCGCTACAGAGTCGTCCCACCACTCCCCATACGAGTTCGACGAGTTAGGAAGTCGATCTGCTACCTTTTGCTCAAAGGTGAATCTCTGAACTCTCCAATCCTTAGGGTACGAAAAGTTCTCAATTAATTCAGATATAAAGTCCCGGGCATCTTCAAACCTTGCTGTTGAGCGAAAAATAACAGCATCCCTGACAGCAAGGGCCAGTTGTTGCCCAGCCTGAAACCAATTATTTACTGGGATACATCCATAGCCTTCTGGGTCTCCATGAATTAAGTTTATCTGGGCGTTAATGAGTTCGTTAGTGGCCTCGAGCTCTTGTTTAGCATTATAGCGCTCGTTAGATGAACCCCATAGAATCTGAACCATTAGAGGAGAGGCCTCATTCCAATGTGATAAATATCGATCCGTAAGGGAAGGAACACTAGACAAAGCGGGATCCTGGGTCCAGTTTATAAATACACCATATGGACCAGAATCAGGATGACGTCTTGTTGAATAGTGGCGAAGCTGATGAATCCGAAACTGTTCACGAGTAACAGGTAGGTATGCCGGTGGGAGGTTATCAAAGCTCTCCATAGTAGTAGCCAGGGATTGTGAAATAGAGCACTAAAGTGTGATTCTTAAATATCAGGTTCTAGAGATGCTACATTTGAACTGTGACTTCTGTAGTTGCTTATGCACAATTGCGCTTTTTGGAAAATGACCCACATAGTACTATAAGAACCAGCATCCCATTAAGTGGCCGCTAGAAAAGGGCTTCCACTCAATAAACATGCCTGCCTATAGCCATGCGAGTGAAACTAGTGAACGCTCTGAGACTGATAACTCTAGTGATCTTTCTTCTCGGGATGTCAGTCCTATTGATGATGCTCAAGGCAGCGAACCTGGCTCGCAGAGTGATAGAGAGGAAGCCGATTCAGAATCAGAAAATATCTTCTGGCGAGGGCTTGTCGACTTGAACGAGCTTCAAGCTGAGACTCAGAGACTTTATCCTGGTGTATTTTCTAATGGAACGATTCTGGGTTGGCGAGGGAACGGATTCGGCTACTCTGTGATTGTTGGATATGAAACTGGGGGGAAAACGATAGCTCGTGTTGAACCGTTACGAAGACGTCCGTTACCAAGCGATGATCTCCACATATCTTCCACTTGCCGTGGTAAGAGGCGAATGGACAACAGTGATGAATACTGGTCAGTAGCCCAGGTTGCCTCTGTTGGTCTTATTGCATGGCGAGTAGATGCTAAATATAACGACAATCCCACTGCGATTCTTCGCCCTATGCTCAAGGCCTGGTATCCGGAGACTTATATTCAAGTCTTCTGGCAGGACGGTGGAAATTCATGGGAGAGTCGTGGTAACTTTCGTCACATTTATTGTATGACTGACCTACAAGCCGACATCCTGATCTATCGAATGGCAATACACCAACAAAGTGAATACGAATTTGCCCTAACTGGCCAATACCCAACATTGCCTGATGGTGGGAATATGCAAAATCTACATTGGAGGAACACAAATGCCGATGGGAAGGCACATTGGCTGACGCCTCGAGCAAGGAGTGAAACAGCAGACAACTCTTTTAATGAAGAGCGATCAAATAGATATTCTGGCCGTGCTCATTCGAGGCACAGAGGCCATACTGAGGCTGATGTTGGGGAACAAGGTACTGAGCAAAGTTCTGCTGAATCTGATGAGGGGTTTCATGAAGAATCGCAATATAATAATCATGATCATGAAATTGGACATCCCATAGACTCCAGCCATAGTGAAAGTGGTAGCGATAGCGATGATGATGATGATGATGATGATACTCATCAAACACCTAGGCATCATTCAAGAAGTTCTGGCTCACGATCACGCTCACGCTCACACTCACAAAGTTATCAGGCAGGCTTGATGCAGGACACTCCGACACCGTTATTTACACCAGCAAATCGACCTAGAGATAGAAGGCATCTATCGCCGATAGACGAAGATTTTATCACCCCACAATCTCGTCCACAACCACCAAGACATCAAACCCCTACCTCAAGCCGGAGCCATACCCCAAAATCCATATTTAGTCAATCGAGGAACGGCGAATCAACAGGAACATCAGTTGAACCTGATCGTGGAAGCAGCCAGCGAAGTAGCCGAGAGTCCAGCCAGGCAACAGCTAGACTAAACACCCATTCACGGAGACAGGAAAAGGGATCAAGGTCTTTACAAAGTAAGAAATCAATAAGGAGTGAAGGACCGACACCAAGGCCACACACAGAACCAAGACCCCGCAAAAATCAGCAGCAAAACGGGTTGAACTCCGAGCCTTCCTGGTCATTAAAACCAACAAAGCCTACTTTAAATATCGATAAACTATCAGATAGTACACCAGGCCCTTCGAGATCAGGCAGCACTCCTAGCTCCTCGGGGTCTAAAAACAAAGATAAAGACAATTCTAGATCAGGCAGCAGTTTTAGCTCTTCGGGATCCAAGGGCAGAGAAAAAGACAATTCCCAGGAACATTCCACATCTAAGGGTACCCCAGGCTTTTTCAAAGGGAAAGAGGTTACAAAAGATACTTCTTCAATTTCACAGCGTCAAGGACAAGAAGATTCAAGATCAGATGGCACACCAGGCTCCTCCAGATCAAAGGGCAAAGAACGGGAAGATGGTAAGCGGCGAGAGGATTTTGTATCAGATGGCACACCAGGCTCCTCCAGATCAAAGGGCAAAGAACGGGGAGATGGTAAGCGGCGAGAGGATTTTGTATCAGATGGCACACCAGGCTCCTCCAAATCAAAGGGGAAGCAACCAGAATCGGGCTCTAAGCCAAAGAAAAGAACTGGTAAAGGCAAGAAATATGTAGGCGCATATCGTCGACCAAATACTCGGTCTAAAGTAGAATTTGATGTATGAAATAGTTTTAGTTAACCTAAATTGACACTGATTTCCTTTTTCTGACTTATGACTAAGAACTCCAAGATAGCCCTAGACTGATATTGAGATTCTTAAAATTAAAAACTTCAATCTATGTCATGAACAGTTCTCTGCTTAAAATATAAATAGTCACGATTGCTAGCCAATTGAATAAAATGGTAGTTATTTATTCTTTTATTTCTGCGAACCAATCATTACAATCACCGACTAAAGTAGCTTAGTGGGCCCTTGTGTAGAATGTTGAAAACAGAAGTCAATAATCGAATAGTCCTATTTTAGATACCCGTATATATAAAGTAGGGTTAAGGCCTGATATAAAAATTATCTCCCTCCTCCACTACTGTTGACAGACATAATGGAGTCTTATTATGAAGAGGAGTATCAAGCTGCAACCCCTTTGATTGCTTCTATACTATGGGGCAAACAGAGTGAGAGAAATCAACTTGTTATACAGCTAGACACGTTGAACGACCAAATATCTGCAAAGAATACTGCACTCAATTTACCACCCGACGATGGGCTCATTATAACTCCGGCCTTCTCTATAGCAGCAGATCTTCTCAGTGAAGCATCATTGCAACTTCTTGACTCTGGAGAAACTGCTAAATTTTTCAAGGTCAAGAAGTACATCAATAGTACGATTGATGCATATCAATTTCCTTCTATCTGGAAGATTACTTGGAATGAGTTCCTTGACTATCACTCCCTCCACACTGGAGATGATATAGAAAGACTAAAGAAGTCTAATCCTGTTAAGGCTGTCCACGATTCTAGGGAAGATCTTTCACCTAAACAGCTCTTTCATAATGGGCTTCAGGATAAGAGATTTCCTGAACAATCGGCCAAGAAGGAATCATCGGAGGGAGAATGGCCCAGGGGAGAGTTGTCCGAGGAAGAATCACTGGAGGAAGCATCAGGAGGAGAGTCTGAGAGAGAGTTGCCCGAGGAAGGATCGTCGGATGAAGAATCAGAGAGAGAGTCATCCGGCGAGGGAACATCAGAGGAAGAGGCGTCCGAGGAATCAGAGGAAGAATCATCGGAGCAAGAATCAGAGGCAGATTCGTCCAACGAAGAATCGTCGGAGGGAGAATCATCAGAGGACGAATCGTCGGAGGGAGAATCATCAGAGGACGAATCATCAGAGGACGAATCATCAGAGGACGAATCATCAGAGGACGAATCATCAGAGGACGAATCAGAGGAAGAATCGTCAGAGAGAGAGCTGTCCGAGGAAGAATCAGAAGAGGAGGAGGAGGAGGGAGATTTGGAGGAGGAAGAGTCCAGACAAACCTATAAATTTTGGCAGCAGAGTGTCCCATTAGGCTCTGTTCGTCAAAACGCCCAGCGCGAGTTCAAATTTCTCCTTACCAAAGGGTTTGTCTTGGGCTCGCCCGGTGATCACATAGTGATCGTTGGGTTTACATGCCAGGGCTTTCATACAGCCCGCATAAGACCCAAGGAAAGGTATGAAGATCAACTGGGTGGCCTTTCTACAGTCTCTTCCCGAGAGGCTTTGATCGATGGTGTTGGACTGGTAGCTTGGGACACTGGGGCCTCAAGTGATACAGTTGCGGCTATTTTCCCCAAAGAAGACGCAAACTATCCGCCTACATTTATATGGATAAAGTGGGAGAATGGAGAATGGACATGGGAATCGCGCGATGTCTTGAAAACCATTCTTAAGGATTTAACATCCTATGAAGTCGATCTTCTCATATATCATTTAGCAATTTCGCAGGAGGCTAACTTTCAAGAAAAACTTTGCGGAAACCGACCTTGCTTTTCCTACCCTCGTATGTAGCTTCGAAATATATCGTTGATTGAGCAGAATACAGGATACAGTACAGTGATATTCGAAATCAGATTTACCTCGATAATCTCTCTTGTGATCTCGCGGCGCTCCGATTTTCCATATCGGGTTAAGTTCCCTAAGCTATGTAGCCTAGATAAGTCATGATAAATTACTGTAACAGGAGTGTCTCACACGTGCTTTCCCCCATCTGCCCAGGCTGCCCTGCTAAAAAGAGAGAACTGACTATACAGCCAAACATACAACTCCTAGTAGCTTGGGCAAAATACCTTAAGATTTACCACAATTCGAAATGGCTTCTATGTTTTACATGGAGAAATAACCTCGAATCCTAACGCTCAGGCGATATTCAAAAATCTACTTTTACTTAATCTAGCTTGTAAATCGCCCTTAGGCGTGATTCGAAACTACAGTAGATGATGATGATGATGATTTCATTTACCCTGACCCCTCGTCTCAAAGTTGGAACTCTGAACTGATGTACAAGTGTGATGCCCCTTTTCTATCCAGGGGCAGATATGACTACTTATAGACCCAATGGGTGCCTTGATACTACCTCGCACAGCAGCTACCCTGTGTTACTCCTATACCAGGATCTGGGATCCAACTTTAAGACGAGGGGTTAGGGTAAATGAAATCATCATCATCATCATCTACTGTATTATATATCTGACAAAGCTAATTTGCGATGTCCCCTATATCGTCGGCTTAATCGGTACGCGTTCTGCTAGCTAACTATGCCATGGCCACCTATCTCAAATATTAGTAATCAACCACTAAAGGCATATCCAACCCAGCTGCTTCCATAAGTAAAAGGATTCTGCTATTTCGTTCCGTCTTCTCGGATACATAAAAGCGCTACTTCTCCTACCTTTTAGACCATAGATTCTATTATTTCCTCGTATTATCCCAACTTGCCCTGGCGCATAGCACACAGTATAACAACTCACTATATTCTAGCCTGCTAATATTGCTGGATGTAGCCCGCTTTTTCCTACCATGATGCGCATAAAAAGATGGTTTTAAGTATATAGCGAGCGAGTTGTAGTCGCCTGTAATTTTATAATATTAATTAACGGGTGGTGGTTTGGCAGAAATATATATTTGATACTGGAGGACTGCAGTACATTTTCCTGTAAAGTCTTTATTTAATATCCAGATCCATCAAGAGTATACTTTTGACCTTGAAAATAGAATGGATAAATTGGTTAGTTCGCAATTCATCCATAGATTCATTTATCTCAGCATGTTTACACACAAAAGTAAGGCGAAATTTAGTTTTGAAGTTTGGAACTGGCGGACTTGGCTTTTTTTTTTGTTGGTGACGCGGATACACACACACACACACAATTCATTAACGCCCGGCGGCTGAACCGAAAGGGCAACTATCACTAATCTAAATGTACATGCCTAAGCTAATGCTGTGCCTCCTTGGAGCCCATACAAGATTCCTTTCAGGGTGTGTCATCTCAGATGTCAATATCTTAGCGGGTCCTTGTGGGTTAGTATTGGTTAGTAGACTTGCTTGAAGGCGCTTCTCCAAGTGTTTAACATCCTATCCTCGGCAGTTGAAGCGCGTCTACTGTCTGTTATAAGGGGTGTTGGGGGTTAGTAAGAAGAGGTTTTCTATCAGTTTGTTGGCAAGCCTAGGTGGTCTCGAGTCGGCCCGTAGCGATTGCAAATTGTATTGAGGCTCGCACTGCTTCCAAATTCGGCTTCTACTTTTGATTATTGGAGGGTGACTTCCCTCCCAAGAAGAAGGATATGTTACTTCGGTGAGTGTGGGTGCATTGTAGTATTTCCGTCTGGTGCGCGGTCCACTTCCGATATTGAAAGAGAAAGTGGTCTACGGTCTCTCTTGCTTGTCCACATGCGCATTGATCCGTTTTGGCGGTATTGATCCGGAACAGATATCTATTAAGTCTTGCTATGCCTGTGCGGAGCTGGGCTAGTACGCTCGCCTCTTTCCACGATAATCGGTTATATAGCTGTTGTGTGTGTTTTCCCTGGGAGTGCTGTGTCCATTTGTCGGGAGTGTCTCCCTATATTCTCGGGTAACTCGCTTTTGGGGACTGCTTGGGCATGCGTAATCTTTAGAGTGGTCGATTTTATTTTGGGGACCTGTCCTTGCAGGATGGTATCTTCTTGTGTTGTGGCTCTTGCCTGCTCTTTTGCTAGCCCTAGTAGTTTGTTATCTTTGCTAGTGGGGATCTACCGGACGCTGATCTGATTTCCATGCCTCTGTAATCTGCTTATTAGTGTGTAGATTTGGCAGATAAATTCCTGACCTGATTGTTGTCGTGGGTTCTTCAACGTAAGAGCTGCTGCTTTGTTGCTTGTGATTAGTGTGATCCTATAGCCTTTTAATCCTATGAGTGTCTTTAGTGTGTGTGCTATTGCCGCTAACTCTGTGGAGAATGGATTTTGCTCTGTTCTTGTACTTAATGTGATGGATAAGGTCTTTAGTCTCACTTTCCGATAGTGTGGTGGTTGTTTCTTAATGGCTACCCCGAAGCCGACCAGCTTATTCTGTGCTGAGCTGCTGAACGTGATCTGTATTGACCTGCTTGGTATAGTTGATGTCTTGGTAATGGGCTTATTATCGGTCTGTACTTGGGCCTCCTATGGTGCTAGTGTAAAAGGGTTGATGGTTTCTAGTGATTCTATATCGATACTTCTCAGTGTGTCCGCTACTTGATATAGTGGTGAGTGGTGGTATCTCCTGAATTTCCTGATCCGATCTGTGTTTCTGCGGAGAGGATTGGTTTCTGGTAGTGTGTGGAGGTCTGTCCATATCTTCACTGCCTGTCTCCAGAATTGGTGTTGTGCTGTGGCAATGTGGGCCTTGGCCTCTGCTACGCTGGTTGTAACTGTGAGGAATGTCCCTATGATTGCTTGTGCTCCTACCCTTTGCACTTAGTTGATCGGTCCGATGTTCTTATTCTTGAATGTGTGTATTCAGATATTAGATGTGTAGTCTACTACTGGAGCTACGGTTGCTGTGAAGAGCTGCTGTGCTGTCGCTGGGGAGAGGCCTCGAAGCCGTTGTAGCTCTATCGCGGCCTCTAGGCCCTTAGATGCTGCCCTTGCGATATGCTCTTTGTACTTTAGTTGTGTGTCTATTAGGACCCCTAGGATTTTGATCCTGTTTTTAGGCTTGACTGTGTGTCCCTTGATAGTGAATGGTTCTTGGTTGATTTTGCGAGCCTTGGGTGCGAAATGTATGATGGCTGTTTTGTCTGCTTTAAAGGTTGCGCTACTCCTCCTTTCCTAATCGAGTGCGTTATTGATGATTGTTGCGATACCTTCCCGATTACTCTGTACGGTTGGCCCTGTTACCCATGCGGTGAAGTTATCCACGAAGGTAAGTGCTCCTCCTTGGCCGTCGATCGGTCTCTGCACGAGGTCGGTGTTGAAGAAGAGGAAGAGAATCGGAGACAGGGGCGAGCCCTGAGGTAGTCCAGGCTGTGGCAGGTCCTGAACCTCTGATAGCTGCCTATTGATCTGGATGGCTGTCGTTCGTCCCGAGCAGAACGCCTTAACCTAGTGGAGAAGGCCCTCTGGTATACCTCGTGTCTTTATCCTCTGGATTAATTGTTCCTTACAGACCCCATTGTAGGCCCCCTTGACATCAAAGCTGATCAGGCTTAGTACCTGTCGTCCTTGCTTTGCTGTGTAGATTTGCTTCTGTAGGAGTAAGAGTGCTTGCTCCGCGGACCGCTGCTTTTGGGCCCTGAAGTGGCTGGTCGGAAGTAGGCTATACGTCTCTACTGTGTGCGAGATCCTTTCTGCTACCACTGACTCTAGGATCTTGCCTAGTGTTGTGAGGAGTGAGATCGGTCTCTACGCCTTAGTAATAGTGTAGTCTTTCTTGCTTGGTTTTCTTAGCGGGATGATCTTTGCGTGTCTCCACTGTTTCGGTAGTGTGCCTTCTTCTAATGATGTCTGGAAAAGATCGAGGACCCGGTGTTTGACCGTGGGCTAGGTTATCTTCCATACTATGGCCGGTAGGCCATCCTTACCTGGTGCCTTCTAAGACTTCGTTGCCAGTAACTGCTGCTCTATCTCTTCTATGGTAATGGTCGGCATCTCTAGTGGTGCTCTTTGTGGTCTAGTTCCCTCGTTGTTAATGTTGTCTGGCAGTGGTGGGAAGAATTTAGTTAGTAGTTCTTCTGCCTGCTCCCTATGATTGGTGGTAACTGTTCTATCTGCTTTGATGAGCTGCGGTATCTTTCCGAAGGCTGTGTCTTCCCCTGATTTCAGATATTTGGTAGCTGTCCAGATATTGTTATTGTTAGCTAGAAACTCGTTCTAGTGTTTCTTCTTCTGTTTCCGAATCGTATCGTGGTATTGCTTCGCGGTGCTTGTAGTCATGTCCTCTAGCTGTGGTACCTTGCGCCCTACCTGTTACTCTGCGCGGGCGTGGTTTCTCTAATATGTGTATATTTGACGAATTTGCGTTAAGTCCGCTGTCCACTACTGCTTTGTGTGCGGTGATGGTTTGGCCTTCGGCGTTAATGCACGAACTGCTTTCGACACTGTATACATTAGCCGATCGGTCTTCTGCTGCACGGAACCTTCTACCGGAGTGGTAGTTAGCGTGCTTGCGATTCTGGTATTGATCTCTTTCCACGGTGTATTCTTGAGCAGTAGTCTGTCTGTCTGCGTTGGAGCTATCCAAGGTGTATCAAAAACAGTCTTAATGGTAATATGATCTGAGCTGTGCCCTGTTCTGTGGACTGTATATTTGGTCATCGAGTCCGTTAAGTTTTCCGAGGTGAGAACGAGGTCGATTATTGACTTGTAGTCCCCTGAATATCCTCCGCTGTGCCATGTCTTGGTGCCTCGTTTAAGCAGGCTGCTGAGTCCAAACTCATTTATGAGGTTGATGATTGAATCTGCTTCGCCTTGTCTGACCGAGGATACCTCGTCTCCTCCCCATAGTTGATTATGGTGGTTAAAGTCCCTTTTGATCATGATCTCTACTACTGTTCCCGAGTCTCGCTGTACTTTGGTGATCGCTTTTCTGAGGTGATCGTAAGTGTTGTTCAACGCAGCGGTATTGCCTCCTTCCACATACACCGATGCTATTAGAATCTGTTGCTTAGGAAGCCGAATCACAGCCGCTGTCAGGTCCGGTGACTCAATCTGTACTTGCTCCGGCTCCCACATCCTTATTTACCCATAGCATGCTTCAAACCGCCTATCTCCCTTCTCTCTATGTGGAGGGGACTATCTTAGTCCATTTATGATGTCCTATTGGGGTGGTCAAGAGCTGGCCTTGAATCCTCCTCGCCTGGGGTTCCTGGATCGCTAGTACCACTGTGTTTGCGGTATCTTGGTTGTTCATAAGGCTTTTATATACTTTACCCTGTTTCCTCACGTTTAGTTGTATTACTCGGAGCGTTTTATTTATTGCGTGGCGGATAGAGCTTCCGACAGTTTCTGCTGAACGATTTATGAGGACCCCCGTATGGAACGCACTTTGGAACTGTCTGGTCGTAGCTACTGTGGTGATGACCTTCTACGGTGTACTTTGTGTATCTCTAGGTATTCTTGTACTGAAAAGCCTTGTTTCTAATCTCCTGGCACTTATAGTATTGTATCGGTTGTGGTCGATGCTTGAAGGTGCTGGTCACGCCGGATTCTCCCCCAGTATGGAAGAACCCGTTGGCTAGTAGTCTCTGTGTGTTACTACCTTTAGTGAGGTAGACGACTATTGACCTATATGCTTTTGCGCTCTCCCTCTTGCTAAGTCATGCGATTTTCGTAACGGTGGCTTTGTTCTCCTTGCTGAAGGTGGCTGCTACTCCGGCACGGATCTTATCTTTTTTATCTAGAACTGTGGCTTTGTTAACACTGTCAACTTTGATAGGGTAAAGCTCATCCCGAAGTACCTATGCCCCTGCACTGATTTGGGATTCCGCCGCTTTTTTGATCAGCTGGTGCTCGGCTTCGTCGCGGCACGCTATTCTGATCTGGTTCGTGTTCTTCGGGTCCACAGTGACGGCGCGACAACGCTAATGCGTATGGTCTGCCGTCGCTTGGATCTCTGTCTCGACTGCCGCCCGGATAGAGCCTGCAGATATCCTCTTGTTTTTGTTCTCTGCCATCCTGGAGGTGTCGATTATGTAATAGAGTGTGTTGGTGAGTGTGGTTGGTGTTGTTTTTGATGTCGAGAGGCTCTGTATATTACTTGGGTGGCTGAGCGGGGGAGTGCGGGCGATATCGGCATAGGACGGGGAACCTGTGAAAGCGGGAGCGCTGATTTCTTCACGTAGGGATTGGATTTCTCGGAGGATTTTATCGTGACCAGTCTGGGCGCATGCTTCGGAGTTGCACTGCGATGTCGGGGTCCTGTCTGTCAGGTTCTGTAGCTCGTGCCGGACCTCGGCGAGGGTAGTACCGAACTCTGCTTTGGCTTTTTGTAGTTCTTCCTTGTGCAATTCGTCTCGTAGTCTGATTTCTGTCCTGAGTTTGGTGATCTCTTTCACCAAATCGTTTACATCGAGTTTGTTGCTCTCGGTCGCGGAGTTATCCGAAGTTGCCCTATCCGGCTGAGATTCGGGTCCAGTTCTCTTCTTTTGCTGAGGTCGCGTCTGCCTCTGTTTATTGTCGATTTCTTGTTCTTGAGCATAGATTCTGGGTGGTCTGGTGATGCGTTTCGGTCTTGCCAGTCGCGGTGGCGAAGCTTCGTGTTCGTCGCGGTCGGGCGGTTCAGGGGTTCGCATCGCGGCCCGTCCCGCCATCACTCTCAATCAGTACAGGAAATCGATATTGTCGCCCCGTGGCACTCCGCAAAGCTCCAGAGTCGTTTTTGTAAGTGATTTCAACTCCCTATACAGTACGTTCCTTTGTACAGTCCAGGCGTTATGCGACCACGTACAGTCCTGATCATGTGTGAGTTTTTGCCCGGGATACAGGACTGCTCGAAATCAGATTCACCACTTCACTCTCTGTAGTTATTTGTTAAACTCAATCTTGCATAACGCCATACCTATTATGGTTACACTACCCCTGACCCACAGTCTTGGCAGAATCTTAGTACGGTAATAAATAGTCGCATAAAAATAGCTCTCGTATCCTGGCCGTATGGTCTATGCCCCGTCTAGAGCTACTCGCTTGCAAACACACCAAACAGACCGGTTGACAGGAGATTCGGTTGTCTGGCCTCCTCTGCACCTCTTATTCCCTCCTTCGGCCATCCACACTCATTTCACTTAACCGACACACTGCGCGAGCGAAGATATACGTAGATACAATACCGGTGGGATAAGATTTCTTTACAAAGGGCTTGCTTGCTCTACAAAATGCTGGATTCATTGGATCCCACCCTCTGTCGAACCCTGAATGGCCAAAGTTTGCTGAATTTGACTCACTAGGAAATTAAGGACGATGATTAACCACTCCTTCCCCAACGGTGATGACTCTCTAGCTCAGGAGGCCGATTTTCCAGACCAGGATTCGCAATACGCCCCCACTCCAGGCTATTCTGAACAAACACCATCCTCCGAATATGGGTTCAGCCCTTCACCGGCCCGTTACCCCCAAGACAGTCCTGATTCCTTCTCCTCCCCCCCAACCGGATACCCCCAAGCTGCTTCAGCTTTGTGAGTGGGAAGCAAGCAACCCAAACGACGAGCTTCCCAGGAACGTTATTCGGTATATCATCGAGTGGAAGGTCAAAGTGAATAACCGGTCCGTGTCAGAGGATACAGAACAGGACGTAGCCCTGGCCCCAAGTTCTTACTGGTCCTTGGCTCTCAGGAGTAAGCTGGAGAATGTAATTGAGGATAAAGTCTCTCGTAGACAAAGGGTCCGGTCGGATGACACTTCCATTGTGGTGTCGGTCAATGAACGCAAGCAGCGGGACCTAAAGAAGCGGTTCAACTGTCTAGATATTGATTGGACGACGGTGTAAAAACAATTACTTGTGTGGGGGAAGTCTTGCATTAGCGGCAAGGAATTGCGGCTAGTGGTTATTTTCAACTATATAGAGGACGATCGCTTCCCAGTGAGTTCAGCCGGCCGGAACGAGAAAAGAGGAAGGTCATCCGTCACGAGCAGGATGCTTAATGAACAGGATGACCAACTTGATGCCGAGCAGCATACATCTGGGGAACAATCGATCTGGCGGGCTGTTTACAACTTGATGCATTGTCCTTCACCATCTTGTCACCTTGGTCCGCATTGCTGGCAAGACCCGCACGGAAAGAAGCACTACCAACTAAGGACTCATCATCTTAAACGCCTGACCGCTTATGTTGAAGGGGTGGGCATTCTGCAGTGCCAGGATGATCTCCCCGACGCTGTTCGTGAAGAGCTCTTCTTGGAAGAACAGCAGAGATTGGAAAGTAACAGAGCCTTAGCACTTTTTACGTGCCTGCAGCGCTGTTTGTTTGTCTACAGCACCTGTGTATTGCAGCGAAACTTTTATATGTCTACAACTCCTTTTATAAGGGCTCGGCGCTCTCTTTCCAGATTCAGTACCCGACGACAATCTCATGGTCAATCTTTATAAAAACATGACTCACTACATGCATGTCATTGGCAGACAGCATGCTGTCTTTCCGAGCAAACTAGATGCCCAGGTCGAGCGTTTTCAAGTTAGCACTACCAGAACACTCTCAGTGGCGCGGAATGCACTATAATCAAGGTCGCAAACAAGTTCACCCGTCCTGATTGCGAAAATTTGCCTTTATGGGGCGCAAAGGTCTGAAGCGCTGAGATGAGATACACACACACACACACACACACACATTTCATTAACGCCCGGCGGCTGAACCCAAAAATACCCCTTTACATAGTTAAACAGCTAAACCAACCGGTAGAAGCTGATAGGGTAGTATCGCATACGCAGGGCGAATTGCCTAGTCAGGCAAATCCACCACCTACTAGGGCCCCGCCTAGGTGTAGCGGGTGTAGGAAGACTGGCCACAGGATCAATACATGTAAGAATCACTATATTTAGTTGAATTGATGCATGCTGGTTGAGATAATCGACTTTGAAATTCTCTTATGGGGGTGGGTGTCCCGCTCAACCGGGTGCTCCGCTCATGCGGGAATTACGTTATAACTAAAACGATGATAGTTGATTAGTCAGTGCTTTTCTTGCGCCCGCATCCGCACCCGCACCCGCACCCGCACGCTCGGTTGCAGCTTGTTCCTTGGCCCTCTGATCCTCTCTCCAGGTGCTGACGAATCTTTACTTGAAGAAACCACCCGCAGCTACCTTATGTGAGCAGAATATGTAGATATAAGGGCAAAGGAGCACGTAGTCTAGCCTTGACACATTGCCACCCTCTCACCAGTGTCATTACGCGAATATCTAGCAATGATTAATGATCTACACGGTTTCATCCCTGCCCTCGCCGGGAACGTTGCCATAATAACCGGTGGCCACACAGGACTGTATGACACCCTTCTTGACGTATTTGATTTATTTTCTCGTATATCTGGAGATACGGTCCTAACTTCTCTGATGCAACAGTGGCTTCGGCACCAGCATCGAGCTTGCGAAACACGGCGCCCGTGTGTATATTGCCAGTCGATCCGAGGCAAAGTTCAAAGATGCGAAGCGGGATATCATTGCCGAGCATCCGGAGGCAGATATCCGGTTACTAAAGTTAGACCTAGCCGATTTGGACAGTGTTCGTGAGGCGGCGGAATGGTTTTCTCAGTTAGTCATATTACCGACCTGTGGTGCGTGTGAGCATTGCTCTGACTAATGAAGGTATAGTCAGGAATTAAGTCTCCATTTACTTATCAATAATGCTGGCGTATGTTATATACCTCCCCTCATGAGGCATGACTTACATGTTCTAGGTCATGTGCGTTCCATACGAGGAGACAAAAGAAGGATTTGAAATGCAGGTGGCAGTATGTATATCCCATATGATAGCTTTCTTGGAGCATTCTTTGATATTATTTAGGTGAACTATATAGGTCATTTCCTGTTCACAGAGCTCCTTCTCCCAATGCTCCAAAGAACTATAGAGAAGGCCGACAAGGGAAGCGTGCGCATCGTGAATGTATCCAGCGACGGGCATGCTAAATTGGCCCCGAAAGAGGGCATAGTCTTTTCGGATATGAACATGAAGAACTTCTCTGTCTGGGCTCGGTACGGCCACTCCAAGCTTGCCAACGTATTGCATGCGAAAGAACTGGCCAAGAGGTACCCCGACATTCTTACATTCTCTTTGCATCCGGGAACAGTGAAGACGTATGTAGGCTTTCCCTGTCCACTCGCCAAGACTCGGATCTAATGGTACTTAGGAACCTATCCGCAGGGCCAATCTCGTCAACCCCGCTTTATCGGCTAATTAAACCGCTTGTCGAGCTAGGTGCGCCTGGCCCACGGAAAGGGGCAGCGAATATCCTCTTTGCTGCTGTGTCGCCCAGCTTGAAGAGAGAGGCCGACAATGGAGCGTACTTGTTGCCAGTTGGAAAGGTTTCAGCGCCAAGTAAAGCTGGATCAGATGCTAAAATGGCGGAAAACCTCTGGGACTGGACGGTGAACGCCCTCAGAAGTCGGGGGTACTGATAAGGGCGAATCATGCAACATCTCATCTACCAAGCCCATAATCAATGATCTGCCAATACAGCAAGCGCATTATTATCTCCACAAAATCTTTTCAGCAGATGGAAGTATCTCCATCCCTGGCGTATAAGTGTCAATTCTTCGCAATCGATGGCTGCCAATACCATCCCCGCGTGGCTAATGAAGGCTACGCACTCATCATGATGGTCTGACGCTGCGGCGCCGGTGAATGCAGCCCAGGTAAACACTTCCGGGGCTTTGCGGATCCAGTATAAAGGCTCTATTTGCGCCAGGTGTTTCAAAAGCTGTCGAACTTTGTGATCGAGCGTAGTGTTTGAAATTTCCTCGCGGCGCGATTGTCGGCGAAGTATTTCCCAAAATATTTGGCAGCAGAGCTGGCAGCATACATTTAGCCTTTGATGCGTTGAAAGAGGGTGATTGTATTCGGCTGTGCCCATCGAATCACTTGTCGGTGCATGGGAGAGCGCGCACTCAACTTCAGCAGCAAAACTACAGTGATCAGCCTGAACCAAATGATCCAAACGCGAGATGGCTTCGTAGACGTCCAATATTGCATCCACAGAATCTTTTTGAAAAATTGATTCGGTATTGCTAAAAGTGACCCTCGACACTGAATTTCGAATCAGGGTATTTGGGCGAATTGATTCAGAGTATAAGCAATCCCAAATGGGGAGCATGTCGAAGATGCAGGCAAATGAGATCATTACTCTAGAAATGTTATTTTATAAATCGATCAGCTCAGAAATTAATAATGATCACATACATCTTGATGATGGCAATCAGAGGTCCTATATCGTCGCGGAAAGTTTTCGGTGCGGCAAGGAGCATCTTTACCAGGCCTTTTTGGTGAGCAACTGCTGACCCTCGATCAAGTGAGACCATCTACAGCCCGTCATGAGTATCTGTTTCGCATATTTTGTCCTGCCAAAATATACTAACACTAGAATATAGCAAGGGTATTACCGCTCCAATTGTTCCATAAGTCAAGACTGGCTCAGTTTGTGCTAACCGTTCATTGATCAAGCGGATAGCCCAGGTCTGATGGTACAGGGTTAGCGTGGTATTTGGCCGGCCCAGCAACCTGTCAATCGAAGCGGATGCACTGAACAATGTTGCGTGGAATAAGCATGGATCGGACATGGCGTGCAGCATCCACTGCGAACGGAGATGGTGGGCCAGGCTGTCAGCTACCACCGTACCCGAGGGTAACGCTATAGACGTGAGAACTCCAGGGTGATGAGTAAATGGCGAATGCAATGAGTGACCGTCGCATGACTTACAGAATTTTACTAGATCCGACATATGAGCGGTATCTAATAGGAGATTCGAATGCCATTCCCATTTCTGAGAGTGGAGAAAAGTCTAATCCTGGCTGGAGCACGTATCTAGTTGCTTCGGGATCATCGGTTGCAATGAGCGGAGCTCGGGAGCTGTTCGGAGCTGGGGTGCTGTTCGTTCGGTATATACAACTGGTGCCGACTCTGAAAGCAAATCGCGTCAGCCTCATTCTTGAGGACTAATCATGGCCACACTCGGCCGTGTCAGCCAATATTCCGACTATCCTAGATATACCTCACACAGCGAGAGCAACTTGAGATAATGCGATCACATCTACGTCGATGCACCGTACATGGTATACACGTGTTCGGCCACACGCTTTCCATCAATGGCACTGGTTGAGTCGGCTGGGCGACATATTCCGATGGCGGGACTGTTGGATATTCGCAGGGCCTATCTAGCCTAGTCGATACGCTGAGTTTAGTCTTCATATGAAGTGTACCCATCTTGATCCTCGGGCGGTCAAACATACTTCTTGCATTGAGAGCAGATTGGAAGCCGCTTATCGCATCGTCGCTTGCCAGACTTGCAGGTCAGACAGGCCAGCCCAGCTCTGGCAAGTTCAATTCCCGCAGCCATTCCTCTTATAACTGGAATATGACAATGAACCGAGATTGATTGACATGCCGAAAGTCCTGAGAACGTGGTTAGATGAGGACATGGCAGAGTGGGATAACATGTCCTCGAGGAAATGACTTAGACGAGACGGTGAAAAGTTAATCCGTGCACCACTGATGCCAAGTCCAATCACATGACTTTTTCTCTCGCCGGATCGGTCTTAAGCAGGCCATGGTCTTTATCTAAGTAATCGTGTTACCGATCGTGCAAGCGTGAGGGTGTTACTGTCACCTTTACTGAAAGTATGGCTGTTGTTGAAGAGTACAATACAATATCTATTCTAATACAGTATCTATTCTAAGACATATGACATATGCAACACATCGAGATGCTGTACATACTGACGACCTGAAGAAGTGGTAGAATACCACTGTAAGGCTTGAAGTCTTCACTTTCACTTTCCACTCGATGATATACCGAACGACGTTCCCGTGAAGCTCGTCATCTGGGCTGCTTGCTTCCCACTCAAAAAGCTGAAGCAGCTTGGGGATGCCCGGTTTGGGAGAGGTGAAGGATTCAGGACGGTCCTGGGGGCAACGGGCCGGTGAAGTGCTGAACCCATAATCGGAGGGTGGGGTTTGTTCATAGTATCCTGGAGTGGGGGTGTATTGCGAATCCTGATCCGGAAAGTCGGCCTCCTGAGCTAAAGATTCATCACCGTTGGGATAGGAGAGGTTAATCATCGTTCTCAATTTCCTTGCGAGTCAAACTTCAGCAAACTTTGGCCATTCACGGTTCAACAGAGACTGGGACCCAACGAGTCCAGCATTTTGTAAGGGCAGGTAAGTCGTTTGCAAATAAATATTTCATCCCACCAGTGTTGTATCTACGTATGCATTCGCGCGTGCGTTGTGTTAGTTAGGTGGAGTGAGCGTGGGTGGCCGAAGGGGAGAATGAAAGGGGCAAAGAAGGCCAGGCAAAGGCAACCGACCGAATCTTTGTCAAACAGCCTGTTTGGTGTGTTTGCAAGTGAGTGGTTCTAGACAGGGCATAGACCATACATCCATGTTACGAGAGCTATTTTTATGTGAGCCACCAGGAATTTAGTGATACTTAAGCACCCCCCTTCTTTTAACCTTAACCTAAGACTAAATTACCTATATTTGTTATTTACTACAATATATTATATACAAGCCGTAATAAAGACTATATAAAGAAGAGAAAGGCTTCTTTCTATAATCTCTTACTAGAGATCTTGGAATTAATCGCAATAAATCTTTATCTTCCTAATTACTTCTATTTCTGTACTTCTTACTATAAGATATAGTCTTTATTCGGCTATTCAGCTCTTATACCTATTTTAAAAAATATCCAGACCCTTAAAAATAATACTTCAGAAGTACAGTACCATTATATACCACAAGGCTATATCTTATCCTACACTTATCAAAAGAATAGTTTAATTCTAAAGGTAGATATCTAGTTCGGTTTGGAGTATCTCTAAAGTATATTCCTCATCGCAATATAATCAAGCACGTAGCTCATTTACCTAATTACAATATTCTTCTAAATTAGTTGATTGATCATAGTACTTCTTTTCAAGATATTCAAGGGGTATCGATAGGCTCTGTTGTAAAGTATTCGAGCAGGGCGACTTTGAAAAATTTCACTGGCTATTCTCGAAAGGAGCGTCTTTATATTTTTCGGCTAGAGTGGTATTCGATTTTTCTGGTTACTATAAGCCAAGGTCACGTTAAGCTTGGTATAGGGATCGCCGTTACTACCGCCTATTAAGTTAGGTATATTTCCTTTATTATTTTACATGCTATCTGCTACTATTGAGACTTTAGTAAGGTAAACCTCCCCTTTTTCTGCCAAGGGATGCAAACTTTTGCAATGACACTGTACAGTGCAAAGCCAAGAAGCTGGCGGCTTTTAGACCGATGAGAAAGAAGCACATACGAGACACGTAATTACAGTAATTTAGCATGACTTATCAGGGCTACATAGATTAAAGGGAACTTAACCCAATATGGAAAAGCGGGGTGCTGTGAGAGAGGTAAATCTGATTTTGAATATCACTGTACACTAGAAAAAGAAATACATTGGCCTTCTAAGATTACACTAGCACACATCATGATAATCTTAGTCGGTATCTCCCAGTAAATTAACTATCTCAGCCATCACGTTGTTTGCATTCTTCTGCAAATTCCTCTTGGGTGGGTAGGATTTCATACTAGAAAATATGTGAGACAATTAAACCCTAGAAACACTAGAGGCAGTGAGACAGCTTACGTCATCCGATGGCCAGATAGAGTGGATAACCCGGGTGTGGCCTCGGGTATGGCGGACAACGGTGATAGACACCCGGATTAAACCGGCCTTTCTTGCGATTCTGGAAAGAATTTTCAGAGCCATTTTTTATTAACTGCGTCTTCCATTTCCTGAGGGTACTAGTTGAATTTAAAAGGTTTCTCTGCAAAAATGTGCTTCTGTTTCGCGCCTTTTTCCCAGCGAAACGCCGACGAGAGAATCAAGCGAGACGCCCACGAGTGCCCCACCTAAGCTAGTGAATATTCAATCGCAACAATATTTTCATGGGTATTATTTTTACAGGTGTGAATATTTGACTGTACAAAGATTTTCATAGGTATAATTTTTTCATGCATGAATATTATAGAATGATAATCTTACGCGCTATGGAATTTTAAGACTGTTTAATATTCTCTGGATGATAATTTTAACTTTGCTCTAAAAATATATTTCCTTAAAATTCCCCATCAAAAATATTTCACTGTGAGAATATTCTCCCTGTAAAAATTTAAGCTGGGAGGAACTTTTTGATTCCAAAATGTTAGCAAGGCTAAATATTCTCTGCCCATAAAGTTAGCATCGTGATATTTTACGAATTGTTAACATTACGGATTTTGAATATTTGCAGTCTCTAAAGTTCTTCGCCAATGTCTAGCTCTGACCTGGACTGGAGGACGTCACGCAGATTGGGAAGAGCAAAGGTCAGGTTAAACAACTTAGACCTTCTCACAACTACAACTCGAACAATCAGAGAAGAGCATATTCAGGCTCTCGTTGAAAAATTCCAGTCTGAAGGCTGTACTCGTCTGAACCCCGATAATTACATCAAGGTACTTGTTAGTGAGGATTTTCCTTACAGTCTGAACGACAATGTTTTGCATGACGATGAAGTTTTGGGTCTTCCAGACAACATTCAGCTCACCGTTCTTCATGGGAAGCATCGTATCCTTGCTGCGAAGAGATTTTTCTTTCTCTTGGACAGCTGGTGGATAGCAGACTTTTACACTGAGGGTCTATCCCAGTCACACCAAGCGACTCTCTGTGAAGAGCACCCGAATGCTCAACCATTTTGTGACGGAGACATCTATCGAAATATCCGTATGTACCAGCAGCTTAGGGATGTGGATGCTGAAATCAAATGGCGTGGAAGACTCAGTAAAACTGCACAGCGGGAGATGCATCGTCTGGAAAAGGACTTCAAACATATCCAACGAGAATTTGACAGGCTACTCGAATTCCGAGGCTTGTGGAAATTTCTAAAAATCTCATATTTGGGCAGATGGTTGTCAATTAGATGTCAAGAGGTATCTTTGTTACATCTTTACTTTTAATGTACCCGCTGACAGAGTTATATAGGAGATAACTCAGTATCTACGCTTCATATATGAGAAATGGCAGACTATAATGTGTGGCTATTCCGGGTCTTTCCTCGATCCACAAACTGTTTCTTTGCTCGAGACACGGATGCCATCTATCTCTTCGCATGATGAAGAGAAGATTACAGATATGATGTGGCGACGTCAGATATTTCCCGAACTACCATCTCAGGAATCCCGTACAGCCATTCTAGAGAAGATACTCCAGACAAAAGGGAGGATACTTTCCCTACATACTTTCACAAGAGATTTCTTCTACTTTGAAGCCTGCGCTATTGCTCTCAAACAATTACTGCCATGCTCTAAGCGCTCAATGGCTGAAGAATTTATGCGAAGTTTCTCTGGTATTAACCAAAGCCGAGGAACATGTAAGTTCCAGGTCGGGGACTCCAAATTTGTGAGCCGGGCAGGAAGCTACGATCTATGTCCAAAGCTTGGATACCAGCAGTTATTTCTAGCAGTTATGCGCGATTTTCCAACCTTGACCAAGCTCTCACCATACAAGAACCGTGGGAAAAACATAGCGGAACGACGAGGATTTGTTTCCGAAAGAGTGTATAAATTGGCGGAGATAGCATCCTATCTAGGATTTGCCAATGATCAGATTTCACAGATTCAATCGATGGGTGCAGAATCTTCATATGCAGCTGCTACTTCAGAGTATCTTGTTCAAATTCAGCCAACAGATCGATATATAGTAGATTCTCGAAGAAGAGCAGATATTGCACAATATGTTGGAGATACACTACCTCATATCAGTGTTAACAGACCCCCACATCAGAGGGCTGAAGTGAACACCAACCTTTCTGAAGCTCCAAAGAAGTCACGCTGCAGTCGTCCATCTATACAAGACTATCATAAGTACAGAGAGTATCTTTTCCTTGAAATCTTGATGGATAACAGTTTTGTGCGGCGAGCACATCCGAACTCTTTTGCTATTCAAAAAGATATTTTCTTCTCTTTTTTTGGTGATCTGAATGGTAGCCAGGAAGTTTTAAGTGAAAGTTCATTTCAAGAGAACGATTCCTCTCCTCATAACTATTCTCCTCATCACTCTTCTCCTCATCACTCTCCTCCTCATAACGTGTTTCACCACCGAACCGCCACCACCACCGAGCCGCCACCCCACCTACATTACAACGATATATATTGAATATTACACAACCACCATATAATATATTGCAAAAACTAAGCACTATTCACAACCGGGCACCTATTCCGCTTGTGCCCTGGCTCTCTGCAATTAGTACAGCGCTGTACAGGCCTCCTAATCGTCGTCTCTGTAGCTGCCGGAGCACGCCGTGGCACCGGGGGTATTGCCATTTGGTGCTCATGCTCAATTTGTAGACGTAATTGCATCTCTTCGGCAGTCATTCCACCTTCGTATACCAATTGCTTATTAGGTAAGGCCTTTTTTCGCTGCTTTCGTCCATTCTCTGCCATTACACGCTCATATGTAGTCGTCAGCATTACAAGCTGATTAGCAAGTAATTGTGCACCTTTGGTAGTCTGCTCCAATTGCTGATATATATCGCTATTGGGTGAAATATCTCGATATTCTAGTAATCGCTTGATTGATGCTGCCTGGCGTCGGAAATTGATAGCTTTTGATGGTGTATGAGGTATAAATTCATGACTACTAGCACTACCACGTGATGGTGGTAGTGTAGGTGACGGGGATGAACCTCAAGTTTTGAAAGTACTACCTCAGGCGCATATGGAATGATACCTGATGCCATAAAACTGCTAGCAATTGTAGAGGTTGTGTATGTTGCTGCACGTGTTGTAGGGTACAGATGAAGGAAATCGAGCTTTTTAATATCTGTAGAGCCTATGCGGGCAAGATCTTGCACAGCCTGACCATAGAAGTGCTTCAATACACCAAAACAACCTACATCAAGAGGTTGTAATAGATGCGATGAATGAGATGGCATGCAGATTGGCACAATATTGTTTTCCATGCATAGAGTATCAAATTGAGGGGTAAGATGACTCCCATGGCCATCCATGACTAGGAGAGACCAGGCACCATGTTGACGCTTCTTAACGTATGGGATGAAAGAATTTTCGAGCCATGAAATACCAATTTGATCAGTAGTCCATCCATTATTACTGACCTCGAAGCGCCAGTTGTCTGGGACAATACTGCACCAAGCAGATATAAAAACCTTAGCTTTAAAAATGATCGTTGGAGGTAGAACACCATCCAAATGGATACACTCAATTGCAGTAACCCACTCCCGGTTACCAGGCTGCACGACTTTTCTTTTTCCCTGCCACTCCCGACTAGTGATCACTTTTGAAGTACTAGTGATCCCCATTGCGAAGCCAGTTTCATCAAAGTTATAGATGTCGTTGTCAAGGATGCCATATTCAGCAATGATGTTGCGATACTGATCGAACCACTCGCGAATAAGCTCCGGATCTTCACATAATGCACGCTGAGCGGCGTAACGACGTGAAAACCGGGTTTTTAGCTTCTCACGGCGTGCAACAAACCGAGATATCCAGTTTTTGCCGAGTGGTAAGGGAGGGGTATTGACAGAGCGCTGAGCAAGTAGAATATTGGCCATCTCTTTTGCCATAGCTAAGGTAGGGGCCTTGCCACGCATATCTAGATCCAATATCCATCGCTCAAGCGAATCCTCTTCGATTTTATCCAATTTTGAGCAATTTGCGCGAGTGGTGTTACGATAACCGATCCCCTTGACGCGGTCGCGTAATGTTGTACGAGGTACCTCATAAACACGCGCAGCTTCAGTAATAGAAGCTATTTTCTTGTTTCTTAGCGCCTGTATAGCAAGTTCGATCCTGCCTTCTTGCTCAATGAGTTTGCGCGTTCGTCCGGTACGAATTGGTGGCATAGTGGTGGTTTAAAGATGGGGGTGCTACACGCGACGCGATTTTTTTGAGGTGGTGGCGGCTCGGTGGTGGTGGCGGTTCGGTGGTGAAACACGTTAATTCTTCTCCTTATCCACCCCAAAATCAATCACCGTACGAAAGTCCTTCACCGCGATATAGTCCCTCACCGACATCCCCACTACAAGAGAGCCCAACACGACAGGATGAAAGTCCCCTGCCACAGGAGAATATTATATCACCTCAGGAAGTACGGGTGACTACCCCTGATGAGCAATCCTGGGTCTCTGGCTCTATTACTACAGCTTCCAATGAAGATTCTGGCTCCAACTTTCTTGACCCTGGTTACGAATTTTCCGATGAAAGAGAGATCCCATTCGAGTCCATTGAACGAGATATCAGACCATCAAGTTTTTTACATGGACTGGTTTATGATGAAGGAAACGTAATCTTTTACCTATTGAGCGAAAAAAGGTTTGTAAGATTCTCGATTGATGAGCCTGAGCTACCTAACTTCCGTGCAACCACAAACTGGCTGGCAAATCAAAATAATATGTTCCTCTGCTGTATATCAAACAGATGGTGTGTGGTACCGATCAGAAAGCTATACATCTCTTCTCGAAAAGCTAAACTTATTCTGGTTTGCCAAAAGCTGTGCCGAACTGGGGCTGAGCCTGGGACAATCCTCCATTTGCGCAATGGTCTCAATCGCTTTCTTGATAGAGACTATGACTATGCTACTCATAATCATGGAAGGTGAGTGGTTTGACCTTTATGATAGGTGCAACAAGGGCTCCGACTTTGGATGCGTGTGAAAGAAAGACATGCTAGCGCTATTAGCAATATTCGGATTTGATTGAACTGGCCATAGCGACCTACTTGTAGCAGAGCCTGAATTGTAACCCCATTTCGCCCAGTCTCTTTAATGAATTGGTGAATATATTGTCGCGCATCAGATAGTATGTTGGTATTGGACTCTGCATCTCCAGGTTGGAGAATCTCAGTAGCAACAATACCGACACATCTAATATCATGTTGCTCAGATCCATGATGCTGCTCTAGTAGAGAGGCTCCTATATCAGCTGTGTAGGTGAGCCCTTTGATACTAAACAGAGAGATATCTATTCAAGCACTCACCAATCTTGACTCTTCCGTCTGCTGAAAGAAAAATATTACTACAGTCAAGCCTTGTATGGCAGATTGAAAGGTCTCGATGAATATACCAAAGACCGTGCAGAGTCTTCAAGCTCGTAGTTAATAATAGAATAGGTAGCACAGTGGGTATAAACATCGTACCTCTTTACAAACAAATGCGATATCAGCCTCTTTTAACGTCATCCCAGAGTGAAGCTGCTCCAGTGACACTTCCATAAGTTCATAGACTAGATAGACAACCGTAGACTCACAGAATGAGTTAACAAGATTGACAAGGTTGGGGTGACTTGTGGGAAGAAGGTTTCCCGTTTTATCAATGCCACTAGATCTGTATTGTTTGATCGCGACGATTTCTCTGGGACTATCGGATTGATGTGCAATACAGGTCTTTCCAGCAATGTTTTCGGCCATAAACTTCTGGTATTTGACCCAGGGAGATGTATTTAGGCAGAACGATGTCTGTGCCTTTTTGGGGCACATGTAATCTTTGACTGGTAGGCTAAGCCAAGGCCTAGGTCGTTTCTGAGGCCGGGGCTTAGAGACCTTGCTAGAATCAGGCCTCTCTTTCAGGTGTTCCGGATGATCCGTCTTTGTCAAGGGATTCTCGAGCCCGTTGGATCCATCTAGATCTTCGGCCCGAGGGAACATCGTACATCTATGGGGGTTCGCCATTGTGTACTCTCTAAGGCATCTACAGGTCTGACTTAGTACTTATATATGACAACTTCTAAATTTAGCAAGATCGTCGGGCGCATATTTGCTACAGTTGATTTCATTCTAAAAATATCTTAGACAACGAGCGCTAGAGTAACCAATAAAACAAATTTCATCATAACAAAGATTCCATGCTTTCCTATGCTAATTTCCGGACCGCTGCTGCTTTTATACGAACCTCCAGAACTAAATTTTGTTGCCTGTGGATGGTAGTATAAAGCAGTTATACTAGTTTCAAGCTTATTCTCGCTTGCAGTTTGGGTTCCAGCTGTTCTTGCGCTTGTTAAGCGGCTCGTCACTACAGTTGCTTGCGATGGGGTTGCTTGTGATGGGGTTACTCGCGACGGAGATGCTCTTGATGGAGATGCTCGCGATGGAGATGTTCGCGATGAAGATGCTCGTGATGGAGATGCTCGCGATTGGGTTGTTCGCGACGAGGTTGCCCACGATGGGGTTACACGTGACAGGGTTGCACGCGATATGGCTGCTTGCGACGGGGTGGTTATCGATGCTTGTACAGGGAAGTCTGCTTCTGGTGTAGGCCAAATGGGTCCAAAGCCGGAGTGATGCAAATAATTGGACCTGGGAATTGTAGGACTCGAATGTAGAGGAAACGCGGTACTACTGGAAGTGACATGTGTGTGGCTTAAAAATATACCAGGAGAATCAACTTGAATATCAGAGAGACCATAAGCAACAAGTGCTGACCAAATGAGAAAGGTGAGAGATAGCTTCATTTTGCTGATGAACTCAACATTGAAGAAAGCTCCTCTCCCTTATATAGACAGACTAGATACAAAACAAAAGCGCAAAAGCGTAAAATAGATTAAACAAAAGAGAGACACAAAGCTGAAAATTGTAACCGCCGGATTCAACCATTTATAGTAGACTATCAGTGACTCAGCAGTCTTAGCTGGCTCCGGGCTCATAGTCGTTATCGGAACGTCCATCCACTTCATATCTTTAGAGGGTAGGGGTCCCTTGACAAAAATAGTTTGAGTTGCTCTAGCATGACAAAATGCAGATGTAGTTCCTGTGAGATCACATGAGACTAAAGCAGTGCTGAGACAATTAGAGTGAAGCATTTTCATGAATATGTATCCCTGACTTACTTGTCATTTTCATCAATATTGATGACTTGAACTGAAGTTGGTGCCCGAATGGCTGTCATACCTGCCCCACGTATACCGCAGTCGCTGGCAGGAACTGAAGAAGGGCAACGCAGAGTATAGGTCGTAGTATCTCTGTTCTTTCTCTCAATTAGAATCATAATTGGTATGGAATAGATTATAATCTTACCTGATTCAGAACGCTAGCCTGTAACTCATGTCCCTGAAAGCCTGGCAGAAGCAATCTAGCTGTCTCCATTTTGATCAATCGTAGAGATGAGGATAAGGTACACATCTAGCGAGTCAATTGTGCCAATAAATAGTATACATAGCCTACGATTGTGTGTTGGGAGTATCTAAGTAAGTCGTGGGCGACACGCTAACGAGATCTTCAGTGACCAACAAGTGATCGACTGAGAGGGGTCACATGGCTCCACTATTCGTGGGCGGTTCGCTGACGAGATCACCAAGAACAATAGCCCCACTTTTCGTGGGCGGCTCGCTGACGAGATCATCAGGGACTGACCGACTATGTGATAATCCATTACTAAACATATCCAAAAGTATCCCAGTACATTAAGAATAAAGAACGCACATTGTTGCTTCTCAGAAGATGAATATTCTGCATTATGTCCACGCCTGCAAATAAAAGAAGAGCCATGGAGCGACACAATTGTCGACTACAACTTGCCTTACATATTAGTAAGATCCCTGTTTGTTGGTATCTTTAATTTGCGTAGCTGAATAAGGTATTTAGAAGAAAGATTAGGATTACAAATTGAGCCGTCAAATATTCGTCTACAGCCAGTTGAAAAAGACGGATATGAATGGAAGTTTGACGTTCCGCAGAGCTATCTTTTCAAAAAGCCGCTTAGTGATCTTTCAACCAACATGTATCTTGAACTCCTAGAGCATCTCAAGGATGGTAATATTCAAGCTATAGCCAAGGAATCTGCTCGTGATTGTGCAAGCAAATTAGTAGTTGAACGACTGCAAGAGGAGATCCAAGATCTTGAAACAAAATTACAAAGGTCTCAAAAGTTGAACGCTGCTCAACACCTCGAAATTCAGCGGCTACATAACTCAAATTGGGCATATGTGGACAAATATCAGAAGATGACTGAAGGTCATCGAAAGGCTAAACTTCGGATTGAACAGTTTTTGGAAATGATGAACAATATGATTGAGTAGTTTTATACATTGATTGAAAGCTACCTTTACAGTATTAAAACAGCGAGAAATCCTTTCCTTTCGTATCATCTAAAGATATCCCTAATGTTTGCAGAAATTTACTTTCAGAAATAGTCAACTTTTCTGATACTCCATGCAAACTCTCTTGTATCATTAGGCCAGCATCCTGGACGTTGTATGCTAGCTCTAGAAAGCTGGTATCTCTGGTGCATCGAGAGGCCGCTTTCCTGAGTGCTTCTCTAAGAAGCTGATAAACATCTCTCGTATCATTAAAGAGCTTCATAAGGGTTTTTTGAGCCTCCTGGTGGAGTGCCACTTCCTGACGTAGACGCCCTACCTCAAACTGGAGTTCCTCCAGGGTTGGTGATCTTTCATTTTTAGATATTTGAAGAAAGATCGGAAGACGTTCGGTATTCACAGTCTTGCCGCCGTTTTGTAGAATAATGTGGTCTAACCGTGTAAGTTCGGTCACTTCAGAAGACAGTTCATTCTGCATGGTTGCTGGCTAGATCTAAGAGGGTGGGACAGTAGCTCTTATATTTACAAATAGCGTTTGGAGAAAGCGGCTCGCCAACGATTGACCCACTTATCACGCACGGAAAGTTGGAGGGGTCAAGGGGGGGCGCCTGAGGACGTGCTGCTGAAGTCCGCTGACGCAAAGGGTAAAACCTCTCAAAATCGTCATTTGTGTTTGTAGGGGGGGTACTGGATCGCCTTTTTTTTCATTTAATAACATTCTAGAAGCAAGCCCGTTTTGTGTGTGGCCTACCTGATCTAGAAATGGTATGTGATCATCTGTTTTATAAATCCATTGTCGATCAGATTCATCTACTAGAACGACAATTGCTCGAAGTCGAAACATACGGCACAGTTGTCGAACTTTGCGAAATACCGTCTTTCGACGTCGGTCAGGAGTTCGGAAGGTTTGAATCTCGTCCATAGTCGTGGAAAATAAAAGTAGGCTTCAAAAGCTACTTTCTGGGAACTTATGCTGCCTCTTTATATGCCTTTGTTATCTAAGAATAGACTGAGTTCCCCAACCGCGCGAGACACTGGCGATACGCCAACGGTTCAATCTCTACCCAGCTCCATATTAGGATAGACATTCCCGCCCTAATATTTTCAGTAGACAAAAATGGCTTTCCACAATCCTCTGAACATCTACTTCATCATCTTGGGAGGGGCTCTCCTTTTAATGTCACTGTACCGACTCTATATCATTTCCTCTCGTTCCTTCGCATGGAGAATACGGTTTTTCCTGTTCAAATATTGTTTTTATCCGCTGGTCTTCGGCAAAAGATCGAGAGCGTGGGTATTTTTCCAGCTCATATATTGGAGCGGAACAATCCTTTGTGATTTTCTGGCGACTCATGGGTTAAGAGACATTGGGAATCGCGCTGCTAATATCGCCATCGTCAACCTAATACTACTAGTTATCAGCGGCCGTCCTGCGCTCATAGCAGATATTTTAGGTATATCCCTCTTCTCCTATATTGAGATCTATCGCACTGTGGCATGTATGGCTCTTGTGCAAGCTGCGATACATATTGGGGTATCGGTTCATGCAGCTGGGTGGCATCCAAAGACTAGTCTTCAGATTTATGGCTTGTTGGTAGGTAAAGACCTCATGAATTGTAATCCGCTAACCATAATTTACAGGCGGCATCGGGAATGGCTGTCTGCGCTCTTAATACACTTGCGTGGAAGTGGATACAGCGAATACTATCTATGATAAACTTTGCAGCATCACTCTTATTGCTGCTTGCCGTCTGGAGACATACTACGAATTTTTATCTTACCCAGATTTACGTTCTGGTCGGCAGTATCTTATTTATTGTGGTATCTGGTTATCGGTTGATCCTACTGATTTTTCGAAATCTCGGAAATTATAAATTAGGCACACGTGGTAGAGTCATGTTAATACCGAAATCCAGCGCAATTTGGGTCGTCGTTCCGATCAATAGGTCTTTCAAAATTCGACCAGGGTCATTTCTATATTTATGGATACCTGGAGCAAGCTTCTTTTCTGGTGTTCGAACTCATCCCTATCAGATAGCTTGGTGGCAGACTGATCATGATGGGAGACTAGAAACTGTCACATGTCTTATTCAGAATACGAATACCTTCACCCGCAGACTAGCTGGGCACTTTAATAGCAATCTGCTTGTCTGGATAGATGGTCCATATGGCGCGGACCTGGAGCTTGATAAGTATAACCAGGTTCTGCTGGTTGCAACTGGCATTGGTATTGCATCGCAGCTTTCATACCTTCGTCTTCTTGTGGAGAAAAGCCTACCGGGGAAGCTAAGCCGGGATATCTTTGTTGCATGGGAGATAGAGCATCCTTGTAAGTTCTTAACTGATTGGAATATGTACATAAATAACATTTCACCACAGCGGATTTGGAATATGTACACCAGTGGATGAGCGAGCTCCTCTCCCAAGACAAAGGCATCTATGTGGGTGATTTGGCATTTTTAAACATAACCTCAGCTAAATGAGTCTTCAGAATCTGCATTTTGGTATCTATATACCCTCCACCGTTGAACTGGCCCGCGATACAGAGCCAGAAGATTGGAAAAGTCAGCATGGAAGGATATACAAAATACCTGGACGTATCAACGCAGAGAAGGTCGTTCCCCTGAGTTTTTGGGACTTCAAAGGAAGATCTCTAATTACAGGTATGTAGAAACACCTCTCGAAAGATAATAGACTAACCCGGTTAGTATCTGCACATCACAAGGTCAGGTCTAAACTTTTCAATACAGTTGCATCTCGCATGAGTCGGCTAGTTGATATCATTGAACTTCCATTCCAGCCATCGACACCTCGACAAAGAGACAAAGCAGAAGGATCGGCTGATTCGGTTTAGGGAGAAATTCCGGACTTAGAAATGAAATAGAGACTCAAATTACAACTAGAATCTGAGGACCTGTGAAATCGACGCCGAAAATGACAGCCTCCGGCGCCAGAAACGGCTGCCTTTCCACCCGTAACTTTGGACGGCGAGCCGCCCCGCTGCCCTGTACCGCCCCCTATTCTGCACCCAACCAAGGAAGCGTGTTTCGAATGATTCCAGTCAAATGAGTGAATGCAGCAGCCTCACATTGTCTACACCCACGCCAGAAAGCATCCATCAACCAACCCGTTCCCCGAATTTCTCTCCGTGGGTTGATGTTAACACACCATCCCAAGCTTCAATGGTTGCGTACTACCCTTCTGCAACCACAGCTCCCAAACGCAATGCCCTCAACGTGATCTCGGGAAATCGACGCCAGATTACGGGAGTGAAGAAGACGTAATTTCCATGTCCCGTAAGATCCTGTGTAAAAGAGTGAATAAAGTGCTTTGGAACACGAACTTATAGGGCACACGCAAAGAGCAGCTGAAACCGTACCACGATAACCTCCTATGCTAGATCATTATCTTCAACCTCATCTAAAACAGCAATTGGAGTCGAGCTCGTCTTACTGTGATCAACTTCTTGTTCCCACTGTCCCTTGATGACGAAGTTATTAAAATTCTGTACAGATTTAAAGAGCTTCCCTCCAATTGCTTCTGTGAGTATGTCGCACGGTTGAAAACCTTTTGTCCGACCAGTTGGCTGCTTCTGGATAGACTTTGAAATCTGATAGGCTAGATGACGAACATTCTGGCTAGCATCCTTATTCTGGTGTCGTCCATTGGTTTATTCTCCGAATGTAGTCTCCCGATGCTCCTTCAGGTTAGTACAATAGCTCGCCGTGAGAGCGGTTCGACGAAACATGGCAGTAATGTCAATAGTTGAGGTCCGTCGAGTCGCCATGGGTGTCTTCATATGAAGATTAAAGAACTCATTCAGTCGGTCAATTTCGAACCAACCGTCCTCCGCACCCCGTAGATTCACAAGCCCATTTGCAAGAATAGCAGTCTGCAGCTCAGTATCAGCTGCTTTAGTTTGGGTGAGCCACGTCATATATAAAGAGAGGAAAGCATATCGGCTCTTCTTAGTACCAGCAAAGAGAAGAAAGACATCGTCGACCAGATACGCCGGTCTCTACTTCATTTTGAAGAGCAACAGTCCAAGGCTCATGAGCGAGAAGGAAAACCAGTTGACTACCAATTCTCGGCACACGCAAAGCTCCTCCAGCAGATGGAGACATACAAGACCTTCAAGCTTGCTATCAAACTTGGTGATATTGGAATTATCCAGCGGGTTTTCCCACAATGCTGTCTAGGAATTTTCCCCTTCCGAGGCTTTGAATCCAATCATCCACCCCCTTAGCATCCGCAGGATTGACCGTTGACGGTACAATCCATAGAACATAGCCATGATTCGAGCGTCAAATGAGCGCGTAGCCACCTCCTCTTTATGATGGAATGGACTTTTGTGTCCCTGCACACAACCAAGATAGACCTTGTTGTGATGGATCGTTGATTCAATGCTGAGATAGTCTGCTCCAGAATAGAGCTCATAGATCATATCCAAGTAGTTCATGCGCCAATGAAAAATCCCGGAAATTGGCAATAACCAGCTAAAACGATCGAAGAGACGGGAAGCCTCTGAACGTTCTTTTTTAACTGCATTGAGGAGTGACACTGTTTTCTGATCTCCATAAACCAGTTGCAAAAGGCTATACAGGTCAGTGTCGCCATTATCCCCTAGCTGCTCCAGGAAGACATTCTTAACGACCTTTGTACGTCCCCTCTGTCGTCCCCTCATTGTGTACAGAATGGATGGATGGATGGATGATTTCATTTACCCTGACCCCTCGCAGATAGTTGGTTTACCCAACTAGACCAAAAACGAATCCGTTCTCAGCCTAGTGGATGAGGTTTATAATCAACTCAGATAGCGATATGCAGGATACAACTACTATATATATCTCGTTGTAAGTACAAGTTGAGTGTACCACTTCCTGAAAACGAACTTAGAGCTTCGTCAAGGCCTATCGTGGCCTAATTGCCGTTCCCTATGTTAGGCTGCCCTTGTGGCGCGCGACTCTGAAACCGTTGTGACGCCTCGGCAAAGTCCAGTACGGCATTGATCGTCCTAGCCCGCGAGACGCATTGTATACAGTAACATTGGCCCAAGGCTGTAGTGAACTGTTTTCTGCGCTGGAAGTAGTTTAACCGTTGGGAGTTTAGGCCAGTCAATAAGATGCGGTCGCAGTTTTATTTGATCAGGTTTGGCGCGCACGACTTGGCGGTAAATAATGTCTCTACTGCCTCCTTATGGGTGTAACGAATAGCTTCCGCAATCCAATGGTGTTGACACTGATGAAGGATCTTATCATCCTGGTTGCCTGGTGCCGTGTAGATATCATGGGGGTTTAGAGCAACATCTGGATGAAACATAGATCGAAGAAGCCCTCTTACAGGGATGATCTGGCCAATGCAAAGCTTGCCTGTGGTGGCGGAAATATGCTCTGATGGATCGCGAATAGTTTGATGTCGAACAGTCTGGTTGTAGTCAAAGTTATCCCATGACACAATAAGATTCTTGCGAGAAGAGTGGGCGTTCTGTTTAAATTGTTTCTTCACAGATTCTTGTAGGAAATCAGTCAGAACAAGTTATTCCCTGTTAACTGGGGCTATAGTACCTGTCCTAAGTCTGCAAGCTCTTTCCGTTTGTCCATGATAGTCTGGTAGGCGAATTTATGCCCAGACCAGCCAGAAAGCAAATCACGCGTCGCTTGACACCCATTGCATGTAAATACAAGCCAATCAACATCGGAAAGCTATTGCTTTTCCGTGGTGCCAAGGTGGACGCGAGAATAGAACAAATCATCAAAATACTGCCTTGGTAGACTTTGGACGTATCACGAGAACTTTCTGGCGGTGTCATGATGTTTAAAAGCAGTGCCAATAGCCCTGGAGCTTTATTCTGCACCTTTGTAGTTAAGCCAGGGATATCCACATCTCCAAGATCAATATCCGGTTCAAACTCGCCCAGTACATTCCCGTTGACTAGAACACGAAGCTCGGATTGTAACCGAGAGATCTGATCAGACGCGCCTGTTGTAAAGATGTCATTTGAAACACTAGCCAACTGCTTGACAACTTCTGGTTGCCCGTATATGGCTTGCGAAACCAGTCTTGCGCGCCGTGTTTCTGAATGGGCGTTTTGTTGTGAAGACGGCGCCTGCGCCATATGATAAATAAGATCCTTGATAGACCATCGGTGGTGTTCCCGAATGTCTGATAGAATCATATCAACTCTCTCACGCGGGCTAAGGTTTTGTATGTAGCCACGTGCATTTGCAAATTGTCCATGTGGTGGAGAGGGAGGACGCGTCTGATCTAGAGCGGGCGTCGTGCGTACGCGTTTTCGCGACATGGAAACGGATTTCGAAAAAAAATTGGGGGTAAACTATAAGAAAAAATACTAGTTTACGACTTGTAGATAAAAAATGTGCTCGTCACGACCAAAATGTCGAGGTTCCAAAAATCTCGACAGACTGTGTGTACAGACCGGTACCCAGCTCAGACCCCTGGCTGGATGATGCAACCCAATCGGGTTAGCGTGACAGAATCGGCAGAATTATGCCTCATCATTGGCTGCGGTCTGAGGCACTGAGGTAACACCAAGCCAGGACTTGCCGCCGATGTTCTTAAGCTAATGTGTCGACTTGGACAGGTCCACGGGTATTATAGCAACAAAGCTCATAGGGCTAGCTTTTACGTTCTTGGTGCTGATGAGGCTGTTTCTGGGATCTGCGTCAGTCACCCAGTTCAACGGGCAATGACACATACAACAAGAGAAAACTAAGTCGCTCTGATTCTGGAAGTATTTAGCTAAGCCTGTTATTACATATACGGTGGAGGAAGAGCAGATGCGCACCATACTGGGTTTTGTCGCCAGTTGACACCAGGCCCAGCTGGCTATTGGGCCAGGAACTGCGAGCCTACGGCAATGAGAATAGTGATGGAAGATTTAGATCAAAAGGCTTGTGTCCCGTATAGACCGTCGTCAAAAGACCTGGAGCCCACATGGTTACTCAGCCATAGTGGCCGCCAGTTGACGGATTGAATAAAGCCCCCCCTGATGACCAAGCCCTAATTAGCATGTGAGGCTACTCTGTGGGGGTGGCTTGACGTCAAGATCTGGGTGGGTGACGGTACTCCGACCACACTTTTTTGGTAGTCCGACCACATTTTGGCTTAGTCATCCTTTTTTGCTTAGTCAACTTAAATTTGCCCTCTCCCGCTAGTCACCTGATTGCTGCCTTAGGCCCTAATATCAAAATGCCCCATCCCCGCCCTCTGTCACCCATCCCCGCGAGTGCACCCTATATTTATCTCAATTTTCGCTTACAATTGCACAATCATTACATCACTACGACGCAATGTCTACCCCGTTTGACCAATCATATGACACCCAGGAGGAAATGGCCGAGGCATTACGTGATTACGCCATCTCGCAGGGCTACGTCGTCGTTACTCGCACGTCCAATCCGGGCCGCAATTTTCGGATGAAATGCGATCGGGGTGGTAAATACGACACCAGATGGTTTAAAGATAAGCCGGAAGACTACGAACCACTCAAAAAGAAGGGATCAATGGTCGATAATTGCCCTTTTTGGATATATTGTATGCGCTCGGCTAAGGCAAATTCGGATAAATGGCATGGTAAATGGCACGTGCAACGGTCCCATCTTGTTCATAACCATACAATCGATCACACTGAGCTGATTAACCATCCGAGGGCTCGGACGAAACGATTTAAAAATGAGCACAAAGCAAAGCTTAAAGCTTATCTTTACGTCGGTACCCCTACCCGGAACACTCTTCATCTCATCCGAAATGAGTATCCCGACCTTCTTATCACATCTCAGGATCTATACAACCTAAATAAGCAATTTGAACGTGAAATTGTAGGGAATATGACGTCGGCACAATATCTTGAGAACCAATTAAAAGCTGGCAATTGGTTTTATGATAGCAAACAGGACGAAAGTGGTAATTTGACTTATCTGGTCTTTGCCCATCCGATATCGATTGAGTACGCCCGTAAGTATAATCGGGTTTTTCTTATGGATTGTACCTATAAGACTAATCGCTTTCGGATGCCTCTCTTTCATCTGATTGGTCTATCTCCTTGTAATACTACATTTAGTATTGCTTTTTGTCTGATGTCAGAGGAAAATGAGGTATCCTATACGTGGGTCCTACAAACAATATTTGGCTGGATCGGTCCGATATCTAGCCATAACCCTACTTTGTGTTCTGATCGAGAACTTGCATTGGTTAATGCAATTGATTATCTGTACCCTGATTGGTCCCATTTATTGTGTATTTGGCATATCAACCAGGCAGTGATCAAATATTGCAAAAAGCTCTTTGTTCGGCCTGATAAAAAGAAGGCTAAACGAAATCGGACCGAAGCTGAGCGGAAGCAAGATGAGATTGAGGAGGCAGATCAGCAGAAAGCTTTCAAATTGTTCTATTCTGATTGGCACTACGTGGTTGCGTCACCAAATAAGGCTGATTATGAGCAGAGATGGGCTGATTTTGTTTGCTAAATATGAGATGATAGTACCTGAGGCTATTATCTGTTTGGAAGATACGTGGCTCAAATTCAAAGAGCGGTTCATACAATATTGGACTAATCGGATATTTCATCTTAATAATGTTGCTACCTCACGCGCCGAGGGTGCCCATGCCTACATTAAGCGCTCGTTTAATGGCCCAGCCGGTACTTGCCGTCATGTTTGGACTAATATAAAGCGTGCAATTGAAAGTCAGCATGAGCAATTGACTAATGAGATCTCTTACAACCGGCTATATAAGCTTCCCTTTACCCGAACTCCGCTTTATGCTGAACTTATGTTGAAATTGTCACATTATGCGCTCAATAAAATTGACAAACAGGCCCGTATTGCTAAGTGGGCCATGAATCCAGCCAATGAAAAGCCTTTGCCCGTTTGTACAAGCTTTTTCATCCAAACTATGGGTCTTCCATGCGCACATCGGATCAAATTATGCCTTGATACCAATACTCCGATCCCACTAGGCCGCATTCATCCCTTCTGGAAGCTTGCTTTCGGCCAACCAGACGATATTGAGTTATCTACATGGAACGAGCCGCTTCCCATACCCACAAAGAGGCAAATCAACAGTAATCCACAGCCAATTCAGACCAATAATTGCGTTGTTGTTGAGGCTCGGACGAAAGCCAAGCCTATATGCTCCACTTGTCGTACTGAGGGCCATCGGATGAATGAAAAAGCGTGCCCAAAGCGGCAAAAAAGGACAGCCTAGTTTGTATTTATTGTTTCTATTTTTTATTGAATTTATTTCTTTTTTTTGGCAATTAAATTGGATGAATATGGTGCCGTGGCCATCCTGCTGCGGCCACGGAGGTGTCGAAATTAGCCATGTGATGATAAGATAAGAGAGTTGACGTTGGCCAGGGTCAGGTGACCTACAATGGAAAGCGTTGACTAAGCAAAAAAAAGAATGACTAAGCCAAAATGTGGTCGGACTACCAAAAAAGTGTGGTCGGAGTACCGTTACCCGATCTGGGTTCTCTTGTTACTAAGCGGATGCGGAAGCGGAACAGACAATCCCCGCGAGGTTGAATTCGGAATTTCAGGTGCGACTCGCACACCCCTAATACCGTACACGTGAGCGACGAAGACTTTGAATCTTGGGGAGCTAAGTATCGGCCACTTGGGAACAAAACAAAAAACTGCATAGAGTTAGGAATGTCTGGTGATTTCCATACGCTCCCAGCAACAGCACGGCTGGTCAGGACTAAAACTTAGTGCGGGAAACAGCTACCAATTTCCCCACCCCAAGACAACCCAAGTGAATGGTACCGGTGAAAGCGCCACGCAGCCAAAATCAGGACTTTTAATAGAGTAATCTGCTCTCATTGCAGGGCAGTCTACAAAATGTGGCAATGCTGAATTCAACCTGTTCGATCTGTTGGACCTGCTGAAGATGAATATATTCTTTCTGCTTTCACCGAGCTTCTCTACTTTTAGCTTGTCCAAGGACGTTTGGTCGACAATCTGTGGTGAAAAAGGGGGCACATATAGGCCTCGGCGCTTCTCTCTCCACCCAAGCCGTAGTGACCTCCACTATGATGGATTTGGCCTGGTCAACAAAGCGTGTTGACAGGCCTATTTATTTCCATCCAAGCCTCCGAAAATCGATCTGAAAATATTTTCAAGGCTTTGCATCTGCCAACAGCCCTGTCATTTCCACCAACATATTCTCATTTCCATTGCCCAGATGGCACAGTTCTCTCCAAAACTTCAGACTCTCTCCAGCCATACTCAAACACAACAGGCGGTGGTGAGCGTGCAGGATGATATCAAAATCGGCCTTTTTGATATCGACGAGAGAATGCGACGGTGATGCAAGTATATCCAGTTGTGAAAAGCCTACCAGCCAAGTACTCACTATTGGGGTTCCAGCCGCAATAACGGGCGTGTAAGTGGTCCTCTGTGGTTTGAGCGTAAATACTGAGCTTGCTAGGATTTTGGCTGCTGCCATCATTGTTTGTGTGACCCTTCACTACAGACGCCTCAAAAGAGACAGGCAGACAGATCTTGAGGATGCTAGGCCGGCCAAGAAGTTCCACAACTACAACAGTGCGACCAGAACAAAAAGGACAATGGGGCATGCATCATCTAATGGCGCTCCAAGTCGACAAAATGGGCCTCAAGACGGATCGAACCCTTTCTCGTCACGATACAGCTCGGATTCATCGCTTTTCGAATTCAAAGAACATGAGGGAGCTTATAAACTGTCGAACCTTGAGCGTCGGGTTGCATGAAGACAGCACGCAGACTACTTTGGCCAGTGAGAGCAGGACTTATTATAAGGCCCTAGTCTCGGTTTCACGCGACAGCTAACGGGTTGCTATGTCAACCGATGGGGTACCAAGAGCCAGCCAGGAACCCTGCAGATACTTGGTCGTCCTTTTTCGGTATTTAACGGGCTTATCAGGATAGACACAGGCATTGGGAGCCTCATTATTCACAGTCGAGGCATAGAAAATAGAACAGAGGATAATTTCAGAAAATGAGTCTGGAGTCTAAATAGGTCCATGGAAGCACCTTCACAGTAAACATCTACCTTCTACTTCCCGACCACTTCTGTTAAAACCATTGAAACTTGAGTGCGCAACTTTTCTTGTAGCCACAGTGGGAACCCTCGAACGCTTGAAACCCAGGAACCACCCTCGGGAAGAATAATCTGCCCTCCGTACCCAGACAATATTTGGCTGACAATTGCATGCGCAACGTGTTCTGGCTCGAGAATCGAGGCTTTGAATGCCGGGTTATTGCTGAGTTTGCTAATCATGGGAGTCCGTACCCAGCTTGGATGAATAATGCTGACCATTAGATTAGACAGGTTAGTCGAATCAAGTTCAACAGACGCACTGAGGGGTGGCAAGGGATTGACGTACGTCGTTCGGACTGATGGCGCATTGTAGAGAATTTTCAATTCCTGATTGATACCTTCGTGGAAAGCCAAGGCTGCAGCTTTGGTACAGGCGTAGTCCACGTTCGATGCCTGGGTCATGAAGCTTCCCATACTCGCAACTGTGACGACGTGGCCGTGGTTTCGATCCACCATGGCTGGCAGAAATTCCTTCACTAACAGGAAATGGGAAATAATATTCACATCGAATACCTTTCGAACGACGTTCTCCGGGACCTGAAGCAGCGGGGTAGCGGAGCCAAATCCGGCATTGTTGATCAGGACCGTGGGATCTCCGTGTTCGTTGCGGAGCTTCTCCGCAACGGCATTTATCTCCTCGCCGGAGGTTATGTCGACTTTGTAGAAGACACAATTGGCTTCTAGAGATGAAGTCAATGCACAGACCTTGATAGCTATGAGAGTTCGAGTCTGAGGATGGAAACTTGCCTAACTTGGTATTTGGCTCAACAATGTCAAGTATCACCACTTTGATGTTCTTTGCAGCCAACTTGGAAACAACTAGTGCACCAATCCCGCCACAACCGCCGGTTATAACGACTAACTCGCTTCCCCAGTCCCACGTCTTGTCCGACATATAGTTGTTGTGTGCCCACAGGGAGAGCCTGTTGCTGGCCTTTTTCAACATGAATATACCGGCCAGAATGAACAGGGCTGCCCCCATCCGTCTGGAACCTGCGAAGCCAATCAATGTTGGGGAATATCTCTGCATTAACCTTAGAATTGTTTGAATCAACACTTTAAGATCTTGGCACGAAAAACGAAGCATTTGAAGAATTACATCCGACGGGTGTGAGATGCGTCATGAAATATAAAGGCTGGGTACAGCGGAATTGCTTGTGTTCCCGGGGTCGGGGGCCATTCCAAGTTTTCTCTTCAGGAAGGTATAAATACATATATTTCTATGATTTCATTGGCTCCACTTGTTGGGGTGGGATTACTCTTAACCATCATAATGCCGACCCCTTGGGTTTGAGGGGTAAACCCAGGGCATATGTTACATAAGCGGAAGTGACCCCCGCATCAAAGGCTTAATAGACTCTCGGGTGCGACTCGCACATTGGAGCCGCTAAAACATCGATCGTATCATTACCTTTCCAGGAAGGTGGAGGCGGCTTTTCTCCATCATGATCCGTCCTCGGTCCTGCTCAATTGAAAGACTTAAAACAGTTATATCCGGCCAACGCCCTACCTGACCAGCGAAAAAGAAACGAAATACCTCGAGTTCTTAAATGGATACAAGAATGCCTCGTGATATCACTTTTACCACCTTCGATGGTGTCAAATTGGCGGCCACGGTGTATACTGCTGGCGAGAAGCGGCCTAGCATTGTCATGACCCAAGGGGTATGTCACACATACTTTTCGTACTCCGTTCAACATGGTTTGTTGATAGATCCAAGTTTTCAGGTCTGAGAAAGCAGTTCCTTCCCGATTTTGCCGAACGATTCGTCGCCGCAGGATTCACCACGTTCATCTATGACAACCGTTGCTGGGGCGACAGCGAGGGCGTGCCACGAAACCATGTTGATCCGATTCTGCAAACACGGGACTACTTTGATGCCTTCAATTTTGTGAAAACGCTGCCAGATGTCGACCCCGAAAATATCATATACTGGGGTAGCAGCATGTCCGGTGGCAACGTTATCACCGCTGCGGCAGTCAACAAATCCGTCAAGGCGGTCATCGCCCAAGTTCCGTTTGTGACGGGGGAGGTCATCAGTGACCCGGCTGCATTCCTTTGGGATATCCCTATCCCAAGATCGAGCCAACGTGGCCAGCGGCAAGGATGCGATCATGGCCCCCATTATGCCCGAAAACGAGGAAGAAGCCTTGAGCGGCAAAAGCCAAGCCATGCTGAATGACCCCAATGGTGTGCGGTTCATGAAGGAGATGGACAGGCGAGGATATGCATACGAGAAGACGGCCACTTTGCAGAGCTTGATTCATGCAGTTTCTCACGAGCCCCGGGCAGCTATTAAACGCATCATTCCTCGCCCTATACTGTTTGTGGTTGCTGAAAATGATGCAATTATTCCATCCGATACGCAATTTCAGGTCTTCAATGATGCATCAGATCCCAAGAGGCTTCACGTTATCAAGGGTGCCGGGCACTTTGATCCGTACTTTGGGGCGCCATTTGAAGAGAACATCAAAGTTCAACTTGAGTTTCTGAAGGATATTTTCCACTAGGTGGTAACTCCCATACTTCTTAACCACTTTAGATGGTGTCATTGAATATCTTCATATTCGAATTACTTCAAGTTTCAAGGAAATATGGGCTATTAAGTACTCAAGATCGAGAATAGACAACATCGAACATACAGGAATGAGACCCACTTATCTGCTGGATTTTTCTTCTTTTATTTGTGCCCCCTTTGATTTTGTTCCTATCTTGCATAATCCCCCTCTCATCTAGTAGCTTTGGAGCCTAAAGAGGCTCCCAAATACTTGTCATCATCAAAATTCCATTTCAAAGTTAATAACAATCACAACATTCGACCCAGATCTAATTGGAACACCAAACAGATGCCGAGGAATGTCTGCACCATAAAAGCCACATTAGAGATTTGTCCACCAGATCAACTGTTTATTGGCTTAGCTTTCTAAGAACCAACCCATTAGAGGGCATAGAATATAGCATTCAATATATATCGTCATAAGTCTCAGGATATGCGGAAAAAAATCCAGAATTCATCCTATATCTCCATAGGTCGTGCAGGGACTCGGAAAAGACGGCGGAAAAGCTGTACCTTTTAATTTCGGCATTATATTCATAAGCATCCGAAAAGGAATCCGACCAGAAAAAATAGAATGATCTCGCAAACTGGTCCCAGAAAGTATCATCCAGCTGAGGCTGGTGAAGCATTACCAAGCGCTCACGGAATCCTGGCCTAGCATATGGTCATTAGAATTGCTGGCTTTAAGAATAATACCTCCCAACAAAGGAAAACATATAAACGCGCTGTTACTCACCAGGCAAAATAATCCAGTAAAATGTCATGGGACAGCAAAGTCTGAGAGGGTCTGCTGGAGATGTTTAGAGACCAGGGAATTGGAGGAGTCAGAATGGACGTTAAACTTGCCTTGGTCGATACCAAGCTGGTAAACCTTCAATAAAGTGTGGAAATATAAAACACTGTAGATGTAAGTCTTCTGGTCGCCAAATAGAGATGGAGCATGTACAAGTAAAAGTTGGTGAATTCCACGCAACATGGAGAGTCTAGTCGCAAACCCACTTCGTATATTGATGCTTGCATCTATCTCCCGAATAATAACCCAGAGAGGGCACACATTATTTTCATGCTGCAGTATATGCCATCCTTCCAAAACGGCGCGGATCAGTATATCCTGATTCAGATGGTCAGCTGAGCAGACTTGGGACGGATCAATTTTGAAAACGGAGCCGAGGATCCGAACAGCCTGGCGAAAATAGTTCATGGACTTTCCACCATTTTCGCTCGGATATTCGAGTCCAGGGGTTATGTGAAAAGGGAATTGCATCGACTGCTGGCCCTTTGCTGGTGTGCTGTCCAGCGCTTGGAACGCTGTGCAGTCCTGAATGTTGGATGAAACTGCGCTTTGCCAACAAGTTTCTCCATGTGAGGAAGGTACATCATAATTCGATTGCACAGTATGGCCATCTGCGGGGAACGGTCGCTCTACAGATATTCCGAGTTAGCAGAATTATGCTAGACATTGGCGGGGTTCTGGTATGCTGACTGAAAACATTCCACAAATTACTTTCCAAGTACTTGATTCGATTCTCGAGTATTTCCAGGTAGTCTTGCTGTCGTTGCTGGAGCTGTTTCTTCGAGATTCGATCCATCTTCTGTTTGCGCGCTCTTTGCACACTCGTCAACACACGGCCGGAACTCCAGGCCTTAGACTGTGTGTCATTTTGAACACCCATCTCGATCACTGTATCTGTGAGAAGGGATGAGCAGGTTCGTGATGGGGTGGGGGGAGGATGAGTTTCAGACTACCGACCCCAGATGCCAAATTTGGGCAACTGTCGGAGCAGCTGTGGGCCCAAGTAGCATACACGAATGAGATAGCAAAGAGTCTTGATTGTGAACGTCTCCGTTACCATACGATTTTGTATGGTAGCTCGGACAATCTATCTACCGAATATTACAATCACGTTACTAAATACAACATATGACAAAACAAAGCTCCACATAGTTAGTTATTCCGACAGCAACTCTGCTTAGTCATTGGCGCGCGATCAGCTCAACATGGTTGGGCGCACTCTGACCGTGAATCCTGGATCGCTGGCATTATTACAAATTATTACAGACTATTACAGATATTTGTTCCGAAACAATAAGTCAAAGTTTAGTCATCTAGTCCTAGAATGAATTGAATTTGGAATGATGTTTTCTTTCTCAAGGGACTGACTAGTTGAGGATCCTTCACTCACGATTAGACCTGTACATGGCCCATGGGCCGGCCCATTTGGGTCGGCCCAATGGCCCAAAGATAGGGCTTTTTCTAGGGCTAACATGCATTGCATAAAATATGAAGATTAAGCGAGATCTTGGCTGTAATGCTGTGGTTTCGATAATAAAGTAATTCTGTGATACAGTAGTGATTTTTATATTGAATCAGATACAGTGAGAGCAGAGATATGAATGAAATTATAGATTATATTAAGTAGTATATCCCTGTAGCCGTATCGAAGGTATCCGGGCCCTCCCTGAAGCACGCTGAGTACTAGATTGCTTAGGTAGTAGAGGCTCTTCTTCCGCAGAGCCTTCTGCCTCATCTGATGTCTCCTCCTCCTCCTCCCCCTCCCCCTCACTAATCTCTATAATCTCCTGTAGAATATGCTTTGTGGTATCCTCCTGTTGAATATCTATCTCGTACTCTGTTTTATATTCTCGTATAAAAGCAAGTTGCTCCTCCTCAATATCAAATCGATTAGCACACATGAGCAGCATGAGATCCTGAATAGTCGTTGCATGGAGAGAGCCGCGGCGATAATGACAGATATCGCGGGAAGAATTGAATAAGCGCTCTACACCTGCACCAGTAGCTGGGACAGAAAGCATGTCTCGAGCAATTGCTGCAAGCACTGGGAACTGCTGCTCATGGTCCCTCCAGAAATCAAGTGGGGAAGTGAGTATAGTACCTATTGAATGAATAGTTAGAGAGGTATGTATTGAAACTGTGTTTTGGGAGAATACTTACCCCCCTTCAGATACTGATGGAGCTCTGAGAGTGGTACTGCGGGTCGAGCTCTATAACTATCAAGCAATATTTCAATCTGTTGAACAGGCTGTGGGTAAGAAGGCCCTTCAGATTGTGAGCAAGTATCATGGAGTTGAACTTCATAGGCAAGAATTTGCTGCTCGAGTGCTGCTTTATATTCACCTGCAAAGTCCTTGTCTTGCCAATCAGGGGTCTGAAAGAACTCAAGCTTATACTGCGGCGCTAAGATAGTTCCATTGGTATATATGTTGATAAGCCCTGGAGTATCGGTCGCTGAGTAATAGTCCTTGAGCTTATCTCTTGCTTTTTCCAGTGCCTGAAGCATCTGACGTTTCCATAAGATCTTCTTGTGGCACAACTGACGCTGGCGGCTTTCAAGATGCTCAAACAGACGATTATAGATACTGAAAACCATGTGAATTGTAATGCCTTTGGTTTTTGAGAGAGCGGTGGTGTATTGATAGAATGGCTGCGTAATGCAGATCAAATAATCAATCTGCTGCCACTCATCTCTACTCAGCTGAAGATCAGTATGGTGATCTGCCACACAGTAGGTATTAAGATAGGACTGAAGTCGCTTTGCCCGGCGGAGCATTAGAAATGTTGAATTCCAGCGTGTTCGTACATCTTGAATTGGAAACAGTTGAGAGCCTTCAGGCTGAAGGTTCCAAAAATTCGCACGGCGCTGAGGGCTTGCATTAATAAATACAGCAAGGTTTCGAATCTAGGTAAACCATAATAAAATTAGTAGAGATTCGGAGAATAATGAGAGTATTAGATCATCAAACCTTGCGAAGGGTGCTGGCTATACTGTACTCCTTTGCTATTTGACGCGCCTTCTGCATATGCTCTTCTGACCAAATAGATTCAACATTCTCATTGACAGGGTTTGCTTTTATTTGACCCAGGAGCTGCTTAAGGCTTAGCTGAATGACGTGAGCAAGGCATGGTACTCTGATAATAATGGTATCAGAGCTCAGGCCTTGAGAGAGATGAGTTTCCTGGAGAGAAGAAACAAGGGTTAAGTTATTAGACGCATTATCAGTAGTAATAGCCAATACTCGCTCTTTGATCTCATACTCTTGAAGTAGTTCAAGAACCTCTTGACTGAGATTCACCCCAGTATGCTCACCCTCAAGAGGTTTAAAATCAAGTAAAACCTCTCGGTATTCCCATTCTGAATCAATAAAATAGCCAGATACTGCCATAAAGGCCTGTTGGAAAGGTGAGGTCCAACAGTCTAGACTAATTGAAAGCTTTGCATGCTTTGGCAATTTCCGAAGTATCTCTTTCCGACGATCTTTTGCCTTTGTTTGAATCTGACGTTGTAATGTTACGCGAGAGGGCATATTGATAGGAGAGGGAGCTCGCTGAGCTAGTCGGATAAGCTTCAGAAATTCAGGGTGCTCGATCGTTGTAAAGGGAAGGCGTAATGTAGATATTGTTGTAATAAGTTGCTGTCTCCATCGGTTCTCATTGAATGCTTCAGGGGCTATGGCTGCCTAATTAAGAGAGAGAAGCATTAGATGATTTTCCGGCCGGAAAAGAAGGCCCTTACCTGATGCTGTAGTAGCCGCTGTAGATTAGACCCTTTCCCTCGCGCTTGCCCTCTTGCCTGGCATGTTTGACGCGTAAGATGGCGGCGTAACGCAGTAGTTCCATGTGCTCTCTTGCTAGAATGACTTATAGCGTTTGGGTGGTGGAGAATAGCACCACATCGCTTGCATATCATCATTGGCTTCCCAGTAACACAGTGAGCAACCTGGTCGAATGAAGCCCAGATATCTGCTCGGCAGCCCTTTGTATCCCATACTCTTGCATCCTCAGCTTGCCCAGCAGATGTACGAAGCCACCAGTTAACAAACTCTTCCTTGTTCATTGCTTCGAATAATATGTGGTTGTTGATAGGTTTAAGACACCCTGGGATATTGATAGGTTGGAAAGACTGTGTTGTTTGACTTGCAGAGTGCTCAGGCGCAATACTGTCAGAGTAAAGATCCAGGAAAGATGAATCATCAACATCACATGCCTCGCCATCATCTATAAGGATTTCAGGCATAATGAAGAATAGGCAACTAATTAAAGAACGAGTATTGTTGAATAGGTAGAAGAGAGTAGAGAAAGAGGTTACAAACTATTTTATTCTACAGGTACATACTTTCTATTTAGCTGAAAGATCAATAAAGCAGAAACTCAGGGGGGACGCGTTGTGTATACAGCTCTAGTCCGGTTAACAATTTAGCCAGGAGACTTCCTATTGAGGGTCTCTGATTGGTTAATTCAATGGGCCAGCCCATGGGCCGGCCCATTCAGCCTAAATATTCGTGAAGTGTTATCCCCCGCAGATTAGATGTTGGCATCGAATTTTTTTTTCACCCTCCGATGTTAATGTTTTAATGGATTTAAGCCACCACCAAAGTAGTATTAATTAGTATAAAATTATAGAGAATCGAATCAGACTACTGCGCTCCCTATAGTATTAAAAAATCTAGGAAAAGCTAAGTTCTCAACTACATCGAATTCACAAACAATCAAAGCAAGAAGGCCTACTAGCTTGCGAGTAAAGAAATATATATCTTTTGACTTACAATATATTTGGTGAATGGTTATCTATTTGGTAATTTGCCATAGTTAAAGCTGTATAATTAGAACACTATCAAATACCACTAGTAATATTGAATATCTTGCATATAATTTATGCAAATTTGGGGGCTAAATGGGCCAAATGGGCCAGCCCATGGGCCGCCAAGAAAACCCATGGGCCGGCCCATGTACAGGTCTACTCACGATGTTCACCACTAGCCGCTTTCCGGGACTGCAAGATAAAGCTCATAGTGTCTTTTTCTCAAAGGCAGTTCCGTAAAAGATGCCGTTAGACAGGTTGACCCATTTTGCTGTGCAAATATCAAAATAATAGTTGCGTCGCACTTTCCATGGACCAATATCACCTGTCTTTGGCAGGGACTCCGCGGCTTTTGTCACGTAGGTGCTATTGAGATTCAAGTACGAACCCGTCTTCATCGCTGCTCTCGCTTTTGCGTCCCCCTCAAAGCGGGGTGTGGCACTGGCCTGTCGTGAGCGAGCCATGCTAGACACCAGACGGCAAAATAGAATAGCCGACGCATCGGCTCCGAGTGTCCAAGATGCATTTGTATATCCCATGATAAAACAAGCGTTTGGTACACCCTCCAGCATGCAACCCCGCCATAAGACCTTCTTCGACACATCAACCTTTCGGCCATTCACTGATATTTCAATTTTCCCCGCAAACACCAGTCGCAGTCCGGTTGCCGTCACGACAATGTCAACATTGTCGATGGTTTCACCACTTTCCAAGTAGATCCCTTTCTGCGTAAACCCTTGAATTTGCCCAGTTGACACAGAGGCTTTCCCAGATCGAAGGCAGTCAAAGAAGTCACCGTCTGGAGACAAACAGAGGCGTTGTTCCCAAGGGTTATACTTCGGGGAGAAGTGAGGGTCGACTGGGATATTGGCTGGCAACTTTTGCTGTGTTACTTCCTTCAACCTTTGTCTGGCAGTCGCTGGAAAGGCCCGGCAGAATTGGAATTGAATGAACAGGGATGTCAGGAACCACCACCGCAGAAAGAAATAGAGTAGTTTCTCAGGTAGGAGCAGCTTGAGCATGGGTGGAGTGCTGTTATCCATAGACACAATATAACCCGGACTGCGCTGGAGCATAGTGACGTGTTTTGCCTTTTTGGCGAGGTTGGGAAGCAATGTCACCGCGGTTGCACCGGATCCGATGATCACAATGTTCTTGTCTTTGTAATCCTGGTTCTCAGGCCAGAATTGAGGGTGGATCTTTTCTCCTTTGAAGTCGCTCAGCCCTGGAATCGTGGTACTCATGGGTTGCTCATAGTCGTAGTAACCAGTACCAAAAGCGGCGTGCCAACAACGAAGTGACTGTTCAATTATTAGTCTATAGTTCAGCGCATTCCGCATAAGTCTATAGACACTAACTAACCTTCAAATGGCCATCATTATCGATGGTCAGATTCCAGTGTGCGCTCTCTTCGCTGAAGTCCGCTTTCACCACCTTGTGCAACAATCGAATGCGTGAATCAAGATTTGCAAATTTGATGGCTTCCGTCAGGTACCGTTTGATACTTCCAGCGTCCGCGATAGCGCGATCTTCTTTCCATGGATACCATGCAAAGCCAAAGGTGTACAAGTCAGAGTCGGATCGTATGCCAGGATACTTAAAGAAGTCCCATGTTCCACCTATCGAATTACGACCTTCCAAAATGACCAAGGACAGTGATGGATTTGACTCTTGGAGACGTTGAGCAAAGTTGATACCAGAAATCCCGGCTCCGATAATTACCACGTCCACGAAGCCCATGTCGAGAGGATTTGGCACCGTGTTAGGAGCCATGTTGTTCGACCGATCAGTGAATGAGCGGATTCCATGTTCAAGGCATCTTTAAATGTCATGGACATTTTCTTTGCTTGGATTTGACGATAGTCATCGTCGCGTCAAATTATTGACTGCCTCAACCGTATGGCGCAAAAAGATTAACCGTTAGCCAATAGGAGCAATTTAAGTCGCACTCCGATAGATCCACATTCATCATTTCTTGGTGGTGCGAATCGCACCCGAAGGTTTCTCCACTTCCGCTTATGTAACCACCCCCACATCAGACCCAGGGAAACTGGGGTAATAGTAGGGAGATCAAGTGTTCAAGGTTTCGAGACAAGTTCCTCGGGTATCTGAGTCGGAATGATTCCGTGATCTGGGAGATTTGCAGTCGACTGGAACAATGTTTGGCAAATTTATACTTATTCCAGATATAGTATGGTACGCATATAATGTCACGTGATATTTGATGGCGATAAGCGATACGCGATAAGCCATTACTTATCAGGATAGCGACTCTTCCTCTACAACCGCCGCAATGCCCGACAAGCGAAAGGCATCGATGCCCGCCCCCTCTTCTAAGCGGCCCCGCATCTCATATGATGACGAGGGTGAAGAACAGCCCGTGACACCCCACGAAAAGCCTTACAGCCACCCTCCGTATGGCCAGAAAAACGCGTTCTTAGGTCTGGACGATGCCAAGAACGAGCTCTGCCACGACGATGCCGATGACAACTACTATATGTGCTGAGACGGCTAGTTCCGGCCCTGTCGGCACAGACTTCGATCCCAAGAGTATCTCGCAACCGTACCGTTGCTATGCTAAGCCTTACACGGCCCAGGTCCTTTTGAGTATCTTGAGGATGTGCCAGAGTGCGCGCCAAGTAAATCAGTCACCAACCACCATAGGTAAATCTTAATAATAATTGCCCAAGACAGCTCTCTAGGGCCCATATAATTTAGAAATACAATAAAATTTGCAATTAATCCTAAGTAATGCGCGAATATCTCTTATACAATAAGCGCAGGCGGCAACCAATCTACCTATTGACCAAATATCTACACCCTCAATGAGCTATCCCCTCAGGTATCCAGCACACAAAGACCGAAGGGCTCAAAACGATGATGATAATTTTGACCGAATGGGACCTTTTTTAACTTTGCAATTACTGAATCTTTCAGGATACTCTCTTCGAATTCAGTAGTAGTGAATCGTTCTAAGCGATTAATTCGCCGCTGGGCCTTCTGCGCCCTTTCTGATTCAACTAACGGGCTCTCGATCGTCTTCATAAGCTTTTGAAAGCTTTTCTTCACGCTCTGAGGGGTATTTGGCTGTTCAATTGAACTAGATGATAGGACTGGAGAAAGATCCCGCTGCGGGTGCACCCCGCGTGCATCGTCCCCATTAATTTGATCGAAGCCCTGTAGTGGTATGAATTCTTGTTCCTCTTGCTCAGTAAGAGATATAACCACTAAACCAGGGTTAAATGGGTAGATCCCTCGCTTTCTGAAGCTCCCACGAATAATATGGAGGGTAAAACTCTCATCGCGAATCTCGCGAATCCCCCCGCAGGAAGACGGCTTTATCAGTAGGATTCCCAACCCATAGAGTTACCGTACGATTCCAGCTTCGAAATTTAGTCTTATACGTTAGAAACGTATCCTCATCGAGAGGTTGGACGAGATACGTAGCGTGCGAGATAAAGCAAAAGGGCAAGAATTTAGCCTGTGCGCAATACTCGAGGAATTCCGCGGTTAAGTGCGTAGTATGCCCATCAAAGAGTAGTAAGCATGGCTCATGGAATTAGAAATTGTCTTATTAGCTTTATCTTCTTCAAAAAGTACGGTGATATCATCGTACGAACTCTTTCCAGTGCGATTTTTGGTGTGTTTAATTCGAATGCCAACTCTGAAGTATTATAGCCAGTAGGAGCCACTGAGACAACCCAATCTGGGTGTAGACACTCGTCAAACCATCTCTCCAGAATTACAGAGCCTCGAAAGATGAAGAAAGGCGGTAATGTGAAGCCATCTGCAGAGATACATTCAATCGAGGTAAGACTCTCTCGAGTATCCGAGATCTCTGCGCGGGCCCTTCGGCGGCCAATCGAGCAAGTACGAGAGGGTTGCTGGCTTAAAGCCGGTCTCATCGAAATTGTAGATATTATAGTGCTTTATCTGCTTGATCAATGGTTCTAGGCCGTCAAACCAGTGCTGCATTGAAGCAGCAGTAAACCGCCCTCTCTGAAGCGATTTGCTCATCAGCAATTGGTGCAATATTTGGGTCTACTCTCTCGATAAACGAATAGGCCCATTAGTGATTAACTAGCTTAAGACCAGGTGGTAGGTTCTCAGCTTTGGCTAGCCGTGAAAGGATAGAGGTTTTTGACCCGGTCGCATCGGGATGGTCCTTTCGGTATTGGCGCCAGAGAATCAGATTTGCAAGGTCCTTAATATCTTTGCCGTTTAATTTGATATTATAGCGGCGTAAGCTATCAATCATCCTTACAATTGCACCCTCCTGGGCCTCAGTAAGTAGGCGTGGGCGATTTTGGTTGCCAATTTTGAATGGCTTCCCAAGAGACCTGCGGCGTAGGCGATGGTAAGATACGCCATATTCGCGCGATAATGCAGAGATTGCGATTTTGACCACTGTGGTAGGCTCCTAAGGCCTTAATAGTTCGATCTTCTTCTTCTGCGTAAGATTTACCCATGGTGGTGGTAGGTGATATGGGTAAATAGTTGGTGGATGGGTGGTTTTTTTGCATTGGAAGTTGGACCGCCCTAACCCGTTAGGGTGGGAATGGTCAGTGCCACGGGTAATTTGGATTGTCGAAATTTGATGTGGTGTCCCGGCGGACCAGGTGACCCGCTCGCTTGTGAAATACGTTAGTTAGGAAGTATCCCATCGGCCTTAGATACCCTAAAGGGTCTTCTCCGGGTCTGATCAAGCAATGGCCCCACTCCGAGAATTCAAAATACACCCCGGAGTTTGCGGACTATGTTCCCGTACTTGCGCAATAGTATCAAGCCACATGCACATATGCCCGAGAATCCATACAGCAACTTGGAAGCTTTGACGTTGCTTGTATTCACAACGCACAATGCAACCCGAGACTGAAAAGATTTCTCAACTCTCCAGTCATCGTATAGCCAGTCGACTTACCTCAATATGGCACTCTTATAGTGACCAAGAGATTCCAGGATGAGACTACGCTTGCCAGTAAGTATAAGTTTCGCACCGGTGAGTCTATCATCCATGATATGCATGGCTTCCCAAATATGGCAGGGTTGGCCGACACAATCTCGACTCTATGGGCCGATGATCTCGGACACAATCCATTCTACGCCCCCAAAACAAGACCCTGGCCCGTTTTTCATGCGTCAGTCTTCCCTAGAAATGCTTTTTTTTACTTAGCGTCGAGTTGTCTCGGGATAATATCGGGGTATTGGTGAACCCTGTCCGCATGGCTCTGCGGCCGGGAGCGCTACATCCCTACGATTGGAGTCTTTGACTTCTTAAGGTTTGCATTTCCAGCCACAAAAACGACAAAATAATTAGTAAGATAGTTTATATCGCAAGCCTCGAAGACTCCGGGATGTACTTGCGTATCTAAATACGAAAATACTTTACCTGTTGAATCTTGCTTTCTAGAAAATGCCGGGAAAATATTGCAGACTTCCTTGAAAACGGGACGAATGAATTTGATTGATAACAGTAAACCTTGGAATCTTATATACTGCCGAACCTTGAGATTGCATTAAAAAACCTCATATCACCGAAGGGCACACCCCGTCACATCCCAAATAGGTAGGGTAAGCCCAAACCGTACTAGCATAGCTCGTTGCAGTCGAGGTCAAAGTCGACGTGGTGGCCACGATAGGAGTCAGGATCCCAAACTGAAAGCTGTAAATAGGAGAATTGGTCGAATCTTCGATTCTGATCGTGTAAACATCCCGAGTCAACGAGCTTTTCGGCGTCCAAACGTAAAATCTGTCGGTGATATCGGCTATGATAGTCACAATGTCATTTACAAAGTCATCTGAATTTGAATTCTGTAAAAGCTTACAGGCAATAGTGCCTGCGTTCTTGAAATAGGTATCAATTGCAGTGGCACCTTGAAACAAAGTGAGGGATACTGGTCCTTCAGCCTGCTCCCAGGTAATGTTGAAAGCTTTACCCGGGACGATGTCGTCAAAGTTTCTGTTGGTGAACACGAGACTGTTTGCTGCTGTAGCCAGGCAGGTAACCAAGGTTGCTTTGAGGGGCATCATTTTCAAATGGATGGGTAATTGGTAGAGCTGAATCAGGCCTTGATCAACGTCTTATATACGAGTGAAAACTAGAAAATAAAAAAACGGCTAAATAATACTTCCAAGGTTCTATGCCAGTAAATAGAGTCTCATCCTATTTTCGTACCCCACAAACTATATAACCCTAGGCTCGGCGATTGTGTCTATATTCGGCTGATCTTTACGTCAAATCAGTTAAATTGTCCGAAAGTTAACCTTTTTACTATATCGTCCCACTAAAAGCACTTTGAGGGGGGAAAACCAGGTCATTCGGGGCGTATCAAAAACCGAATACTGTCGGATATGGATATTACGGGGCTACAACAGCTGTGGAGAAACATGAGAGAATTAAATAAAATACAGAAAGACGGAAAGCTTAAGTAGGCGGAGGTTACCCGTATCGTTTGCTCTCCTTGCTCTACTCTTACCTACTATTTTCTAGCTCTGAAAGCTGCTCACGATAAAATGAAACACTCCTGGCTCGTCTCATCACTACTGCTTCTATGGAGGTGGACGGTGACCACCATGGCATCACAGCTATGGGCAGGAGCTGCATCAGTGGACATCACGCCACCTATCAACCCAAACTGGCTACCACTGAATGAGTACGAGCTGGAAAAGCTCCATATCCGCGCCATTGTTTTTGAAAACAATGGTGAGCGAGGTGCTTTGATTGGCGTGGAGATTGTCGGATACGAACAGCCAGTTTATGAGCATGTCATCGAGCTTGTGGCCGAATACCTGAATGTGACAGCAGGCAATATTTTGTTCACCTGCACACACACCCACGGTGCTGCACCATGGGGCACTGCTCTATTCTACACGGAGCACAACTACGGTAACCAGCGTGTGAACCAGTATGCCACTCTAGCCGACGCGGCACTCAAGGCTGTCAAGGAGGCGTATGCCAAAATGGTTCCTGCCCAGGTATGCTTTATCCACAACATTTCGACCGATGATCCGGTTTAATAATTGCTCATCTAGGTTGGATATGCTACAGGCGAGGCATATCTGAACGTGAACCGTGATAATCTGAACCCGCTTACAGGCCGCTGGACGCAATTTTCGAACTTCACTGGCCCTGTCGATCGTGAGATCCAAGTTCTTACCTTCAATAATATGAATAATACACCTATTGCCGTGTACACCACCTATCCAATGCACCCGGTCAACTCCTATCAGGCTGGATATGTGAGTGCCGACTGGCCGGGAGCGATGTCGCGTTGGATTGAGCAGTCCTTTAACGAGAAGGTTGTCGCCATCTATTCCCAGTCAGCATCAGGTGATGTCAACCCGCGTTGTCGACGCACTGGCACCAATGCCCTTGCTTCAATTTCACAGGTGCATGTTTCTGGTCTTGAATTAGCCCAGGAGCCTCTGGAAGAACCACTTCGCGATCAATACCTCCCGCTAGTTCGCGCAGATGTGACTTATATTCGCCAGCTTTTTACTGAACTCACCTCTGTTGGTGTTGTTCTAGGTAAGTTAAGCCCGTGGAGATACTTATACAATCTAGCTTTTATCTGACCCCTTTTATATCACAGGCGAGGAAGTCATCCGTATCATGTCCCGAACAAGCAACTTCGATTCGAACCCATCCATCTGGAGTCAACAAGCGAATGTGACTTGTCCCGGCCGTGCCCGTATGGATAAGGCTCGCGAAGGCGTCCCAGGATATTATTATAACAGCACCGATGTCCAAATAATGACCGGAGCTTTTGGTATTGGTAATACTGTTCTGGCTCATGTCGGTGCCGAGATTTTCACTCGAATTGGGTGGCACATCCGGGATTCTTCAACTATGAACAACACCATGATTGTTACCATGTGCAACGGCAAGTCTGCCTCAGGCTATATTGCTGATGTGGAATCAGTGTCTCAACAGGTTTTCGAGACATTGGGATCAACACTTTACCCGGGTTCTTGCGCTGAAGATAAGATTGTTAGTAGTATCGCTGAGCACATCAAGGCTTACAAAGAGACTTTGTAAGACGTCTTTATGGATATGATGAATGATATGTGTACAGGTCAATACAAAATCTAGTTATCCCTAGTAAAATACTAAGATATTCGAGAAAAACTGGAAATAATAGTCACCGTAGGCGGCATGCGGAGACGCCTTAGGCGTAAGGCATCTCAGTATGCCGCCTACGGTGACTATTATAAGGAGTGGACCTCGGACTGTACCAGAGTATGGATTCTGCCGGCAAATCGAGCTCCGCCTGAAAGAGCCAAGTTTGACAAATCATCGATCTCGGCTTGGCCCATTGGCCAGGTTGATAGTTCTAGCTACGTAGACCTGGCTACATAGCCCGCCAGCCTACATAGTCCTGGCTACATAGTCCTAGCTACATAGACCGCTAGCCTACTGTTACGGACCTCAAAGAGGTGCGGGGGCCGCAGCTAATTAAGGAGCAACCGAGAGCCAATCAATCCCCGGGCCCTATGCATTAGCGCCATCACGTGCGACACCTGTTGCTCAGGCACGTCACAGAGCGCCCTGAGTGGAACATTCAGGGAGGCGGCTGGAAATGGCCTTCCCCTAACCGTGCCAAAGTATACCGCTTATACGATTGGACGGTTAGCCAGACGCAGGAAACGGCTACCTATTTACCAGCACCAATTTTACATTGGAAGTTGGACCACCCTAACCCGCTAGGTGAGGGGGGTCGGTGCCACGGGTAAATCCCAATAACTGTCTGAGGCTTTGTTCTGTTTTTCCTCTATCTTTCTCTGATAAATTTGTTTTGATTCTACGTTTAAGACGAAGTTCTTATACACCGGCTACTACCCGATTACGGCCCACGGATCAAGGTAACTTAGAATTCCGAATCTTCGAACCGTATTTTTCGTATAACTCGAGGGATAATTATAAAAAAAAAAAAACTCAATTCATATAGTTTTACGTCATTTTGAAGCACAAAGATGCTGCAAGAGGAAGTATTCCCCTGCCTAGTCTCCACAGGTTGTCTGATCTCGGGTTTTTGGGTCATCCCTTGCTTGCTTAAGATATGCGTTCCCAAAATGGATGTAACGGCCGACTTTATATCTAAGGCTACCATTGGATGGAAACTCGGAGATAAGAATCAATGCCGCAAAACGTTGAATAACCATATAGCATCCATAGTTAGCTTCATTTCAATTTGAAACTACCTTCTCTGCTAGGAACAATACAGTTTAGCGTATGGGGTTTCTTGCACAGGCTAAAAGTATTAAAGCCTCCTGCAGAAATGCTTATTGTCTGTAAATTGTTGTTTTCAATTGAAGAGTCCGCACGGGTGCAATGAAGACTCATCTTATTCACCAGCTGGGCCTTGTTGGTCTGGCATCTGCCTCGCTGACATGTACCCCTGCTCACTTTCAGAAGATCCTTTCCAAGAACAACCTAAAGGGCACTATCAACTCCGCCTACCACATCAAAGAGAATGGAACCTTTGCTGTCACTGGCAATCTGGCCTACCCAACCTCGCCAACCGGTCTGCCAGCGTTGTGTGCCGTGGAAGCCAATATGACTACGGAAGTTGGCACCTCGTACACTTTTGGTATATTCCTGCCAGATGATTGGAATGATCGGTTTCTGTAAGTATCTGATATGATGATTGCTTTGGCCCCAGATACTGATTGATATGTTAGTGCCGTTGGAAACGGAGGATATGCAGGCGGTATCAACTACATCGACATGGTCCGTATCCCTTTGACAAAGTCCAATATCATACTCTAACATTATTCAGGGTGCCGGTGTCGGCTACGGCTTCGCTACAATGTCCACGGATACCGGCCACAACAGTTCATACCAGGGAACTAGCTGGGCCTATCATAACGAAGAGTCCATCGCCGACTGGGGTTGGCGTGCCATGCACGAGTCCACGGTCACCTCGAAGGTTCTCGTTAATGGATTCTACGGCGAGGATTCGAGATACAACTACTTCAGCGGCTGCTCGGTAGGAGGAAGACAGGGTCTGCGTGCTCTCCAGCTCTTCCCGGATGACTACGATGGTGTCTCGGCAGGAGCACCAGCCTGGTGGACAACCCACAACCAGCTATTCGCCCTAAAGGTCCTCCTCTGGAACTTCCCCGAAAATTCAACACAAACCATTCCCGAGTCCCTCTTCAGCGTGATCGGCGATGAGGTTCTGAAGCAGTGTGATCCTCAAGATGGCCTGACCGATAACATCATCAGCGATCCTTTTGGTTGTAACTTCGACCCGCTACCTCTGCTATGCACAGCCAACAAGACTACCGATTGTCTTACCAGTGAGCAGATCGACACTACCTTCAAGGTCTACAATGACTGGGTGGATGTGAACCAGACCTTCGTGTTCCCGCATTACCTTTTCGGTACCGAGTCATCGTGGAGCAGCGCCATCGGCACAGGTGCCATGTCATCGGTCGAGAACCAGGAAGGATTCGCCCAGGATCTTCTCCAGTTCGGACCGAACTGGTCTTACAAAGATCTCACATACAAGACTGTCGAGTATGCCGATCGTCTGAATCCCGGTAACGCCACAGCCAGCGAATTTGATATCCGTCCTTTCAAGGCGCGTGGTGGAAAGCTCATTCATTACCAAGGCTATGCCGACCCGACACTCCCCACTGGAAGTAGTATCTACTTCTACGAGCATGTTTCTCGAGCCTTGACCGAGAAATCAGCTACATTGGATGACTTTTACCGCATGTTTTTGATCCCCGGCATGGAGTAAGTCAAATATACCTACCACATAACATCATTCACTAATTTGATCCAGGCACTGCATGTCTACACCCAGCACAATGAATGCCCCTTGGTATATCGCCGGTGCAAACCAAGCTGCCGAGCTTGGTGACAATGTTAGCGGCGTACCGGGCTACCGTGATTCTAAGCACGACGTGATCTTGGCTTTGATGAATTGGGTTGAGAACGGGACTGCGCCTGACTCTATCATCGCAACTAAGTATACTGATGATACTACGCATGAAAAGGTAGAGCGTCAACGTCCTATTTGTCCGTACCCGCAGCAGGCTAAGTATCAGAGTGGAAACCCGGATATGCCTCGAAGTTGGAAGTGTGAGAGCCTTTATTAGGATGTGTTGTGGTGGCTAGGTATTTAGGATTAGGGTATTTCGAGGCACGTGGTGGAGGCTCGGGATATGTAGTCAAATAAATGTTGGGCCTTGGTTGCATATTATCCAATCGAATATCATATACCGAGGTCAACTTCTTTCCAACTGGACCTGGCGAAAAACCCCATTCTTTTCGGGTTACGTTGAAAAATGCGCTTTTGCATCACACATAGATGAAACGCCAGCAGTATGACGCACGCCCGCTCTTCCTCCACAGTGTGTGCAATAACAATCTTAGCGAAATACGTCCGGAATCAGGACGACTTACTTACTCTTGACTTACTCTTGTTGTGTGTGGCTGCTCGTGAGAGTTCATTGGCCGGTGAGAGGGGTGATTGTTATCTTTTCTTTATAGATTAGCCATGTTTCTTTAATATATCGTAAGGCGTAGGAGAATACTAATCGATATTTCTTGTTAAATTCCGATAGTCTTGTTTCGTATTCATCCTCGGTTGGTAAATTAACAAGATTCTGCCAGCCAAAGAGAAATTCATCCCATACTTCATTAGTAATAAAGCATTCTCTTATGTCGGAGCGTTGTCTTTACAGTACGGACTAGTACGGGCATAGCCAATTGAGTACTTGAGAGTATTGATTTTTTGAATACTATGGAAAGTACAGAATATGTGCGATGTGGGCTTAGTAAGATCGTTTAGAGCGATGCAAACATGGTTGAAAACAGGAGGCATATGGGGGTGCTGAATATTCCTCGGTCGCACTAGTAAAACCGCGACCCTCTTTTGTCGACATCTTACTTTAGCGGCAATATTCTTATTAATATGCCATAAACATATTATTGCGGATACTCTGGGTAATCCTCGCTAAGTGCACTCAATAAAGCAAGATCTCGGTCAGTACAGAGAACTGGTGGTTGGAATATCGGGGATTCAAGCCATGAAAAGAAGATTTTTAATGCCCATTTATATGATTCTTCCTGTTCATTTTGCATAAAGCAGAAAGCAATACTAAATGTAGTATTTGATGGTGATACACCGATAATATGTAATAAGCGCATATTATATCGATTCGTTTTATATATGCAGTCAAGTATAAGAACACTATTATATCGGTTAGCGTATCGAATTGATTCTGGGTGAGCAAACATAAAAAATGTAATATGACCTTCCTTATCTTGTTCTTATACAAACTTCCACTGATGAGTAAGTAGTTGATCTTGAAGATATCGAAATGGTGTACGCCCAGCAAGCTGCTCACGTAGAAAGGCTATTCGGAGGTTATATAAATCCCTTAGTATAATTAATAGAGTAGGATCACTCTTTTTGATCAAATTGATAATCTGCCGTGGAGGGATACCCTCATCAAGCTGGTTGCAGATAGTAATTTGCAGCTCTGCTGTAATCGTACGCGCTGCTGGATGGCAATTAAATTACTGTCAAGCTCATGAGAATTCTCTAAATTGTTGACTTTTATACGCCATCTACCATCGGTTTGAGAGCCTCTGGAATGAACGTAACCACAGAGCCGAAAGGTGCATCCAATTCGCCTAGTACTAGTTTTCCGTCGCTTTGCCTCATCTAGTGCATTAATCCGATCAGTACACTCACCTCCACGATCACAGCCAATAGTGATATTCTTGCCAGGATTCGATCGAATCGTAGTGATAACATAGCCCTGAGAAAGGGCGTAGTTAAGAAGGGCCATAAGCATCTTCTCTCGGGAGTCATACGCCTAAACATCATTTTTATGCTGTTTTCATCCAAATCAAGGCTACTCATTCGCTACTCTGATCCACTGTCTTCCTCTGATTCGCTACCTTTTTCGTCAAACGAAAGAAAGTATGAAATTTTTCTAAGCTATGTATCATCTAAATCACGTTTTCTTTTCTTGGACGATTGTTTTCTTGGGGTCCAGCAATGTATATCCATGAGATGAAAAATCAATTGCTCTTTACTGCCAAATTGAAGCAGGCAAGCTGGATGCCTGCATTGAAAACTTGTCAGATGAGCCAAATGAAGCTCAATGTGGTCGTACCATTCTGGGGCACTCGTAATAAATTGTGTCATTCTTTTTGACGGAGCGAAAGATTTGTTTCCAAGACAGAAAGGGCAAAATCCGGCTTTGACGGGAGCATTTCGAAATATTAGCAGATCGCAACGGAGGAGTGTATCCGGTTGTTCAAGATGCTGGAAACAATGAAGCTCCCACTCCCCGGGGTCTGTGAGCCAGGTATCACATTCAAAACACATCTCAGCAAACTGAAGCTTGCTATGGCGACGATAGTGTGACTTATTGCACCTATAAAGATGAAGCCATTGCCTGTGTGGCATAAAGCTATAACTGTCAGTCTAGCTGATACCGGAGCAATGTGTTAATCACTCACTCATTGATTTCGGCTCCACAACGACATTTTCCTTCCAAGGGCCTAAGGGAGTCGCGATAGGCAATTGGCGAGTTCTTTGAACATATTGACTGGAGCGCTTGCAGTGCCTGGCGACCATCACTGTCACGCAACAAAACCTTTCTCGGAAGAAGACTAGCAAGAATGTCTCTATCGGGCATAACGCGGCGGCGGTAGTGGAAGAGAGTCTCTGTCCTGGTATTGCTGGTAGTCGATTCTTTCTTACTGTTCTCGCGCATTTGATTGACTGCTCTTCTATAAAGTCGTTTCTTTCTGTCGTAGACAGACCTCTGGCGCTTCTGTATCTCTTTTCTGTCTTGCACATCGGAGAGAGCTGACGAGCGGTCGGTAAGATCCCACAGCTCACTGTCCAATTCTCGAATGTCTTCCCTGTTTTCGAACTCAAATTGTTCTTTTGCGGGTAGATATTGGAAGGCATCAAAGCTTTGGTATATTCCCATGCCGCGCCGATTCCTAATGTGCTCTTCGCGGCTTGCAATTCCAAGAAAGTTGGCAGGCCCATCGATCTCGCTCAGGGGATGGGCGTATGATCTTCCAAACGTCTCTCGTTTCATCTGGCCACCGAATTTCATTCTTGCTGTCTCGGTATGTTTCTTGTCTTTGAATGCGTCAGCAGAAATCTCGGTATAATACGCTGTTCATACCTGCTTCCATGAGTGCCCATCTCCGGCAGCCCCGAATAGTAATGTTTTGCCTGTATCCGCTACGGTAGCCTAAGGCTACAATGCTCTTACCAAAGGAATCCGCTCCCCGGGCTCTACTGGCACTTTTCGCAACTCCCAAGTCCGTATATTGGCGGAAGACGGGCGTGTCAAGCACATCTTTTTTGAACCGTATTACCTCCAGTACATTGTTCTGTGTGGGAACTGTTCCATAGGCACTCGCTGCATCCAGAAGCGCATCGACAGATGAATAATCCTCGATTGCTTTATCTGCCATTGCCAAAGGTAAAAAGAATGTGAGAAGGTTCAACATTAGAGGCATATGCTCTGTGTATGATTCGTAAAAGGCATGGATAGGAATTTGCCACTCATTCTTCCTGTGGTAGCCCTTGACAAACTCTCTTTCGTAGGTCAACACGAGCATTGGCTCTTTATCCACAACCTCGATGGTGAGTGTGAAGTGCTGTTTTCGTGAGAAGGGTGCAAATGTCGCTGGAATTGCTCGAACTTACCTTGTAACAGGCAGCCATAGTGCGGGCTTCAAGTATCTTGTCCAAATCTTCTTCATCACGCTGTCTTGCCGACCTCCGTCGTGCAGTCGACTCGTGGACCTCCCCTGTTCTTGCGGAGGTAAAGCAATAGAGTAGCATCGCAGCACTAAGCTGGACCCGGGATCGATCCGGGGGATATCCACGATATTCAAGCGAATCTCGACACCAGAGTTGTGTCATTACTATCATCAGATCGTTTGGGGAAAATGCATTCTTTTTCATCTCGGCGGTGGATAGGTAAGGCTTCAGATCTCCACTGATATACTGCCACAGGGTTAGTCAAAATCTGAATTCCGGTTCAAGGCGGTTCAGACCTCTTTGAGTGTGGCGGAATGCTCTGTGGTGAAGATAAAATCTCTGAATTTCCGCATTCCCGCCTGGAAGTCTCGACGGAACCCCTGCAGCGTTTCCAAAGTGGGCTTCTCTTCGATGCGACCGTGTTTGTTCAGGGCTATCCAGAGCAGGAACCCTTTGCTTGTTTGAAGGTTCGGCGGATTTTGAGATGTAGGGTGTAACTCGATGAAACTGGGTCGTTAGCCAGAAACAGAGCCGCTGAGCAACGGATGCCTCACATGTCAAATAGATTCAAGGCCTCCTTGTAGTCTCTTTCTGTTCGCGGTAGTACTGCACGGGCTATCTCCTTGTTGTCGATGCTGTCAAGATCGATCAAGAGATACTCGCTCTTTTTGTTCCTCATGGTGGAGAGCAGCGAAGAGTCGACCGAGTGAGGGATCAATAGCAGCAGCCAGGTGAAGATGGCCCGGTGAAGAAGAGCGAAAACCGTTCATTTTATCCCTTTTCTGCGCTCTAGCATCTCGTCAAATCTTTCCCTGCCGGAATTCACAAAGGCGACTTTTGCATGTCAGTTCCGGCCCTTCAGGTGAAGGGCTGAAGGGGCGCCCGGCTAGGGCGGCGAGCCGCCTAGCACAGACTCGTGGGCGCTAGGTGACCACCACCATACAATATCTGTTGTATGTTTTTATCATCCCTTCGTTGGGGAAATACTTTTTTGCCCCACTATTTCACGCCTTTACCTGAGCGCCACTGGGATTACGCTGTGTACGAGCCCCTGGCGTGTACCCTACCAGCATTCTCCCAGTCGTGTCGCTGATTTTCATTATAAATGACGGGATATAGCCTCGGCGGGTGCTATTATGATTTTGGGTGTATGCCACCGGATAACTCCACCAATCTGCATTGACCAGCAAATTCATCATTCTCGCATCCGCCATTTTACGCCATAGCTCTTAAAGAACATGGCTTGATCGTTGTACAACGGAATGTCGTGATCATAACTATTGTCTACGGTCACAAATCTCTAAGGGCTGAGTGGAAAAGAAATCGGCGAAGGGCGCCGAAGAGCAAAATAGGACAAGCAGGGGCAAAATGGTAATGCTTGAGTCAGTACCCTAAAATGGAGAGGTTCTGGGCTACCGGTCACCACGGAGGGAACGTACTGTGATGATATCGTAACCCCATTATAATGGTCCTTAGAGCACCAATTTCTCAATACGATTGCACTTGAACCTTCCACTGTACGCTCGGGCGCTTCTCACAATACTAGGATAGATTAAGGGGTGCATGAGTAGATGCATTAGCTTGTAATATCGCGAATATCTAATACGCTAAGTTATCTAATGAAATGGGGGCCGAATAAAAGTACTAGCCAGGTTTGCTCCCTTTTCCACCGTGAGCCCCCGCAGTTTTGATTTCTACAACTTCACATTTGCAAAGTCAGATTTTCTCAGCTCTTGGTCCAAGCAAGACCAAGAATCAGACATTTGGTGGGCATGATTTCACACAGAAACCCCTCACATGGCCAGGAAACCGAAGAAAGTATCCAGCTCCATCTGATGCAGCGAAATGGTTCATGCACTGTTCCACCCACTACCCAGTCACAAAAGGTTCATCCTGAACTAGATTCATCTCAAATCTACGACGATAATCAAGCCTCCTACGACTTGATTAGCTCTACGAACAAACAAAGAAAATGCTGGCCTGTGCCAGCCACTCTCAAAAATTGGGGCTTGGAAACTGCCGGGGTAATCGTATCAGCTGTCATTATTATTGCCATTGTTGCTATCCTTCGGAAATACAATAGGTGCCAACAACAGGATTGGAAACACGTCTCACTCAATTCTCTAATTTCTTGGTTAAGTACCCTTGCCAAAGCTTGCGTGATTTTCTCTGTCAGCCAAGGACTTGGTCAGTTGAAATGGGTCTGGTTTTCGAAACGTAGTCGATTATTGTCTGATCTAGATGTTTTCGACTCGGCAAGCAGAGGGGCCACCGGAAGTGTGTTCCTTTTATGGCTTGTGAAGGGGCGGTATGTGAAATCTCAATACTTCTCATCTCCCAGACAGGAGATCATACTTCATCTCACCTTTCTGATCATCCACATCCAGACATACAGCCTTGCTTGGAAGCCTAGCTATGGTTCTAGCAATAGGTTTTGACCCATTCATCCAAAATCTAGTGCATTATGTCCCAGGTAGCATTGAAAGCCCTTCTGAGTCAGCTTTGCTCGCGAGTACATCATTATATAACACAGTTGGGCCATTGGCAGGAGGCAACCGTATGTCAGCGTGGATTCGGAGCATTTTCAAAAAGATTCTGACAGAATACGACAGTGTTTTACGTGGATCCCATTATGAAGGCAAACGTGTATAGCGCCTTGTTCAACACAAACCCAGCGCAGCCATGGGCAGTTCCACAATATACATGCTCTACGGGAAACTGCACTTGGGAACCAATGGCAACTTTGGAAATCCGTGCCCTTTGCTCCAACATCACTTCGAGTCTGGGCACGTCATGCACCAATAAATCAGGGTTCACCAACTGCACTGTATCACTGGATAGCGGCGTCGCATTGCGGTATTTGACCAGCGGTGGCTCTGCTCAGCCTATGGTCATCAATACCGTCTCCGGAAGCTCTAAGACCTTCTATAAGAACAGCACTTTCCCAGTTATACAGTACATTTTGGCAATAGGGTCAAATGACAACCCGCGCGCGGGTGGTGGAATCTCTACCCAGATTGGGAACAATACTCAGTTTGTTGCCACAGAGTGTGCCCTTCAACCAACAGTTAAAAGCTTTCAATCTTCCGTTATTATGGGAGCTTACCAAGAAACACAGCTTGCAGAGTGGCCGGTGTTAAATAACACAGTTGAGAATCTTAGCTTTGCATACTCTTTCACACCTCCCTGGAATGAGAGCCTGGGGGCACAAGAAAGTAAATCTTTTGGCCTAGCCTTTGAGGCATGGGACTCACTCAGTGTTTTCCTAGAATCCCTTTTCGCCGGCTATGTATCCGCAAGCTCGGATGTTTTCAATTTTGAGCCATCAAACTTCGGGGGCTCATATGCTACGACTGATGCCTTGGAAGCCCTCTTCTATGGCAATTTTACTGGCACTAACTGCCAAGATGCTGATCAATTATCTTGTGCTATGAAGAATGTTGCTGCTGCTATGTCCAAAACTATAAGGGACTCCGCATTTACTTACAGCACCAACTATCAACCATTTGAGTTTACGAAAGCAAACACTACTACTGGAAAAGCTCTGGTTATTGTCTCATTTGTGGATGTTCACTGGGAATGGCTCACTCTTCCAATTACTGTCTGGATTCTGGGAGCGCTGTCCTGTCTTTTTACCGCATGGATGACCCATCAGACTCATATACAGACCTGGATGAATAGCGTTCTGCCTTTGCTCTTTCTTCAGCCCCGTCGCGACAATATGATCAATTTTCAGGGTGGCGGTGATGAGATTACAGAAGTCAAGCCGAAGAGAGAACAAGACAGAAGCGATATTGATGTCTCGAAGTGTTATAGTCTGGTTGGCTGTGACTATTCTCTACAAGAATGTGTTTGTATAGCAGAAAAGACCCAGGCAAAGCTCCATCTCGGACTATAGTATGAGGATATACTAGCTTTTTGTATATTTAGTAATGAAAATTGGTAGAGAACAAATTTGCGTCTGTATCTACTCAGAGTGATTCCTGCCTGGATCTAGTTGAGTCTGTAGTAGCATAATATATATAAATAGAGGAGAAGATCGAAAGTCGACCCCATATGGTTTTGGTCGTGACTCTGAACCGTTTCTCGATGAAATTCCCTCATGCTGACAGGCTGCTTCCGTAATTAGTACCCCAGGCTTTAAGCAGCAGTACGCTTGATCCTTTCCTATCTAATATCGCGAATCCCTGAGGGACTACGTTAGAAGACTCTTCATTTTGATATACAGTAAGCCCTTCACTAAGGCAGTGAATCAATACTGTTGAGGCATATCAATCTATCATCAACTTTGTCGACTCTGACCAAGAGAACCAGCCTTGTTTGGTTGCGATAATAGAGATCAAAGAATCAACGGCAGTATCCGGGAGGATATAAGTGAATAAGAGCAAAACCTATACATTTTATTGGCTCAAGTATCTGTCTTCGTAAATTCTCAACCTGCTGAAATTCCCGAATGCGACTTCTGCGTGTCGGTTTTGACTCTCTAGGTGAAAGGATGAAGAGAATTCCGTTAGCGCTGCAAGCCACCAAGCACAAATTCGTGGGAGCTAGGTGGTCACCACCACACAATATCTGTTGTACTCGCGGGGGCTTGGTGGCTATCGAGAGTATGTTTTTGTTTTCATTTTTTTTGCCGTCCGAAGTTTTGGCCTAGAGAAAATAAGGACTCTCTCAACAATCTCAGATCGCAAATTGTACCACAGAATGGGATTGAGATGACCCCTTTGATCTCCTCAACAGGTCCCAAAGCTAACCAGAGTAGAGTCTTACCGGATAGCTAGGCTTTTCTCTCCCCTTTCAAGACTTACGGACTCTGGTTTTTTTACGCTTCTCTTCTCCCCTGACCATCGGTTAAGCAATTGAATTTACAGACAATCACCTAAATTTACGCAGTATACATCCATCCTAATAATCGTCGATATCTTCCCAGAGCTGTTACCCTTGAGTCTAGACCCGGTCCATTCATGCCCCTAATATCTGCGTCGTAAAATTATTGGTTGTCTCGGACGCTGAGATACTTTTATCTTATGTGAAGTTTGCCGGATTTGCTGAGCCTGAACGATTATGTGTTTAATTCCGGAGGGCATCCGCTGAAGATCCCAAAGCATGCGAAGGAAAATAAATACGTTAAAAACAGCGCTTCCGTTTCTATCTCGATACCATTTGTACGACATTTCTACTGGTTGATATGCATATCAGAACTAAGAGACAGGAATTTATTGTCCTTGTGAATTATAGCCTGAACCTCACACGCGGGCATGGACGCGAGCGCTCGTCTCTTCCCATATCTCCCGATCAATGCGAGCACGAAGTTCCTGCTCATCCGTTGCGAGATTATCCCCAAAAACCGAAGCAACCTGCTCCAAAGATCTATTAGAAGTCTCCGGCACGAATAGGAAAGAGAATATAGCAGCCGCAGTAGAGAAAAGCCCAAAGAATAGGAAGGTACCCCAGCCAATAGAGACAAGCATCTGTGGAACAATCGTTCCAATAATGAAATTAGCCAGCCAATTTACTGCCGTAGCGAGACCGACACCCTTCGCTCGTCGGGAACTCGGAAAAATCTCGGCTGGTAGAACCCAACCAAGGGGGCCGTAGGAGGCAGCGTATGCAAATACGTAAATATCTGAGATATCATTAGTTCAAAACGGCTAGTGCCCGAAGTGGGTCATGAAAAACAAGGGGGAAAATATACAGACTAATGCCACTCCAAACCAACCAACAGCTGGGTGAGTGGCCCAGCTGGAACTAAACTTGTTCATAATACCAGCCATTATTATATGCGGAATAGCCATTGCAATTCCACCCCAGATGGCAAGTCTTCTCCTGCCAAATTTGTCCATGTAGAGTATTACAGGGACGCTGCCGATGAACTGAACAATGTTAATCATTCCAGAGAGTATTAGGGACATTTCGTAATCCTGCCCTAGACTATTTGTAGGTTAGCTTAATTAATTCGGAGATATAGAAAAATTGCAGGCATGAAGAATAAATTCAAAGATAGAAGCCCTTTACCTGCTGAAAAATGTTGGCGCATAATATACGAAGGCATTGATACCCGAGAACTATTCAAGTCATCATCAGCGTCACTTTCTCTCATTTTCTTGACAGACAGTGGAAATTGCGAAGAACATACTTGCTGAAAGAAAGGAATAGCCATGGCAACAAAGGTTCTCCTAATGTACCTCGGACGAAATAGGTCAAGCCATTGTTTTATCTCCATCATAACAACGCCCGTGTTTGAATGTTCCTTCGCTAGAATTTGTTTCTGGAATCGATCTTCCGCAAGGATTCCTCTCCATTCTAACTGTACAGTACCATCAGTTGCAGGAAGGCGTCGAAGCTTTGCGAGACACTCTAGACTTTCTTCATTTCGATCGGCGAGAGCGAGCCATCGCGGTGAAAAGGGGAAGAAGTGGATTCCACTGCCCACCATCAAGGCTGGAAGGATTTGGAGGAGAAAAGGCAATCGAAATGCCCAGTCACCACTCATTGCTCTATCGTTCATGACTTAGCATTGAAAATTTGGAGCATCAAAATGAGGTAACAAACCTAGTCCCATAAGTAATCCAGTACGCGACAATCGCTCCGATCACAATGCTGATTGCTTCTAGTACCATCAATGAACCGCGCAGATTAGGCGGTGCAATTTCAGAAATGTAGAGTGGAGCCCCCATAGCCAATGTCCCGACTCCAATACCTCCAATGAAGCGTCCGGCAACAAGGGTATCGTAATTTTGCGAAGCGGTCTGAATAATGGCTCCGACGCAGAAGAATCCCGTCGCAACACTGATGGCCCATTTTCGAGAGGTCTTGTCCGCAATATATGGGAAGAAAAGACATCCAATAAAGGCCCCAAGCTCCAACATGCCTGTCATGAAGCCAGTGTGGAACCCATAACTTGGAGCGTTCTTGTCTACTTCAGGGAATTGGTCGACGAATTGCGGCATAACCAAGATTAAGGAAATTACACCTTGGTCTGTGCATGTATGTTAAAAGATTGCCTTGAAGCTTTGGATTCTGAAATGCCTCACCATAGCCAAAGGAGAACCCTCCAAAGGAAGCGAGAAGGGCCGCGCCGCAGACATATGGCGAATTGAGAATTCCTTTAAGCCCATTGCTATCATAGGAAATATCGATATCCGCGAATTCAGGCGCTGAATCCTTCGCATGCTCATCATGAGCAAATGATTCATGTTTAGCAACACCAAGTTTGTTGGCACTTGGTGTTGACTCATCGTTTGTTTCGGCCATGTCGTTGAGGCAAGGTGGATCAGTCTAGAGCAGAAAGGGTGAAGCACAAATCAAGACTAGGACATTCGACGGTTATTATATAGGAGTTTGAGTGTCTAGTTAATTGATGCATCAATACCCTTCCAAATGCCGTTTGAGAGATCAATCCCGTGAGGAAGTAGCTTGGCTGGAGATTTACCCCGTGGGGATGCGGAAATGTTGGCCCGTTTAGTCAAAGTGGAACCCCAACCACACGAAAGAAGAAAATGATCTGCCTGATTTCCGCTGCTGCTTATGACTGGCCGCCTGGTGATTGGCAGGGTAATGGAAGAAATGACTTCTTGCGATAGCTCATCAGCGGAACACTAGATGATTCGTCACTTTGTTTTACCCCGCGTTTTTTCGCGACCTTGAATCGGTCATATGGGGAATATGCAGTATTGTATGGAAAATGGTATCAGTCTGCTCAATTTAGAATACCTTAGAAAAACTATTAAACAGAAGATTACGATAAAAAAGCATGTTAATCAGCAATGCCAAGCAATGAGATGGTGAAATCCGCTAGTAACGTTACGCTCTGTCGCGATACGTTTCCCTCGGCCTCCTTCACCATGATGGCAGATCGCCCCTTCTGCGCCACTGAGAGAAAGACCCCCACACTATATTATCAGGTAAGCCCGACCGCTCGATGACGGAGGAGTACGGGGTAGTTGCAGTTACCGAGGAGACTATACTCTGCGTGAACCTGAAGGCTTCAATGTCATGTTGAGGTTTCAAGAGCTCAAAATTCCAACCTGAAGGCTCCGAGGAGGAAAAATATTTCATTGGTTGTTGTTATTCTTCTCCAACTACGACTATGGTGATAGCTTAATTTGAAGTATAGTTGGACGGGTGCATTGATATTCTTACTGTTTACAAAAAAAGAGATATCACTTGAATGGGGAGAAAGTTCAAAAATTCGTAAAGAATTCAATGAGTTGAAGCCAACTATGAAGCATCTGCGGGAGTCTGCCTTCGCCACATCTTAATGGGCATTTCACCCATCAAGAGATTGAAAGCCTCAAATCGCTGTAGCTTCCAATCCGGACTTGGCAGAGCAAACTCATAGCGATGAACTAATGAGGCCAGCACAACAGCCTGTTCCAAATACGAGATATTCCTTCCAATGCACCCTCGCGCTCCAGTAGAGAAAGGAATGAAATATGGCTCCATTCTCTTGCGCTCTTCAATATCCATCCACCGATGAGGCTGGTATTCATCTGGCTTTGGAAAAATAGTTGGATCATGATGCGCGGTGTAGATGGTCATGGAAACACTTGTATTTCCAGGGATCCATTCCCCTAAGATTCTGGCGCCTTCTGGCGGAGTCCTGCGAGGTAGACCTGCAGATGTAGGTGGGATTATGCGCATTGCTTCATCCAGACAAGCGCGTAAGAAAGGCAGATTCTTGACCGTATCGTAAGGCGCGACGATGTCTTCTGGCTGAAGCACACTATCGACCTCTTCGCGGAGTGTTGCTAAGTGCTCGGGATGGCGAATGAGCAATTCCAATATTTGAGTAAGTGCGATTGCTGTTGTATCTGCGCCGGCATCGAGGATAGCAGCCAGCTCGCCAACAACTTCGCCCCACTCTAAGTTCTGGGGATGACCATTCTTGTCGTCCATTAGGGCAGTGAAGAAGTCATCTAGCTTTTCTCCGTTGTTATACCGGTTAAGTCTGGTTACAGCTTGATGATAGATGACGTCTTTGAATGGCGCGGCCTCTTTCCATGCTTTTCTCCACTTAGGAACTAGCTTTGAAAGCAGAACGAAAAGTTTGAAGTTTTTGTAGTCCCAAACAAAATGAGACGTGGCGTAGGCAGATGTGTTTTGAGACTTGCGATACTGGGCTTCGTATATAGTGCCATCCCGCCTTTGTGCAGTAACATGATCACTGCCTTGCTCTAGAAGACCCAAGGTCGACGAAAGAGCAATGTTATTGATCGCTTCGATAGTAAATAGGTTGGCCCATTTATTGAAGTCAACCGTCAGATCGGATGCTTCTGGGTTGGCACCAGGAGACAAAGGCTGAGTGCAGAGTTTATCAAACGCAGCACATAGACGTTCTGTGGTTCGCGCAACCTTGAAATCCCATCGTTCAAGATTCTTTATAGCAAATGCGGCGGACAGTCTTTTTCTTTTCGCAGCGTGACTGGGCTTATCGATGACGTCGAATAAATGTGGATGGGCGTCTGCAGTTATGGCATATTTCAAATCCTTCACGCAGGTTGTGGAATGACCATAGATATCTCTTATGGCTTCGATACCTCCGAAGGAAAGGTTGTTCGGTCCGATTCTCAGAATAGGAGACTTCTCATGAAGCCTGGTGAGATCGCGCGAGCGAAAGCCAAGTGCACTCAAATAGCAATATGGAACATCCGTGATTCCAGCGAATAGTGCATAATTTGGGTACTTCCGAAATCCCTTTTGATCACGAAAGTATTGCAAAACGGGCCATATCGTCCAGAAAAAGACAACATAGAAGCCCACAGCACTGAAGACGATAGTCGACAACATGGTGCAATTGGGAAGACAGAGACGAAGTGAAATAAAACAACTTGAGATAACTGGCGCACTCCATGCCATGTACTTATATGAACCGCAGGTTGAATTTAAGTAATCTGCTAACCGTCATCATTATCTCTGTAGGCGGTTGTGAGTAGTTCGATTAATGGGCGGAATTTCATCCTATTCAGGCATTATCCGCTCTCGTATCATCTTATGAGGAGAATTTCCTCTTTAGCTTCCGCCCACAAAAACTGTCAGGTTAGTCGTGGCAGATGGCTGTTCTCGTGTTCCCAGTATCAAATGTGGGGCAAGCTTGCGGAAAATTTGGCCCGATCGGGATCTTTCAGCAAGGTTATTTCGATCTACGCCTGCGCCAATCACTTATGGCGATGAGGAATAAAGGAGTATTGAGATTTATCAAAGTTGTTTTTCAAGGTTTAATAATCATCATGAATCATTTTATGGCTGGAGCCTTGTTTGCCATGCTTCTCTAAGAGCCGCAGACGTAGCAGACGTTGGCCAAGCGTGATGAAACTCCAAATCCGCCAGAAACTCAAGGACGGCCGTTTGCTCCCCGGGGTCTGTCAAATACTCTCCACAAACAGAAATCCCAACAGCGGCATCAACGAACACAACCGGACATTTCGGATTTGATAACGCCAAACCCACAAGTCGGCGCACGATGGATCTAAGCTCCTCTTCCAGCGCCATATTTGCAGAACGAGCAGCTAGTCCAAGCCGAGAAAGATTTGGGTCTGATACTGCAAGCAGAATTCGAGATAGCTCTATGTGCTGTGCCCCGACGACCTGGCATGGGTTTTGATGCCAGATAGCAGGGAAGAATCTTCCAGAGGAAGGATCGGCATCTTCGAAATATAGAGGTTTGAAATCGATAGGCTTATGAGCTTCCCACATCTTGTCAAAATCCTTCAACTCTTTCCATCGTGTTGCTCTCACTGTTGGCGATAGGGACTTGCCTTCACCGAAACAGAATTTGAGGAGGTCAGCGCACCAGACTAGGATCCTGTTGGTCCATATAAAGTCATTCGCTGAGTCGAATACCGTATAATCATTTGAGCTGCAGACTGGAAGGCGGAAAGTTCGTTGATTAAGGAAACCGCTCCAGATTTCTTGTCGCATGGCAATCAAGAATGCAGAGTGTCGCAGCGAAGCTGAAGGTGTGGAATGAAGTTGGAGGTCTCTGGATGGACCTTGGATCGTATGGTAGGAGTAGAAGGAGTCATTATGCTGATTATGGACAATGAACTGAACAGTATTTAGGTAAGCCTCGGAGTCGATACCAATTGATGGCGCTGGAATATGAGAGTCAGAAAAGGTATCGTAATAGGACGCAGAGCATATCGCTCACCGTCAATTTGTTCATAGAAACGTAAGATAGTTGCTGCGGTGATAATATCCTCGTTGTATTGCTCGTTGGGGTCTTTGGATAGTTCTAGAAGGTACGAAATACAGATGTCATGATATCGGACAGCGGTGTCCATGGTGAGACCCGGAAGCTTGACGCCAGAAACTTCTGCAACACCGGTATTCGAGTTCCCACGACAGGCCATTATTCGTGCCAAGTGACCAGCGGATGCAGTAAGAATGGCATATCGAAGAACAGGGCAGAAAAGAGCTCGTTGTGGAACCATCAATTCAAAATGGCGATCCCTGTCACACGTGTCAAACTGGCCGACAGTGAAATATCAGTAAGAGAGACTGCGAAGAGGAGCTCCGAGAGCACCGGTTTATAGGAAGTTTGACCCTTACCCAATGAGCAAGGCTCTCAGTAAAGTATCTCAGTAAGCAAGCCTCTTCAAGAGTTGCATAAGACCCGTCCGCCAGGCTACCAGAGAGCCCCTTCAGTGGCCCAATTGGATACCTATCTCGCGATTGTGGGAATGGAGAATCGAAGAAAAGCTGGGTCTGGTCACCCTGGGTATGCGATATTGGTGAGCACGAGATCAAATGTGGCAATGAATCCCCTCTCTCTGATCGATAAATAGATCCAGGATCGGAAAGGCTGTGCGTAGTAGTCTCTGCTTGGGATTCGCGATCGATATCGTTTTCAGATTGTCTTGAGCTGTCTCCAAAACCAATGGGCGGTATTTCCTTAGAAGTATTCGTTAAATTTGTTTCTTCCGGTATGCCATGACCTTCCTGTTCAGTTTCAATGGGCTCTTTGGTAGTATGAACGTAGGAGAGTTGACCTTCAGCACTTGTATTAGCAATTGTATGGACGCGAAAGGGCAACCGCTCACTACGCACCTCCTTGATTGTAGTCCACCCACTTCTGATTCGGAGAAAAATCGAAGCTTTGGCGCCGACGACGTCCATTTTTGAATTTGAAATTGGACGTCGAGGACTCGCACTGCATTTTTGACTTTATGCAGTGCGAGCATGGTCTTTTGCCATCACCTGTCGGATGGTGTTAATTGACTGACTGAGAAGACAGATAAAAGCGCGAAGAGAAGCCTCACATTTTCGATGACGAGCTAGACATTCACAGAGTTAGTACGAGATGCACCAAGAGATCTGGGCCCCTCTCACCTTTGCACCATTCGCAGGGGTTCGATGTGTAGCGCTGACGCGTTGTCATTCGGTTCTATCTCAATCAATATGGCCGTGGCCTAGTATGGAGCTAGCCCGGGGGCCGAGAAGTCGAAAATACCGCACGCGTGGAGGAGATAAAGGATGATGGACTGGACAACAACGGGCACTGCATCACGGTTTTCGGGCGTGCGGGGGTAATCCTGGAGGCGAACGTCTGCGGTGTGGGGAAGATTGGAGAATGTGGCCTGAGGCAGAAATGGCCACTACAGTAGCAAATTATTTTTGGTGATTCAGAAAATAGAGTCAAGCTTTCAGATTTACGTCAGACTATTTCGAAGTATATTATCCTATTACATGAAAATTATCCTAGCTGTTGCGGGTCGAATACAGCAGGGTCAGCAAAAGCAGGGATATCCCAAAAGCTTAGGTCCTCAAACCCAATATTAGGAATCTAATGATGAGTTAGTACGGAGAGATCAAACACGTAGCAGAAAAAAGCATACCATGAATTCCGAGTCCAAACTTGATCCCATCACACTTTCCGGTGTCCAGCCAGCTATCCCATCCGCGGGTGTAAGAGAGGGTATCCCGTCTTCAACGGAGGCCTGATTTTCACCAGTAATATGTTGTTGAAGCAAAGTTCGACATGTGAGCATAGTTTCCATGAAGGCCTCTCGAATATGTGACAATTCTGCCTTCTGGCCGCGAGGGACGGACCGAACCTGGGCCAGGATACCCCCAAGCAGGCAATATCGTTTCATGCTGGGGATACCAGCAGCCAACCCTTGATAGAGATGATCCATCAATTTTTCAAGAGCTTGTACAAGAGGCGCACGAGTTGCCTCGGCCATCTGATCTACCGAGTCAAAGGGCAACGAGCTCGATCCTGCGGGTTGACAAGCAACCTCATCCTCCATTTGTGTGATGATCTCAAGGCCGATTACGACCATCACATCTAGAGAGAGATAACCCTTGAATATGCCGGCGCCTGATAAGGAGAGTCGCTGCAAGTCTCGATGGGTCATTTTATTATCGAAAGAATCGGTGGGTATATCGCCGTAGGAAGCCATAATGAGGGCGGACTCCAGGCTGAGCTTTCGGGAAAGATAGAATCGCGGGTCGTGGGTAGCTTCAATGGTAAATGGACGGTATAAATTCAGAATAAAGCGGCGCAGTAAGGTGTCCAACAGTCGATGATGGAATCGCGTCGGTGGCATAGGTTGATCTCCAGTACAAGAAATAAACGTATGGAAATAATGTGACATCTCTTTGCAGGATGCAGTTAGTTCTTTACCAAGTTGTAAAGCATTTTCGTACGACTGCGCCTTTGCGCATTCATTGATCGTTCGTGCGACCTGTAAACGGAGTGGATATGACTCCAAAAGAAGGATTTGCAAAGATGCACTAGTGTAGAATTCCCGGGGCCGGAGAGATGGCAACGATGCAGTTGTTTGGTCGAAGTCCTTGTCGTCAATATTTGAAGGCGGTAGTGTATCACAATCATTTGGTCCTAGCAAAGGAGGCATAGCGGCATCAATAGATAGTTGGACATTGATTTCAATTATGGTGCCCCAAATGCGCCTTCTCAGTTCACTGTCGAATACAGAGAGTGTCGGGAAATTCTTTGGATCACGATGAAGGCCTTGATGAATAGCTTGTCGCATCAATGTACCCACGGAGGTCCAATTCACTTCTTTATCGATCGCATAAGCTTGTCGACAGAGAAGTAGTAGACAGTGGACTTGCAATCCCTCTAAGTTATTAGATTCTTTTTCGAATGGACCCGCAAGCCACCACTGTGTTGCATACAGCCAACGGCGGACAGGAATACCGACTTCATTGGCTGGCCCTGGATTGCAATGAAAGATAGAACCGATAGCAAGAATCAGCAGGAGCTTGAACATGAATCCAGTCGAAACCGACGCGCGATGTTCCCAGAAGCGCTCGTAATCTTCATAAAATTTGGGGACGTGTAGGACCCGATATATGAGCCCCAGAGTTCGCAGATAATGCCGCACGAGCTCATCACAAATCTCGCGCGAAGGAAGGTCGTTCAGCAGGGACGGAGTAGGATCCATAAGTCGCGGGGCCTGTCGACCCTTGATCAACCGCCTCAGTGAGCGGACCTCCTTGAGGAGTTTGCTGATATCATTGTGCTTTCCATCGGAATAACTAGCCGTGTTGCGTACCTGACGCAGGAGATGAAACTATTCGACTCATTAGCATTACATGTCGCGTCAAAGCTGGGAGCAGAAGAAAGCTACTTGTTGAAACACAATCGCCCAATGGGTAGTACCAAAGAGTCTCGTTTTCTCCCCATTTCCTTTCAGGCGAGGCTGTAATGGTGCGATTAGTGTCTGGGGCTGACAGGTTCCATCCTGTCTACTGCCGTCAATCTGCCTGTCGCGATCCACCAAATGATTTTTTGAGCCGTTGGTACGCGCTATTCCCAAGACAATATTTTCTTCATCTGGTGGTGACTGTGAAGATCGTCCCTGGGCTGATTGCTCTAAGCTTTGAACGCGATCTTGTAGCGCCCGAATGGTACATTCCATCTGCGCGATGCGACTCGAACCTCCCTCGGCGCCACTCATCGGCATATCAGCAACACCTTGCTGCGATTCAAGATATGGTGGGGACTCATTTTCACTAGTCCTCATCGCATCGCGTCGAGTGGCCAAGGCAGCTTTTCCTTCATGGACATAGGAGCAGTCCATCGACCCATACACCTTTTTGCAGGGGCCGCACGGCATTTGTCGGTCGCATCGGACTTTTCGGCGACGGCATTGTTCGCAACTCAATGCCGGCCTCCGGCGCTTGCGTGAGGTCGAATCTAGATTCGGAGTATCGCTCATTTCGCTTTAAACGGCTTTGACAGAGAACTGAAGCTCTCACGTTCGAAAAGTAATGTTTTAGCCTGGTGGGTTGGAGCGGAGTAATCGCTGAATTCCGGAGAATTCCGGCATTATCGGGGAATTCATCATCGACTAACAAGGGACTTCGATCTTGGATTTCGGGGATAGATATCCGAGTCTGTAGATATGAAAGAGTAGGATAAAAAGACGGGGGAAAAGCACCTGGTCTTGAAATTGAAATTGAACTTGAAGTTGCTGATTTTTGGATGGAGTGTAGTAGTATTGTTGGGGTGTAGGTCTCAGGCACAACAACAGGCACATCGCCTTCTGAGCCTCACTCTCTCCTAGATACTACTAGTAACGCATACATGTACCGTTTTCCTGGGGCTTACCCTCTTTCAGATGTTAAATTATAACATTTAGTAGCATTATGAGGTACCTAGGTACTGGCTAACTAGTAGCTCTAGATTTCTCTCATATATACGTCTATACTACCAGTACTAGTAACGAATTAGACCAACTTGAAACACTTATAAAACTTGACCGGAAATTAATTTATACATTTGAATCTAAAAAATGAATATGAATGCGCGAGCAAGTCTATCCGCTGAATGACATGGCTCGAGCCCTGGAAGCTCTCTTTCGAACATCTGCCTCGCGGCTTTTGCGACCCATGCGCCCGAGGGCTAGAGTTTCGAGGGTGTATGGTTTTCCACCCCAAATGAGATTTCGGCCCTTTCTTTGCTGAAGAGCTGGAATCCAGAAATGAGTGACGGCGGCGCCAAGTATCATACAGGCGCCGAATACAAAAAGAATGATACCGTGATGTTGGGTTGACAGGTTTCCAGGTCCGGTACCGAAATGATAGTAGGTAGAGAAGATCTGAACGAGAATCGAACCAAGTTTACCAGCGCCAGCGCTGAGGCCATGGCAGGTAGCTCTATAACGCGTAGGGAATATTTCGGCGGGAATCATGTAAGTTGTTGCGTTGGGCCCTAGAAAAGTCAGTCGATGTTCTCGAGTTATAAGGATCATAAGTTCGTACCAAAATTGAACAGTATCTGCCCGATGATATACAAAGCGACCACAGCAGGGGGTCCAGTGTATAGGCAAATGAACATGCTGCCCAAGGCAATGAAAAGAGCCGCAAGTGCAAGGAACATGTACTTTTGCAAAGCAACGCGATCGATGCGGTGGGCGAATAGGATCAGAAGAAGACCTCCAACGAAGCTTCCGATATTCAAGACTATGAGACCACGAACAGATGTATCGAAGAACATCTGGTAGACACTAGCCCCGGGTCGACTGTCCGTCATCCAGTTAGGTTCCGATACAGTGATATGAAGTTCGCCCCAGGTTTTGGCTAGGAACTGCGGGCTGGAGAGCCCGATACCATAGAAGCCGAAATCGAGTAGGAGCCAAGAGACGCAGGTGCCGGCTAAAGAGCGCCAGTTTCCTTCTGTCCAGAAGTAGCGAATGATATCAGTGCGGGCGAGACGCCAATGGGAGTTGAGAGTGGCAGGTGGCAAACGGCTATATTCCTCGTCCTCGTGGATAGAATCGCTGGCGAGAGAAAGAGAAGATATGGGTGGCATGTGGATCGCACTGCCCACGCCAACGGAAAAGTTCGAATTATCAAAAGAGGGACTCGAAGGGGCATCGTCGAAGAGATGTGTCGCATCGAATTCAGCGGTAACAACGTCGTCTTCAATTTCAACCAGGTATCGTGGACTTTCGGGAATCGCAAAACGGAACAGAGTTGCGATAGCACCTGGGATAACTCCAATTCCCAAGACCCATCTCCATGCGGTATCTACCGTTCGGACGATGTCATCGCTCCCTGCACTATTACGAGCAACGGCAATAACGATGAGAGAGACCAGATTTCCGGCAATCTGACCTAGTGGTTGCATGAAGAAGACGCTGGCCATCATGCGCGCACGGTGCTTTGTGGGTGCGAACCTGGAGCAGCGAAGTTAGCCTGGGCCTTAAGCAAAGAGTATCTTGTGCTACATTACTTACTCCGATGTGATCACAGCGCTGAGGGGATAATCTGCACCTACGCCGATACCAACACAAATTCTCCACCAGATCAACCACCCGTAAACGTTCATACTTCCATTCTCGCCCCGAGATGACATGACCACACCGATGGTGGCGGTGATCAGCAACACCAGCTCAACACCATACATCTTTTTGCGACCATTTTTATCCGCTAGGAATCCAAAGAGTACCATTCCAAGAAGAGTGCCGGCGAGGGTTGCGATGTTGATGCAGGTCAATTTTATCGAAGAGACTTCGTCTTTCCAGTACACATAGGATATCATCGGGAGGGCCATATTGCTGGCAAAGAGCTAAGGAAAAAGGAATACCGTTAGTCAACAAGTCCCCTGCGCTCGATACTGAATGATTCCCGGTCACTACTGACTGTGTATCCATCGAGGAAGAATCCAAGACCAGCGACGAACACGACCACCCACTGGTAGGATTGTCGGTCGATCGTGTCGTAAATCTGTCGCATGCGTACATATCGATCCTAGGAAGTAATTTTGTTAGCAATGCTCCTCCAGCCCCGCAGAATCAGGAATTAACGAACTTGTTCATGATCGAAATCGCGTGCACGGTCAGTTTTGTATAATCGGTGGTGAAACCTCCCCATCGCGGCGATGATCAACTTGAAGCTGATTACCCCTTGGTATCATGGGGCTAAAGGATGCCGGCAGGATGCAGTGGGCGCACCAGCAGATGCGAACCGAAATATACTTAGTGCTCGATTGATTAGGTGCTCCTCCGGACCCTAAGGAAGTCCGTAGCTGATAGGCCATTGCGCCAAGATCCACCAAGTGCGCCCATCCCATCAGCAGTTTTCCAGCAGTGTTCATGCAGTGACTTCCTCCGAAGCACGAGGCCAATGGGGCCAGCACGTTGAGCTTGCCTCGAACACTGGCTCAGACTACTGCACTTTCATCAACGAGGACCACATCCCGGTTGCTCACGGCCATTCTGATACGAACTGTAAGCGGTGCTGGGGCCGGGCTAAACCTGGACTCGGCGTTAGTGGGGGCCGCCCCACAGCAAAATGAGCCAAACCGAGTCTTCTTTCGCTCCACGTGCGGGCCTCGAGACTGCTAAGACGCTCGGCGGGCGCCCCACGTCATTTCAATATGCTTTTTTGAACGTTGCTCGAGTTATCCGGAAGTGTTTGGCTGCTGGTACGGGGTAGAGTGAATAGCCATTCCCCGCTTGCCTTTTACTCCTTTGCTCCTCTTTCTAATCCGAAACGAGTCGAGACTTAAGAAAAAGAAAAGAATAATTAAAGATAAATTAAAAAAAAGAAGAAAGCAAAATATCATATATTGGTATCACACGTTAAAACACGCCGAGAACTCCACCATGCTAGTCATTACCCCCCGAAGTCCGAAAGGATCTTAGATTGTACAAGAAAGGAAAGGAAAGAAAAAAGGCCCCCAATAGAATCATCTAATCGTGAGATCCATCGAGAGTAGCTGGCAAAACTCCTTACAATCTAGAAAGAATAAGCGATGAGTTTGAATACTAACCCAGCCACGGAGTAGAATTCCTAGAATTCCCCGGGCTGTTTAGGAAGGGTTATGCACTGACCATTATCATCAAGGAACTGAATCTGAAAATTTCGCATCTGCGCTAAGATTTCGAAATTCGGATTTAATTCCACCGTCACCGGCCGACCGGCCTTTTTGGGTTGCTTGATATTGGCAACGCAATTAACTGGGATGGGTTAGCCACAAGTCGCGTACTAGTTGTATACATGGCCGAGCTGCCCAGGCGGAAAAGGAAGAAAGACTCACGTGGAAGAGACACATATCTCTTTAGGCCCCCCGCGTTGTGAGTTGGCGAAATATAGCATGACGCGTTTGTTGTTCTGTCCTCGGAGAATGCGCAGGTTTTGGCTAATGCACTCTTCACCACGGCCTTTAGACTTGGCCTCGGCCATGCCCCCAATAAACACAAGTTTGGATCCAAGAAGAATTTCTTGAAAGAGGACACAATCTATCGACGGTAAGTAATTATTCGGCAACCCAGGGTCCGTTCAGCGATCGCGTACCCTCCCAATTTTCAAATTTATAAGATAGCTGTGTCATGAATACCACATGTGCGGTCTGGACGGTCTGATGCTCGAGAAATGATACGCGGAGTGGGTATTCGGAGGCTTCCTTGGGATGTTCGAGGTGCGGAACAGGGAGTTTGGTGTTATGAACTGTTGTCCATTTTAATTAGTCTTTGGGTTTGAATCAAGATTGCCATTATTCCACTCACAGGCATGTACGAAGGGCGTTTGTTGACCAAGACCTCCCCCGAGTTCCAGGCATTTCAGGGCCCCCGTTGAATCTTTGCACACGTCGATCCATGTATAGCGTAATTTGAATAATTGTCCACTCTTGACAAAGTTGCTGGAGACACGTTAGTAAATGAGTCAACTTCAGATATAGGCTGTGAGGGAATTTTTGCAGAACTCACATCGTCATTGAGGGGTTCAACTCCAACCTTACTACTTCGTCAAAATACTGCCATGACTGTTTTCGCGAGCTTGTACCGGGTGAGCTCGAGGGGGTCGGAAAAAGAACGCTGGTGGAAGCGGACGACACAGTGGAGGTTGACACCGTACTCTGACGGCGCGACGAGGTGCTTGCCCACTCGTGATAATCGGAAGAGACGAACTGGCTCATGGCCGCGTCTGGGAGGGGCTGTCGTAGTTTATACTAAGTTGATGGATAAATATCGCATTTGTAGAATGTATTCAACGTAGCGGATCTCTCCAGAGATCGGCCGGTAGGAGCGATGACATTTTGTGGTTCATAAAGAAAGTAACCTGGAACGCAATGGATATAAGGCCGTGATAAGCGCCATCGAGGGGAATTAACACCTGAGGGTCTGTAAAGTGGAGTAATGTGTGGGAACGTGCTGGAATGGCTGGCCAGCAGATCATCGCGGGCGGATCCACCACATCGCATGTTGCTCCCATGTGGCTTTGGGTTTGGTGATTGCGTCGTTGTCGTTGTCTCTGTTGCCGGAGCCCCGGGGGAGGTCTGACACCCTCGCCTAGACTCGGGTTAATATGCCGTATTCTTGTGCTCAGGATATGATGGATTGTGCTAGTTAGCCTCGCGTGGTGGAATCTTTGCTAGGGGTTGCTGAACAAATCCGGTCATTGCCCCTTGTTGTGTAAGCCACATTTCGGGAGGGGGTCAACAATTTCTTTCAAATTCAACCGGTGCTATAGTTCCCGTGGATCTGAATGGACCTGAAAGCTAATTACTTGTCGGAAAGCTCCCGGAGGATTCTCGAACACATCTAGAATTTTCGCCGATCCCCTGGCTTGGTCATAGCTTCGTCTGCAGGATATGGCTCGTGCTGCTGTGAAGATGATTGAGGGCCTCGGGGTCACGTAAACCTTGGAAGATAGGTTTCCAAAATGCCGTTTCATTCGAGTATTTCCTTGATCAGATGCTCTCCGGTCGCCTGATACTACCTGGATGTCGCCTTCCTCCACTGCGGAGACCGATATATCACAATGTGTTCGGGCTTATCGCGTGGCTGGGCCACTTAGTGCCCTCCAGACTTGCGCAAGAGCCTCGCTCAAATAAGGCGTTTCTCCACCATTGCTATATATTGGCCAAGGCACGTGCGTTGGTCAATTCTAAAGGGCTAGAATGCATCCAAATAATCGCCAAGGTCACTCAGTCACCGAGCCGAGATGAATGCTCGCGCTCGGCGAAATACTCTACGTGATGGAATTCCAACATCCGCATCATGCCGAGAGCCACCTGCGCCCATGGATGAACTATGCACATACTGAAATGGGATTGTTTGTTCAACACTGTATGTGAACGGAGGCAACGGGGCTGAGACGCATGGACTCGTCTAGCAGCGTGTGTGCCCAGGTGGCCACCGTTTTAGAACCAAAGCCATCCCATCTGACCAATTTTGCTCGTGATTCTTTCGTAAGATGTCCTTTAATAGACCCATATCTGCCTGAATAATAAGTGTTCACTGCCATTGCCGTGGTACTATATCGCAACTGGATGGTTGTTTCGCCCGACAATTGAGAGTCGGTCGCTAGAATCTGGGTATTCGCTTCGATCACCCCACCCCCGCCCCCGCCATTGATATTGATGAAAGCATCCAAAACAATTACCCTCCTACTCAGCTTCCCTTCTTCTTATCATTGTATCTGAATTGTCTCAGATGCATACGGCTACTTATCCCTACGAGGCCTTGACACCCCGAGGTAGATGAAATACGAGTTATTCGACCGAACTAAAACTATGATCAAAACTATAGACCCCAGAACCAAGAATGACAATGACTAACCAATATCCCCAATATTTTGGATTGTACGTGCAAAGCTAAGTAATGACCAACACAGCTAGGCATGTGGAAACCAACTCGTACCGAGCCATAACCATTCTTCGATATTTGAGGTGTAGAATTGGACACATGAAAGGTTCCGATTCCTAGAACTTTCAAGCTCCCAGTAAAACTACTTTCAGTGATTGATAAAAGAAAAATGCGATGATTCGGGGCATCGTATTAGTGTGTTTAGGTCCACAACTCGTCCTGCGCGGCGGTAAACGACAGCTGTTAAATATTACTAAGTTTTTGCCCTTCAAAGAGCCCAAAATGGGTTGACTGACGATGAGGACATGAATAAAAGGCTGATATTCACGACTTCCGGGATTTCAGATGATGTTTGGGCTGGAATATCAGTGTCTGATATACCAGGCCATTGGGAGTATTCTACTTATGGCCATAACTATTCTAAGTGATACCTGCAACAATTGACATATTCATCAATTACATGAAGACTTTCAGAACCATATATCCTTTAATTTATCTCCCAAAGCCATTTCCAACCAATTTGTTGTCCGTGTTACCCATCCTTGATGGAGACGTGCTCGCACCAGTTGATGGCTGTGCACGGAGATGACTTGGCTAAACACCAGCAGGCGGCGAGTTGATGCCTCAAAACTACAAACTCCAACCATCTTGAGTATTTATACGCAAATATCTCGGGTTAATTGATCATTTGTTTCCATTCAATCTGTCTTTGAGACTACTAAGGGTTGAAAAAAAGTTCAATGGCTGTTGTCGCTGACCATGACGTCTCTTGGCGGAAAGCTTATCAGGCAAAATGGACTCGGCCTAACAAATAAGGCACCCGGGCATACTAATCTCCTAATCATTGCACACATCATTGTCTCACGGCTATCTTTTTCACGCTCAATCTGAAAGGTCATGCAACTTCCTATTATGGAAAACCTTGAACTTGAAGCCTTGTTTCGGTAAAGCCTTTTTGAAGTTTGCTTGAAATATCTAAATAGTACCTAAGTAGTGCACTATCTATACCCTAACCCCCTAGAGGTAGGTACTTTTATGTTGCCAGGTACTGATTCTTTGAATTCATACCTTGGACGATGCTCTCAGGAAATCGTGATTCATGTTGAGTTAGAGTTGTCAGCACATGAAAAGGCGGCCGAGCCTCCAGATGCTTTATAAGCCTCCATTATCCCGACTATAGACCCATAAGTACCTGCAACAGTAAGGAAGCATCCCAGTATTACAACAAAAATGCTCCAGCCAGCTTTGGCATGCCAGAATCTCGCATGTCGCTTATCTTTGGGCCAATTGTCATAAAGCCACATGCAACCCATAGGCTGAAAGCACATGAGTGGGCCAAGTAGAGCGCCTATCAATGCCACTAGTGAGTTGAAGACGGGAACTGTACTAGCGATGATATAGGCTATCACGGCAACCCCGAAAGTACAACCGATCCATGTAATCCAGTGAGTGGGTGTGTTTTTGCTCAGATGCCGGGAGCCGCGAAGTATATGAACGAAAATAAATTTCGCAGGTATCTGCATATTCATAGAAAAAAAGGTTAAACTTGAATCAGAGGAGGAGTTCTCTTCATTCTGCCCGCGAACTTACATGTGAGCAGATAGTTGTAGTAACGATTAAGCCTGGCAAGGCAAACCCATAGGCAATCTTTTTCATGTCTCCACCAGCCGAACCAAGAGCTGGAGAAGAGACGTATGATCCGCAATAAAAGTAAACGATGCACCCAACTATGAGATAAACACTAGTGACTCCTACCTGGCAAAGTAGTAATGCAAAGGTGTATTTTCGCGGGTCACGCATTTCTGAAATGATGGCAAAGAACCCCGGAGTTCCTGAAAAGGCGAAAACAAGATTGCATATGGCGGTAATCCCTTCTGTGAAAGATGGATTTCCGACTATCTTGTAATCTGAAACCCAAAGACCGTCCGTTTGTGGTGCGGAAGCAGGGCGATCTTGCAGGCTGACGGCAATTGTCACGGTTAGAACTGCAAGAAAAAAGGATGACCAAATTAGCGTGATAAAGGGGACGAAGATCAGACTTCTGGTCGGCATACCCGCAATCAATATGCATGGAAGCCCTATCCATGCGAGCCAGGTAATTCTTCCGAGTGTGCGCACACTACTCAAGATAAAACCGAAAATCGTGGCAACAACGGTGAAGACAGCCGTGCATGTACCATGTGTGGATACTGCATTCAGACCAATGGAAATCCCAAGGATCCCCGAGCCACTGACGAATATCCAGTCTATGGAAGATTAGATAAGATGGCGGATGTCATATCGCTCCAGAAAACGTACAGAGACAGAATGACACGGAGAGAACAGCTCGGCCGATTGGACCAAAAATCAATGCTCCAGCATCATCAATGCTATAGACCTCACGATGATTGAGTTTAAACGTGCCAATAACATAATTTGACCACGTCATGATGGAAGCAATCACACATAAACATATCACTCCAGGAACAATTCCTAGTGCATCAAATGTAGTCGGTATTGCAAGAACTCCCAGGCCAATTTGCGTTTTCATCATTAGAATTACAGTTCCCAATACTCCCACCTATATGAAAGTTAGAATATGATTGGCTCGGCTTTTCAGGTGGTTTGAGTAGGTAAGTCGTGCACACATTGCGATAGTTAGGGCCTTCCTCAGTGATCTCTCCAAATACACAATCATGGTTTGCATCATTCTGAGATTCTTTCAGGTCAACTTCATCATGATATTTAGACCGAGGTTCTTCGGACAATTCCATCTTGGTGGGCTTCCAAGGATGTCAAAAATATATGGACAGAGTTTTCGCCTTGACTTCCGTTCCTCCTATTCCCTTTTATATCCTGCACAAATATCTTCGACCAATCAGTTGGGACAAATTTCATCTTACAAGATACAGCCCCCGCATTACAAGTTTCAAATACTGGTGAGTTGGGGTAATGTGGGCCCTGCAACGCTCAAATAACAAGTTCGAACCTTCCAAGGTTGGAAGATAGGGAATCTGCAGAATCGGCGGCCTCGCCGGGAAATATGCGATACGAGATTCCATCACTTGGAGAATTGAGTGTTTTTTGAGTGAATCATGCTACTTGACATAGAAAACTTATATTCAATGACTTCGTTCTGATTAGTTACCCAGGTGCCTTCCGGAGTTACTCCTTAAATGAAATTGGGGACATGGTACGGCAAAGCTATCCTTCGATAGTATGCTACCATGCAGCGGGATCTGTATTCATAAAGGGTAAACAATCCCTTAGCCAAGGTTCCAATTAAATTTACTAGGCAGTAGTAGTAAAAGCTAGTAATGGAGTATTCTACACAATTCCACGAAGGTGTGAGATATAGTAGGATAAAATTTCTCCTTGATAGGCTGTACTATTCGAAGAACTCGCCAAGATTCCAGGACCTATAATGCATATCCAATGGTATTATTATTACTTTTATTGAGAAACTCGAGAATGGTGGAAAAGTCTAGTTCGACCAAGCAGGGAAGAGGCGGGGAAATTGATCCATCACTCCCACATTTTGAAGTTGAAAATGACAGACTGCGCTAATTGCTGCAGAGCATCGGCGACCCTCCCGATTTCCCGCACTTCGAATTGCCTCGGCGAACCATGTTCGTTCTTGGGTAAAGAAATCCACGATCTACATCCAGAATTATTTAATGCATCCAATTCATGGCTAAAACAATTTGAAAGTTCCGAGATGGAAGATTCAAGTTTCTAGAAGCTGCCGTAGTATGATTGCAGTTGATTTCGCGACGTTGAAGCACTCCTTTAAAGAACTGGATCGCTTACATTCTATATCTCCGAGTCGGTCGGCAAATCCGATCGCGTGATCGGCTGTCGGGTTATTCAGCCTATTTAGGGCAATAAACAGTTCAACAGAATTCAATTTACCGAAGGATAAATGAAAATCAAAATTGTTTAAATTTTCCAGCAGTCTAGCCAGTTTCTAGAATTTCACCCTGAAAATCCCGACGGCAGTTGAAATTTCAAGTTGGAGCGTCATCCCAAGAATGATGGCCGCTTTCTTTTGACGATATCAAGCATCCCCTCCCGTTCAAGTGACATCTGCTACTAGTAAATAGTGTGTGTTAGAGGCTCTGACAAACAATTTTACCCAGCTCGAACTCTTGAGTATCAACATAGGTCATAAAATATTACCTGTGTCCTTGAAGATCTCTGAGAGTCCAAGTTCTACGGAACACTAATAGATTTCAATTCCCAGTTTCGACACACTTTCCATTTCATTAACTAGGACTTTAGTTTCTTGTTGAATATTCGCCCGGGGTTTTCCCTGATGCTCACTGAGCAGGGTTGAAATGATTCTTGCCTGTATACTTGAGGATCACGAGGTATACCTGTCTATGCGTGACTTGGAGCTAACGTATAGCGCCTGAGTTGGTTGGCACTTGGTGGCTTATCAGTATAGGAAGCAGCTGGCCCCTTAAAATACGGCTGCAGGCTTGTAACGTGGCACTCTGATTAATCCAGGGAGAAGCGCTAGTTGCCCTCCTAGCTATATGGCCAGTAATGTATGAAATACAAGCAAAATCTCGTTTTGTTTATTGACACTTGATTAAGCTAATAAGAAACAATATACTGACTAGATTGCCTCGATCATAGATACCTGACTTGCGGGATTCATTAAACTGACTTAGATTAAGTCCGTTAACCGGGCAATCAACTGAGAATGTATTACCGTGTAAACGAATTGCTTGCCTCGTAGTTACAGAAGCTTAGACCTTCATCTCCTCAAGACCATGCTTCCAGTACGTAATAAAAGGGGTAATACCGTCCTCGCGGCAGCTAAGCAAAACGACCCTGTATGCAAAAGTGATTAGTATAATAGTTTATTATTTTCTTTTCGCATAGTGCACCGCATTAATGACAGATAAAATTGAACATACATGCCATCCACATCCATAGATTCACCGGTGTAGAACTCCCAATCGTTAAAGTTGTTGAGAATTCTCCTGGTGTGAGCTTGTACTCCCTTCTTGAAGATAATAACTTCTTCGTTGGGAGTATTCCTTGTCTGGAGTGACATCAGGACCTTCCTAGCATAGTCTGATAAGAGGTTTTAGAATAGTTATATCTTAAGCAGTGACTGCTATCCCTTTTAGGCAAACAGAGCTGATCCTTATCGTACCTTTCATATAGGCCTGGTACGAAGCTTTATCGAAGTCTGTGGGTTGGAGACGGAAAGTATGTATGATATTATTGACTTCTTCTCGGAGATCGTTACCTTTTTATAGAGATGATGAGCAGAAGATATCGTAGGGGAAAAGAAGGACATCTCTCAATGATAGCTTTTACAAGCTAGAGTAATAAAGAGGATACGCACCGTCTTCGTCAGTGTCTATCATGATGCAGTCAGCTTCGTATATAATACCGTCGATCTCCTTAATGATAAAACTATCCGATAATAATTCGTCACGAGTATCAATGACAATATCCTATTGAGTCGTAAATTTGTACACATTAGCTTATTAGCCCAGATCACTAACATGCGGAGCGAAACAAAGACGACTTGAATTTTAGGGAGACAAGCAAAGGCTCTCAGCGCACGTCTATCTCCTTATGCCCATTACCCCTGCCTCTGGGTCTTACCTACCGCCCAAGTAGGCGTAAATGGAGGATAGGAAGAAGGGTGAGTTAAATTCAGAACAAACCTTGTAGATTATCATCTTGGTGTCTTTCGGATGGAGGCTATCATAAACCGGCTGACAAGATGAAAAGAAGAGAAAGGTTGAGGCTGAGAGGAAGAGAAAAGGGAACTGGGAGATAAAGAGGTGACAATTTTATGGCGAGGTTCGGCCCAAGCTGAACTGACCGAGGCGCCCCGATTCAAAGGCATTAGCCATATCACTGCCTGATTGCTACCTAACGACCTGATTACCTGCCAAGCCCGTAAACAGGCTTATAATGCATTATTCTAAAACCTGATTGGCTAACTCACGTACGGTACAACATAGAGCGACCTTGTGGAACGCCAATGTGAGCATCGCATGCAATTTAACCATCTTTGATCATCCTTTTCATTATTTCTTTCGTATCATTCATTTCAAAATATTGGTTCCAATCACTTTTTACCCCGGGAAATTATATGGCAGTAAGCGCTAGCGTAAGTGAATATTGGCACATCCACTGCCGTTCAAGAGGTCAACGCCACACCCGTCCATCCCTTTGACCGCTCTGAGTCTATTGAGACCCTATTTCGGACATGAGCTTGGCCAGCCAAGGCTATTTGATTTGCGCTTACCATAATGACTTGCTATTGAGTCCCTCATCCGGCCATATTGGGTTTGAGACAATTATCTCCACGCCACTCCTATCCGAATTCTTTGTCTTCCTTCGTCTTCTAAATGTAGTGCTTCTCCCTCGAAATAAATGGTCGAGAGATATTTATTATGTCCCTTTTTAAGGTATGTACAGTCTTGTTCTCCCTATCTACGAGAACCTATATTTTGCATCAGCAGTACCCCCGAGTGAGATGGACAAGATGTCTACTCGCAACTACCAACCAGTCCCCAAACGGGACATCGACAGTGACAATGCCGATAGTGATGTGACTCTGACCGGCTGCCCGCGACGTCGCTTTGCACCAGGATTATTCAAGCGAAACCTAGCTGCAATCACAATAACCGGCCTCATTCTGGTCCTGATACTCCTAGTGATGGCAGAGATTGCAGCGATCACGATAGAACCCTTCCGAGAAGTTCTCATTCTCAGAGCGTCACCGACAGGCACGAATGATCTCAAAGGTCAAAGACAATGCCTACCAACCGCTCCACGTACAACTCTCTCATGTGGAAATTCGACGACAGATGCTGAAGAAAAAGGCTGCACTTATGATCCCTTATCTGCATGCTGGCTCCACAAAGAATGTCCACGAGATTACTCCGACGTATTCGCCACTTTTAACGATGGCAAGCCTTTTGTCTATTACTATGATGAGGCGGCTACTCATCGAATGAAGGACTATACCGAAGTGGGGCACAATGCAAACGGATACTACTGGACATCAGTACGTGAGCACCTTGTGCACTGTCTGTATCTTCTGAGACGAGGCCATGATGTGCACATGCGTGGGGATCGGCTCGATAGCATGCTATCAGATATAGACCATGTGGATCACTGTACGAATTTTTTGGCAAATTGGTTGCGACGACCGGATCCTTCACTGGAACATCTCGGTACTCAAGGGAAAACTGATTGTTTTATGTCCTGTAGTTGAGAGACTTGTTGAAGATGATCAAAGCCCTAGAGATTGGAATGGCGGAACATGGAATGTATTTTTTTGGACCGAATGATTTAAATGTTTTTTTCATTTTGATTAATTGACGAGTTGCACTCGATATTTGCACATTGCTGGTGTGCTTTCTTTTATCAGAGCCTTTTTTCAAGTTTGCTCTCCACTTTCACTGCCAGTGCTTCTCAACTGAGTTCTAAGGCCTATCAGTATGTAACCCGGGGCCTTGCCCAGGTGTCTGCCAAGTATTTTGGCTTAGCTGACTGTAAACTTGAGTGAAAATTTCTCGGTTTTGTCACGAAGCCAGGCACTGCTTCAATTTCTAACTAATCAAAGCAATGGTTTAGGTAGACCGTTTTTCAAGCCAGTGTAGCGTTTCAACTCCAAATAAAAGCAAAGTCGAAAGCTTAGATGATTTCCTTGGTGCTTTCATTCTGCTGCCGATCAGTTAAGACCGACTTGGGGAGGTATATGCGATGACTTGGGGTCGTGAGGGGTAAACGGGGCAAGCCAAGACACCGGCACTTGAATAAACACCGCCGATTCGATCTTCTGCGCAGCAATTTAACTAGTCTTATCACGTGGAATATCATAGAATGAAAATGCAGTAGGCAAAAAAAATTCCCGTCCGCTGATCGCGAATATTTTGTCTTTGCAATTCACTTCACCATGCTCAGATACCTGGCACTGGAAGTCACGGCATTTTTGGCCTTAACCCGCGTGGCCGACGCTAGTTATGCATTTTACGTCGGTAATAACCTCACCGCAGATGGAAGTGTTATGGTCGGTGGTACTGGAGAAGAAGTATCAAGCCATTGGCTACAACTCTTCCCGGCTCGCGATCATGCACCCAACTCAACAATTACCGTCGGTGTCACCAAGGAAGCTAGCTTCCCGGGCGAGCTGATCAAGATCCCTCAAGCCAATCACACATTCCGCTATCTGAGCATGGAATATTCAGACTATGAGGGATTCCCAGCTCCATTGACCAATGGCGGTCTTAATGAAAAGGGCGTTGCAGTTCGTGACGTTTGGGCGGATAATCGGGAGGAGCTTCTCAAAATGACGCCAAATCCTCAGCACGGGCTGCAATACAGTGATCTCGCACGTATTGTTATGGAGAGAGCTATCACGGCACGCCATGGAGTGGAGATCATCGGGGAGCTGATAGCGAAGCACGGGGAGTCTACCTACGGTGGTAACTCTCATCTTATTGCTGATCATAACGAGGGTTGGATTGTATGGGAGATGGCCGGAGGAAAGGGCCTCTGGGCAGCTCAACGCCTAGGACCGAACGATGTCAAGGTCTTATACCCAGGTTATATCGAAGAATTCCCGGTCGATTTCCAGAAGAGCGCGGATTATATGGGATCCGAAAATATCGTGAAGTTTGCGGTCGAGCGTGGATGGTGGAACTCAACTTCTGGAAAACCATTCAATATTTTCGACGTTTATGGGCCCCAAGATCCTCGATATAAGGCACGCGATGGTGGTTATAAGTTCATGTCGCAAGCTGCCTTGGAAGATGCTACCCGTCAGATGGCTCCCGTCACAGAGAAAGATCTCATGGAGCGAGTTAGAGATCACCGGATTGCAGATGATGAGGCCGGGTATGGCCAGGTTGTCAGTCTGCTCCCCAACGTGGATCGAGATTTGCTTCGAATCTGGATCGCACCCACCGGCTCCGTCGCCGCGCCTTTCATTCCATGGTGGCTCGGAGTCGATTCGATTCCCGCTGAATTCGGAGAACACCGATACCTGACAACAGGTGCTTCAAGCAGCTTCCTCAACCCGGACTATCAGCTCCAGGAAGCCTCAATCTTTGCCGGACGGGTCTTCAAACGGGTGCTGTATTATATGTGCTCATCGCCAACCGTGTATCTCCCAATCGTGACCGAGATGCTGAACAAATTTGAATCGGAATCTCGCTCCCAGGTCGAACAGTGGGTAGAGCGGTCCGCCCAGCTTTTAATCAAAGCAGGACAGAGGAAGAATGCGGGGTCGCTGTTGACATATTACTCTCATTCTCGGGCGACGCAGGCTCTGGATATCGGCCACCGGCTGAACGATGCCCTTGACGGCTATATTAAGCTGACTGGTCAGTGGCGTAGTCCAGTGGGCAGTGAGATCAATGATAGTAACGAGGAAGAGAAACGGTTAACTGCTTAGTTGGGTATGATCCTGACCAGCCGAAATACCTACAAACGCCAGTTCGTTGAGAGATTATGGATGCACCGGTATATTGAACAGCACATCTAGACTTAGAAATGAATACCCAGATAGCCAATAGAATACCCTCTCGCGAGGTTATCATTATACGGGCATCCTGATCACTATAAAGCTCAAAAAAAACCATGAGGCGGAAATCAATAGGAGCGACTTAAGACCAAAACCTTCCAAGGTTGAAAGCTGCATGCGCTTTCAATTCCCTCGCAAATGTATGCCAGTTGCCTCCAACTCACTGTTGTCTGCTTGCACTACCAGAAACCAAGCATGCAGCCTGGTATTAAATTTGCCAATGAGACACCTGGAATCCCTGAAGTGCTCTCCACCGATGCCAGCATGCCAGCATGACAACTTACAACTTCTTATCATGGCCTGTTCCAATTTAGCGCGATTTTTGCGCCAGGAGAACTTCAAATGAACTTCCTACGCCGGGTTTCCCCTTCGCAACTTGGATTCGTCAGTGGATACCCAACAAATATTGGTTGTGCAAAGCATTGTCTGAATAGCACCGGTGAGGGGTGGTACTACAAGTGACTATTAACTAACAAGTTGCGTATGTACAACTACCATAATTGAACATCTGACCACGAGAATATCTCCTGGGTGTAGCTACAATTGTTCGTATTTCAAGCCGATCCCGTGCCTCGGAGCGTGCTCAATAGTGAATCTCGAATCTCAAATTTTCGTTTACGTCGTGGCTCCACCGCTCCATCAGATCTGCGGATCCGCGGATCAGCAGATCGAAAGCTCCAAAGAACCACAACCCTTGGAACTTGAAAAACCAATTTAAAAACCCGGCCATCTCCTCTCCAGACATAAACCATCTCTCCCAATCATTCGCAACCCTCCAAAATGCCACCCAAACACATCGCAATAGTCACGAGCAGTACTCGCCGCCCACGCCTCAACCCCACCATCACGCAGTACATCTATGACGTCCTCATGCAAGACCCAACGATCCCAACAAACCACCAGCCAACAAACACAGAAACAATTCCAGGCTCAGGAAACTTGAACGATCCATCCAGCTCTGCAGCACATACAGCAGGAACAGACACAATAGACACAGACCCAAAACATATCACATTCACAATCCTAGACCTATCAAAGCAAAGCCTCCCCCCTCTACGACGAATCCGTCATCCCCGCAAGTCTCCCCGCAGAAAACCCAACGCCGCACTACAGCAAAAAGCACACGCGCGACTGGTCCGCAACCGTGAAGCAATACGACGCTTTTATCTTCGTCACGCCACAGTATAACTGGAGTATACCAGCCAGTCTGAAGAACGCACTTGACTACCTATTCCATGAGTGGAAGGGTAAACCCGCGGGCATTGTTTCGTACGGATCGCGTGGTGGCGGGAAAGCGGCGGATCATTTGCGTGGAATTCTGACGGGGCTGAGGATGAATGTTGTTGGGACGGCGCCTGGATTGCCGGTGAGATTTACGGGGTTGCCGGTTGGTTTGCTTTCGGAGGAGGAGGAGCGGGTTGATGTTGATGAGAGGGATTTGGAGGGGTGGAGGAAGGCGGGTGTTGAGGGGATGATGAGGAATCTTGTTATGGAGATTGTTTGTGAATTGGATAAGGGGAGGTGATGATCATTCAAGTTCAAGTTCAAGTATTTCATGGAGAACTTTTCATCCCTTGCGTGCGAATTATCATATAAACAGTAATATTATATCAAGTATATGCAGTCATGACCCCATAAAGAAATTATATAAGTACTTTTGTCCATCAAAACAAGGACTTTTCAACCGAATCTGCTTCGCCCTTCACTCATCCGCCAAAATATCATCTCTAGTAATTCCACTCCTCTCACACATGGCCCTAAAAATGCCATCCTCGCGGTCCCACAGATTAACCGGGTGATCCATCTCAGCAATCTGGCCCCGATCCATCACGCAAATGCGATCATAATGGATAATCGTCCTCAATCGATGCGCAATACAAAGCAGCGTCCTTCCATGGAATCCCTGCGCCATAGTCCTTTGAATCTTCTGGTCCGTCTCAAAGTCGACGGAGGAAGTCGCTTCGTCGCAGACGATGATTCGCGCGTCGCGGACTAGAGCCCGGGCGAGCGCCATTAATTGGCGCTGGCCCAGGGAGAAGTTGAGACCTTCTTCGTCGACGGGGGACTCGAGGGTTAGCCGGTTGCGCGGTTTGGAGTCCGTTGTGATGGGGGTTGTGGTTCCTGTTCCGGGCTCGCTGGGGAGAGCTTCGGCGTCTTCGGTTTCGTCGGCGATTAGGTAGGCTTTTCGGAGGGCGGACCATAGTTCTAGATCGGAGTGTTCGTTGAAGGGGTCTAGATTCGTCCGGATCGTGCCGCGGAATAGAGCCGGGTCTTGTGGGATGATGGCTAGTCTGGAGCGGAGGTCATGAAGACCGACGGTCGCGATATTGATATCGTCGATGTGGATCGTGCCGCCGGATAACTCAGTTAATCTGAACAAAGCAGACATGATACTCGATTTTCCAGCACCGGTTCGTCCGACGATACCGATGCGCTCGCCGCCACGGATGTCCATGGAAAGGCCCTGAAGGACAAGCGGCAAACCGTCTCGATAGCGCATTTTCGCGTCGTCGAAGACTATCCGGCCCTTTTCGGGCCAGCTGGATGATACCTCTGCCAGGTGGAGGGGGGGGCTTCTTCTTCCAGCTCGGTTCCGTAGTAGTGCACGCGCTCGGTGGCGTTCATGTTATTCTCAACTTCAGCGAGCTGGCGAACGGTGAATTGAAGCATTTGTGCGATGGCGAGGATGTATGACAACACCAGGCCGGAGATGCTGGGAGAGACGTTGAATCTGGATGTGACGACCAAAACACCAATGACGAATACTAGAGCTGTAGCCACGGCGTCCAAGCGGACACTCAGCCAGCGCTGGTTCGAGAAGGTGAGGAAATAAGCGCCGTTCATTGTGTCGATGGAGCTGCGGATGCTGGTGCGGAACTGGCTTTCGACGCCATAGGCGCGGATACAGGCTGTTCCCGTGATGGCTTCGCTGAAGCGGGCGTAGACCATTGATCGGAGGACGGCCTCGTGGCGCTTCATCTCGCGGGCCGAGGCTCGGTAGTAGTTCGAGGCGAGGAGGAAGAGGATGAAGAGGGGGACGAGAGCGATGACGAAGTAGTAGAAGAAGACGATGATAAGGACCATGACGGATATAATCATCGTCATTGTTAGGGCGTAGATTCTCATCGCATCAGACAGTTCATTATCCATGACCTGAATGTCCTTGGAGAAACGATTGGTGATTCGACCGAGGGGAGTGGTGTCGAAGAAGGACATCGGGGCGCGCAGAACACGGGTCATGGCTCGCTGCAGCATTGTCCGGCTTGCATTTGTTCCGCAGGTTGTCATATAAGTCGAGAATACAAACATGCAAACGACCACACTGGCACCAAGTCCGGCGTAAATTCCAATATACTGACCCATCGAGAGACTGGGGTATTTATCCGAGGTCCAGTAAGAAAGCCACAGACTCGTCCAGATGTTGGCAACATTTGCAAGAGCCAGTAGGAAGAAAACTGCCAGAGCATTGAAGTAGCTGCCAGAGGCACGGACGTAGGCTTTCCAAACGCTCCATCCGACCGATGCGGTGGCCTTTTCTTCCTGCTGCATCAAAGCAGCAGCAGGCTTGGCAGATGCCTTCTTTGGGCCTGCTTCGAGCTCTTTGGTCTTCTCGATCTCTTCGCCCACCGCCTCTTCCGCGTCTTCTTCCTCTTCCTTCGAGTCTTCTTGGCGCGATGTAGACATGAGACGTTGGAACAGCGCATTATCACGCATGAGATTGTCAAAGGTATCAACCGCATCAATACGACCTTCGTCCATGACAACGATACGATCGCATCGATTCAGAACATGCAGCTGGTGAGTAGCGAGAATTCTGCAGCGATCTTTCAGGAGACCGCAGATGGCTTTATCCATGATATGGCGGCCAACGTGAGCATCAACTGCGGATAAAGGATCATCCATCAAAACCAGCTCGGCATTGAAGTAGATAGCACGCGCGATGTTGAGGCGCTGTTTTTGGCCTCCGGAGACTGTAATGCCTCGCTCGCCGATTTCCGTTTGATCGCCGTTGGGAAGGATCTCGAAATCGGGTGACAGGGCACATGCGTCGATGACCTGGTTATACCAAGCTTCGTCATACTCTTTTCCAAAGAGGACATTGTTTCGGACAGAGGTGTTTTGAATCCAGGCATATTGAGGGCAGAATGAACGTGTTGTGCTCATTCTTACTGTGCCCTCCGTGACACGCATGTCACCCGCCAGGGCGGACAGCAACGAACTCTTACCACAGCCGACTGTTCCAATGACAGCAATCAGTTCGTTTCGTCCCACTTCGAGGGTCATGTTCTTAAGCTTGAAAGGTTCCGAAGGCGTGGAGCTCTCCGTCTTCTCCTCCTTGAGAAGTGCCACGGCTTTAGCATCAGGAGACTTCTTGGAATTGCCCGCATCTTCACCTTCTTCGGAAGGCAGACGTTCCCAAGTGAACGAAGCTTGATTGATTTCAATAGCGCGGTCCATCTGCTCATCCTTTTCGATATCTTCCTTCTGTTCCTCTGCAAGAAGGAACTCTTGGATCCGGTTCAGAGCAGTCCAGGCATCGGTAACCTGGCCGATGACTAGAGGCAACATATTCAGCGGCATACGGAGCGAGTTGAATAGCGCAAGCGAGGAGAAAATCTCAGCGGCCTCCAGATTATGGTTGGTGAGGGCGTAGGTGATGAAAGCCAACATGGAAGCGAAAATGGGGATCGACATGGAGACGCAGAGAATGCCATTGCGCACAGCAAGCAGCGTCTGAATGGAACGAATCTCCCTCTTGCGAATATCCTTGAGTCGGTTGAGGAAGCTGCTCTCCCAGCCGAAATACTTGACAAATCGCACGGCCTGGAGAATTTCTTGCGTGAGGGACACCCGTTGGTCAGTGATTTTATTGATGTTTCGGCGACGTTTCACGAGAAAGCGCACAGCGTATGTGAGTAAAGGGACGCCAAGGACGAGCAGAGCGTAACCAGACAGGCAACTGTAGCCGATATTCACCAGCAAGAGAACCAGCGTGACGATGATGGAGATCGGAGCCGTCCAAATCATATGGAACATGCCACAGGCCAGATTGATGCGGTCAACGTCAATACTCATCAATGCGACGATACGGCCATTATGCCACCCTCGTCCATCACCCGCCACCGTTGAAGCGAGATTCTGATTCTGACCCTCCGGCTGACCCTTCTCATCGCCCTTCTCATCACCCTTCTTCTCCCCCTTCATCAGGGCCTCCTTAGCCGACTCCAAAGCCTTCACTTCCTCCTCCGTCGCCTTCCCACCCGCCTTCGCCCGACCAGACAACTTCATCGCCTTATTAAAGATCTGCGAAATAAGCACCGCCCGAATCTGTCCACCAACCATCTGACCCCGGTACAGAAACTGGTTCGTGCACAGACTCTGCAGTCCCTGCATGAGTGTAATACCAACGACAAACCCCATCCCGCGCCCGATATGCGGCGCCGGCAACCCGCTCTTCTCGGCAATATACGCATCCGTCGCAAAGGCAATCAAGTAGCGCGTCAAATACGGCGCAAAAACCAGCAACAGTGAGCTGAATAACTGACAAACAGCACCGAGCAGGAATTCAAAGCGGAATGTATCGTACAACGCCATGACAAGCGCGCGCTTGCTTCCGCTCGCAGTGCGATGCTCCAGCGCGACGTCTAGTCGCTCGGCGAGCACATCGACTGTTCGCTCCGGATTAACTGTCCACACATCCTGTAGCTCGAGCGGGCGCAGATATCCCACCTAATACAAATTAGCAAGCACTTCAAAAAGAGCGGCGGGAGAATGGTGGGTGGAAATAGCCGGGAAATTGCCATACGTACCCGCATCAAGGGGGACATCCACTGGAAAGAGACGATGCTAAAGAATGACGCCCCATATTCTTTCGACGCGGTCCGCTCGTTAGGGACAGGTGGTGGTGTCTGCCATCGCAATGGGTTCAGCCTCCGGTACCATTTCCGCCTGGGCGTGGGTGGCTGCAAGGCGTTATCGGGGGCCTTGGCTTCGTCGTCCCCGGATGCCGATCTGTCGCTGGGCGCGGCCTGCAATTTTTCGATATCCGCCACCACTACCTGCGGCAGTGGTTCGGGCGGTGCAGACATGGGGAGGCACCTATAGGTGAATGGGTAGGGGAGGGTCGGGAGGTAGATAGAATGGGGCAGCGGGTAGAAAGGTCGAGCGAAAAAAGAAAAGAACGAAGCTTGTTTGAGAATGCGAGAAGGTTGGAAATCTCGGAGATAAAGTGATTGGGGGTGTATTAGCTCCGGACTTAGCGATTCACAATTCTTGAATGGTGGAGCCGAGGGACGACTGAAAGCGGAATCTTTGGGGGGTGCAAAGTACTGTAGAAACAGAAACGGTGCCTTGATATAACCAGTAATACACCGAGTGACTCATGTCGGAGTTCGCTGAATTCGCCAAATGGGATTAAGCTCGATAAGGTGTGCGCTGCGAGTGAGGCGCCTCTCTCCTGTTCGTCCGTACGGAGCTGGATTCCAGGATTGACTCCGCTCTCCCCCATCGGATGACTGGCATTGTATTATCCACTTATGCTTGAATGGTGGAGGAGGATCCGTAATCCGGACGGAAATGTACTTGACAGGCCCTGTTCTTATTCGCATTCGCATTCGTGTAGGGGAGAGATCCAATCAAATGCCATCAAAGACTGCGATGCGGTCGGAGATCGGGATTGGGAGACCCCGTGATGCCGACACTAGAGCCAGTTGGGAATAGTGAGGCAGTCAGTAGATTTGATTAATAATAGGGAATAGCGAACTCCGATGTGCCCTAAGACGAGGTAGAGTGAGAGAGATAGATGCCGAGTGGACAGAGGAGTGGGGGTTGGGGCAGTACTACTAGTTACCATTACTACTCGTAGATTCTGAGTCTACTACTACTAATATTAATCAAGTGACAGATCTACGCGGGACCCTCCAATATACTCCGTACAGTAGTAGTAGTAGTACACAATCACATAACTTGAATGGTTTATCCACTGGCAGGTTGGCACATAAGTGCAAGACACTGCCCTCCGCTGTTTGTACGCAGCTAAAGTACAAATCTCCAGTCTCTAGTTAGGGTAATCGATGTTGGATACATTGTATCTCCGTTCCTTCGTCAGATCGTGGGATGCTCTCATCCGGGTCAAAAATGATAATAAGATAAAAAGGGAAAAAAAAACAAGGAAAGCAAACTATCTATGCTGATGGGAATCGTCGCACGCATCTAATCAGATCGCGCTAACCGTCTAGAGTTCAACGCCGATCTGGATCTTCTTCGCCGGGAGGGGGATCATTTAGTGCTTAATCGCGCCCTTCAGGGTGGGCAGCTCGGTCACAGCCTCGTGGATGATCTTCAGCGCTTGCTGGATCTCTTCCTCAGTGATGACCAGTGGAGGGGCGAGACGGATGATGTTCTGGTGAGTGGGCTTGGCCTATAGGAGAAAGGAAGTTAGCATGTGCCTTGGTATATCAGCATCCCCATACTCAGTCAGACTTACCAGCAAACCCTTGGTCTTCATCAACATGCACAGATCCCAAGCCGAGTGACCATTCGTCTTTGACTCATCGATGACGATAGCATTCAGCAGACCCTTTCCGCGCACAGTCTCAATAAGGGGACTCTTCAGGTCCAGCAAGCCCTGTCGGAAAATGTGACCAAGCTTCTCAGCCCGCTCAACCATGTGCTCCTCCTGCACCACTTCGAGGGCACGGATAGCAACGGCACAACCCAGGGGGGTTACCACCATAGGTTGAGCCGTGGGTACCGGGCTCGATAGTGAGCATGACATCCTTGCGACCCAGCACACATGAGACGGGGTACATACCACCCGAGATAGCCTTGCCCAGAAGGACGAGGTCGGGCTTGATTCCACTCCACTCGTGGCAGAGCAGCTTGCCAGTACGGGCAATACCGGTCTGGATCTCATCACAGATCAACAGGACATTGTGCTTGTCGCAGAGGGCGCGAGCTTCCTGGAGGTAGCTCGGGTCGGGGACGACGATACCAGCCTCACCTTGGATAGGTTCAACCAGGAAGGCGGCGAGGTTGGGCCCGGCGGCCTCGAAGGCCTCGCGCAAAGCAGCCTTGTCATTGTATGCAATGGGCTTCTCGGTGCCGGGGATGGTGCAGCCGATACCGGGCAGATAAGGGCCGTAGTGCTCCCGCGACTCGGGGTCGGAGGAGAGAGAGATAGCGGCGAACTGCGGGGGAACACTCGTTAGTTTCAATCTTCCGAAGCCTTCAAATTCTTTTAATTATTGGCTGAGAGAAGAGCTTACTGTTCGACCGTGGAAGTTGTTCTCAGCACTCAAAACGATAGCCTTGTTCTCGGGGATACCCTTGACCTTATACCCCCACTTGCGGGCGATCTTGATGCCGGTCTCGACCGCCTCGGCTCCAGTGTTCATGGGCAGGACCATGTCAAAGCCGAAGTAGCGAGTGACGAACTCGGCAAAGCGAGGGAAGACATCATTGTAGAAGGCGCGGGAGCTCAGAGTGAGGCGTGACGCTTGATCCACTAGAGCCTTGACCAGCTCGGGGTGGCAATGGCCTTGATTGACAGCGGAGTAGGCGGAGAGGAAGTCAAGATAGTGACGTCCCTTGGGGTCCCACACGGAGGTACCTTGAGCACGGGAGAAAACAATGGGTAGTGGGTGGTAGTTGTGAGCAGCAAAGTCATTTTCCGCTTGAATGGCCTCGGTCGTAGAGGCAGAGTGGTAGGCGAAAACGCCGTTGCTGTTGCCGTTGGTGGACATGGTGAAGGTGGAGAAGAAAGGAGAGATGGAGATGGGATGCGGGGGTGGAGAAGAGTATGAATACACTCTAGAGTAGAAACAGAAGGTGGAAGCAGGGTAATGACAAAGAAATTTAGAAAATTAGAGAATTCTCTATTTTCTGTGAACTGTAAAATGTAAATTAAAAGAAGAGAAAAGAGAAGTTCTCTTGAAATAAAAGTTCTTCTCTTATACTGAGCCAACCCAGCTCCGCCTTCTCCTAAGTGCAGGTCGTCGCGAGACTTTGACACCCTCCACATCCACAATTCCCTAAGTGCAGGATTACACGAGTCAACCTCGTTTTTTCCCTTTTGGCCCTCCCCCCCCAACCCAGCTATCCTCCAATAAGCGTGTTGGTTTTCCCGGCCCGGTCTTTCTTTGCATTTCTCTTTGCTCATTTTATTTGCCCTTTTCTTGGTTGTTGCGTGACGGTCCCAGTGTCTCCACGCCGCAAACCGAGTCCACCACAGTCATGATCCTCTAGCCACTATCCACTCACGGAATTCCTATTACGGAGTATATCGACGGGTCTCCTTCGCTTGGCTCATTCCCTCGCGATCGGTCACAGGATGCCCCCCGCCAATACCCCTGCGCGTCGCGTCGCGCCCGCCGATGTCTCAACCTCGGCCACCAACATCCTCCTCTTTCTGATCGCCTTTCGCATTCTCAATGCCTTTACCCTTCGCACCTTCTTCCAGCCAGATGAATTCTTTCAATCGCTGGAACCCGCATGGCAGATTGCCTTTGGCAAGGAGCAGGGCGCCTGGATAACCTGGGTAAGTGGACCGCGTGTCGTCTCCGCATCCCGACAATGGCGACCCTGTACGACGAGAGAACAGAACACTAATTGCGTCCTTTTTCTTCTTTCCCGCAGGAATGGCGATACCAACTACGCTCCTCGTTACACCCGCTTCTATTTGCTGCGGTCTATAAGGCCTCCGATTTCCTGGCCACCTCCCTTCACCTCTCCGCCGCCACGAGCGCGGAACTCCTCGTCGCCAGCCCCAAGGTCGCACAGGCCATTGTGGCAGCCATCGGCGATTTTTACACTTGGAAACTAGCGACTCGCATCTATGGGAGGGATTCGCGCGGATCGTGGACAACAGTACGTCGTTCTTGCGCCATGGCCAGCTGGCCGCATCGAAGATCTTTGCGGGGAAAAAAACAAACTCGAGAAAACAAGATTGGCTAATGGGATCGCAGTTACTTGTTACGCTCCTCAACCCTTGGCAATGGTTCTGCTCGACAAGAACCTTGTCAAATTGCCTGGAAACTACAATCACTATTGTCGCGCTGGACCTCTGGCCGTGGCAGTGGTCAGCAGGAGGATCTCCGGCCGGGGATAGCCGCAAGAATGAGAGGGGCACGGCCGAGGATCGAGCGCTTCTGTCAAGGTATGACTTGGGAATATGATTCACGCTGCATATTGTGGAATCAGCCACTGACGCGCTATTTCAGCCTCCGCCAATGTTTACTTTTGTCGGCCCTCGCTTGTATTCTGCGACCGACCAATGTTTTGATCTGGGCGACCTTGGCCAGCATCGCTTGGTTCCGAAATTCCTGGGACAAACGCATCATACTTATTCGCGAAGTCTTGATTTGCGGGTATGGGATTCCTCTTCCACTTCGTGGGTTGATATGCCCGTCTTGCGGCAGCCAAGGCGCTCTCCGTCATAATATGTAGCATCAACTGACGTCAACTTCATCTATCTAGATCGGCCATTCTCGCTGTCTCCGCCATCGCGGACCGTCTCTTCTATGGGTTATGGACTTTCCCACCACTCCGATTTCTGTACTTCAACATCGCGCAATCACTGGCTGTCTTCTACGGCCGAAATGATTGGCACTACTACTTGTCGCAGGGCCTGCCCCTTCTTCTGACGACGGCACTGGTCCCTGCCCTCGTCGGTCTTTACCAAACATTGACCAACCGAAGCTTCTCCGCCAGCGATAGGCTGCAGACAATGACCCGGATTCAGTTAGCAACGATCTGCCTGGTGATGCCATTCGTCCTGTCTTTGATCTCGCACAAGGAAGTACGCTTCATCTACCCGCTACTTCCAGCACTCCACATCCTCGCAGCGCAGCCACTAGTTCGGTTCTTCGCCCCGGCCATCTACTACAGGTCCTCGGCGGCATACACCCCACAAAGACTGCTCCTCATCTTCTTGGTCCTTGTCAATGCGGTGATAGCATTTTATACGAGCGTCTGGCACGCTTCAGGGGTCCTCAACATCATGACTTACCTCCGACAACAGCACGAAGCCCACGTAACAGACACATCCTTCTTCTCCGGCCCAACAAACAAAGGAATAACTGCAGGCTTCTTAATGCCATGCCACAGCACCCCTTGGCGATCCCACCTAGTCTACCCAACAATCGACGCCTGGGCCCTATCCTGCGAACCCCCAATCGACTTCAGCGAGTCCGAAAAAGCCGTCTACCGCGACGAAGCAGACCAATTCTACGACGACCCAGCTCAATTCTTACAAGATAACATGGCCGGTGGTCTCCGCCATCTCCCCACAAGACCAAGCTACACCACCACGCCCGCCGACCCCTCCCTCACCGGCTCCAAACACCAACACCAATGGCCAGACTACCTAATATTCTTCCAACAACTCGAGCCAACCCTCCAACCTCTCCTCCGCATGTCCTTCTACCGCGAATGCTGGCGCACGCACAACACAGCCTGGCACGACGACTGGCGCCGCACCGGCGACGTCATCGCCTGGTGCCTCGACACAACCGAACAAGACACCTGGCGCGAAAAACAACGACAAACCGAACTCGCCCGCAAACGCTGGGCCACCGCAACAAGCGCCATAACCAACACTCACGAATTCCACATCGACCGCATGCTCGAAGCGCTAAAGAATTCAGAAGCCCAGTCGCAAAATAGCGGGTGGGCCCGTTTCATCCCCAGCCGCTCGACGTTCTCGCTCTCAGCGCCCTGGTCCTCCAACCAGCCCAGCATGCGCGAGAAGTTTGCGGCGTGGCGGCGTGGTGTTGCGGCTTATTTTGGACCCCGGCCGTCGAGGATTTGGAGGTTGGGACGCTCGACGCCGAATGTTCGGGATTGGATTCCGGATCCGAGGTGCTTTTTGTCTTGGAGGTGGTGGGTTCTTGGGGAGTCGTTGGAACTTACTAGAGAGAGGGAGTTGTATTCTTGATTTTAAATTTTGGATATTTTGTGGCTTGTATACGTGCTCGGATTACTGTTGAGATTTTGGGTCTTGAAGATGATGTCTATAGATCTGTTTTTGAGTTCTATACCCTGTTTCGTGTATGTTGTGATATATTGTATTGATGTATAGTTAGATGGATGGGGTTTGAGCTTATCCAGAGTTTCTTGTCAATTAGTCACACAAATTATCTACGAGCAATACCTCCATATTTCCCAGCTCTTTCAATGCTTCAACTTGAAGTTCCGAGTCTACTAATAAGGTTCCAAGGTTCAAATCGCGACAATGCAGTACTATCTAGTTTAATATTGAAAGAAATATTGAAATCAACTTTGCAGCCATTCAATTTTCCTATCATTGGTGTGAAATTCCTGATACCGACCTACCTAGATAGGTATCCATCACATACTGAATAGCGCCCAGTACCTGCTAAGAGCTAGAGGACTCGGAGACTCTACGTTTTCTGAGACTCAAAAGCAAAATAGTCAAGATATAACAAATCCCAACAAGCCCAGCAACGACAGCATACGCAATAACCGCCCCAACAGGCGCAATCGGAAGCCCAATACCCGCCAATCGAAAGCCCAGACCAGCATTGATGATTCCCAGAACTATAAGACACCGACCAACCCACCGATGCAAGTAAGCAAATGCACTCTTCCCCCCAGTCCTTTGAAAATACCTATGTTGAATGAATCCCATGGCAGGTTGGAAAAGGACAAGACTCGGAACAGTCACCATCCCAATAATCGGATGATACATACGTATAAAACCAAGACTCCTCGCCATCGAAATCCCAATTCCAAACCCCGCGATCGCCAACGCAAGCGTGAACAGCTGAAAACAAGCGTGGAAATAGACGATTTTCGAACTTGGGACGATACGAAGCATCAGCGCGAATGAGGGGAAGAATATTACGAATACTAGTATCATGATTATCGCGTGGGCTTTTCTGCGACTTTCGACTGAGCCGGTGTTGACGGTTGAAATTGATGATGAACTTGAACCCGTCATGTAGTTTGAACTCGCGAATGGATTATCGGATGCGCCGCCCGTGGCCTTTTTCAGGTTTATTGCTGCAATCCCTTCCAGGTCATGGATTGTGATGGCTGTTGCTAGATTGTTCGTGTTGAGTGGGGATCCATATTTCACTGCCCAGACCCATGGACTTGACGAGCTGGTTAGATCTTCACTTCCGCCGGCCCAGGTGATGCAGCTATCGCAGCGGATATTTGCTGTCATAATCCCGTTCCTTATACCGCTGTCGTTCAGGACTGATAATTCGGCCTTGGGGTTGTGCAGTGGCATGACGTGCTCTACGCCCAGTCTTGGGGAGACGGTGATATTATTGCCGGAGCTGGATGCGTACACGATGAAAAGATTTGCTCCTTGCATTTGAGCGCCCTGGCCAAATGCAAACCATTGAAGTTGGGTGGTAGACTTTAATTGAAAGAATATCGGCCCGGTGCCCGTGGATGCGGTGGCTTCGGGTATGTTCACACTGTAGGTGACTCCGTTTTGCCCGGGAGGCACGAATGTTTGTATTTGGGAACGACTGAGAGTGGGTGTAAGGAGCCAGAAATAAAGACGAAGATATCCCTTTGCCATTTCGGAATATGGGCCGGTTAAATCCGATTCTGCTTCAAGTTCAAGTTGTGAAGAGCAAGCCCTGGAGATTTAAGTGAAGCAGTAGCTCGCTCGCTTTGATATACCGACTCAGAGTCGGTAAATAGTTAGTACTATGCATGACACTAACTATATCCCTCCAAATCATTTTATTATTATACCTAGATGGGTATCACGTATCAACTGCCCAAAATAATGCCGCACGTAGTCTGTGACTTGAGAGCTGTGAGGTTGTCGAATCACTTGACTGCTGGCGTCATGACTTGCTCTGCAGTACCTAAAGATAGCAGTTCGAGAACACGGCCGTAATGAATCTTCAAGAAGCATTGTACGGTTTGGCCAAAGTACTCGTTGGAGACCACACAATAAGCCGCTGCGCCTCACCAATCACTTTGGCTATTTGGAACAGCTGCGGTCCAGAGGGGTCTTCGTGCCAAACTCGTATTGAAGATGGCGGCGCGTATTCCTAATTCGGCCAAAGGGGGTGAATGAATTGATGTTAGTCAGCCCCCGCAAACTAAAACGATAGGACATCGTCACATGGTTTAACTATCTCCAAAAAGTTATCAAGGTAATCGGCCGATCTGGGTCTAGTTTTGTGGCGTTCAGTCCAAGGCAAGTTCCATCTTCCTGTGGCTAATCCAATCTGACGAAGAACCGCATTCTCTGTTTTAGGAAATGAACTACCCAAACTCTGGGGTTGGGAGCAGAAGCTTAGCTTCCTCCAAACGTGGCTATGTCAAAGCTTAAACCTTCCAAACATACCCGGTATAGAATTGAGAGGTCTCATTGTAATACAGTACGTACATTGTCCGCGACCACATAAAAGAGACATGGCTCCCGATTTCTCAGAATCCGACTCTGGGATTCTCATTCAGACCGTCTGCCTTTTACATTTCCTCACACAATTCAGTGACAATGATGATACAGGCTTATCTCTGCACATTCGCCCTTTTTTGGCTCCCTCTTGTTGCTGCCCAGTATGGGAGAGGAGGAGATTCTAGCAGTACTACTACGACTGCAACTGAGACTACAACTACAGCGAGCTCAACAGAAAGTGCCTCCGCTTCAAGTACCGTCTCCGTTGATGTCGGCGAAGATGGCTTTACCTTTAATCCAGACACCATCCACGTCCCGAAAGGAGGCGTCGTCGAGTTCCATTTCTATCCAGGTGGTCACTCAGTTGCCCAAGCCGCATTTAACAAACCATGCCACCCCCTGAGCGATACGAGCTTCTTCAGTGGAGCGATGGAAAATGCCAATGATGGAAAGGTAATTTTCCGAAAATACTTTCTTGTATGCATTACTGACGTTTTAGCCTGTCTGGTCGCTGACCGTCAATGATACAAACCCGATCTGGTTCTACTGCGGCCAAGTTGGACATTGCGCTGCTGGAATGGTCGGTGTGATTAATCCGTCGTAAGTGCATCGCTGGAAACCCCTATTGGACGCTTGGAGTAACTCTGTGCTTCGCCAGTGGCTCGGATACGCTTGATGCATTCAAGTCCGCGGCTTCGAGTGTAAGTGGCCAGAGCGTGCCGGCCACGGCCCAAGGTGGTATTCTCGGTACGCCAAGTGCCAGTGCTGGACAGACGACCGCGACTAGTACTGGAAGTATGACTACCAGCAGCAGCACGTCGACTGCTAGTGGGACAAAGACCAGCAGTGGTGGCTCCAGTGCTAGCGCCACGAATACGGCAGGCAGTTTACACCTTTCGGCTGACCTTAGTGTCTTATTCCTTCTTACTTTAATGGTGGCTGGGTTTATGATTTAGGTCCAGTTCGAGTGGAATTGATGAGCTGTTGGATTTGGCAAATTTTAGCTGTAGGGTTGTAAATAGGACACAAATTGCAGACGGTCCTCGCAGAAAAATCCTTGCAGACGACTGGAAATATGGAGGCTACCTAGGCACTTCAATATTGTCATTTTTTCAGTTTCAAGATGATTTCCTGGCTCTATAGCACCTTCAAGTTTTCATCGTGCACTGCTTGTATGTCTGCAAATAGTATTAAGGATCGATATCGACAATGATGTTCCTCCTCGGTGCAATCTATGAACCACCACTCCCTATGGCCGTAGTGCTACTCAACAAGCTTGACATCGAATTGAAGAATTTATCTATAGCATGTACAAATAGAACACTCTACCAAGCACACCGCACCTCTAAATGAAAAAAAAAAGCAATTGGAATCAATAAAACAGTAGTACCTGCTGAAGCCGTCTGCCTACAATACGCCATGAAATCATTCACTGGATACAAAACAGCAGCGTTCTTCAGCCCCAGTCCGACCCTTTGCCAGCTTACTTCTCCCCCTCGTCGATCGCCCTGTCAAGGTAACCTTATTTGGCAGGTAAGATTGGTAAGAAATTAGGCATCACCATCAAGTTCTCATTCCAATTCTACAGTCGTGAATTTACGAGCGGGTGCGAATGCGAATACGAAAACTTTGAACTTTTGCTTCGTTTGTATTAGCTGGCGTTCTTCTTTACACAGCCATGATTTCTCTTTTCGGGCTGTCTTTCATTTGTTCCTATTTACCCCTTGTCTTTGTTCGTCAGCCCAGGTGGCAGAATGTCCTGGAGGCCTTGTGGGCTGATCTGCCATGGAGAATCCATGGAATAATTTGAGATATTGCTTTTTTTAAGGCCTCTTTTTTTAAGGCCTGGAATTAGGTGAGACTTGTCCAGTGTTTACACAGCCACCTTGCATACAATATAGGAATGATGTAGTGAGATCCGGTGCATTCCAAGGTTTTATTGGGTCCTTTGTGAGCTCGGGGGTGAGGGTACAGCCTTCGAGCCATAGTAGGAATGTCAAATCGCCGGGGCTGTCTCTGACTCGGAGGGGAAGCATACTGGGAGCACTGACAGTCAACTCACTATGTTCCAAACGATGCAACAGCTGTCTCGCTAATATTTATTAACATTAATATAAACAGAAATAATATTGATACAGCTCCTACATATACTAGCATGCAGAAATCATGAAGGGTTCGACTGTTCGTCGATTAAAGAGCTAAGGAACTCTTCCTTCTCTCATATAACTCTAGTAAATAAGTACTCTTTTAGAGTTTAATTTACTAAATATAAAGGAAGTTTAGAAAATGCTTATATCTACTAATACAGAACAATTCTAGATGATCAAATCCAGTATATTTACCATTGACCCGCTAAAGAAGACATCCCTCTCGTGCTAGTACAATTGAAACATTAAGAGAAAAAGAAAGAGAGACAGAAGGCAGACAAATCCAACCAAAGAAAATATTAAAGAGTGAAAAGTAAGGGAAAACGAAAAACTCATATGCACCATGGCCATGCACACCACTTCATCGACGATTCTATATCCAAGATCCAATCGTAAGGAAAGAGAAAAGCGTAACCGTCATCTTTCTCTCATCAGACGTTATCGAAGTGCAGGAGGGGGGACAACAATACACAACACCATGCAATGTAATTGCAGAACAGCGCACAAACAGAAACGGAGACAGGTTCATCGTTGAGTCAAGTCAAAGTCATTGGACACTAGGAGAGCAGGGGAGGAGCGGATCACACAAATCAACCGTAGCGAGCGCTCAGACTGGCAAATGCATCCGGGCTATGCCGGCCATTCTGTAGACCGTTGACGTCGACGCTGGGCTGACTCATGTGTGTTCTTGGGAATGTGGAATTCATGTTCATGCTTGTTGGCGGGGGGCCGGAGAAAGGGCTTGAGGAAAATGGGGTGGAAGAGAATGGGCTTGAAGATGAGAATGGGCTTGTCGATGGCTTCATGCCCGGAGCTCCAGGTGCAGCGGCGCCGCCGTTTGTGCCCATTCCGATACCAAGGCCAGAGGAGGGCTGGTTGAGTTGGGAGGGGGGTCACGCCTGCTTGGGCTGCGAGGCCCGAGCCGACTGTTGCGGCGCCGAAGGGGTTGCGAGATGCCATGGGACCAGCTGTAGTGGGTTGGGGGGGGTAGGAATTGCGGAGCCAGGTTGGGTTTGAGGGGTGGTAGTGAGGGAGTTGGTGAGTGGTGGAATGGGACTAGTTGCCATGCCGTTGAAAGGCTGGGCTTGCGGTTGAGCCTGGGGCTGGTATTGGGCCTGAGGTTGTTGTTGTTGTTGTTGGAATTGGTTGGGGATCTGAGGGACAGCGGGCGAAGGGGCGAGGTTGTACAGAGAAAGAATACCGTTTTTGTTCATTTGGCCAGTGGTCTGGGGGACCAGCTGCTGCTGTTGCGGTTGCTGCTGCTGCTGGACTTGCTGAGGTGGGAATTGAGGTTGAGTCGTAAAAGGCCCTGCGCTCTGAGGAGTCGGCATGGCCTGTTGGAACGGGTTGTAAGAGCCCTGCGAAACATTTTGATTTTGTTGCGGTTGCTGCTGTGTCTGGAAAGGAGTTGATCCAAATGGAGAGGTTCCAAAGGGCGAAGAAGAAGACACGGCTGGCATGGTGTTCGCGTGCTGAGGCGGACGCGGTGCTGCGAGAGTCGGGGCTGCTGCCGACTGCTGGGGCTGCGCATAGTTTTGAGGGGCATTAAAGAATGGATTGTTCTGTGCGACAACAGGATTGGAAAATTGTTGACTGGCCACGCCGCCCTGCGGCTGGGGTGTAGTCTGAAAGAATGGATTGTAGTTGCTGTCCATTGCCTGGGGCGAGGAAACATAACCTCCCTGGTTCTGGCCAAGGGTGGCCGAAGGAGCGAATGATGGTTGATATGTCGCCTGGGGTTGCGCTTGGTTGGGAAATCCGCCAGTCGAGTGAGGGAACAATGGCTGCGACACCTGCAAGTTCTGGAAAGAGGCTTCCAATGGCTGTGCCGAGGTTGGTGTCGGATTGAGCTGATCGAATGGGTTATACGAGGTCGTCGTAGACTGCGGCTGTTGTTGAGGAACCGGGTTCGAGACGGATCTTTCGAATGGATTGTTGGATCCTAGCGATTGCGGGTTCGGGGTCACGGCGCGCGGAGCAGTTGGCAGAGGTGCAGGTGCAGTGTTGCTCGTTGGAGCCGGAGTTCTCGCGCGTGCAGAAACAGAGCCGTTTCCTTCACCCAATCTTGACAGTGTCTCCGCCGACCGGTTCAAGTCCTCGTTGAGCCCACGAAGCACCATCTCGTTCCGCCGGTCATTAGTGAATCCCATCTCCCTCAGCGCGGCCATCTTGGCTTCGAATGAATCAGTCGTTACATCGGCAACCGGTGCTCCGAGGCCACGCTCGGCGCGCTCGGGACCCCTCGAGGAAGAGGGCGGGGACCAACGCTCGAGATCTGGGTTTGGCGAGGCCTTAGATGACTTGGTCCCGAATCGGCGGAGGTTCGAGGTTGAAGCGGATCCACGCAGACCGAAGCCGAAGAACTTGCTTCCTGTCTTGGTGTTTTCGGTCTTGGGCGGCAGAGGCGGAGGTGATCCCTCTGGGGATCTGGATGGGGATCTAACGGGGGATCTGTCGCGTCTGGACCGGGATGGCCTGTTATAACTCTCATCATCGCGGCTCGGAGGCTTCGGCTTTCCATCTTCCAACGACCGATACTGATATTTTTGTCGAATAAAGCGTTCCATGCACGAGTCTGCCTCGTCGACGTCGACCGGGGTAGAGGGCTTGATATTTTTAGGGTTGTAGATCTTGTTCATGAGGTTGTTTCCGTGCGATTTCATGTTCTGTATGATGCCCGGCGTGTTAGTCTGTCGCCCGTTCCCTTTGCCGGAGGCCGCGGGTGTACTCACATCAACCTGTTCGGACGACCAGGTATCCATCGACAAGGACTTGACCTTGGATATGTGCGTGCCCAGCTTGCGGTGGAGTGCGGCGCACCGCATGCAAAGGAAAATGCCCATCTAAAGATTCGGAAGGAGGTTAGTCGGCGAGATCGGAGATAGGGGATTGGATTGGTGGTGGCAGATCGTACGTTCCAGCTTGCCCATCCTGTCAATCGCAAGAGAAATTAGTTAGTTCAATGGACGAGGATAATGGGATTGTCATGTTCATGGACAGGATCATCTTGGCAACGCACCTGGGGTCAAGGCGTCACAGTCGGCACAACGGTCATTGCCGGGAATTGTGCGGATCAGCTCGGCGAGAGTTTTCTCATTGCGCAGCTGCTGGCGCTTGCTAATGCCATTTGGCATGATGAAGGAGTGACGGGAATGAATGGACACAATACTATGTGAGAGAAGGAGAGGAGAGAAGGATAGAAGTTGAATAGGGGACATGCGAGGGGCAAAAGTTTAAGGTGCAACCCCGGAATCGAGGCCCAAGGTTGGCCTGGTTCTGCCCCTGGCTCCACTAACTGACGTTCTGGAAGGCATCTAAAATAGTCACGGAGTTGCTTCCATACTAGTAGGTAGATAGCAGGTTCCATTCAAGGTGTTCTGTACTCTATACGAGTACACTCGTGCCAGTTCGTGCAGGGCTCAGGACTACTAAGCTAGTGCTGGTGCCATGACTACTGGGAGAGTCAGAGTACTCAGTACTCAGTACTTGAGTATGCATTACTCTATACTCTATACTCTGCATCTAATCTACAATGATGCATCCTCAATTGGCGCATTGAATGCCGCTTCAAGTGTATGTGTGAGCAGCAGTGGCGCCTCTACCACTGCACGTCCAGGCCGAAGCCCTTGGTGCCGTTGAGGAACCAGATGCCATTCTAAGAATTCATCTAGTACGCCAATATGACCTACCATCCTATGACCATCGTCAAATGGAGGAATTGGAGGTTGATTATGCGTTCGAAAGTGTATGAGGAAGGAAAAGTGTTGCCGCAGATTTTTCGGCCATATAGCTGGGGTCACGTGTTATCCACTCAACATGCACAGTCACGTTACTCTCTGGTAAAGGCGGTGAGGCCAACCGGGTAAAACTGATCTTTCGCATTGTCAATTCTTCCCTCCTTCTCTCCTTCATCCAACATTCCAATTCACTGGGAATTCAAGGATCTTCTGATGTGAAGATTCTACCTTGAACATCCCTTGACCTTGACTGAATTCAGGACACATCGTAGTGACAGACTTTGTTTGTCTACCCACATAACCCGCGTGGTGCCTTTCCGTGGCACCTCGTCTCTTGGGTGATTTTTAATCGTTCGTTCGTGGGAGAACAAAACCAAACGGTTTTTAGCAGAGCCGCGTCTACTCCACCCTGATGTTCGCTATATCGAACAGCAGGACTTTTTTTACGACGGACATCTCATATATTCCATATTCAATTTGACTTGATTTCTTTTTCAATCTTGAAGTTGTTTCCTTCCTCCATTTTCCACCCAGTACTGCCTATGCCCTTCACCTAGTGTCTCGCATGAAGAGAAGAGACTTGAAGTGTACTTGTGGCAAGTAAGTAAACACAGGGTTTCTTCAATGCATGCTCCCAGTCCATAAATTCTGACCCTCTAACCCGCGGTGCAATCTTCATGCATGGGCATTGTTTACTCACAATGCACCCTCCTAACGAGTCTTGAACTAATAGCTTATCCAGGCTTTACTTCTCCGCTACCCAAACACCATCGCAGCATGCCAATCTGAAACTATCCCATGGCTAGCAGCATTGCGTCTGTAGATCGACTGAAGAAAACCAGCGAGCGACGTCACCCAATTTCCATTTCCAAGTTATACCCAATTATGCCTCAATTCGACAAGCTTACTTTCTCCAATCAGATTGCCCAAACGGACTACGACAATCAGATCCTTCGATGATAGTCACTGTCACTTTCAAATCTCAGATCCATCAAGAATGTGGAGCATCATGATCTATCCCGCCAAACTGGCCACCGTCACCACATTCCAAAACACCCCTAGCACCACGACAGAAAAATAAAAGAAAGTACTCTTCTCTCAATAAACCACTCTTCTCATCTCACCCATTGGAACGAAACAATCAAGGCCTTCTTCAGGTTCCAAGGTTCCAAAATGCCTTCCAATATATCCCACCCCATCTCCATCCCCAACCCGACAACAACTACATCAACAACAACCCTAAAAACCAACAAAGACTGGCCAAAATGGAACAATGAGACCCTCAAAATCCTCAAAATCCGCAACCTAACCCACCTCCTCAAAGACACCAACAAACCACCCCCAACATCCCCATCCCACCGCAAATGGACAAATTCCCAAAAAACCACCTGCGCCCTCATTATCAGCAAACTAAGCCCCGCCATCGCAAAAGCAATGCGCTCCCACAAAACCCTCGAAACCCTCCTCCAAGCCCTGGACACCTACACAAAACCCACCCCCACCGAAGCCCTCGAAATGCTCATCTCGCTCTGGGGTAGACTTTCCTCGCTCTCCTCGTCCGACCACGCCAGTGTCACGGACTACGTTGCCGAGGCCCGCGATATCAAAGCGCAGTATATCCGGCTAGGAACGGGTGTTTCGGACGCGGTGCTCTCGTGCGCGTTTATGGCGGGTCTGCCGGTTCAGTGGCGGGAGTGGAAGATGCGGCGAATGCGTGATCAGACTGTACTTGTTCCTTGGGGTGATTGTTCGAGTTCGACGTTTTTGTTTGAGAATTTGCTGCGTGATGCGGTGGAGGAGGAGGCGAGGTTGTATGAGGTGGCACGGCGGGAGGAGGAGGTTAGATGGGGTGTTGAGGTTAGAGATGTGTGTGGGAACCAGGCGACTGTTGTCGTTGATTTTTGTAGTCTCTGTCGTGGGGTTTTTCATAGGGCGGATGAGTGTTCTAGGCTTCGTTTGCGGGGGAGACGGTCTCGGTCTCGGAATTTGAAGGCGAATCTTGGTTTGAAGAGAAGGCGGGCGGATTCGAGGGGACGTTATACTGCTGGTAATACTAGTAGTAACTTGAATAGCCTGAGTGCTAGCATGAGGTTGAGATTGGGGACTCGGAGTGATGCATTTTTGTTTAGTTCGTGATGGAGGCTTTGTTTCATGTCATTTCATTCGTTGCTTTTTTAGTCGTCTATGCTATTGATTTCTATGTTACCCCAGTGTATCAACTAGGCACCTATTTTAAATCTCAATCTCTTCTTGCAGCACCACACCCGCAAATAGTGGGTTACCCTCCCGACCCCAAACACTCCGACACGGAATGACCTGTCCAACCCAGAAATCTTCCGGCACTCGCTGTGTGGTATACAGCACAGCCTGAGACAGGTTCCGTTTCAGAACCAGACCTTCCAAAATAGCAGCGAGGTTCTCCTTTGAAGCTGATTCCGCGCTGTACATCTCAATGCACGTGTAACTATATCTCCCATCCGCGATACTCGCCGTCCGATCAACCTGATCTTCAATCGAGACGTTTCCGCACCGATACCCAAGACCCTGCCACTCGATATCACTGCCGCGAGGAAGTTGGTCGACCTCGACTGCCAAAAATGGCGACACAGACGTAGATGTAGATGTCTCAGCACTGCCACTAGCCAAAATACCAAAATCAGGCAAATTCCAAGTTTGCGCCGCCACATCCTCGGTCTGACGCCCGTATTTGATATCCCAAGCATCAAACTGCCGTCCTTCATCATCCTCGTCATCATCGCTATCTTCAGTCTTCTCCGTATGCACATTCTTCCACAACTCCCACGCAACCCGCGCCTGAGTCCGGACCTGAAGCTGGTCATTTCCACGAACAAGGAACGCAACCGCACCCGCCCACCAATTGACCTGCATCGCCTCGCCAATTCTCCACATATGCTGTAGTGCTAAAGTAGCCCTGTGAGAATAATCCCCATACCCGGAGCCAGACTCATTCGCCGTAGCTGTGGCTGTGGCCATTTCCATCGAAGCCGGTTCAAGCGGGATCTGACCCGCGACATAAACAACTCTAGTCTCACGTCCACCGCATCCAGGTTCCAACGGAACAGACAAGGCCTGCGAATACGGCCCAATATTGGCCGGAGCCCAATAACTCCGCGACTGAACATGTAATCCCTGCCGAGCAATTCTGTCCCCTCGATCCACAACGAAGGAAATCATTACATTCACGCCTTCGGGCAGGGTATCGCCGCAAGCGACTGTTGCTCGCGCGGGGGGGATTTGGCTTTTGGAAGAGGGAGACGTAGATTTTGTTCATGGGGGTGAAGTCGTCCATTGTGCGGAGGAGGACTGTTGCGAAGACGATGTCTGATGTTGAGCAGGGTGGGTTTGATTCGTTGGAGAGGGCTTTTTGGACTTTGTCTGCTATAGCGCTCATTTGGGAGCTGGTGCTGGGTCCGGCTTCGGGGGCGATGAGGTTCGAGATTGTCCATGTTGATTTTGTTTGGCGGGTCGTTGGTGAGGATTTCCATGTTGGAGATGGAGATGGGGATGGAGATGGAGATGGCGTATTTGTTAGAGTCAAGTCCGCAAGAGCATATGCAGATCCAGTCTGAAGCTCACTCAACAGCGCAGCAAATTTCCCATCAAACAGAGCCGGCCTCCTGATATCAGACGGCGCGATTTCCCTCTGTCCCTCCCCCTGCTCTTTAGAAACACACCTCGCCCCCTTCAAACAAGTATAAGCAACACCCCCATCACCACCCCGACTCTCCGCACTGCCCACCTCAATCCTCCTTTTCCAAAGGAACCCCGGCCCATCAACAGCAAGACTCTCATACTCACCCCCTCCCCCCAAAACCGCGCCCCGTATATCCCCCGCCTCCGCAAACCGACTCATAGCCTTAACGACCCGTCTCCGAAACGCCCTGCCCCCTGAAACATTCTCCCACAGAAACCCATCGTCCAACCCGCCCGACGCAACTTTGATAATCCGCGCATCGCACCCCGCAGCAGCCATATCTTCCAATAATCCTGCTTCGCGTACGGTGCCCAGGTCAGCGTCGCGCTCCGCAGGCGCAGGGAGCGTGGGATAATTCCACAACCACGCGAGCGGAATCAACCCCAGGCGTCCGGCGACGTTCTCGATTCGGGTCCGTTGGTACGTTGATAGGATGGCGCCTGCTGAGACGGCGTTTGCTTCTGGGTGGGCGGACATTATGCGGCGGAGGAGTGGGACTAGGGATTCTGTTTCGTCTGCGTCGGCGCCTGTGTCTGCGTCGGTATCGGATCGCACAGCATCGTGTCTGTAGATGCGAGATGTATCTACTGCGCCGCCGGTGATTGGGGCGCGGTAGAGGGGGATGCCGAGGGCTTGTTCGTAGAGGGGGATTACGCTGTGGCCGATGGTTTGGTACATGAAGCTGTCGATATCTTGTTCTTCGTCGGCATCGGCATTTGCATTTTCGGGGGTGGTGTTGGTGAGGTCTGGGTGTAGGTTTGCTAGGGCGATTACTTTGTGGCCGTTGCGGATGCAGTGGAGGATTGAGAAGAGGGAGTCTTTTCCGCCGGAGACGAGGGCGATGACGTTTAGGCCTGGTGTGGCCATTGTGGGAGCCCTTAGGGAGTTGTAAGGGAATTTTTTCCCCATGCAGTGCAGTGCGGTGGTGAGGATAATTTGTGAGGGCAGCTCCCCCACCTTGAGGCACCTCTTATCTATGTGGGGCAGATGGCATACTTCAAATAGGCGATGTAAATAGAGGGAAATAGATCAGAAAAACTATAAAATATAGTATATCAGAAAGGAAATAATAATCTACAGGGGTATAGCTTCAAAAAATACCACTAAAAACAAATCACCATAGAACAAAAAGTGATCAAAAGCAAAACTATCAAAAACGTTATCGCGCCTGGTGATAACCTCCAAACGCACACGGTAGAGTTAATCTGCCAAGAATAGCTCACTTGGTTAGAGGCAGACACTTGACGGTACTAGCTCATCCATCATGTAGGCTAATGGCAGGAAACTCGCATAGGTTCGAAACCAGCCTGCGGCAGGTATCTGGGCTGTAGAGGCGCGCGATTTCACCCTCCAACGGTTCAAACCAGGCTACGTTTGTTAAAGGGTGCCCTTGGGCCTGTAAGAGATGAGCCCTCCCCTGACCTGACGTGCTGGTACTTCCAGATCATTGAGCTTGCTCTGATCATGAGAGGCCTGGCTCGAGCTTATGTTTTTTTATTGCAGGCACACTGTATGTTTACTACTGTTGCAGGTTGTTATTTACTTCTAGCATAGTTGAGAGTAGATATTTTATGCGGGATCCCCACGGAAATTGAGTAAATTGACCTTGACCAACACAAACGAGCAGGCAAGAAATGCAATACAAGAAGGGGTATGAGGTATCAGGTATAGGTATAGGTAGGAGGATGAGGATGAGATCGGGGGTGGTCAAATTAAGATATACACGAATGTGACCAGCACAACAAAACGGGTGTTCAAAAAGGGGGGACAAAAGATATTACATGAAATAAGACAAGAGCGAGATGTGAGCGAAACGAAGAGAAGCGAAAGGGGTAAAAAAAAAGTCACAGAGAATGGAAGGATAAAAATCAAGGGCAAATCGGCAAACGATGGGGCCGAGAAGGATATGCCCACAACGCTGATGTGTTGATCCGGGGATAACAGAGATAAGAGAGAAACAGAAACAGAAAAAGAAAACATAGACGGAAGGAAAAACAAAGGAAATTTGCAAGGAAACACAATGACAAAGGAAACCAACAACCAAGCCACCTCTGTTTCATCGCGAAGACAGGATGTCATCATTGTCCCACTCTATTTTCTTCTTGGTTTTTTTCCGAATGGTTTCGGGATTTGGGAAGGGGTCGTGAAACTTCTTTTCTTTTTTGTTGAAGCACGCCATATTTCTCCCCGAGGAAGACCCAAACAAAGGAAAAGGGAAAAGGAAAAAGAGAAAAAAAGAGTCCAGGAGAGTTGCAGTGTCCGCACTGAAACCTCTCCGTCAAAACTCCATGATGAATGTATCCCCGAATGTTTCGCTGGAAATACAGGAAACCATGCCTTGCACCGATGACCCCGATAGCCGACACCAGATGCAAATGCCCGGACGCCAAACCCAATGGACCTGTAAATAGGTCGAGTAAAAAAGAGAGCAATGAAATAAAAAAAGAGATCAGTTCGAATCCCGCAGGAGAACCGCCGACCGAGCGCAATGTTGTATATTATATATGCAGTAGGAAGTTCTCCTAGTCTCATAAGTTGTCATGATCGCCAAAGCCTGCGGGAAGGCAAGACTTAGACGGAGCCAGCGTCACGCTTGCGCTTCTTGGCAGCACGACGGTCGGCACCAGCCTCGTTGGACTCGTACATGACCGCGCCTAACGCCCCGGCATCTTGTGACTCGTCAAAGGACATAGATCCCTCCGATCCGTCCAAGATGCCCATGACGATGGAGCCACCGCCGTGGGTACGAGCGTGCTGGGCCAGGTTGTCGCTGCGGGAGAACTTCTTGCCGCACTCGTGGCACTCGAAAGGCTTGTCCTGAGTGTGGAGAGAGCGGTAGTGACGCTTGAGATGCTCCTGGCGACGGAACCGGCGCGAGCAGAGTGTGCAGACGAAGGTCTTGGAAGGATCTTCGGTCAGAGACTGCTTGCGACCGCGGCGGTTCACAGAGACAGGGGCGCGCTCGGAGTCGGTCAGAGTTCCGTCGGTCGAGGGAGGAGGCACAGAGTCAGACTTGGTGGAGCAGCAATCGTCATCGATGTGGGCGGTCTTCCGGGATGATTTGCGGTTGCTACGCTTCTTGGTCTTAATCTCCTCCTCGGCAGAGTCGGACTCGCTATCATTTTCAATCTCATGCTCGTGCTCGTGTTCATGCTCAGCGTGAGAATGAGCGTGGGAGTGAGCGTGGGCGTGGGCGTGAGCGTGGGCGACCTCATTCCAGTGGAAGGCAGGAACAGCAGCCGGCATGAACTCGGAGTCATCCGAGTCCTCAAGGCTGTGCTCACTCAGGAACCCATCGTCCTCGGCGATATACTGGTCCACACGCTGGCGCTTGCCACCGAGGTAAACCGAGTTGCTACCGGGGTGGAAATCAACCAGGCGGTTCAGCTCATCGTCAGAGTCGAGGTCCGAGAAGCTGTCAAAGGTTGGCAGGGAGCTCAGAGGATCCTCGGTCGTGGACGAGGCAGTGAACGAGGGAGAAGGATTCTCGTTGAGAGGCAGCGTCACAGACGCACTACCCACAACAGCGCGGGGTTGCTCCTCGTCACAGGAGAGAGTCGGCAAGGGAGGGAGACCATGGGAAGCCGGGATGTGTGAAGCCTCGACTGTGAGCTGACGCGGGTCGCAGAAGTCTGCACCAACCGACTCAACAGTCAAACCTTGGGATTGGGCGAGGATGTCGGATGGAACTGGAGAAGGAGAGGGAGAAAGCGAGGGGCAAGAATTGGCGGAGAGCAAGTCGGAGGTTTGGCTGGCGGTCAATGACGGCGGGTGGATAAACACTGTGGATTTGCGTTAGCACTTCTTACTCCCTTGCATGACCGCACGCCACCTGCTTCGTAGGTTTATCTTTTTGTTTCCAAATAAAGAGATTTGGTGACGTGCTTGCATGCATGCATATGATCTATCTGTTTCACACTCAAACTTACCTGGAGTCATTGGAGGGGAGTCGGAGCGAGCCCAGTCCGGATTGGCGAGAATCTCCGTGTGGACGTCAGTCTCACAGCCTTCCTTGACACCCTCGACCTTCTCAAAAGAGAAGAAAGTGTCGGTGATCGGGGTGTGCAGAGTGCCATGGGCGGAAGGAGGGCTGCTGATGCTGCTGCCAGAGGCGGAAAGTGGCGGTGTTGACGGGAAAGCATACAGATCGGCTCCAATGAAACGAGTATCCAGAGGCATCAAGCCGGGAGAACCATGTTGCATAATGATGGCGGGCTTCATGTGAGTGGGCTGAGGTGAGGCAATGGGAGTCATGTTGATAGCGGCACCGCGGAATGCATTGGTGGTGGCCATCTGGTGCATGTTCATCATGGATTGCGGTTGATAGATGGGCTGCTGCTCTGAAGCCCGACTTTGCTGGTACTGCACTTGACCGTAGTAGTCGGAGGGCTGGCTGGTGTAGTGGCCTTGCTGTTGTGTTGTGGCATCGTAGTAGAATGATTGGCCTTGCACGGGGGGTGCAACTGTATAGGAGTCCATTGCTGGAGGAGTCAGCGGGTTTGTGACAGAGTATAGGTTGGCAATGTCAATGGCGTAGCCAGTGACATTGCCATGATAGTAGCCATGATAGTAGCAATATCATGCCATATCATGCCAGACATCCAAGACCGTCCAGTACATACCGTCGGTAGTCGCAATGCGGGTGTGAATATTAGGTATAGTTGATGATGTAGTCAGGTCGAGGTACTCCAGTAATCTCTAGAGTAATATAATGAATGAATGAATAGACCAGGCGATTAGGTCAAAAGGAAGGTAATCCTGTGTAAGATCAGGTGGAATAAGAGAGAGTGAAAGTGAGAGAGAGTGAGTTGAAGATGGGAGATCCAAATAGTTTGATAAAACCCAACCCAAAAGCAGAAAAAGGAAAATACAAAAAATAAGGTATAAAATATAAAATAAAATAAAAAAAGGTCGAGGAAAAAGAGTGTGTACAAGTAGCGAGAGAAAGAAGAGAGAATGTGAGGAAGAGGGCGATGGTGGATAAAAAGAGTGATCTGCTGCTATTCCTACGTTTGCCGCTAGTGCGGGTGGGCCAGGAACTGATGGAATAAATGAATTAAATGAAAATGGGATTTAAAATAAATGCAATAATTATTCTCCAAAAATAATTAAAAATAAATCAGAAAAATAAATACTAAATAAAATACTAAAATTGGGTGTCTCAATTCTGTTGTGTAAGGAAAGTAGGCTAGTCCGGGGCGGGTTGGGAACTGCACATCCGCGGTGGGTCACGTCTCTTCTTTCACTTCTCCTCTCATCTTCTCACTGGTTACCTCCCATCTCCACCTGCGGCCTGGTCTACGGAGAACGGAGTACGGTACTGAGTACACTGGATACGGAGTACACCCAGGCCTGCTCCGTTACTTTACTGCTCTGCTCTATCCCGCCCAATTGCCTGTGTGTAATCCCATGGGATCAAGCCATGGTCCTCTCAGCTCCAGAGCTCAGCTTAACGCTCACCCATCTCGACATCTATCTATATACACCACTCATCTCTCTTTTCTCATTCCTCTCAATCTCATCACACTAACTCTCACGGTTCCCTCCCTCACTGTGGCCACGAGGATCATCGCTATTGGTCCCGGCGATGGTGACAGCGCTAATCATTCGCACCTCTTATCAGCACCAGCTCTACTCACCGGCAAATCAGCTCTCGCCAATGGGTGGGGGGAATGGAAACCCAGACACATTTTCTCCCCTCTGTGTCTGTGTGTGCACCACACAATCCTTGGGCCCCCAGGGGTGGTGTGGCCCCGGGACCAATAGCCACTTTGCCCAAAGCATGCCCCACGTCCGTCCCGTCCTGGTCATTTCGCTGCCAGGGCAGTACACCACAAAAGTGCGTCCATGTTAGCCAAGCGTGGACCCGCTGCACCCACCACTCTGGCGATCGACACTGATCTGACTGCGCTCACCTCGGTGGCCCATTTCCCCCCGGTACTTCGCCCTCCCCAGGCGCGATCAACATGTGGAAACCATATGCCCATAGGTAAGTCTGGGTCGATCCATGCCCCATCCAGTGCGAATGCAGGTGTGCGTGAATGCGCAAACCCAAGTCGCTCAGGTCTTGCCGATCAGAAGGCTATCAACGGTGGCGATTATTCCGCACCGTGCGACCGCTTCTGCGCGAGCGATCGTGAAACGGTCGGCATTGGCTGTCTTTTCCTGTGTGTGTCTCTGCCACTCGAGCGCCTCCTCCGTCCCTAGAGTACGCGAATGTGTATGTGCGCCCACGCACCCCCCGGTCAGTTTCATATGATGCCGGCAGTGGCCAAAAGTACAACCAAGCGAGGCAACGGCAATGGCAGCGGCAGCGGCAACGATAACAGACATCACACTGATCTGTGCTTTGTTGTACGATCATTTCCCCATCATGGATGCCAAATATTGGATCCATTTTACATAGTCTAGCTTTTTGGTGGAGGCAAATTATTCGAAACTACGAGCTGTGACCTGCGTGCGAGCTGTCGTGAAGTTGCCACATGGATTTGCGGGAATTTTCTCGGCGAACACAAGCAGTCTGTAAGGGCCGCGACACGTCAAGGCTCAGCTTGTGATAGTCACATCTCTTTTTGGGAGGGGACTTCTTTTTTAAGATATTTTTCCTCCAAGAAAAATAATTCTGCCTGTGTTGTGCGGTCTACTGCAGGAACCAGCTGCGGAGGCACCGCAAGAACCCCAAACCCAGGATCCCCAGAGCATATTCCGAGCCATCATTGGAGATAAGGCTAGGCAAGGCTTCAATGCAAGTCTCCATCATTGGAGACAAATCGTAAGAGCTTGAAGGATGCGGAGAAACCTCCCCGTCAGCCTTGCTGACTTTATTAGCGTCAAAGGTCCAATGTCCAGTCTCGGCATTCTGCAGCGATTATATGTACTTTCTTGACGCGAGTTCAAACCTGCCGGTCCAGACCTGGCACTGGTCTTAAAAGTGTATACCTGGCTGATGGATGAGACGCTTGTGATACATCTGATTGGCCTGGTGAGCGTAAGCCATGTCGCAAAGTGATGTGTTCCGATTGCATGTCGATGTGATGGTCCTGCCTGCGGACCGCGTCTCACTCGTAGATCCGGGGCAGCGCCAATTCCTTGTGATCCATCAGGCAGGACACGAAATCCGATACATCCAAGATTGCCCTTGAGTCCATCGCTCCAAGACTTATCGATGGGCTCTCTCTCTCGCTCGCTCGCTCTCGCAGCCACCGGCACGCCGCACGCCACGCAAGCAAGGCCGATCCAATCTTGAGTAACTTCTACTAGAGTGGCACAACCTTCCCAGACCTTACGGAGTACACATATTCTGACCCAAACATGAGACCTTTGGTGAGATTACTGGTGATTTTCTTGGGGCATGACTCTGAACCCACCCTATCAGACCCGCCAGTGGCTGACAAGGCTGCGTCAATCACAGACTATCACAATCCAACTTCTTCAAACTTCCCCCCCCCCAAGAAAAAGGTCAAGGAAACCAGCCACACGCAAAAGCAATGAGCAAAGCAACTCGAAGCCAAAAAAAAAATGGTCGAAATTCCATCATCGCCCATCTTTTCCCATCCGCACTGCGCATCAACCGTGCACCATTGGCCGCTTCTAAACATAGCGGCCTCCACACCGGTCCACCAATTCCTCTTTTAAACCCTTTTGCCTGGACACTAACCAAAAGGAGTAAAGAGGTGACGGGAATCCTCGACATTCTTCCGCTTGCCAACCAGACTCTCCCGAGACAGTCCACTTGGCCGGGAAATTGTGAATTTTGGGGGGGGGAAATTGTCTGATCGCTGCCTTCCCGACCTCTCCTCCTCCCCCACTCCCCGTCCCCATACGGAGTAGTACAGAGCTAGGGTAAATACACTGCTCAACTCAGTAAGTCCACCAAGATTAACAAGGTCGCTTTCATACTCCACCTTTTTCTGTTATCCACACTCACTCACTCGTGGGTCTGAGTGTTGCTGACTTAGGATTAGATTCACTATCTCCAGCCTAGTTCACTCATGAGTGGGCAAAGACTAGAGTGTTAGAACGTGGCCCTAGGCTTTACACAGGACTAGCGGATGGTAAGGGCCATGCATGGAAGGCTGTCACTTACTCTTCGAGAAAGAACAGTGACCCCATTTCTCTTAACCAATTTCTCTAGTGAATACACTAGAGAACAACCTTGCGTCCGGCCCCAATCCGTTGCAGTCGATTATTATTTTATCTCGTGGCGGCTGCAGTCTAATTTTCATAGACGCGATTGATTCCAGCCCAGAGTCCAACATTGCATAACAATTCAATTCAATTCGATTAGATCACGAGTTTTACCCTCGATCGATCGTTTTCGCGGAGCCCCAAATTTGTGGCCAAAAATTGAATTTGCTACTATTGCCGGGGAGGAGTGGTCCAGTGGACTCTTTTTCGTCCTTTTTTCTCTCACACGCAATCCTGACCGCCACCACCAACCAACGCTGTCGCACAGACGGTCCGGGCTTGATTAAGCAGCACTGCATTCCAATAATTCCTTTTCCATCTACTGGATTCGTGGGCGCACTGGTGATCCTCTTTTTTTCCCCCTCGTGGTCCTGGTCTGTGTCGAGCCCGTTCGGCTTAAGGAACATCTCTCACCGACACGCAAAAGGGAATTATCAATGGTTATCGACCTAGCTTGCAATGTGAATGCTGTTTCACGGACCAGTGCGGGCTATTATACTGAGGCCCTTTGCAAATTAGCTAACACGGCAGGCCAGAGGCTTCCTTCTGACCAGCCAGATGGTGAGGTATTTAGGCATGGTGTCGAGCTCTGGATACATGCGGTGGAGACATGGACTCCAGACTGGAGAGAGAGGGTACGGAGGAGATAGCGTCCGTCGAACGGGCGGCTGCTAGCTTCTGACTCGCGCGGAAGGTCCTTCATGTGCAGCCGACAGTGGACTCGATGGAGCCAGAGGACCGACGCGAATGGCAAAAATGCGAGCCCATCACTGCTGGTGTGGGTTGAAGCTAGAGCTACGAGAGAGCTTTCCCCATGTCCGGCTCTTCTTGGCCGTCCCCCTCCCACCCAATCATATGGAAATGAGTGGCGGGGAGGACGCCGCAGAAACTTTTCCCTTAAGCCCGATTCCCAAATAACGGGGTTCGGGAGCTGGGCCTTCCCTGCCCTGACCCGTGCAATTGGAAATGGGTAATGCGGTCCATTAATTCGGTGGCGGGATCCAGATGAGCTATTTCCCCGACGAATGAGCGGACTGGAACTCGAGCTATAGATGGAGATCTCTCTCATCCTTTGCCTCATTCGTTTTTCTTCGCTGGGTACGGGATATTTGTACAAAAAGAAAAGAAAAGAAAAGGTACTAGGGTTTTTGCCAATCCGATAATCCTTTTCTGTTGCTACATAGGTGGGGTTGCGATTGTGAAACTTTTCTCTTCCCCCCGGGTCAAATAAGCTGCGAGAAACCGTTGTCGATCATGCTCGTATCCGAGAGAATTGGGAAGTCGACCTGTTCCTTCGTTCGTGCGTTCGTGGCGTCTAGGCGGCGGATAGGATGGCGCATTTACTGCATTTCCCAGTCCAAATGGAGAGACATGCATAGAGTTAGTTACGAAAGATGATTAAGTGCTACTAGTGTCAACTGTCAAAAAACGAACTCCGTTGAGATGTGGTGGGGGGAAGGCAAAAATTGGATACATCGAGGTGATGGATACATCTTCGGAGTACCGGATAACTCTGTATGGACTAGCTGCAAGGGTCTTTTCCTTTTGGGAGAGCCGTTGTAGTAATCTCCCATGCGTCGCAGAAAGCTTGCATCCTGCGCGCCTTGACGGAGGACACCGAGGCGTTCGTTACGATTGGCCCGTATGATTTCGGTGCTTTGGCGATGTGATATGTTTCTAATGATTGGAGACTGATCGATTCTGGACTTTCGGACGGAGTACGGAGTACGCAGTGCTCCAAAACCATTGTCTAGGTATACATCATTCGCGCCACTGGAGGCTCCATACTACGTACTCCGTACGTATGCCCTGGTGTCTTTAGTCCACCTTGGCCCATTTCCCTCTACGAAACGTTCAAAATGGAAACCCGAACGTGGACCAGTCCGTTGCCTTCTAGCTCGTCCGGGCGCACTATACTTGCCACTTACTATTTTCCAACTCCGGGGCTCTCTTTCTTTATTTCTTCTAGTCTGCATCGGCAACTTCGATCGACTAGGCTTAACGGCCAGTAGTTGAGGGGTTCGAGCCCATTCATTCACATGGGGCCGCGGAGGCTTCAGATACAGTACTACTCTCATCCTCCGGATTTCTCACCGGTTGACGACAGCCGACGTGGAGTCGAGTCCAATGGGGGCGTGGGGGTCTCCAATCCATGCGGGTTCACTCGCGGCTGGCAGCGGATCATGCTATCAACCTTGGGAGAGAAGGGCAGCAGCACTGTCACTGTGACTGTGACCGGTGGCAGCACAAAAAAAATCATGTGGAGAAGCAGTTGCGGGTCCAGTGGCTATCAGCGGCCGAACTGGAGCCTTTGAAACTTCAATGGTGGACTGGAATTGACTGAGACCTCGACTAAACTAAACTTCGATCCATGCGCTTGTCCGAGTCGGCCCGGCTTTACCTTGCCCTCACGTTGCTAGAAAACGTTTCCTCTCTGTTCCTTCGTTCAAGGTTTTGCCTTTTAGGTTATTACCAGCCAAAACCTTGAACCTGTTGGTCTACACCAAGAAGAGAAGCTAGGCCCGACTAATAGTTCCAAGGAAACTTTTGACAGCGTTGCAGATCGCAGGATGATTTGATCTGAATACAGGCTGAATGTCGAATGAAAGAGTTCCAGTTGTTCGGGGGAATAGGGATAATCCACGGAAACCAACAACCTAACCACACAACCTTTACCAGAATGGGATGAGATGGGCTCAAAGACGCAATTAGTGGAGCGACTGTGCCACCACCAGCCATCATGGTTTCATTTCGGGCCCTTCCGCACGTTGGAATCTGAAACCACTCGAAAGACTTGGCTTCGAACACGCGTCGAGGCTGCGACGGGTGCTAGCGTGGGACGCCGCGGTCTTGGCTGGGACCCACGGGCATCGATAGCAAGTCCAGCCTTTAGGATTTGGGGGAATTTTTGACATTTTCAGAATGTAGCGGTGTGCCGGGCTCGTGGTGCACTTGCTAGTACTTGCGACTCGGAGAATTTGCTATGTGCCGTGAGCTAGGAACAGGAATTGATCCTTGCG